GCCCCCCCCCCCCCCCCCCCCCCCCCCCCCCCCCCCCCCCCCCCCCCCCCCCCCCCCCCCCCCCCCCCCCCCCCCCCCCCCCCCCACGGTTTTTATGCAAGTAAACAGCCATTGGTATTGAATTAAATTCTAAACTTACTGATCTGTAGCCATAAACTTGACGAAAAATTCAGTCATATCTTCCGCGCGTACATTTCTACCTATATCAAGAGGCGGAACTCGTGGATAGTCAGCAGGTTCGAATTCGAGCTTGCATCCGTCGACAAGAATGGGATCCCATATCACGTTATAAATGTCGCCACTAAATCAATCTTGTATCAGTCTAACTTGGTTCAAAAATGGGAACTCACAGGCAATGTTTTTCACGCGTCGAAGGTTGCGAACAACTCTAGCTCAACGTAGAGCTTAAGGAAGGGGCAGGTTCAAAATAACTTACTCAAGATCACCTCCGCTAAGCTGGCTCGGCAAATCTCGATTCCCCTTTTGACTGAACACGATACAGTTGGAGAGGCTGCAGAGCGGGTGGCCTGGAGGTGGTGTAATTGCTCTGCGAATCTGTATGTCTCCAGGATGCAATGCAGGAGATCGGGTGACAATCACGAGACGATCGTCGAGATCAGGGCATGAAAGTCCGTGCTGCTTGTCGAATGTAATAAACACTTCTTCATCCCCTAAGTAACCAAACTCGTCCATAACCCCAAATAGAGTCACGCCTTGCTCTACGGGTATTCGAGACTTGTGTTTGAGCAGGCGAACCTCGCGTAGCACAACAGCCTCTACAACAGAGCAGAGGAATGCATCCTTCTTGTAGTCCAATTTTATTCTATGAAGACGTTGAATGAACTGGGAGAAGCGCATTTGTTCTGCCGTTTTCTGGCGCCTTAGAAACTTCACAGTATTTTCAGTTGTAGCAGTGATCATTCGCAAACGATTAAGCTCCCGGTTCTGAGCCTTGAAAAACCATGATTCGGGAGCTGTCATATCCTCAAGGATTTTGATCATTTGTCGATTGAGGACCAGAGGTATGGGCTTATTTGCAACGTCGCATATCTCGAGATTTTGGGTATCTGGGCTCTCAAATTTGAGCATACTCTCACGCACGCACACTTTCAAAGATCTACATTAGTTTTCGGTTTGGTGGAATATGGTTGATGATTCGAGCTTGGAACTTGCCCTTGCAACACATTGGAGAGTTGATAGTCAGGTGGTACTTACTAACGTTGCCTTTCAGCGTGTCATCTAGACTTAGCATGCCTTTCGCACCAGCCCATCTGATTTGAAGGCAAGTAGCTGTCTGTGACTTCTGGGGTAGGTATTCACGAATTGCCTCCAACAACTCCCTCGAAATAGTTCCGACACCATCACTAAAAACACGGTTGCCATTTTTAGACTTCACATCTGGTATCCGTATGATTTCGGTGCCCAATGCCTCCAAATCAACTGCTATAGGCGTTTCAGAGAAAGCCTGGCCAATCCGGGCCGCACCTATGACACGTTAACGTATCACGCCATACGACATGCCTTTTTCAACTTTACTTACTGCGAGGCAGTCAGTAAGTTTCTCACTAGATGGCTGAATAGAGTTCAAGGCGTCATAGGATATGTCGAGCACGTACCATCGAGCAGGAGAACGAATACCTTGGAAGTCACCGAGTTCAAGTATCACACTGACATAGCTGCGAAATTGTTTGTTATCATCGATAAAGGCGGCCATGAACCAAACAGCATGAGATCTGAATACTCTAGTTAGATCTGATCAAATAAGTATGCAAATTTGACTCACCGTAGAGATGAATGCGAGAACCCTAAGAATTTGTATATTCGTCCGGCGATCGAGAAGCCCTCATTGAGAATATGATTGAATCGCGAGTATATCTTATCCAATGAGACTAGATCAGATACGGTCAGCACATAATATCAATGCAATCGAGCAACTTGAGTACGGGCTCTATGTAATTGGGTAATAGTAGATATAGAAGGTCCATGGTAGGAAGGTGGCACTGTAAATCAACTACACAGAAAAGAAGTAAACAAGATAGCTAAGCCCTTCCCCAAAATTGTTGCGTGTCTTCTCCCGTTCTAGAATACTGGCGCGACCTGAGGTGTAGTAAATGATATAGCTAGCAAGACCCACAGAAGAAGATCAAAGTGAAATGAATAAATAATGAGGAATAAGGAAAGACGTACCCTTAGCATTATAGAAGATATCCTGACCGTCCTCATCACAGAACTGGATGCGCGCAAAATAACCAGTGTGGCGTGGGAACTTCCGGAGGATGCGATTCTTTGCTTCAGGCTCGGGACCCCTGAACAGGATTCGAGTTGGCGTTACTTGCACTTTATAGACCATTGTCAAGTTCTGGCGCGCCCGATCCGAAAATAGACCTTTGGTCAGGCCTTGCCGCATCTCCTTTTCGTTAGATTCAAGTAATGACCACATATCATTGACGTCAAACATTTTGGCTTCTGTGTAAGGGCCTGGGAACGGGATTTGGGAGAACAGTTCTACAGATACAAAAAATTAGTTTATGAGAAGCGCGATGAGTAGCCATACGGCGACGCTGAAGACACCCTAGAGGTTAGAGGAAATAGGTTATAGCAGCCGTCGATTTTCCACGTATCACTAAGAATTTCTATGATTAGTTGATGAAATAAAAATAAAACGAACGTACTTTTCACAGCGTGAGATGAGAATGGAAGTCGTGTTGCCGCCAACGAAGCTCCAGACTCTGCCTTTCCTAAATTTTGGACTGTTGTAGGTATGTCGCCAGACTTGCTCATCTGGAGTCGAAGGAGCAAAGTTTGGGCGATGTGTGGTAGCAGATATCCATTTTGAACCAATCCTTGAAACTGATACAATATGTCAAACGGGATTGTCTGCGAGCACTCAGCAATAGTAGACTTGAAAGAAGCCAATCCCTTGGCCATATAGTTGCAATGATATAGAGCAATAGGGACGTTATGCCGAGTAAACTTTAAGTACTCATTCTCTTTTAGCCGTTCTATCTTGGGAGCGAATTCTTCCGGAGAGATCACGATAGAGTAGATGAGCGATTGGCCGATGACCTCACCGTGATTAACACTGCTGTGGGGAATCTTGCTCAAGCGTTCCCTCAAACGTGATCGAGAAAGGTTAGGGCTAAAATTCGAGACCAATCTACCCATGAGGGTAGTAAGCGCCGCGATATCGCCGCCTTCATGCGCAAGGAGGAAAATCTTGGGGGGTTCCCAGAGCGTTAGGAACAGCGAAGGCGGTCGGCCAGAAATGACCACTTCATCTATTGTTCTGTAAGGTATCTCGACTGTGAACTTTGGTTAGCAACCAAGTATCAGGGCGTAATGTCAGGTTTCAAGTAGTCTCAGAGGAGCGGAGTCACAGAGAAGCAGGGGCTTTGAACAGAGAAATAGGAATGCATCACTCACGACGTATCTGGCCGGGGCTGTGAGCGTAAGAGATAATCAAGGTATCTCTAGCGAACTTTGCGGTACCTTGTGGAATGCGCCATTGAATATCAGCTGTGTACGTTAGGATGTTATTTGGATAGTCATAGTGGCCGCATGATAGTTCATTGATATCAAAGACGACATGTTTGGCTGTACGTGGCTCCTCGTCAATGTCAGGGGGGTGCTCTCTTTCATAAGCGCTCATCTCTAGCACCTTCAGTAACGTTTGATCGGGTTCCCTGTCACTTTCCCTGCAAAAAACGTGGTTACTCAAGAGGCTGAGACGGGCCCTCATCCTTGGTTCTCCACGGGCACGAAGGGAAGCGCCAGGAAGGCGCTCCTCTCCATGAGCGTTCAAAAAGGTCTGACCGTCCTTACGGTAAAGAAAAGTGAGAATACCGAAGGTTCTGTCGCGAGGCTTGTCGCAGATCCAGTCCCTGATACCCAGTTGGTCTAGAAAGGGCGTTAATTCTGCAGTTAGGGTTCTCTCCGTCAAGGTGGGAGGCACGTTGGCCATGTAGACGGCAAATCCATTGTTTTGTGACATGACTTGCAGTCGTGCTGCTGATTCCAATGGAAAAAAAATTATCTAGCAGTTAGATCGCCTTGTGTAAAGTGACCGTAACGTTTGCTTGGCTTGCGATGGACGGTTGAAAGAGCGGCTGCCAAGCAAAGTGGGTGTGAGGGGGAAGAGAGAGGTGGTCGGATCTTGAAGTAAATAAGACAAGAAGAATACTCTCCTGATTCTACTATTTCAAGCTGGGCTAGAGATGCGTGTCAGGAAAGTTGGTGAGTATTAGAATCGTATTGTAGGCGTCTCTTTGAGCTTAGAACACACAGTTAGAGGAGAGACTGCTTCGTTGGTTCATAGGATCATCAGCCTGCCTACGTACGTGTCTTTCGCGGGGTTGGCAGCCCAAAGCGTGAGTGATTGTATCAAGATAAGGTCTGATTGGCACACACTGCAGCAATCGGCAATTGGCGGGTGCTACAACATAGGATGATATGAGGAGAGAGACCGGAATAGATGGGGTAAGGCTAGGTAGAAGGTAAGGGAGGGAGAGGAAGAGGCCCGGCGGGTGAAGGCGCGAGTGAAAGCACAAGGCAAACAAACAGACAGACAGAAGGTGGCCATGAAGGTGCAGGTGTGGCATTACTGTGAGGTTACACAGGCACTGCACCTACCAGACTATCACTTTTCATTGGAGGTAAGGAAGCGAATAGAGCACCAAGTACCTACAAGTGTACGATATCGCCAGCTGTCGTGAATGCTTGGTGAATGCTCCTCCTGACCCTCTTCCAGGCAGCCCAGGCAGCCCGGAAGGATAACAGGCAAAAATAAACCCATCTGCAAGTTTGTGAATGGCAAGTTGGGGGCGAGAGTACCTGCGAGCCTGACAGCTCACTTCGGGTGACAAAATCATAGGTGCGTACATTAACTGGATCGCTTGGTCCTAAGGGAATGCCCTCCGTACATGTAAGAGATGGTTGCTTGTCTTATCTACCTCTCTACACCAATTGAAGGTATTATTGGTCACCTAGTCCGAACGCATCGTACTCATTGAGCCGTGTGGCTACCGTACCATCCCATGAAATGCAGAAATAAAGAGCGAGACACGCATGCTAGCCTGCCGCACATCGAACGCATGTGCATGCAGTACGAACGGAGGAAGCACGACGACGAAGAGGCGTATCCGGAAGCCCCCGCACATTCATCCAATTCGAACAAGAAAAGTCGGGTTCAATATGTCTTATTCTTTTCCCCGGTTACCTTGACGTGGAACCGAGGGCCTATGACACTTGGGGGTCTAATGATATCAATGTATGGAGTGTGGCAATTAGGTGAGGGCCAGAGTCCTATGGCAATGCGCAAGCTGGTCTGACCGCGGCTGCATACAACTGACTCCCTTTATCCGATTACATCACCTTACCAACGCCTTTGGCAGTCTGGGTATCATAATCCTAGTATGAAAAAGATGAGGTGAAAGATGAAATAAATCCTGCGTTTAGCCTACACGAACAAGCAGCTCGAAACCCATATACCTCGTAGAAGCTGCTGTCCGTAGGTGTAGGTGGACTTGATTCTAATGGGATATTTCTAGGCTGAAGTTGAGAGTCGAGTTTCTAGCGTCGCCGAAAACGATAGGGAAGGTGCTGACATTCGTGGGCTGAGGCAATGGACCGTAGCTAACGGTGGAAGAGTTCTGTGAGCACGATTCAAGACTGCGTGTGCGCTTCCTTGACCGCTTTCTGCTGGCTGGAGTTGTCAGGGCTCCGGGGCGTTTCGGGGTTGTTAGTTTTTGATCCGCATCCCACTCGCATCCCAAGATCCCAAACCGAACCTGTTCTGGACGTGCAGGACCCTGAGATTTACTCATGCAGTGGACAATATAGTTGTTGCGAAGCCACGACAATGTTTCACGCACGCGCGTGTGCGTTTTATAGGCTTCTGGGTATACTTCGAAGTACGTTCGGCCGCCTCCACTACCAGCAAATCGCCTGCCGGGCCCATAAGAATCTATCGTTACCTTAAGCATATAGCCTAGAATAAAGCAACATCTAGCAAGAAGGGGGTGGGACATATCACCTACTTTGTTTTTGGTCCGATTGAAGGGGAGATCGTGATGGGCTGCGGATAGTCAAATAATCGATGAAGTAGAACTCTTTTAGATTCTTGAAAAGAGCGGCAAATTCGTAAACATGTCGAGGATTAGAGTGTTTTCCATGATAAGAATGGACACGTCCGCAGTAGCCACAGACTATATCCTGTCCATCCCACTCATGATGGTAACGAACGGCTAGTCGACGGATTTTAGCTAGCTGTTCAAGGTCCAGCTGTTCTGCCCAGTGACCGAGATGTCGCGCATGAATCATATTAGGATAATCGATACAGACAACATCTGAGGATCGTTGGAGCATAGCAAGTTGCCCGTCATTTAAGGTTAGATTTCCAGGCTGAGCAAGCACTTTCTCAACCAATACCGCGGCTTCGTTACAAGAGTCGTGAAGGCGGGCCAGAGTCTTGTTCAGGGCAGTGTAATATGAATTGTCGGCATTTGCTAAGGGGTAGATAGGTTTCAAGGTGGCAGTATGAGGGAAGGTCTCGGAATCCCGTGTTCCCTCGGTGTGTCGGTCGAGCAGAGTCACAGGAGGCCCATTACTATTGGCTCCTGCGGAGGTACGCGTGTGTACAGTTGCTGTATTGGCGGTCTCGACGAATTTGAGAAAATGAATGCCAGGCGTGAAGATGACATATTCCCAGATCATATGTCGTATATCGTACGGGAATTTCCAGAATAAATCGAACCGTTGAAGACTGCTGGGCAGAACGAAACGGATGGGCTCTAGACGTAAACTGGATGGTTGCGTCATCTTGACTGGTTGAGAACTATGGTTGGGATGGCGGCCGTAGTAGAGAGTTGCATGTGTCGAGCAAGCAGGAGCACCCAGCGGTAACGCCCGTATGAAATAATGAAGAGCCAGCCTCGGTAAATAAAACACTCAAGTCGACAAAGATTGGAATGAATGTCAAACTTGTTACATGTAGACAGCTGCGTACGTATCTCGATCAGGGAACAAGATATGAGGAAAACTATGAAAGAGAGTTAGGCCTGCTTGGCCAACGTGTGCCTTCGGTTTCTCTAACCTTTGGAAATGAATGTTAATTGCTTAATAAAGCCCTGCTCCTGAGCAGTTGAGATGGAGAGCGGTGACAGGACACGGCTGCTGACACGGGCCTGTGCCTTCTGTTGAAAGAGGGCCGAAGACAGAACGGCTGCTCAGGTAGAACGATAACCGGGAGGCGGAGATATTAAGGCCGAGTCCGGAATGGGCGCGGTACTGTAGTCAGCAATGTATGTCGGAGACAGGACGATGGGTCCGGCAGTGCACGGCCAGCAAGGTCAAAGTAGACGAGGTTGAGAGGCGGTACCTAGATACGTAGCTGACATACATGAGCATATTTCAGCAACTCGAAACTTTTCAAGAGGTCCCCTCCATTTAGCATGCTTGCTTGTGGGCTCGTGGCACAAACAAGCCCGGGGCCGCTTAAGCCGAAAAGCACAGGTAATTTAGGATACCGAAGATAGGTTCACACAGTGGGCCGTGTGGTGGCTTGATCAGTAAAAGGCGAAGTCAGGAGATAGGACATGGCACAATACCATGAAATACATAAGATGAAGTCAGCCCCAAGCACATACCTTACATCGCCCAAGAGGTGACGTAGCATACCTGAGGCAGATAGGCAGGCAAGAAGAGGAGGGTTGAGTTATCTGTTTTATTGACTTGAATATGCAGGGCTTCCTGCCCATAGAAGGCAGGAGAGATCGGGTACCATGAGCAGGTCAGGTTCGAACGGAACTGATTCAGATTCATGAGGCTGAAGTTGCACGTGTACCTAACATAAGCGCATGCTTGATACTTACCCTTCAGTGCAGAACGATGCAATACTAGGCAAGGAGGTTACTGGTTTGCCCAATGCTAAGACAGTGGCTTGATAGCATCGAGTTACCTGACCTATTGCCTTCCTGTCTTCTTGCTGTTCCCAAGTGCGGGCCTGATCAGGTACTTGTTGAACAAGTACCTGCCTTTGTTTACTTCCCGAACCACGGGCTTCCATGTGTTGGGTGGGTATAGGTGCCTTGACTTGATGCCAAGACAGCCTTGAGATATGTGTACGAAGCTGAGTAGGTCGAGATGGATCTCACTTGGGGTGGGAAGAACAAATGAACGACTTGGAGGTATGGAGAGGTATCTAGATCACCATGTTTCCATCCCTGGCCACTGATGAACTTTTCCTCAAGGGGCCTATGATGTGTCATTTAGTCCTTGGCAGATGAAAGGGATGGGATAGAATGGGCAATAATTTACCCATAAACTGGCAAAAGCACCAGTATTTTCCTAAATATACCTAGTAGATTGTATACCTACCTACGTAGGTAGATAGAAGGATGAATTCCCATCTTTTGTGCATCGCTTCTCAAATGATTTGAAGTTAGGTAATTACATAGGTAGGTAGGGCGCTATAGCAGTTGTATGCACCTGCCCCTACCTCTAAAGCACCTATTGCGCCGCCAGGTCTCAGAAAAAGCAGAATGTCCAACTGAGCTGAATACCTACTTCGTAGGTACATACGTAGGTAATGAATCTATCTAGGCACTGGGGTGTATCCTGGAGGTTATAGATGAGTCCGGGCAGCTTACAGAACAGTTTGGGACCTCGGTAGATTGTGACAGCAGCAAACTTGTGATTCCTTAGTCAGTGCCTATCTACATAGGTAGGTAGTAGAACTCTAGATGCTTGTCTCCTGACTCATCATCATCATTGGATAAGCCCATCCATGCCCTCTCACATTCGCCTTTCGAATGCTCAATATTGCAGTCTTAGAGCTCCATTTCCGCCTCATCGCTCTCGAAGCTCCCTTTCAGCGCAGCCTCATCGGCCCCTCCATTCTTTAACGACTCAGCCGAGATATCCTCTTTCTTGGCCGCCCACACGCTCCTCCATTTACCCTTGCATACGACCTTGACCTTGCCTTGGAGCTGATCTAGAGGCACAATGGGCTTCTTTAGCAGTACCTCTCGCTCCTCTGTCTGACCTGGCTCGATGGTCACGTAGGCGTCGTCTTTCGGTGGCATGAGTCGCCGCACCTGGATTGTGGGGATGTCGATAGGCGTGTCTTTGCCCTCTGGCGTGAACGACAAAAGACCCAACTGCACAGCCAAGGGATCGAGGGGAGAGTCCCAAGTAAACAAGGTTACCGGGCTAGAATGCGTATTTGTGACGCCAATGGTCAGCTTAGGTTGTGATGCGCTCGTCTGCCGAACAGACACTTTGAGCTCTGAGAGAGTTTGGTCCGACATGTCGACACGTTCTTGTTGCGACGCGACGGATCCCGCAGTAGGTGAAGACCAGGTGTTCCAGAGGACGATGAGAACGATGAATATTCCAAGCCCAGCGAAAACCCGACCGTGCGAACGAGAAGACTGCTGAGGAACCATGAATACCGTCAGGTATCGTTGAATGATGTTGGCCGTGGTGGCGGGGTGGTTGATGCGGGGAGCTAATTCTCGGGGTACAATACACTACTACCTACAGGCTACGATGCGGTAGGTGTTAGAAAGGTGGATATATTCCGGCCTTCAAATTTTGGACTGTGAAAATTGTGAAAAGGGTATGGCAATTAACAGCAAAGGAGAAGAGGATGAGAACTGTTTCCCCAAGGTATGATGATGACGACGCTGCTACTGTCGGTACACAGTACTAGGCATCACTAGAGGAGGCTTGGCGGTGCCATCCGGTATCTGGCGTGCCTGGCGCATTCCAGCTTCTTCATTCGGCCCCTGGCCTAACTATGCGCGCCACGACTGTTTAAGAAGGCGTTTCTGCCAAAGCTCTTGGCTTCCCAAGATCGACTCAATTTGATATACTTTAATATCAAACAAGTCACCGATGGACAACTTCGCACTTCACCGACATCCATTCAACGCTTAGTTATCACTTGGCACGCAACTCCTGAAGCAGACCTCACTGGTCGTTTTGCATACCATTGGCCGACGTTCGTCGTTTAATATTCACGAACGAATGATCCACTACTTAGAGGTTGAAACTGGAGTACTTTCCGAAAACAGTAGGTGAGTCTAAACATAAGCTTTTGCTGAGCCACGATGACGAGGTTTCTAGAAATATAAGTCTCGCTTGATTTACAAACAAGCACCAGTCCAGCCTTGGCGGAAATGCTGTTTGTACGATATCGGAGAAGAAGGATAACAAGACTAATTTGGAGGGAATCCACCATCAAGCCTTGTCGACTGACAACGCCTGTGCGCGCGAGATCAAGTTATTGACAAACTAGTGACGATTCGCTGGAGAAGACAAAGGCATGCCACTTCTCAAAATATATATTATCAAAGGTAGAGATCAGTCCCATATCGGCTATGGCCTGAGTAGTGGGTGGTCAACGAACATAGCTAGGCTGGCGAGTGGTACTACATCTCTCATATATCGTACCTGGTTGACAAGATCGGAAGCGCCGTCAGGGAGCATTATTGCGAGGCTGAACTCCATCGGGACCCTGACTGATCGGCAGGCAACGAATGGTGAAATCAGATCAGTGTACGTGTACATGTTCCCTGTTGAGGATCGAAACCCACAGCGCCAAGTAACGGCTTTGAAGGATGCATACCTCTTTGCTGCCTCTTCACGCGCGGCTCAGACTTTCAAGCATCACAAATCGATAATTGGACCTGACACTAAACCTAAAACTCAATAACTTCATTGAAGAAGGCTTAGGGTGATATCTAATTATGGATCTGTGATATCTGAAAAGCCGACCCGCTTCGCGCGCGCTGATATTCTTTGGGCCTCATCTTTTCCAAGCCGTCCAGTCATTATCATATCTGAACCAGCATTTACACGCAGAAAGCATACACAACATCAATAGCTAACTAACATGGATTCCATGACAAGAAGACCTGAACTTACGAATGAATCATTGGTATTCAGGAAACACTGCACAAAGACAGATGCAGGAAGTTGATCAGAAGTCAGCAGGTTGAAAGTCACGATCGACACCTGCCAAGCTCGCCGTCGACTAATCGTATGGAGTTTTTGACCTCGCAGTCCGGAAGACTAACTGTTGATCTTCAGCCTTTCCGCTGTGTCCTTCCATTCGTAGTATGAGTATCGCATATCGTACAAAACTCCGAGGTTCAGGGGAAGTCACCACAGCGTAGTGTTATTGCACTAGGAATCCATGTTGATAACTGTATGGTAAACCATCAGTCAGTACTGATCAGTCTTATATCTCTTTCGTGATCGACAATAATAACAACAGTAGCAACGAAGTGAGGATTAAGCGTCAGACGAAACAAGTTCAAACGATGTCTATCCCAAAGCACATGCCTCCTTTAGTATCGTCCGTTGCTGATCAACATCAGCAAGTCTTGCCGAGGGCGTTTGTCGTGGGTTGAAGTTCGTGGACCGTGATATATTGGACTGTGACAACCGAGGACGATCTCAGGTATAAATTTCGCCTGTATCCCAGAGTTCATTTGGGTTGTTTCTCATCACCACAGTCATCACTCCTCACTTCTCAGCTCCCAAGGTCCATCTTCCTACATTAACCATCCATTATCCGCCAAAATGAAGTTTGCCGCTGCCGTTTCCGCCCTCGCCACTATGGCCTCCGCCGCAGCGGTGGCCAAGCAAGCCTCGCCTCTCGATGTAAAGATCGAGATGGTTGGAAACAGTGGCGTCAAGGCTACAGTCACCAATACCGGCAGTGAGGACCTCAAAATCTTCAAGACTGGCTCCATCCTTGACAAGACCCCAACCGAGAAAGTCAAGATCACTCAGGGCAAATCGAGGGTCGCTTTCAACGGCGTCCGCCTTCGCGTCATGAAGAGCGGACTCCAGGAGTCCTCCTTCCAAGTTATCCCCGCTGGCAAGACCATCGAGCACACGTTCGATGCCGCTGAGCTACACGATCTCAGTGCTGGAGGTGCTGTCAGCATGGTCTCCAAGGGTGCCCTGCAGTACGCCAAGGCCGGAAGCACCCAGATCATCGGCTCTGTGCCTTACTCCAGCAACCTGCTGTCGGCCACCGTCGACGGCGTCGCTGCGTCTAAGATCTTCAAGGCCTACCACGCCAAGGCCAAGCGCCAGGCTGTCCAGGATGACTGTTCATCCTCCCAGGCGAGCGCCACGTCGGAAGCTATCAACACCTGCGCCGAGCTCGCTGCAGAGGCTGCGTCCGTTGCGGAGTCTGACGATGATAAGCTCGCCGAGTACTTTAAGAACGCGGATTCCTCAACCCGTTCAACCGTCGTCAGCGTCTTTAATGCCGCTGCCTCCGAGTGTGGTAGCACTAGCTCCGGCGCTCCTTACTACTGCTCAGACGTCTACGATGCCTGTGAACCCGGTGTCATTGCCTAGTAAGAAACACCGCCCCGTTCCTTGGGTTCCTATGCTCCTTTACTAACGATATACCCACACAGCACTCTGCCTTCCGAAGAATATATGGTCAACTGCCCTATCTTCTTCTCCGACTTGTCCCCCGCCAGCAGCTCATGCCACGACCAAGACCAATGGTCTACTGTCCTCCACGAGACCACCCACCTCCTCTCCGTGGCTGGCACTGACGACTACGGCGGATACGGCTACGACTTCGTCCAGAGCCTCTCCTCCGAGGAGAACCTGAGCCACGCTGACACTTATGCTCTCTTCGCCCAATGTAAGCTTGTCTTTGCCCCGTATGCTTCAATAAGAAATTAGTCGCTAACTTTGATCCCCTTGATAGCTCTCTACGCGGGCTGCTAAGCGCGTTGCTGGAATTTGAACTTTGTTCATGAGGATGTGTTTTGGAATGATAAACGGATGGCTGATGACCTCTTTGTTTCTTGTCCATATGACTGAAGCTGTATATAAACATAACACGACTCTCACGCCCGACTTCATAACGGGGAAGAGTATGTTGTATAAATGAAAAATCCGTTAAATGTAACATAACCGCTTTCCACATTGCAACCCTATTGTCAGTGTGAACCGGTTGTCCCTGGTTCCCGCGCGGCAACGAATCGATGATTTGGAGGATCCGCCCCTGGTCGATCCACGGCTACGGTATGCTGAGATGCATGTCTTGCTCGCATGACCGAAAATCGCGAGGCCGCCAGACCAGGATTGGTTCGGCCGTTCCACACTCGTGCGCGAAAATGCCGACTGGGTTAAAATCTATCTGATTAGGGATCTTGTATATCTGCTTAGGTATGTTTTCCATTTCATCGGCTCGAGGAGTCTGATTCTGCGCAGGGATTTGTAAGCGGTCGATACAATATCGGAGAGGTGGATGAGTGTGCGGGGATGTGGGAGGCCAAGTTGGGGTATTGCATGCGGAGATATTTAAGGATCGTCAAAAGTATATGAAATGCGATGGTTCGCCGAGTACTTGTATAGCACGACTATACTAATAAGATAAGCTATTGTCATGCTCGCTTCTAGTATCCTTTTCGGCGGAGTCAGCGCCCTAGCGCTCATCTACATCATCCAGAGGGTTATACACTCCATCCTATCGCCGCTACGGTCTGTCCCGGGACCGTTCCTCGCGCGATGGACCGACGCCTGGTATCTGTGGCAAGTGAGGAAAGGAGATTGGGAGGTCCGGAATATAGAATTACATCGTGAATACGGCACGTACTTCCTCCCAATCCCCATTTCAAAAATTACACCGAGCTCATTATCCATTACCAGGTCCCATCATCCGGTATGGTCCTAACCGCTACAGCATCGCGGACCCAGATGCCCTGGGTACTATCTACGGCCACGGCACGCGCTTCACCAAGTCCTCATGGTATGACGCCTGGATGACGCCCGGCGGCTGGAATCTCTTCGCGGATCGCTCCATTCAGCGCCATGCCAGCGCGCGCAGACAGCTTCAGAGCACATACTCGATGACTTCACTGGTGTCCTACGAGCCCTACGTCGACCAGTGTGCCGAGATCTTCTCGGAACGTCTCGTGGAGATGAACAAGGCGGGCTCCGTCGTCGACATGGGACATTGGATGCAGTGCTATGCCTTCGACGTCATCGGCCAGATCACCTACGGCGAGCGCATCGGGTTCTTGGACCGTGGCGCCGACATAGGCGGCATCATGCGCACGATCGAGAACGCGCTAGCCTACGGGACGCTCGTGGGAATTTATTCGCGCTTCCATCGCTTCGCGTTCGCGGTGGTGAGTTTCCTCGCGGGCAAGAAGGGCGCTGGCAGAGCGTTTGTCGAGGAGCTTTCGAAGGCGCGGATCGCCGAGGAGCAGGAGAAGCGCAAGGCCGCGGGGTTGGAGGGCAAGGAAGTAGGTGTCGGCGCGGAGCCGTTCGTCTCGAAGTTCTTGGCGAAGTACGAGCGCGACCCTGAGACGTTCTCCATGGCGCATGTCATGGCGGGCTGCACGGCGAATATGGCGGCTGGCTCGGATACGACTGGTGTCACGCTCTCGGCTATTCTATACTTTTTACTCAAACATCCGGAGTGTCTGCGAAAACTACGCGAGGAGATCGAAGAGTATCGGGCGAAAGGAATTCTGTCTGATACTTTCGCCTTTAAGGAGACGCAGCAGATGCCGTATCTCCAGGCCGTCTTTAAGGAGGGCTTGCGGATGCACCCGGCAACAGGTCTACCCATGGAGCGAGTTGTGCCGGACGACGGCGCGACTATTTGTAATCGCTTCTTTCCCGCGGGCGTAAGCATCATCGGCCCTTCTTCTTGAGATTACCTTACATTCATTCGATTAGCTGACTGGTGCTTAGACAATTGTCGGAATCAATTCCTGGGTAGCGCATAGGAACACTGAAATCTTCGGCGCAGATGCCGACGAGTTCCGCCCGGAGAGATGGCTGACGAGCGACGGAGACAAGCTTGCGGCGATGAATCGTCAATGGATACCTGTCAGTCCTACTCTTACCAAATCTCATATATATGCAACTGACAGACATATTGTGGCCCATGTAGTTCGGCATGGGATCTAGAACTTGCATGGGTCGGCATATCTCAACACTCGAGATAAACAAACTGATCCCGCGCGTGGTCCGTGGTTTCGATTTCGAGCTATCTGCTAAGGATTCTAGGGATAAATGGTCTACTCTGAACTGTTGGTTCGTGAAGCCTCAAATGTTCGAGGTAAAGGTTAAAGCTAGAAAGCCCACTGCTGTAAGTCAAGGGTAGGTTAAGGGCTGATGGTCGGAAGCAAGTGACTCACGGCTACATTGTTCTTCCAACTGGATGAGGCTATTTCTGAGATCTACTAACACGGTATGATCAATCGACTCATATAATGCCTACTGTACAATACTGCTGCTAGGATGTCTCGTTCACAGCGTTGTAAAGCTCATGCAATATCATTTCAATTAATGAATCTACTACTCATTTTCTGGCATCATCTTATAACCTCGAGGAGGTCTTATTGCATTTCCTATTCAACCAGAAATACCTCAAAGTGCAAGATGCGCAGTCCGAGTTGCGAATCAGAGCCTCTAGCGTCTATAGGACTTGTGTGGCTATGTCCAGTAAATGTAGGTGGTGCCTATGTCAATACCTAGGTAGGATTGGTTATAGTCAGGCAGTCGCTTCAACACATAACTAATCCGGAAAATATAGCCGAATTGACATGGGCTTCTACACGTGAAGGGTAACATGTAACTTCCACCTAGACAATGGCATATCTAAACTCCCCTCTCGTTGCTGTTCTTCTTTGCTCCCGACAACTACTTCCGCAGTGCTCTTGTCTAACTCCGAGACCTAAATCTCAAGCATTGCGCTATAGAAACGAGAAAGAGTTAGCACTGATAAGTCATCGTCTACCATATCATTCGTTGCAGACTTAGTTCCAGCAAGGCCACCCTGTGCCAAGTCCTAGGCGACAGCTTCGGGGCGAGGCAGACACATACCCGTACCATACTTATCTATCTAGTATCTAGATCAACCTTGTCAATTAGCTCTTTCTGCAGATTACCATGCATGGACTAGTTGACATGAACCACTACTGTAGGAGACGGTCCGATGCGAGTGTGTGGAGACCGAGGAATAGTACTTCTTGCCTCTCGCAGTATAGGATCTTTGGAGACTCACAAACTGCTAGTTTAAAGATACTCTTTATTTACCTCTCATTTCCCAGAATTGATTTGTAGTCTATTATATAAGTGACTCAAAATGGACGAATATTTATTTTCCGAGCATCTGGCTAGATTGACGGCTATCCCAGAGCCGATGAGTTACCTTGAGATACTCAACTATTCAGTAGGTCTGAAACAAGAGTATCACCGTTCATGGGGATCTAATTCGTTATACAGGATAATAAATTCTGTTCAGTAGGGACAGGCGCTTTGAGCAACGATCAGTTCGAGGACTTTCTTGACCGAAAGGTAATGGAATCACGGTGGCTTTGCTAAATGGTTATTGATAAAACATAAACCTGACAGTTTGCTCTAGGGTTCTTACTCTTCAGAAAACGAGAATCTGGTAAACGGTATTAGGCTTATGTAAGTCTTATAGAGATTCAAGAACGACTGCCTGCTCTTTTCTTACGCATATCGGAACTCATAGTGTTCAGTCTGACCTTTCAGAGCCGGAGACGTTCGCATCAAATGTAGTGTCTCTCGAGGTGGAACAGTATGAATCTCTCATACATAAAATGAAATTACCATTCCAAGGTCTCGAAGCATCCACTGCAGTTGGTCCCTTCTTTTGGTGGTGCTTGGACTTGGATTCAGCAGACCCGAAGCTACGTAAGCACGCCCTCATTGTACCCTGAATCGAAGCGTATAGCCTAGAACATGGGCGCTGCACTGAATATATTGAAAGGACTGTGCATATTTCGTTTATGAAGAATCGTTGATTGTTAACAGTTTACCACTGCAGAGCTGATATTTCGCAAGGCGGACGCAAAAGGGAAAGGTACCACTAAAGGCTGGGAGATGATGTTGACTTACTGCTTTAAAAGCAAGATCACGTCCGGTTATGTTAAAAGTACTAGCACAACGGATATTGATCGACAAATTCAACACCTGACTGCCTGCTCCAGGCCAGTGGCACATCCGCTGCTTCTCCCTATTCTTCTCTTCCACAGTCTTTCTGCAAAGAATGACGAAGATCAACGAGACGTTCGGGTCATGATACGTGAGCTTGAGGGCGCATTAAGCCAGCGGTATCAGCAATATGCCGCTATCAGCTACGGTCCTGGGCGAGAAATCAATCTCGATTCCTTGAATCACCAATTAACGGAGTGTCAGTGCAGAGTCCTGCAGAAGAAGCCTCAGGCTTGGCGCAATGCGCTTCGGAGAATGGAAAAGGCGATGCACGCTTTTTGGGGAACTCTACACGCCCATAGCATAGAAGACGAGCCCAATCCCCAGCTCCAGATTCTTCATCGGAGTCTGCTAAGTCGTTTAGACTTCCTAGCTGGCAAGCTTGACGGCCTTGAAAACTACAGTCACGTATCCTTGGAAAGACTAAAGACTCAACGAGAAGTAGTACGTAGGTCACTTTGGGGTTATTGCCAAGTTCGAGTTCTGACTTTTGGTAGATGCTCAGTATCCTTGATCAGAGAGAGTCGCGACTTAGCCTCAGAATAGCTGCCCAGCAGCATCGCCTAGCTGATGCCAGCAAGCGAGATAGCACCTCTATGAAGACGCTGACCTTCCTAGGCTCCCTATTTCTACCCGGAACCTTCATCTCGTCTGTATTCAGCATGTCCTTCTTTGATTTCAGCAGGGGTTAGTGAATCTCCAACTCACTCCTGCAATCCTACAACGTTAGTGCGAAGTTGACATGGCTACAGACCTGAATGAATCAACATCTAGCAGCGTTTGGCTCTACTTCGTGCTCGTGATTCCGTTGACGATGTTCTTCGTCGGCCTTTGGTGGCGATTCGACCAGGCTAGGTGCAAGAAGATCGACGAGGAGGAAGAGCCTGGAGAAGAAGTGAACATGCAGGCCCTAGAGCATCATATAATTAAAGAGCTCCAAAAGAGGACAGGAGCCCGACTTTCATGGAACACCAGTCGTTCTTGGCCAGATGAGAAGCAACATACCTGACTATGCTCGATGATGATTTCCAGCAGGTCAATACATCACATAGCATGTTACATGTAGAATATACGTAAAAGCAGAAGAATACTACGGGCCTTCGTGTAAATAGGTCGGATTGACTACAAATTCGTGCAGCAGAAACCAACTATAACCTACATATCCCCAGTCAGGGTTCTATCGTGATTGTTTTGCCAGCCAGTTATGCCCAAAACCCGCTCCAGTATGTCTTGAACCGATAAGTCATCATGCCATTCCCATTTCTAGATATGACTCCCGTGAATCCCGACGAAATGAGGGAATCTCCAGTATACCGTGTAGTGAATGAATGAGTAATAAATGAATGCAGCCACCCTGACTCCCACCAGAAACGAAAACATGCAAAGTAGTCAATGGTTGTCCAATGACCCCAATTAAAAGCTGATTCGAAATATGAACAAGAAATTATCGCGACTTAACTAACAGCCGAAACCTAACTTTAAGGAGGGTTCTGATGAGTCGGGGACGAATCGGCGGTTGAAGGACCGCGACTTATACTCGCAGCCGTTTGTCCAGCTAGTGTATTGGCTGGTCCATAATGCCCATGCAACTCGACGAATTCACGCACTGTTCCTAGCGCCCTAGCGTTGCTGTCGCCGCGGGCACGATTCTGCCCGGATACGTCGCTATTTCTCCTTACATGAGTCTTGCCAGGTTGTGCGGCGCCGCTCGACTGTCGTTGCGATACCGCCTCGGCACTCTCGGATGCGTCAAGCTCTGCTTTGCCGGGAGTTCCTTCCAGCTCGCTCAAGTCGCTACGCTTTCTACCATGCCCGTATGTTCCCTGGGAGTCTACGCTTACTCGCTGCGAATTGCGCGTAGCGGCGTTATCATCCGACATTTCCGATGACGAGTAGTGAAAAAACTTGTTCCACAATGGAGGCGATGAAGTATCCGAATGAATAAAATTGTACGTGACAGCCTGTGAACTAGCTGTGTTCGACCGAGACCGTGATGATCGCGGCATAAATCGGTTCCGATGGGGGGAGTCTAGATCTGCAGTAGAGTCAATTTCGGAAATTGTAGGCTGCCCGAAGCCAGACTTGTGAGAACGAGGTTGGCTATTTGAGGATTCGCGTCGGGATTCAGCAGCCTTTTCGGCTTCTTTGGCGGCCTTCTCGGCCTTCTTCAGCCGTAATATGATGAAGACAGCTGCTACGACGATAGCGATCAACAAAACAATAACGCCAGTGACGATGCCGCCAAGGGCCCCTGAAGAGAGCCCTCCACCTCCTCCACCTCCGCTGTCACTTGTCGGAAGAGCGTCGAGCTTCGCGATCGTGCTCGGAACGAGTTGTGGAATGACAGCTGCGGACGGGGAACCCGAGGACGTAGGTGGCCCGTCTATTTTAACAGTCATACTCGTAACGACAGTAATCGTCGTATGGCCTCGCGAGTCTGTCGTCGTCTTGGTCTCGGATATTGGGAAAGTTTGCGGGGTCCCATCATAACAAACGCCCGAACCACACACCTGACCACTCCGACAGCAACCAGCACCAAGAGAAACCGCGCAAGCTATCCAATTTGCTGGGCAAGATGGAGGCTCGGAGACACCGGGCGGGGGCGAGCAGCCATCGTTATCGTTGCAAATCAAACCAACCGGACAACATGATCCTATGGATATGCATCAGCTATGTTGGCCCTATCTATCTCCAAAATGCGAAGACTCGGGGAGCCGGTAGTAGTAGCCCTTATTATTCTTTTCTTTTTGGAGTCTCATGCAGGATATTTCTGTATCGACTTACCAGCACCGAGGGTTAATGGGCAGTTGTAGTACCCAGTTTGCCCGTTACAAGAGGTTGGGCCAGATGTTGTAGCGTAACATGATGCCGTACCACATTCAAAATTGGGCGGACAGCACTATAACGTTCGAAGTCAGTCAGTTATTGCTCCCTGACTCTGTTTCTCTACTATATTCCTGGCCCAAGTCTGTATCGCTTTGCGCTCGAGGATCACTTACTCCGCCGCCAACCGATGAAGGACATAACAACCAACCGTCTACTTGACAAACAGCCTTCCTTTTCGCATGCCGGAAGGGATTCGGATTCTTGGTAACCCAATGAACCTCCCATTCTCCATCATCTTCTGGATTTGCCAAGGCTGCCTGCGCTAACATCGTCGCCATCAGTAACCCTGCACTGCCTGACCATCGCCAGAGCCCTCGCATCGCGATCTCTTGTCAGCACGAGCAGGCGACACGTGCAACACGAAGTAAGTTCATACAAGGGTCGATCGACGTCGAAAATGGATATATGTGCGAATGTGTGGTGAATGTTGATGTTATGTTCGAAGATGGCCCTTCCGTCCGGTTTACAGAGCAGACGTATTCCCAACTATGACTTTCCAGCTGATTGTCGAGCTCAAGCTAGTCTCACGAAGCTGAGAACTATCCACGGGAGTGGCTGGACAGCTGGTGTATCGTGTATCGGATGTACACTGTCAGGATGCGATGCGACAGACAAAAAGGCCATAGCTCTCAGCGCTCGTGATGACAATGGAGAAGAACCTCTCGATTCGAAGTAGGACTGATCGAGGCGGCCCATCCTCTAACTAGCTGCTAGGCTGCGAAACTTATGGGACCGAGGGAATAGATCTTTGATATCTCCAACATGGGGGCCTCCACGTAACTAGGCAAGGGTACGAAGAGGTGGGATGGGGGTCTTACGATGACAGATTCACGAGCGGAATCTTAGACTGGCGTTCTTGGCCTATGGGGAAGCGAAGAGGACGGTCACGGGTATTGCACAGCAGTTCAAGCAGCCAGTAGCAGCGGTGCCTTGCCATTGTGCTTGTCGATATTTTTACCAAGCTGAGAGTGAATGCATGTTGGCGGCGCTTCATTCCGACCCCAAGTGTATTCATGGCCCCGCCGTCAGCATCTCACCTCATGGTGATTGGGCGGGACAACACCCCATCAGGCAACGCCAGCTGCAGAGTATCGGCGTCGAGAGCGACTTGGCGTGGTCATGTCGCATTGAGGCCCATCGCTGCTCATGTATCGGCGTTCTGTTGGCTGCGCTGACTGGCTTGATGGCTGGGTTGCCACACAAATCGATGCAGCCTGCTTCTGACTATCGACCGCTGGTGCAACTCTGTGCATGCTGCAAGACATCCGGTATGATAGAGAAGACCAAGAGAAGGACGAAGGAAAGCCGGGTTTGGGGAATTTGTGTCACATTTCGAGAAGCGCAATCCAGTATATGTTCCCGGGTTGGTGCACTTGTCATACGTCTCTGCCCTGCCCGTTTTCACTGGGTATATCGGGTAAGCTTCCGGGCACGGAATGTATCTGGGATCAGAGACATTGAACCCTGAATCCCCATCGTTTGCAGATGTCTTCGACAGGAGACTGCATGATACTATAACCTGCCGGCACATCATATAGCCCATCGCCAAGGTCTTTCGAGATGGACAGTGGCTACTGACAAGGAATACCTACAATAGGCCCCGGCATAGTATTGTAGATGGTGTTCCATTGGAACTCGTATTGCGCTACCATTATATTGGTTATGTAAGGTCCACTGAGCAAATATACCATCTACTCACATTATCTTATTAACTGCCTCCATGTGTGGGTTCCTGGTCTCGGCCCTAAACGTTCCCAAATGGTCGGCTGTAAGGACTCAATTCGAGGCTTTCTTTGACGCGCGACTCCGGAGACCTGCCCAAACCGTTAGACAAGCCGGCTCATTACAATTCACCAGCCGCGATGTCCACCTGAATAGCCGACTGACATGCTTTGTACTAAAGTATATCTCGGAGGCACCTAAATGAATCTTTGATCACCAGCCTGGCGATACACGAGCCCACGGACGATAACACACAAGTGACTCCGCCAGGTTCTGTATCACGCATAGCTTTTCCTGCGATCAGGGGAGATCGGCGACTGTGCGGCTCCTCTACATCTACCCCGGTTCTTCTAAACGAACACATTCGTATTAGTAGCTATAGTCCACCAACTATTATCTTCCGTTAGTCGTATAGGTACGTAACGTCCGTTCAACAGACCCTTCAGCCTGGAACTGTTGGCTGAACTGGATGGCTTCGCCGCAGGTAAGGAATTATTGGCCAGCTACAAAGTAGAAACGCTCTTCGCCTTTATATGGTTGTACTGAATTGTCTTGGGAAGATATCGAAGTTACTATCGGGCCTTGCATGCTACCGGCCTTTCGCCATTAGTTGATTCCACCTCTGTGCGGGCGTCAACCACAGGTTCCCACTCTGTCAATTCCTCAACGTGATGACGCCCCTATATGTGGCTATATATATATCGCCTGAAACAGACGTACCAATTGTTCCTCGTTTTAGAAACTGTTCGGCCTCAATTTATCTGCCATACCTTCGTCAAGATGCCCGTCTAAATGGTGATCTAGCAAGGGGTCGGCGCGCCCAGGACAGCGCTCAACCCCGCAAGTTGATCCCCTCACGACTCAGGATACCTACCCTAACCCCTGATTTCTCCACCTCGAAAAGATCGGCTGAGCAGTGGTCACAACCCTCTGACCATTAACCCATTAGCCTAGAGGCCGGCCAGTAGGCCGGCTCTACCTTAGATCCAAGTGAATACGGTAATAAAGCCTCCCACACGTGCAGCAGAGTGCTTGATTCCCCATGCAGCGGCGCCCGTCTCCCATTCCCCATATCGGAAGACGGCCCAAAACGGAATCATGGCCACAGGGCTACTGAAATCGGTTACGGTAAGCGTCGCGCTCATCCACTTGGTACGATCGTGATATAGTCCGTCGCCTCTACCTACACATAGCCCACCTTTTTCTCTTGCTCTCTTCCTTCACCGAGAGCGTAAGGAAATGCCTAAGATGGGATTCTGATCCGTCATCCACAAGTCCCCGTCACCCCGCATCTATCGTTACACTCGGACTCGGAAATTGGCGAGGTAATACTTGTTTTTCGTAGTCGGGGTCCTGGAAATGTCGGTGGAACTGCGTCGAGACAGCTGGCAAAATGCTATTGTATACGAGGCTTGCGCCACCCAAAGCTCCCAAGAGACGATCTAGAGCAGGTTAGTTCGACCCTGATACAGCAGCAGCATTGTGAAAATTTCCCCCTTCTTTTTCAAGCTGTGGCGCTGACTTCGTGTCTGTCGCGTATTCCTCTATATCTTAAGATTCAGGGCTGACCAATAGTTGTGGTTATATAGGTTGCACTTATTGGTATGTTCAGGCAAGGAGCTCTGCACGAATGACTGACGGCATGGAAATAGACTGACAAGTCATTCCAGCAAAGAGAAAGTATGAATTTCTCCAGTATCTGGTCCTCTAAATCTCAATCTGAGTAACTGCACACTAACAGCTTTGTGAACTTAAAGAAGAAGAAATGCGATGAAAAACGCCCACAATGTTCGCGGTGTGACGAGCGTGGTGTAGAGTGTGCCTACGAGGCCATAAAACCTCGTCAACGGAGGAGGAGAGACTCAATATCCAGCTTCAGAATAAATACAAATCTAGAATGCGCTTCTGTAGAAGACACATACGAATGGGAGGGGCAGGTAATATCACCTTGCGAGTCTGCCTACTTTAGCCCTCTCGAGTCCAAAGTAAACGTATCGTCGATACCGCCTATAGTCAATGATACAGCCGACGATCTAAGTTCTCCTTCATATGAAACCGAACCCGAAGACAGTCAGTATCGAAACCACCAGCTTGTTCGAAGAAAGTCTCTTGATGCCAAAGCATTATCTCCCACGCGGTCATCATTGCGACCCGAGCTCGCTATGATCGCGCCGTGTCCCGCGAGATCTCCCTCGTTAGAATTCCACATACCAGCATTCTCGGAATTTTCAGACCGGCCCAACCGACGCGCTTTAGTTGACCATTTCTGCAACGTGCTGTCGCATCTCATCGTGTTCCGCGAGGAATCGGGCAACCCATTTCAACAGCTCGTCCTGCCACTCTCGCATAATAGCTCGCCTGTCATGAATGCTATTTACGCTTTGGCAAGCGCTCATCTGGAGAACCGCGGTGTTCAAAACCAGGAGGAATCTCTTTATTTCCATAATGAAGCGATTCAAGGACTGTCAAGAGTCATTGAAAGCCGAGTAAAGGTTGATAGAAACGAGTTACTAGCTGCTATCATGCTTCTCGTCTACTACGAAGTTGTAAGTTCTCAAAATCACATAGACCTCTCGTGAAATGAGCTCACCATTACAATTCTACTAGCTGGTACAACGAAGAAGAACGAATATTATCAATGGACACCTTAAGGGGGCATTTGCTATCATGTGTTTGAATCAAGAATTATTAACACCAGTCGGCCTCTTCTTGGAACGCGTGCGTTTTCCTGAACGATAGCCTCAAAGTTTAATCATGTCTTACTGTTACTGACGTGGTCCCAGGCCTTTGGATTCTACGATGTAATAACGGCATTATCACTAGGAACACCCCCATTATCAACAGCTCCGAGTGCAGGCGGACTATTACCAGTCCCACCACTCGACGCTCCACCCGCATCTCCTCTAACCAACGTCGACACCTTACTAGGAATGGCCACGACCCTATGGCCAATCATGCATCGCCTGTCTAACCTCCTATTCACGAAGAAGGAGCTAGAAGGTGCGCAGCGAATGAATCAGATGTCCAAAGTCGCCGTCCTTAGGACAGAGTTTGAGACAACGTCTCAGGCGATCGAAGCTGCACTGACGCAATGGAAACCTTGTCTCCCGCCGAATATTGTAATGCGAGACGACGTCCTAGTGGTCAACGGCGTCAAAGGCGAGGAAATCCCCGAGATGGCGCGACTCCAGTCCATACTACACAACGCCCTCGCATACCGCCACAGTGCATCCGTCTACCTATACCGCACAATCTACGGATATTCGCCCAAGCACAAGCTAGTGCAGCAGCATTCACACACGGCGCTGCACCATTGCGTCGAGACGACGGCGGCCCGCGGACCAATGGGTGCTTTGCTGTGGCCGTTGTTCGCGGCGGCGTGCGAGGCGATCAGCAATGAAGACAGGGAGCTCGCGAGGAAGGCGTTCAGCGAGATCGGGCAGCGGCAGGGGATGACGAACATCGAAGAGGCGTGGGGCATCATCCAGGAAGTGTGGAAAAGGCTGGACTCCCTGGACGACGATGCTGCGGCGGAGATGGACACTGATCTCTGGCGCAAGATCTGCGCCGAGAGGGGCGTGACTATTGTGTTTGGATGATGTAATAAAGCATGTCTATAACCTGGCGACTTTCGAGTACTGTAATGTTGTGTGTTATATGGGATACATTCTTGGGAAAGGGGGAAAAGTATTGGACTAGGTATATATATCAAAACTACTTGACGGGGTCTCAGGGCCGTTGAAATACCTCAATCTCGAACCTCGAAAGAAAGCTGACGGCTACTGAATTGCTTACTTCAATGGGTAGCCGACGTGTGCCTTACGATATAGACTTACGTAGTCGTAATCGAACATACTCCTGGCCGTTTAGCATCATTCGATGAGGGATCATTGCCGTGGCTGGTATATTGCTTACGTGCAGTTGATGATGATGAAAGTCAAATTGGTATGTATTAGCTAAGGCTTTCAATCCAATGAGGTGATCGCGGCACTTGGACTTTGAAATTCGTGTAGCGAACGATTCGAAAAAGAAAGAAGGGATTCAACCCTTCCTTGGGAGAAGATATATAAAATACATACCTAGAGGCCACTCCTGATATGTAGGTACCTGCTACTTGGCTGGACGTTGATACCTACCCTACAGATGTATGTACCTACCTAATCCTCTTCTTGATGGCGCCATGTATCTATACTTACCCCAGCTTTACTAGTATTACTAATAGCCGCAGTTTGCGACCATGGCCCATGGATCTCCCCTGTAGGGCGCAGTACCCTCCGCTATCTTAGTGTATCTCGACATCAATACCTTCAAAGTTCGGGTTTTCTCGTGAAGGCTGCAAGACATAGCATCGCTTATCTATTCCTGCATTCCTGCTTGGATATCTTGTGGATGTTGATCAGTAATCCTGCCCACAAGCAGACAATGAATACCTGGTAAGTGGTGCCTCGCTTGCTTCCGAGATTGACGTTTTCGGGGTACAGCATAATAATGTTAATGTCTAGGTGTAGATAGATAGCTTGAGTTTGCGGCTGCTGATGGTGATAGGTTAGGTAATATCTGCCACATACCTATGCTACTCTATGCCACTCGGGTCTACCTACATTATGAGCATGATGAACATGTATGTCTGAGCATACATCATCATGTATGTACTTACCATGTAGGTAGTGTAGGTAGGTACCGTATGTGCATTACAGGAGCAAGCTGGGGGTGCAAGTAGCGGGTCACTTCAAGGAAGTATCTAGGTACTTACATTTCGTAGGTAAAGTTTCCTGATACATGATGGCTGCTGTGTCCCCGCACCCTTCTAGAACACGGGGTGGAAAACCACTAAGGAACCTAACCGTGGTGGGCCACTGCGTATTCTAGCTACCTAGGTACTTACCCAGATACCTAGCTACCGTATGGGATTATGGGGGGTCTAGAAAATAATGTTAAAGATCATTTTCAAAGGTGAAAACCATTTTTAAGAAAAAGGGTTGCAACTTTGGAGTAGGCCTAAAAGGGTTATCGGTACAGCATAATTTTCACTTTTCAAAATGATTTTCGTTGAAAATGGTTTTCGTTCAAAATGGTTTTCATTCGAAAATGGGCTTCAATATAATAGGTACATATAAAATATAAGGGTTTTATATATAAAAGTATTGTACCTATTATGTCCCCCAGTGGCTAGCCTTTGGGATAGCGACTAGGCTTTTGGCACCTGGAAACCCTTGCCATAATCACTTTCCAGACCCCCCTTTTCACGCTACGGTACACTAACGCTATCCAGATGAAGCCTGAAACAGTCTCAAAATCCCGTGCTATGTACAAGCAATCTACCTAGGTACTTAAGATAATTGGAAGACATGGACGATCCATCTCACACCACCTCGGCGCTTCCAGCTTACCGCTCTTTACTTAGTGTACAGAGTGCCTACTATAGGTAGGTAGGTGTGCACTAGACTAATGAGCATAGCCAGTGGTGAGAGGTGCACGACGCGGCACGGCACGGCCTCGGTTAATGCATATACTTATGGAGTAGCTAGCAGGTACAGGCTAGGTGAGCCCCGCTGCCCGATCTTCTCTAGGTACTATGTATGTACTCTAAGTACAACGGCCGCCGAGACGACCCAGTTGCGTAGGTATCTATTCCCACTTCGTAACACTTGCCGTGGACACCGGGAAAATCCTGCAGGTGCTTCCCCCACACCGCTCATGCTTCTGTTAACGTGCAGCAACAGCAGCAGCAACAGCTACCTACCTACATAGGTAGGTACCTCCCTAGGCACAGTAGGTAGCTGCCAAAAAGCTTGGGGAAACATCATAGGGCGATGGCACCGTGTCAGTGCTTAGTACGAACCGAGCTCCCAATGGGATATGTAGGATTTCTACAGGAATGCAACTACAATACCCAGATGCCTAGGTACCTAGGTAGGCAGTAGGTAGGCCAGAGGTAGGCAGGCAGGTAGAGGTTGGGTTAGGGAGTTATGCACCCGTAGGCTGCGCTGGAATTCTCATCATCCTATCCCAGGTGCACCTGTTCTGCCCAGGTCTGCCCCAGGCACCCGAAAAGGACCAGTTAGCGAAGCGTCTGGTGTCCCGTCCAGGGCCGCTTGGCCGCTTGCTCGCCCCGACGACCTGCGCGAGTCCACAAAACCCCCCCGCCGCCCACACGACGCCCCAGACTAACTCGTAGGGGTTTACCTACCACGACAATTGTTCCCAAGATGGTGCTTAGCTTAGCTAGATGCGACTGACTGCCGCCTCCTCTCACTTCGTGCCCGTCGTGTAGAGAGCGCCCTTCGCAATTGTAGCTACAAGCACAGCCTGCGAGACGGAGGGGCAGAGAGCCCGCCCCAGACATCAACTGCCGCCGCTGGCGACGACGGTGTCGAAGCGGGCACCGAGCATCCGATCTCCAATTATGGCTGCTCTCGTCAACGCCCACGACGAAGCCTTGCCCACGCCCAAGCAGATCCGATTCATCAACAATCAGGGTCAGCCGCCCACCAAACGCCGGAGAATCAATGCTGCATGCCTGACTTGTCGTAAGAGGAAGACCCGGTGCGCAGGCGAACATCCCACCTGCTCGACCTGCGATAAGAATGGACACTTGTGTCTGGGTTACTCTGACACCGTTGAGAAGAGGAAGGACTCGGCCACCAGAGGACCAGGCTCTGGCCTTGACGGTGCCCAGGCCGACCACAACGGTGAAACTGACGATTATTTTGATGCTGATGTCGACCACGAGTCCGACTCGAGACAATTCAAGGATGGCCGGAATGGGGTCAGAGCATCCGAAAATGTGGATGGAGCCTCGGTCGTTTCCAGTCGTACGTCCGACACACCACAGGACTACGCCACACCTGCTCTGCCGATGAAGTCGGAGTCGATAGATTGGGAGGACGTCCATTCCCAAAAGTCGCAGACGACCCCACGGCATGAAACCTTGGCTACGCGAACGCCGAACCCGCGTCAGTCGTCCTTCTCAACTGACGATGGTCGTAGCCCCAACAGCCGCTCACCGATATTGCATCATAACGACAGTGGCCATCGAGTTCCGTACTTTCGCTATTTTGGCCCGACCGCCATTCTCCCTGGGTTCAAGCAGATGGTCGTAAAGATCCGTGGCAGACGGCGCAGTTCCATGTCTGCTACATCCCCCAGCACCACCACCTCTATCCACGCTGGTCTCCTGTCGACCACACAGCCAGACCTAGATCTTGGGCACATTGAAGATATCCCTTTTTATGATATCAACGACCCAAATCCCGTGCATCCACTAATCCTCAACCTTGTTGAAACATTCTTTCTTCGCCTAGGAAGTAACTATCCCTTCCTCACCCGCCATAAGTTTCCTCTTCTCGTGAAAGAGAAACGCGTCGAACCTATCTTAGTAGATGCAGTATGTGCTTTAGCTGCACGATTTTCCGATATTAGCCTGTTCAAGAGATGGAATGACGGAAAGCTGGTCAAGTCTGAGTATGGCCAAGCTTATGCTCAGCGTGCGAAAGCTGCGACTGTAGATTCATTTGCCTGTCCATCAGTTGCCGCCGTCCAAGCGTGTTTGTTGATGGCATATGACGGATTCGGTGCGGATCAAGACAGTGCACTGTGGATGTATCTAGGTATTGCTATTCGCATGGCTGTTGATCTGGGCCTTCCGAGAGAAGACGGCGTCAAGTACCATGGCCCCGAAGATCCCTGGTATGCACGTTTGCATGAGCGGCCAACTGAATCATTCGTTGAAGGAGGCCGCCAGGACGGCGAGGAGCGTACATTGACTCAGGTGGAGCAGAAGGAAATCGAGCAAGAGCGCATAGACACGTTTTGGGCTGTCTTTTTCCTCGACCGGGCTATCTCGTCTGGAACTGGGCGGCCAGTGACTCTTAGAGACGACGACTTTGATTTGAGCCTTCCAAAGGCATCCCTTTCCCCGAGTTCGGGGTGGCCTAATCCATACGCTGCACTGCTTCATATTATTCATCTGTATGGTCGGGTATCAGATGTTTTGAACAATATCAAACAGCCAAAAGACTTGACGAAAGACAAACTCCATCGACTTGTAGTGATGGAGAATGAATTAACGAAGCTGCACCAGAGAATGGACCCACGTCTTCGATTCGATGCCAACAACTTCCAGGCGCATGTGAAGAACGGAAATGGTACAACGTTCATACTGCTTCATTTTTGGTTTCACGCCCTCATCATCGTACTCCATCAGCCAACTCTGCTCACATCGCAAGGAGCCATTGATCGCAAGCATCAATTGAAGGCCCATAGCCGAGAGCTATCAATGTCAAGCGCCAAAACTATTGCTGACATTCTGGCTTTTGCTGAATTGCTGGATCCGAGATGCTTTATTGGTAACCCTTTCACCTCACAGCCGATTTATATTGCGGCGTGCGCATTTCTTCTCGAGTCCAAAGCCAACTCGTCCAATCCTGATTCAAGGAACACTTCTCCACAACCAGTGCACAAGAACTTAGTGCCCAAAACAGTAGATCAGACCAATGGACCATCGAAGCACTTATTATTAGCGTCGGCGGCCCTTCAGAACTACCAATTATGCTACAAAGCCCTCAAGCAGATGCACGCTTATTGGGGCGGTGTTCGCTACATTCTCAATGTCCTCGACCAGAAGTCCCACGGGGAATGGGACTGCGAGACATTCACCACGGAAGAATATGAGAGTACTAAGAGGATTAGAAAGGACAACCTCTCCCAGAAGTTCGCCAAGAAGAATGAGTTCCCAAGCTCTCCTTTGCCTGAAAATGGCCCACCCCTCGCATGGTCTCTTACGGGCACGACCAATTCGCCTAACTCAAGCCTTACCCTCCTCTTCCAGAGCCCTATAAATGCAACTGTGGCGCCAAATCACCAAACGCAACAACATCAAATGTTACAGTCTCAGCAGCAAAACTCCGCCCCAGCGACAGCTCCCACGCCACCTGGCAACATGATTTATGACCCCATTCGCCAAAGTCTTCCTGAGCCCTCCTTGTACCCACCTGCTTATCCACAACCGAACACGTCCGCCCTACGAGACTCTGTGCGAGTTACGTCGTCGACACCTCGGAATCATTCGCAACTACGATACGAAAGTCTTAATCAAGATGGCGCAACTAAGATTCCTCAGGATACTAAGCTAGCAATTAATTCGGTGGGACCTCAAGGACCTGCTGGCACCACTACTGGACCATACACATCAAATGGACCGCCAACGTCAAGTTATGAGTCACAAGGCTACCTCCCGGGAGCATCACCACAAAATACACAAAGTCCAACCCAACCTTTTGGAGGTAGTAATAACCAGGCCATCTTGGTGAATGCCGCCTTTACTGGAGACAGCGGACCGTCGACTTTTGCGTCGAGTGGCAGCGGGCTTGCTGCTAGCGGCTATTATGGCGCCCCAGGGTCTGATCTACACCTCCTCACATATGACAATGAAACGGACATTGGACAGCATCTGACTAGCTTTGAACATACTGAGATGATGAGCTGGTTTGGAGATTACTTCCCTAGCGACGTTTTCGGCTTGTATACTGGCGAGTCGAGTATGGGATAATTGAGTTGCATATCTACCACTTCGTAACTGTTGACAGTTATCATGCAAGCGATGTATTTTTGTTGTCATTTTACAGGCGTCGGCGGCGGCGTGTTTATTCCTTTCTACATTTATCCAGGTTGGTCGCGGGACCCGCCTGTTGCTCATGATTAATGAGCGTGGGTATCACTTATGACCAACACACACGAGATCAGCGGCTTTGGAGACTTCAATATTTCGTCTCCCAAATTCACTTCGATTTGATACCCCTTACGCGAAATCATCGGCGATTTCTTCTTCCTTCTTGTTCCTCGAGAATTGGGCTGGCGCAAAGAGGTAGCGAGAACAACACAGGTGGCAGCACTGCATTATCTATCCATGAATCCAAGGCATATATTTATATATTTATAACGTTTCTTTGTCCTTCCAACATTCCTAATGGGGAAGAACAGTCAACTACGAAAGGACGAAGCGACTAAAAAGGGGTTGGGAGGCATTTAACACTTTTGGAACTCTTTTTCCTGGGTTCTTTTCGTCTTCTTGGATGGGTCCTTTCCATCGTTTCCCCATCCATTACTATATCGTATTGCACACGTCTATGTCTAATGTTGCTCCGCGGCTGGCATAGTTCCCAGACTTTCTTTGGATTCATCGCGCATGCAATCCATCAATCTATCTGTTGTCGCATCTGAAGCTCAGATGTTTTTTTTAACGTTTCGTTGTAAATATTTTAGCTGATATGAAGTGTTATGAAAGCACTAGATTCTTCTCCTCTCACGTTTCGTCACTTGAAAAGAGAGAGGGAGAAGAGAAGAGACAAGGGTACAAACACGCAAGGAAAGGACGTGAATGGAATGGATTGGATTGGCATAGCGCTGGGTGGGAAGGAAAGATGGACGGGCGAGCGGGCGGCTTTGTCAGTCAGTTTTATCGTCTTAAAAGTATACCTACCTACCTGCCTACTTACCTATCCTCCCGATCTACTTGGATCTTCTCGTCATATAATGAGGACTCTCGTCACATATGACTTGTCATTATATATATTATGAGAATGATATATGTGACTCAGCTTTCTCGCTTCATGACTCCCGCGATCCCTTTTTCGATTAAGGTGTTGTGTTAAATATGCAATTTAATGGTAATATTGGATGTATGCTAGATTAGTAGAGTCATTAGTACACCAACAACACAGAACGAGACATCACCAACTGAGTATCAAGAAAGCCCGTGTATGCAATTCATTGTATTAAGACGTTCCTATTGCAAAGCATGCCAATTCCAGATAATAAAACGAGCGAAGAACATACGTCGCAAAAAGGACAGCATGCAGTGGCCATTCCGAAATCCTCACATCATCATCACCACTACTGTTTCCGCCAACCACCAGACCACGAAAAGAGTCGTGTCACAAAAGGAACCATCCCCACGCATGCAGATGCCGGGTATGGACAGTCCTATATTTACCGGCAATTCTAAAACAAACAAATTCTTTATCCGGGATCAGGGTTGGGCATTAGGTGATGAAGATGAAGAAGTTGAGGAAGCGACAATTCTTGAGCATCTCATATAAATCCGTCTCACACACATTTGCTAGGAATGCGGCAGATAGTTCTCGAGCGACAAATCGATAGTGCGAGCCCGAATACGGGAGAGTGATCCAAACCGATCAATTCATCTATCGATAGTCGAATTATCTGTATTTATTCGCAGCCAAAGTGACAGAAACATGCATGCATCCCGCATTTACTATCCCGGCTATTGGCATATTCGTATTGCTATCGGGTCCAGAAAATTGAGATTGGTGGCAGGAGCATCTTTGTGCGAGAGGGTATCATGAAGAGAGAGCTCGAGCTTAGCAGCAGCCACCGCTGGAGGGGTTGGCAACGTTGTGACCAGGACCAACCTGCACACCGGGCTTGGTGTTAGCAGTGGCTTGTGAGCCCTGGCGCTCCTTGATCTGTCGGGCCATGGTCAAGAAGGCCTGCTCAACGTTGGAAGCGTTCTTAGCCGAAGTCTCGAGGAATGGGATTCCGAGGCTATCAGCAAACTCCTGTAGGATTTGTTAGCAAGGCCGCTGCTTGAATGGAGCATTTCCGAAGTTTATGCATATGCATTCCATACCTTAGCAACCGTGTACTCGACAACCTTCTTGTCAGACATATCGCTCTTGTTGCCCACTAGCAGCTTGTTGACGCCTTCGGTGGCGTAGCGGTCAATCTCCTGGAGCCATTGCTTAACGTTGTTGAAGCTGTCCATATCGGTCACATCGTAGACGACGCAGATACCGTGGGCGCCGCGATAGTATGAAGATGTGATGGTTCGGAAGCGCTCTTGGCCGGCAGTGTCCCACTAATAGAATCCAGTGTTAATTGCAAGATGCTTGCGTTAGGCAGTAGTTTCTTACGATTTGTAGCTTCACCGTCTTGCCATCAAGCTCAATAGTTCGGATTTTCTGCATGTCTGTCAGTATGTATTGCGTTCATGGGTGCAAAGGACGCTGGCGGCAAAGGCAGGATGACGTACGAAGTCAACACCGATAGTGGAAATGTAGGATTCCGTATAGGTGTCATCGGCGAATCGAAGGAGCAAGCAAGACTTTCCGACACCGGAGTCTCCGATGAGGAGAAGCTTGAAGAGGTAATCGTATCTATCAAAGTGCGGGATCAGTTTATGTTCCCGCTTAAGTACCTCCTGGAGCTTTGCCTGATTCTCGTAATGCTCCAGGCCAGGAATATAGAGCTCGCGAGAAGACATGGTGGACGATGGTGATGCAAAAAAGCGTGTTGTGTATGTATGCAGCAGCAGTGACTGATAATGCAACTGTGTGTGGTAGGAGAAAAGGTGTAGAAGGAGAGGAGGAGGCAGGCCACAGCACCATGGCAGAAATGCAGCTTAAGCAGTTGAAGACGAGGGGCGCAAGTAAGAGCAAACAAGAGAGGCGAGGGGTGAGGGAGCCCGGAGGCGCCCAAGGAGGGGTAGACCCTGTCGGCGCCAGTCAGTGATTGAAGCCATCGTGAAGGGGGGACACAGGGCAGGTTGGATGGCCCCAGAGTCCGGGATGGTACGCACTACTCGGGATTCATGGTGATGGTTGCAGCGGTCGAGGGAGACAGCGGACAGACAGGAGGCGGCAGGTAATCAACAATTAAATCTAGAAGACTAGCGCCAGTATATGACTGCAGGCTGGAATCGAAGGGCACAACAACTTGGCTGTGGCCGGGGGAGGTTGTGATGTTGTTTCTGATGTTGATGGACGATGATGTAGAAAGAAGAATTAAGACAAGGCGTCGTTGTAGGCTACGGTGGTTGTCACAGATGGGTTCAAGGGGTGTTGGAGGGCCGGCTTGGTCACGCCAAACCACTAATGGACAAGACAGGGCTCCACTAGGCGGTACATTGCCGCTAGGGACGCACCACAGCGCACCCAGCGCACCGTAGTTTAGACGTTGGCAAGTACACAATTACCTGATGGAGGTCCTTGTGATATGTAACACACGCACACAGGTACATACACCAGTTCTGTCGGTACCTAGACACACCTGCAGTCTCTGCAAGCTCCTGATTTGTGGTGCAGACAGGCTGTCAGCGGCACGGACTTGCGCGCCTCACTGAACACCACCAGTAACTGACCAGTAGGTACTACGTACACATGGAGGAACAAGGCAGTAGTAACATGTAGATAAGGCACTGACTGGGTGTATCTCTATGTACCTGCCATCTTACTTGGGGGAAAGCATAAGCCAAAGTGTAGTTACGGTAAATGCTCTTAAATCTCCATTATCTTCTCTCACCCAAACTACCATGTATTATACCAACTTACTAAACTAATTCACATGCTATTAATGGATACAAAGGGCAAAGGATAGACTGATGGATAGACAGACAGAAATAAAGAAAGAAAGTCACGTAGGACTGTGGTTTGAGTGACTCTTATCTCAGAGTTGCTCACATGATGCGGCTACAAGTTCTATATTGTGTCATTGTCCTGTATCACGCGCATACTGTACAGTAAAGGTATTCGTAGTCATCTAGATAACCTATCCCCCTTCGAGTTACTGTATGGTGCATCACTGATTCCAGCTCTTACATAAGGTTCATGACGCAAGGTATATCTATATTTCCTATCACACAGGCCACCATAGGTATGTACCTACATGAGCGCAGAAAGAAGGTTATATCTTACCATAGCTGCAGTTTACGTGGCAAGTAGATAGGCAGGTAGGTAGACTTTTGTAATGGACAATTGTATTTATTTGATCAAATATTACCTATGTACCTATATAATTCAGGGCCAGCTAGTAGCCATCTAAAGAGGTAGAAAACCTTACCAAATCTTTCAAACACCCTCACTGGACGTGCTAGGCATTAGATAAGTAATTCGCATTTAAAAAGACTACCTACGTACCATCAACCCTGCCTCACCGCCGCCCCAACTACCTTACCCAGATTCGGACGTGACAGCGGGGAGAAACGTTTCGTTTCGTTTCGTTTTGTGGTGGATCACCCACGCTAAGAAGTCCTGCTCCGACGGCTCGGTTCAAGCCTTGTCTCTGGAACTACCTACCTCCGTACAAACGTGACATTTGCGTACACAGTCCGAAGAGAGACGAAGAGGGAGATCCCGGTTACATCATACCTCTTCCGACCCTTGCACCATTTCTGTATCAACCTGTTGCCGGCATACCTACTTGGGCCTGCCTAGATACCTGTCTACCTGTATCTTGATAGCGCACCTCCTACCTAAAGTATTCCCTACCTAACGACTGACCTAAGTAAGAAAAAAAAATAAAGTCTAAATCGTCGTCATCTTTCTCTCAATTGAAACCGATCTGACCTCCAGCCAGCAATATTATTGCAAGGCTCAGTCCTTCTAACTCCCCCTTCCCAATCGAAGTTCATTCATGCGCGAATCTAATCCCGCCGTGGCGGCCCAGGACTCATGTCCCTAAGCAACACCAGCGTCGGTGTTGCACGCTCGTCAACCCACTTTCTGAGCTCGACCGCTTCTTCCCTCGCTCGAGTCACTATACCCAGCAATGCCACTCCTCGCTCTCAGATATCTTCAACCCGGTCGATTAAAGCCCCTGCGTTGACATCGGTGACGCCGTCACAGTCGTCACTGACGCCGATATGGTTCAATTCGACGAATCCACTCTTCGACCAGCCGATGCAAGGTAGCAGTAGCTCGGCACAGCCCGACAGCGAACGCAAGGTGAAGCTTGGAAAGAGTAAGCAGAGCCTACAATGATCTTTGATCTTCTAGCATTGGACAGGGAGTTCTAATGATTGGCAACAGCTCTCCGCATAATCCAAGAGCGTCTCCCAACGCTCCTACAATCGCCCTTACCGCAAGAGATCCTATCCCCCAACATCTCGCTCCACCTCTTCCCCTCCACACACCCGTACCTGCCCACCGTCTCAGGCAGAGTAGCATACATCGCGGCGCTCTGGACCTCTCCAATCGCATGGAACCGCGTGCCCATCGTCGGCAACGTGCGCCTCGAGATATTATCCGAGCGCATGGTCAGCCAGCCAATGCACTTCTCGCCGCGGCGGCCGGGGGCCTACGGCGAGCAACTCGTGGTGAAATGGCGCACAGCCTCATCTTCCTCCAACACCGACAGCAGCGACCCCAAGCCGAGCCTGACGGAGCAGGGCGAGCAACGGCTCGACGCACATCTGCGCGGGTCCCAGACCGCCAGCGAGAAGAAGGCCTTCACGGGGCTTTTCGTCTTCGAGTTCGACAAGGACGGGCGCATCATCAGCCACACGATCGAGCACGTCGACGAGCACGGCGAGTGGGAGAAGGGCGTGGGCGCCCGCGTCGTCGGGCTGACGGACTGGTTGCTCGGCGGCATCAAGGGCCGCGGGGACAGCGGGGGCGGGCTCCCCGCGCTATGCGAAATCGCTAGCGACAGGCATTCCGGAAAGGGGTCATGAATCACGATTGAGGCATGTAAGTGTGTAACAACATCAACGAGGCGTTTTACGGAAACTTGGGTGTGTGTAGCATTATTCTGGGTTTTGGGCTTTAACGCATATTCCGCTTCCTAAAAAATGCGCGAGACGCAGATAAGATCAGAAAAAGGAGGGCGCAACAAGGCAAAGCAATTTTTGTACAAATACGTTCACCACTCAATCCTCACAAGGAGGTGTAGAATACAGATAACTCTCTCAAATGCGAGAAATTATTACTAATTACACTTGTCCGGCGGATTACATTTGGAAGACTCCTTGATTCCTTCTTCATTACGCGCCTGGCCTTGTTATGCCAGTGTCTCCTTTTCTAGCCCTTTGCTTGCCCTGCTTCGAGGGCGTTGCCACCATGAAGTCGTAGACGTGCTTCTCGAGATCCTTCTCTCGGATCAGCGAGAATTTCAAGTCTGCTAGCGGCGATGTGACGATGGCGCCTCGGTACCAGTCCCGCCAGATCTTTTGCACGACATTCAGAGTAGTGGCGTTCGCAGTGGTACTATCAGTGTTGGTGCCGGGATTAGCGGCAGTCGCTTCGGCTACGAGCGCCGTCTCGTTGCCCATCAGCGCATGCGTCCATTCGTCGCGCTCGGTCACGCACACGAGGACCTCGGCCGCGGCATCTCCTGCTTGCGTCGCGGCGGGGAAGCGGTCGACGACGTGGAACAGCGCGCCGAAGATCTGCTGGCCGCCCGTCTCGCCGTAGCGGAGGGCGCTGAAGGACACTGCTGTCTTGCGCACGCGGCGCGCCGTCTGCGACGGGATGAAGTACGTCATGGGGCTGTTGAAGCCGAAGCTGTCGCAGGGCTCGAGCTCGCCTAGGAGATACACGGCGTCGAGGTCGAAGTTGAACCAGGTGCGTGGCGGGGAGCTTGTGCGGCGTTCTATGACTGTTTTGTTTTCTGGTGTTGAGTCTGTTCTACCGTTGTTACTGCTGTCTAACACCGACGTGGTCGTTTCAGGTAAGGGGCCTAGGAGGTCGTGGTAGGAGCTTATGTGAGATGAGGATGTCGCGGGGGAAGGGTTAGGAACTTCTGAGGGTTTAGGTAGAGGACCGGTATACTGATTAAGAGGAGGGGGACTAGGAGGAGTTAAAGGGGCGAGAGCCGGGGATCTCGCGGGAACGAGGGTGGGAGGACGCATGTCGGCGCCGGCAAGCACCCGCGGTACCTTCCATTCGAAGCTCAGCTCATAGTGCTTCAGCGCCAGCGCCCGCGTCTCGCGGCTCACGTGGAGGAGTACCGGGATAGAGGGCCTGATGACGGGGCGCGAACCCAATAGTTCGTCGCGCTGCAGCTCAACGGAAGATGCGCCGTCTTCTAGATAGACTGATTTTCATGATGTCAGTAAGCAAGTAAACGAAGGAAGATATATGGCTGGCGTTGCGTTCACGATGTGAGGACTTAATTGGGGAATAGGGGGAATTCGGTGATATTGTCTTGCGAGTATGTCCACTATGTATAAGGAGATGACTTACGACATGCTATTCCCAAGATCCTTGGCGCTATCAGGTACTCCCAGACCTTAAGACGGAGCTCCGCAGGTAGAGCGGAGAAGAGGTGAAAGGTTGGGTTGTGTGCCTTGTGCCATGCTGTCAGCGGCATGATCTGAACGGCGTCTGTCTCAAGGCCATCGCTCAGCAGCCGGAACTCAAGCCAGAAAGTTGGCTGTGTGAAGGGATATCGCATGATGAAGGATTGCGAATTATCTCGGACAGAATGCGCATCCTTAGGTATTATTTCATCAATACACCAGCCCTTTCGTGCTATGATGTGCTGATAAGCCAATTATCAAGCTGTTGGCATAGTGAGGTATGTGTAGATAGACGGATGCTGGCGCCGTGATCCTATTCTTCTATCAGGATGCGGTCTTATCTTGACACTGTAGGCCGAGGGAAGGCGCGGCAAACTAATGACACGGGCAATCAGGTCTTGCCGTCGCGGAAGACGCCTTCAAATGAACATGCAACACTTCTCAACTACGTAGATATATCAGTGCCCATGCTTCCGCGCCGATAGGGATGGATCCATGCGATTATCCGCTCTGAGGTTGATAGATGCCGGTGCACAGAGTTGGACGCAGGTTGGAGGAAGCGGCTACCTGTCCGGCTTGGCATCCGATACACTCCCCGATAAGGTCCGCCTGACCCGGCTGGGACGTGCAAACCTCAATTGCATTCTTGTGATCTCGTGTGGAAGATGCTTGGTCTGAGCTTGTTTCCTTATTCAGTTGCGTGTGGTTGAATTAAAGATTTTATTAAATAATACAAGTCGAAAGAGGATCATTGGCATTGTATCCAAACCCTGTTGAGCTGCCAACTGCGTATCTTTATCGAGTTTACAACTTGAGCGGCAAATAGAGCTGCGTCCGAAACAGCAAAAGAATTGGGCATTAGTTCTAGTAAGCTGTGTTATAGTGAATCCGATGGCAGCACATTGATTGTTAAGGCATTGGAACACTAAATACCTACCTATCTATGTACCAAGCGACTTGACATTTGAAAGGTATAAAACGATGTACCCGATATGCTCAGTCAAGAATTCACTATGGCGAGGCCTGAAGTCGGTATGTTTGGAACACCTACTGCTTACTATTATAAAAGGCAGGAAGTAGACACAGCCATAATCAATCACGAACCAACATGTGATTGAACTCATGATTTGTAGAGCGTCCCTACGTTCTAGTATTGCAAGGTTGTCTTCCAGACTGATGCTAGCTTCGATGATGTCAGGACGTTAGCCAAGACTTGCATCATGCCTTCTCTCCAATTGGGAGAAATACGTCCACAACCAACGAATCACCCGGAAGTGTGTAGCCCACCCGCCGCTGTATCTCGCGTCGCGAGGTAGACGACTCTGAGTACTGCCCCTACTTGCGAAGCATGCTCTCGGCTGGCAATACTATCTATGCACCGCGATCTTGAAGCGAAGCCCGAGGACAAGGTGCACCCAAGGTCCTCCAAGAACTGGTCATTCGATTTCTCCTCCTCCCAAGTCGCCAAGGTTGGTGACGCTCCATTATCTTGCGCAGTCTGGGGAAGTTGGGGAAAAGCCAAGTCGCCCTTATGCCCAATGTTCAATTTACCACTCTGCACTACCAGGACAAGACTCTGCCCATCTAAATCTGGTCTCGGACTAATGGATTCCCACAAACATGGAACGCCTCCACGCCCGGGAAGCGATGAGTTGGGGTGCAGGTGTAGCCGTTTGCATCAAGACACAATAAACGGGGCACTGAATACCTAGGGTCCGGTCCCGCGTCCAGTTCTGCTACCCCTAACAATAACTACGTACTGTATGTAATCAGAGACGATCTATTACACGTGCAGAGGTAGGTAGGTAGTCTCACGATGCCGAACCTGTATTACTCACTACCCCGTGTATAAAATCCTACCGGAGATAGATGCTCACTGATGGGCAGGACAGTGAAGAGGTACCTACGATAGCCTAACCTATATAGCGACATGCTAAGTATACGGGGCATGCCCTGGTCTGACGGTTGACCTGGGGTTAACCCGCCCAGCTGGTTTCCTTCTGGGGAGATTCATGGAGATTCATGGATGCTAAAGTGAACCCCACCTCTCGTCCAGGCCCTGTCACGAGCCCATGCATTTCAGGTTACATCATTCCAGCTATGATTGCTCGTCGCTCACACGCTGTCAGCGCTCAAGCTGAGCGCGCTGTCTCCTCCCACTAGGTCACTCAGATCCCAGTCGGCAGGTATATGTAGTCTTAGATGCCTCTGGATTCCCGACAACTCTATCTTGCAAAGCATATCGATCTGTATCCGGGAGAGACAGGATCTGGACAGGATTACCGGCCTAAAAGCGGACTACGACTGTTCGCGCCACGCACTACTGTCGCACCGGTGCCAGCGCCGATGGGAAGAGCCCTCCGGTCTCCTCTCGCTACTCTCCCCTAACCTAGTACGTGGGTAAGTACTGCGCAGGCAGACGAGGCTCGTCGAATGCGCCGTTCCTCCGAACGTGTCCAACCAAAGCACATCCACTTGCCCGAAAACGACCCACGCGAGACTACCACACATCCACAAACCCTCTCCTCACGCTCCAGATCCAGATCTACGGCCCAGTTGACGGTCCATCGACCCTGCAGCCAACGACATCTCGCACGGTCCGCAGTCGTCATTCCTCGTTGCTGTTGCAGCACAGCTCGGGTGGGGATGCTGGCCGATGAACTACCTTTCTTCATCTTATCGTTGCTTTCTTACGTACCTAGGTAGGTAACAAGTCCAGCAGTGAGACCTGGGTCATGCTGCGGATGAGTCGCCCCTTGGCCTCATGACATACACTCCAACGGGAAGGCGGAAGAGTAGTATTAGGTATCATCTTCTTCTTCATCCCAAAATTCCCGAGCATTACCGCAGTTGCCGAGTCATATACTCTCCTCCTGGCTGCCAATTCACACTCCTCCAAAGAGAAGACAACGAGTGTGTGTGTCTTTTGTGTTCCGTGTGCTCGTAACATCATCTCCTCGCTTCGTCACATACTCCGCTCTCCATTCTCCAGTCTCCATTCTTCGGCCTCACTCGCCTAGTAAGTGTCAGACCACCTCCATATTAGCTACCACTGTGGGTGGATTGGCTCGGTTATCTTGTTTCAAGGTATGTTATAGTTTCCCTTTGCCCTCTAGTCTACGAAGGACCTTTATGCAAGACTCTCTCGGCAGAATGCGCCAGGTTGTCGGCGCTCGTCATAGTCTTGTGTGTGTGATTTCGGCCGGTTCTGCGGATGGAGAGCTAGGCCGCCATGCCACCTGGGTCCAATCATGTTGCTTGGCTGCATTTTTGTTCGACGCGATAGTCTTCCCCAGTATCAAGCCCGCCAGCTGCACATGTGATAATGGGTCCCTCGCCCTGAGCTTGTCTTGCGGCTTGGGAAGCTTTGCCGCAGATCCACCGGCCTAGCATGCCATCGGTCGGCCTTGCTATCCCATCTGTTCCTTTTACCGTGCTATAGACGATTTATAGCCGTCTCGCTCATCTAAACTTCCCTCACTCTCTCTTCCTCTTCGCATGGTCATATCTCATCAAGGTTGACAACCACCATACCAAATATTAGCTCCCCAGTGGGGATTTCCATGGGATGCCCGTTTATTGTCTTCACGATTGTCACTATTTTTACCGCACAGCTCTGCGCGGCCTAAACGTCTGCACCTCTGTCTCGCCTTTATACGCTTGATGGCCTCTTGAGCAAGCTGACAGAATGCCTACCCAAGTCCGAATATTTGCTATGCCAAAGTCCCTGGGTGAGACTCTGGCATCAACGACATCTACTGCCTCTATCACTTCTACTACTTCTACACCTACGTCACTACCTAAGCCTGCAGAACCCGTCAACGGCAAGACTCCAAGTCTTAAAGTGCCACCCAACATGTCTGTAGGAATGGCCATACCTGAGGAGTCGAAGGACGGCGGCATCACATTTGCTGGCCAGGATGATCTACCCAAGTTACCCATCCCTGAACTCGGCAGCTCTTGTCGGAAATATCTCGCTGCCCTGCGGCCTTTACAGGGACCTCGCGAGCATGCAGAGACAAGGCTGGCAGTTGAGGAGTTCTTGAAGTCAGATGGCCCAGACCTTCAAGAAAAACTTCAGAAATATGCGCTCGGGAAGAGCAGCTTCATAGAGCAATTCTGTAAGTGAGCGTGGTATAATACATTCAGTGGCATATTACTGATCTCACGTATAGGGTACGACTCATACCTGAATTTCGATAATCCTGTTGTTCTGAATCTGAACCCGTTCTTCTTATTAGAAGATGACCCAACACCTGAAAGAAACAATCAGGTAACCCGCGCAGCATCACTTGTAGTCTCAGCACTAGAATTCGTTCGGGCGGTGCGCCGAGAGGAACTGCCCCCAGACAAGATTAGGGGGAAGCCTCTTTGTATGTACCAGTATTCGCGACTTTTCGGAACGGCCCGCGTACCTACAAATCATGGCTGTCAAATCGAACAAGATCCCGACTCGAAGCATATCGTTGTGCTTTGCCATGGTCAATTTTACTGGTTTGACGTGCTCGACGATAACTCCGATTTAATCATGAGTGAGCGAGACCTTGCTATCAATCTGCAGACTATTGTCGATGATGCAGTCCAAACCCCGATCCAGGAGGCTGCCAAGGGGGCACTCGGAATCCTCAGTACGGAAAACAGAAAGATCTGGTCTGGTTTAAGGGAGGTATTAACGAGGGAGGAGCACTCCAATAATGCAGACTGCCTTGGAATTGTGGATTCTGCTCTCTTCGTACTCTGTTTAGACTATACTGAACCTGCAACGGCAGCCGAGCTATGCCAAAATATGCTTTGCGGTACAAATGAGGTGGTAAAGGGTGTCCAAATCGGGACATGTATCAATAGATGGTACGACAAGCTTCAGATTATCGTCTGCAAGAACGGCAGTGCAGGAATCAACTTTGAACACACTGGTGTCGACGGCCATACAGTGCTCCGCTTCGCCAGTGATGTTTACACAGACACCATTCTCCGATTCGCCAGATCGATCAATGGGCAGGCGCCGAGCCTGTGGAAAACTACCAGCCCAGATCCTTCGAAACGAGATCCCGAGAGCTTCGGGGACGTCAACACCACCCCTCACAAGCTTGAGTGGGACATGATACCGGAGCTTAACGTTGCGGTACGGTTCGCCGAGACGCGACTGGCTGACTTGATTAGTCAGAACGAGTTTGAGTGCTTGGACTTCAGTGGTTATGGCAAGAATTTCATTACGTCAATGGGATTCTCGCCCGACGCATTCGTACAGATGGCATTCCAAGCTGCCTATTACGGACTTTATGGAAGGGTAGAATGCACATATGAACCCGCCATGACCAAGGCCTACCTTCACGGCCGAACTGAGGCTATTCGTTCCGTGACAGATGAATCCGTCAACTTTGTCCAAACCTTCTGGGCTGACAATCCCGCCGAGACCAAGGTTGATGCACTTCGGAAAGCGTGTGAGCAGCATGTGAGCAGCACCAGACTATGTGCCAAGGCCGAAGGGTGTGATCGCCACCTGTACGCACTATTCTGCCTATGGCAAAGATATGTAGATGAACAGACCAGCCCTGGGCCAAGCAGCGATGGATATTCAAGCCCTACAGATAACGGCTCCGCCCTTAACTCCGTCGTAGGAAGCCCCCGCAGCGACTCCATATCCTCGATGGATATGGAAGTGCGGTCGCACCGCCGAGTCGACAGCACAGGGTCCAACTCCCGGGCGCGAGATCTCCACCCTGTGCCGGCCATATTTGCCGACCCAGGCTGGGACAGGCTGAACACGACAATCCTGTCAACATCGAATTGCGGGAACCCGTCACTGCGACAATTCGGCTTTGGCCCTACATCTGGAGATGGTTTTGGCATAGGTTATATCATCAAGGACGAAGGCATCAACATCTGCGTCTCGAGCAAACATCGGCAGACCAAGCGTTTTATTGATACGCTTGAGAGTTACCTGCTTGAAATCCGCCGCATATTACGCATTACGGGCCGGAAGGCGGCCAGCGCCAAGCAGACGCGAGCCCGTGAGATCGATCCATCTAAGATGAAGACCAGTAACAGGCTCAAGGCCCGCGGACGTATGATCACGGGATTAGACAATAACGCCATGCGCTTACGGTTAGCGAACGGGTCGTCCACCGGGACACGGTCGCCGACTGAAGAGAGTATGTTGATGAGCGATGACGAATTAGGTGGATGTAAGTCTTGTTTTCTATAATAGTCCCTCTAACACAACCACTGCAGAGCTTTTGCTAATACATACTTCCTATGCAGATGGCTTCTTCGACGCTGGAATGCTCCTCCAGGCGCTCAAGGCCCGTGGCGAAGCTTTTGATAACGGCGAGGCGAAACCCTCGGAGCGCGCAAGGAGGAGGGATATAGGCAAAAAACTACGGCTCGCTGAATATTAATATGAATAGGTTGGGCTGTAACTAGGGCTTTGGCTGATTGGTTTGTAGGGGTACGGAATGGAGAACTCGACGGTTTTATTTATTCATTGTAATAGCTTGAGCGAGATACCATGAGATATCTAGATGATGAATGATGGGATGATTTGTATGATTAGGGAGTTTCGATTGTATGAATTGACGATATATTATTTGATCTTGGGCTATGTAGATTGAAGATAATGTTACTTACTGGTGAAGAAGGATGCTCGGTATTGAGATATCTATTACTTACTGGTGAAGAAGGATGCTCGGTATTGAGATATCTATTTTGATCTAATGGGCTCTCCGCATTTCATGCAATTTTCACACATATATACAATAAGACATATAGGCCATATTGAAGTGAGGCTATTCAGCTCGGACTCATTTGAGACGTGTTGACTGATCTCGGAGGTTAGGAAGGCCGGCGCAATTGTATCACTTTCGAATCACTGTAGCATATATAGGGCAATAAAATCGATGATATCAAATGTTCATAAGCAAGATCATTATTGATCTACCACAGCACGTTCTAAAGCGCCATCACAATGACTGGCTCTTCTGTCGCTCAATGTACCCGTATCATCGTATAACTCTAATTAGCACCTCATTTGTCATCTTTATTTAAGAACCACCAAGGCAATGAAAATTTGGAAAGATTTCATGTATAGCATCCTATCAACATGAGAGCGTTGAAGTTTTCAACACCTGCCTGTTTCACCATATTGCGACTCAACGAACGATGGTAAACTCAGTTTATGTTCTCGAAAAGCGGACACTGGCGTCACCTCGAATTGCAGTTCATCGCGCACAATCATGACTTTCTCCATCAAGTCTCTTCGGCCTCTCCTAGAGGCAACTACGCAAAATCCGAGCCATGGAAGCCTGAGCTCATCTCGGTCTGGGACCATCTCTCCCTTTTGATAGAATGGGTGCAACATCAGCATGTTAGAGGGAATCTCTGGGTAATCGCGAGATGTGGACTCTATATTGATATCAGATGCCAATCTCCCGCTCATGCGGATGGGTATAGGCGAGGTCGCTAGGTGGCACTGCGGGCCGTTTGAAAAGGGGCACGCTAGACTACGAAATCGCGTTTCGTCGCCAATGGCCTGCATGATGTATAGCGCATAATAATCTACGCTGTTGACATATGCTGAGCCAAGTGAATCGGATTGCCCGGGGGGTCGAGGGTTAATTTCTAGGAGAAAAGACTTTGGGCGTTCAGACGATCGTGCCTAGGGCCAAGGTCGAGGATATAGTGTTAGTCCATTTCCCATTCGAACGCCGAGTTATTCATTTTCGCTTCTACGTGGATAACACCGGTCTCAAAGCCAATCCTCTTGACAATGTCGAGCATCTCGCTGCGGAGCAGTTCTATTTCTTCATAGGGCAAAGCCGATGGCCAGGCTAAACCCGTTTCCACGAATTGTTCAGTTTTGCTGAAACTGGAAGCATCATCGCCCATGCATGGGAAGTTGTCAACGACCTCTGAAAAGAGCGACTCGCCGTTCTAAAGGATGAAGTTGACGTCGATCTCTGGGCCCTCGCAATACGTTTCCACTATTACATTTGTCTCAGCTGTTTGCGCGCCAAACGTTGTGTGCTGAGTCTCGACAAAGGTAATGGCATGTTGCACTGCCGCGTACAAGTCTGTCTCATTTTGGACTTTGGAAACGCCATAAGAGCCATGGTTGCGCGTAGGTCTGACAATGAGTGGGAAAGACAGCGGTAGTTGACGGCTATCAAGCTGCGGCCTCAAATCCTCTGTGCCAGAAACAAGTAGCATTGTGTCTGATGTCTGCATGAGTCTGGTCTCGTACCTATTAGTCGCGCGACGATAGGCTTCGGAAGGGCAGGTGGGAAGACGAAGCATCTCGGCCGCCTTGGCCACACCTTGGAGCAACGGGTCCATAGTAGTCACAATGTTGTTGATCATGTATGGTAAGGAACGAATTGCTGTCACTATGCGCTCTGCCACATCATCAGATGCGAAGCCAGGAAAAGGGATGAAATGCTCCCTGTAATTCTGTCCAGGTCCGGCGGAGTCCTGCATCCAGTGGCCGGGACGATCCATGACGACCACAGACACGCCGCACTCTTTGGCTGTCTTGTAGAATCGCTCGCAACCTGCGGGGTCACGCTTCTCTCCGATAACGACGATGCGTTTGGAGTCAAGTGGCGTTGGGACAAGCCAGGGCCAGTCAAGCCGGTTGAGGACATGGTCCTCGAGTAGTTCTGTCGCAATATGTTGTGGTACCAGTGTTTGGTCGCTCACCACGGCCACGCCGACGCAAGTATCGAGGAAGTTCAACAAAGCCTCCCCACGTAGGAGTTGATGTGAGGGAGAGAGGTTTAGATGGAAGAACGCAGTTAACAGCTCCGGACGACTGGGCACCTCCACCTTTCCTGCTTCGAGCGTGAACACTATCAACACCCCGAGAATTGCGGGTTAGTGGTGCAGGATGGTAGTAGCACTCGTGCGCGATGCCCCTGGCCTGACATCTTCCGCATGTGGGGACTCGATGATCACACCGAGTCTTTATCTTTCGGCACGGCTCACACGATCGCGGCTTTCCGTTGCGACGGTTTGCCGTTCTGCCACCAGTGCTACGTAAACCACAACAACCTCAAGTCTGCGTTAGACTTTCACGGCGCTCGCGTCGGGTCTTGTTTATCAAAAGGGCATTGGATTCTCCCTATAGGAAATTTCCTGGTTGATGCCCTCGATCCACCCCCTTGTGTCCATGGTGGAGGGATGTGTGTCGCCCAGCACCTTTTCCTCTAGTCTAAGTGTTTCGCGAAACACGGCAATTGCCTCGCCCAATTCATATTGGTCATAGAGGGCAACGGCGAGCATTTGCATGGTGATCAGCGTGTCTGAGTGCCCCTCTCCCAACACTTTCTTCTTCAGGTCGAGTGTGCGACGGAGCATAGCGACGGCCTCATCCAATCTGCCCTGTTGGTGGAGGGCAATGCCGAGCTCGTTATGGTAGTCAGGGTGCCGGGGTGTTCTGCGGCCAGCACCTTCTTGCGCAGATCGGTTGTTCGATAAAAGATGCTGGCTGCTTCGTCGAGGTTTGGTTGCGCACACAGTGCCATTCCGAGGCTGTGCACGGTCTGCAGTGTGTCCGGGTGTTTCTCGCCTCGTACCTTCCGAGTCAGCGCCAGTGCCTGGCGAAGGGTCGTGACTGCCTCCTCCAAGCTCCAGCCGGCCTGGTCGAACCTGCCGAGGCTGCCGAGCGCCGCGCCGAGACAGCGCATCATTTCAAGTGTCTTCGGGTGGAATCCGCCGAGCCTTGTTTGAGACTCCATCAACAACTGGCGAAGCATGTTGACACCCTCGATGCACTTCGACTCTACCGGTTGATGAGCACGCAACCACCCGAGCGACTTTCTCACATCGAGCACTATGTGATGGTCGCTGTCTGGTGCAGACTCAGCCAGCTCCAGCGCTCTCCGCAGTGTGCGCTCTGCCTCTTCGTCGTCTTCCCGCGCTCCGGCATTTTCCGCATAGTCACGCATAATCCAGAGGACTTGCTCTGCTACATCATTGTGCTCGGCCAGCCGTGCTCGCTGATACAGGCTCTGTGCTTCAACAGCAAACACGTCCGATGGAGCCAGGTCACCGACACAGCCGACGTCTGGGCGCTCGTTGTCGACCATTTTCTTTGTCAACTCGAGCGCCTTCCGGGTTCGTCTCTCCGCCTCGACAAGTTTGCCCTGCGCGCCTGACGCCCACGAAAGACGGCGTGCGCAACGCACCGCATCCATGCTAATAGTATCCATCGCCAGGTATCGCGTCATTGCCTCGTCCAATAGAGCTTGTCCTTTTTCGTGCCGTCCCAAAATACAGAGCATGTTGCCGAGATCGCTCTTGATCCCCATCAAGATTGAATCGTCTTGTATTTCAAGTCTCAGTGCTTCCGTCAACCCCTCCACTGCCCCTTCATGCCTTCCAAGATGAGAGTCAAGATTGTTAGCGACCTTGAGGATCAGCTTCGCCCTCGTATCGACGTCGGTGGACCAGCGGGCGGAAACCAGTATGCTTTGCGCATGTGGCATATATCTTACCCACTCATTGTCGCCCTCGCTACGATGGTATGTAAAATCAAAGACATCCTCGACCCGATGAATTACCTTGGTCGCCCATCCAGCGAGATCTCCTGTACGTGCCAACCAATACCTCATTGATAGACGAACTAGTCGGTGGATATCGTATGAATCTCCATTTTCCTGCTCTTTGAGAAACCCATATCCCTTCAAGGTACCGATGGCTTTCGCTTCTCTGAGTTTGTCACATGGTGGCATAAGTGATCAGGGTATGTCTGTTTGCGATAGGAAAGACATGAATATCAAGTAATCTGCCGCTAGCGCGTCACTCTCGGCGATTCTCTTGAAGGAGACGAGGAAGGTCTGAATGACCGGATCTGGAATCACTTCGTGACTGGAAAAAGCTGGGCCATCTTGATAGCGACAGAGATCGGCGCATTCCTCATTCAGCTCTCTTCCACTTAGATCTGTTTCACAATATCGATATAATGTGAGGTATTCATGGATCGAAATTCGTGCTGTCGCTATGAATGCTGATGATTGCTTGACAGCTAGAGGGAGATCTCCTAGAGAATCGAGTAGCCTGCGCACAGCTTCTGGATCTTGACATTTTGTCTGGTACCAGTCTGGCCGTATCGCATCCAGACTTGCCTGGAGGAGCACAGTTGATTCAACTCTATTTAATTCCTCGATGGGTGTACAAGTAGCACAGAGTTTTTCGGCGACTTTCGAATCGCGTGTTGTAAACAGAACAGAGCCATGGCAGTTCGTTGGAAGATATTGGGATAGGCCCGCGCCGCCGTCGAAAAGCTCGATATCATCGATATTGTCGACTATCATCAACCACCTACCAGCGCTTTCACCGTTCAGTGCTTCTTTGACTAGCGTCTTGATGTCGGATTCAACGTTGTTGATGCCCTCGATTTCAAGCTTCCGGCCAATTTCGCGGTAAGCGTTTTCGAAACTACCCACGTCCACCGCGGGTACCCAATAGATAGAGCAATCAGGACATGAGTCGCGAACCCGAAAGGCCGCCTCAAGAGCGATTTGAGTCTTTCCCATGCCGCCCACACCAGATATGGCAGTCCGTTGGCATGCATCTCTTTTGATATCGGGAGGAATCCGTTCGAGAAGCGATCCTAGAATTTCTTCACGACCAACGAAGTTCGTATTTCAGTTGAATGGCACAACCCAGTGGCGTTTCGGATCAGCCTGATTGCTTTTAGCTGACGTACTCTGTAAACTGGCCAGTACAGACGGTGCATTATTAACCATTCTCTGGATTTCGGGCAGCAGGAGCTTATAATTCTCGTCGTGATCCCCGCTGAACTTGTTCAGTCCGGAATGGTCCGTATTCATATAGATCCCTCTCTTGCCGTTAATGCAGGCTGACTGAGAACCCACAACCTATACGCCATTTAGCAGATAGAATAAGAAACGGACTTGAGCGTGCACCCACACGTTGTTTGAAAAGCACGAAATTCGCATTGTTCTTCTTCTCATAAAAGCAGACGATATCTCTGTCCCCATAACTAGCCCAGAAGTCGCAAGACATACCATGTAGGTATGGCTCATCCTTCCTTAGGGTGGCTAGTAATCTAGCATTCCGCCGCGAAGCTTTCGCAAGCCACTCCCCGTACATGGCCAACCCGCTGCCACGGAACGGTGCCCCCAGAAAGATAACCCCCGTTACAGAATAGCGTATATCAGAGTAAAGGGTACCATGAACGGCATTCACAAGTGCCTAGACATTTTATAAATTTGAGAAAAATACATAAGAGGGAGAGGAGGGGACTAACCTGCTGAATAACAAGTCCCCCAAGACTATGCCCAATCAGAATTAATGGACGCCGGCGTTCCTATACACTATAGTTAGTAATGACGATGGATAATTATAGTCTACTAAAGTACCAAGCAGCTCACGTACCTCATCGCGACCTCTTTTGTGAAGCAAGATATTCAAAAACTGATCAGAGCATTCTCTCAAGGTAGCCTTAATGTCACCGCCCTTCCAATCAAGTTGATGGCTGTACGCAGCAATCCGTGCATTTCGAACTTGTAATGGAAGTAAATCTCGGAGCCACATTACTTTCAAGTCTTCATCATCACTCTTGTCTCCGTCCTTACGCCAGAAGTGATAACTGCGACTCCGCGTTCGAGGTGTAGAGGCACCGGTAGCCGGAACCTTTCTGACCCAAGTATAGAAGGGATGAGCGCCAAGTCCTTGGACGGCAACAATACTAGCACAGATAAACCTGGTTAGCTGATCTATTTCCTAGCCGGACATGAGCACGACATTCATATTCTAACAATCTTGTAGATTCGCATACTCTACTTCGGGAGGACGGCCATCTTGCGGCATACCCCAGAGGTTCAACCCGTTCTCCTTTACAGTCTCCTTGGTGCAGATTGTGTCTTTCATTTCGCGGGGGTTTCAGGCAGTTGGTGCGTCAGATTGGTTATCACATCCAGTGGAAGTCAGACTGGGGTACGAGTGAGTTGCGTAGGCAAGCGACGTCAGGCATTCATTCCGAATTTACAAGACATAAAGTGAAGCCTGCCTGTTTCCAGTAGAAACAACCCGATTGAAAATCAAATATGCACAAGAAAGAGAGAGAAAAAAGTTATGAAGAGTAGAGACGGCAAAGAAGAAGTATAGTCGGTCGCGGGCCGCCTAAGATTGGGCACCGAGGGCTCAGCTGCAACTTAGAAAGGTAGGGTCACTTTTGGAGGCCTTTATTAGCCGTCTGATTCCTCTTCATTCGTCAACTGAAGCAATAAGTAGTCAGCAGTGCCCAAATCTGCCTCACCAGCTAACTGACAGTTCTGGATGTACCTGAAGCAGCATGCTGTACGCGCGAGCCACAAGAAACACCGAGAGTCACCAATGGAATAAGATAGATGAATGCCACGTAGAATAATGTTCCGTGGGGGCCATGGTTCCGCGGACGGAGCAAGGCAACAACCCATGGGCTTTTGATTTCTTGTGCTAGAGCATCGCGTTGAAAAGCCAATGACTTGGCTTCACTCGATCCTTTTGGGTCCTTGCCGCACTTGCTCTTCGTTCTCGTCTGTATCATGAAGAATTGTCAACGCGGGTTAGCGGCCGAGAGGGTCTAGAAAGTATCGGTTTCGAAACTATTCGCAGCTGATAATCAAATTCCAGGACGGAAAGAACATGGTAATACAATGAAATCAAGCCTCAGCCGCAGTAACACCTTGCTAACAGGACTTCAAGGCTAAAGTTGACCTGCCCCCGTTCTCCGTCCAATTATTAAAAAGTGACACGACCAACCAAGCCAACGTATCATCAATCGATAGCGATCAACTCCTGTCGCTCTTACCCGCCTCCTACCGTTCAAATTCCGACAATATAGTCCCATCAAGTCGCGATGCTGTGGCCTGCATCGAGAAAGAACTCGACTTGAGGAGATTAGACAATGTCTTCAAGTGGCTATTGTTGGCGGGCAGACCCATGCCGCCGCGGCCACTGCATCATCAAATTCTTATCAGTCGAGAGATATTCCTCGCCGAGCAGATGGACATGCACGGCTAAGCCGTCTGAACAAGATCTACGTGCTCTCGCAGTGGCCTTTCCGCAGCTACATGCAGAAGTGGCAGCGGTACGAGTCCTTGTTTCGGGACAACTTCACGTGGCTGGCGTGTGATATGTACTATATATGGATTTATGCTTAACCAAGACTCCCTTGGGCACTCCAGTTGAGCCACCTGTGTAGTACACAGATGCAAAATGAGGAACTCAGCACGAAAGTCTGTACTGACTCATCGTGCGGGTCGTGGCGGTGCGGTCCACCTCGTAGTCGCCGGGCCTCCGTTTTACCATCGGCGTGTTAACCCATTAAGGCACCTGTAGATCTACAAGGCGTGGTCAAAGTGGTTATATCAAGATGCCACCCTCTTACTACCTCTAAGTACCCACGCAGGTTACATCTTCCTACCTAGCCGTACAGATATCAATAAAATGAAATATAAAGAGGGAGTAAGCTCAACTCTACAGATCAGCAATACAACATAGTAATAGTACAGGTCTCAACCTAAGGCAACGCTGTTTATCGCTAGCTACGAGTTGTCAAGGTATGGCCGTGATGATTGTATCAAAGATATAGAGGCAACGGAGGTTTAGTGGCCTACTATAGTGGCTATACCTACCTACAGTTAGGGTGCCATCACCAATGGGGCATATAGTCTATATGGTTATTCGCTTTTGGCTCATCTCCTACCTACGGTCCATACATATCTTGGCAGCGTTCATCTCACCTCACGGTGATTTTACGGTGCCCCTCCCCCGCAACCCCCAAGATCCATATTTCTTCATACCCTCCTGTTGAAAGACAGCTGCCCCGACAGATGCCATGACCAAGCCACCTCTGTATAAGGTGCCTCACCATCTAGATCCTCGATGTGCGCCGGATCTCGTATAAAAAGGCTTTTATTTCTGTTTTAAATATCTCTTCTTAATTCCATCTTGTTATTTGCTTAGACATATACCTAAAAATTGGCATTACTACATACATTCCCACTATATAACAACGTCTGTATAATTCTGATACTGCGTTTTTAACAACGTTATTTACCACCACCGCCCTCAGCGCATTCACCTATCGCTAAAAGTAGGCACCTCTAATACTCTAGCGTCAAACATAGCGCAGAAATCGGTCTAACATAGCGCGGAATCCGGGCCCGACGACCATCGTAACAGCTTACTCACCGTCGCCGAAAATACCAGATACACGCTGCAACTCTGAGCGAGCGACTACGATAGCCTTCGCGGCCCCAAGTCCCGAGCGTTCGCCCGAGATAGCAATCATGGCCCGAACATCTAAGCGCAGAGGAGTCGTGCCATTGGATGTCGGGGACGAAGCGACGTTGCGTGAAAAACGTCTTCAAGAAATCCTGGATACCGCCCAAAGGGGGGTGCGATACATAGAACTAGCCCGAGAGGCCGTTCCCGATTTTCAATCCTACTATACCAACCGCTTCTTCCAGTATTTTTGTGCATTAGTACTGCATCTTGAATTGGCGCTCGCGAAGACACTCTTGCCAGGAATCGAGGATACGCCTGCCACGGAGGCTTGGAAGAGCCTGCGTCTAGCCGTTGTTGAAACAGTCCTGACATGGGGTTACACCTCCCAATCTGAGACTGGCGGCTTCACCATGAAGTCTGATCCTGAACCGACTTCCATATCCGGTGCGGCTGGGGAAGTTGCCGTGCTTGAGGGACGGTGGCCCCGCTATAGATCAGAATACAAGGAACTCATCGTTGCAATGGAATTGCTCACCGAAATGAATGACAAGGAAAACACGACTGACAAGTTATGGAGCACCCTTGTGAGACTCTATACAGTTGAGGAACATAATGGGGTCATATCCATCCCTATGCCCGATGAGCCTGCGATCGTATTGTTGCAGCAAATATGCCTTGACGCCCTGCGTCGGCGGAAAGGTGCGTAGGGTAACCCTAGATCTTTAGCAGTCAGTGTTGCTGATACAAGATAGGGAGATGTCTTGAAAGCAATGAAATATATGACGAGATGAAGCGTGTGTTTAAATGTTTTGGCTGTAGCAGGGCTTGGAACTCTCACATTCCCTTGCTCCCAGCGTCCACCACTATCATCGCCTCCGGTAAGCGAATCACCATCGAGACATCGGGTGAGACATGGAAATACCTTACAGACCTCAACCGAGACCGAAGAGACGCTCGAGATCGTCGCCTCATATCATGCTCCGGTCCATATCGTGAATATCTCAAATATATCAGTGAAGATATCTGCAGCCAGGTTGAAGAGGGTGACAGCAAGGAAGCTAGGGCCAGCCGAAAGGCGTACCATAAAAAGCTGCATCAGACGCCGGAGAGAGTAGCCGACAAGATCGAGGTGCCTGGCTTGTTCTTGACGCTCAAACCGACAGGGGATTTCAAGCATGCGCGCTTCTTGTGTGCTTGTCGTTTCCGGTCGAAAGAGCCCTTCGCCAGTGCCCCCCTACCGGAAGCCACGGATAATTTCGTGCTGTATGGGGCGGAAAAATGCTCTGAAGTTTTGTGTTATCTTACTCATTTTGGCTCTCAGCCTTGAGCGATGCCTGGTTCGCAATTGGAAAATCAGCCGCCTAAGCCACGTTGACGAAGTGGTCGAGACGGTTTGCCTGAAGGTCGTTCAAACGGCAACCGCTTGGGTATACGCGGACAACACGGTAGGGGATCCGCGCCGGGGAAATTCTCCTTTGATCAATGTTAATCGAGTTAGGGAGACAGAAAGGCCAGAGATGGAGTTAGAAGACTGTTTTCTTATCGACGAAATCTAAAAGGATTCAAGGCTGGAAAATGTATTACGGATCTCAGAATGGCTGATGGCATGGATCACATGGAGATTTTGGAGTTAGGAGCAGGGGTATGAACATAAGGTCGACATAAGGTATCGTTAGGGCATAAGCATAAGCGGGTCTAAAGGTATAATTGGCGCATGGGAGTACTGACAGGTCTGTCTGCCTGGGTCAACCAGACCGTCGAAGGTTCAAGGTTTCTTTTATGTGGCGACACTTGCTTGAATAAAATCATATGAAAGGCTTCGGCCACATACTTATACCATTAAGAAGGCGGGGTTGATGGAGTCCAGGTGGCCCAAGCTCAATTGCCCCTTGCATACTGGTGCAGGTCCAGGTGGTCATAGCTTAGATAGATAAGATAAGGAAAGGGTAGAAATCAATGCAGCCATCTTACGTCTGGTTGTTGCTGTCCGACCACCAGTACCACTAGGTCGCAGGGATTATTATTGATGTTGTTGAGTTGAAGTTCTAGTCACTGACTGATGTCACAGTACCATAGGTATAATGAGTGTAGCGGCACAGGGGTCTCGACCTAATAACGTCTTCTATCTTTTGATAGCGTACCGGTAGCGGTTTAGTACTGCACTCCTATTCTCGTTCCGTGACAACTAATTAGAAAGAGTAACTAGCAAATTAATATTTTACAGAATTAGCCTCAGTTGAGTATATTCTTTGACCTTGGCCGAGTCGGCCGCGTCCCAATGACGTAGATCCTGTCGGGATATCTCTTGGTTTGCAGCATTTGATGCAGCGATCTGGGTAACGTTCGGTAACGGGCTCAGCCCATATAGAAGTGGCCTATGGAGGGTTGTTGAAAGAACATGCCAATAAGCAAGCAAGAAGGTAAATGCCTATAGCAGTAGCTCCAGATGTTGCGGCTGCCCATATGGAGCTTGCATTGGCGCCAACAAAACCTGTAAACGCACCATGATTCTCTATTATGCCCAGGGGGTTAACTCTGGGCGCCTACATAATTTCGCTGAATCGTGTGTCATAGGCAATGATAAGCTTAGGAGCTGAGGGCATAAGGGATTCGAAGAGAGCACCTAGCTTGTGGGTAGTCCGGTCCGGAAGGTGTACGACGCTGGCTTTGGAAAGCCAGAGTCGTGGTATTCCTTTTTCGACTATTTCGGGTATGTTAGACTCTTGTACTATTTTCAGGCGTTAACTTTGTCAACTTTGGGGCTCAACATTTCACCACAGGAGTTCAAATGCACTCACTAGTGTCACAAGTCGCGATCACTGAATCCGAAGGTGAAGAACGGCACACCTCTATTCTAAGAGTTCTCTTCTACGATCACAGCATATGTACGCAGTCACTAGAAAGGTACTCTACGAGCACCTCGTTCGCCGACTATACGACGATGTGAAAGATCATGCCGGCGTTGACGCGCTCGACCTGAGATCCTACCTGTGCGCTAATTACTTGAGCTCTTTCCTGTTCGACTTTTCTAATGGTACACGTTATATCACCACTGAACGACATCAAATTACTGAGTGGCATGAACACTACGAGAACCATAGCTGCCATGAAAGCTTCTTCACTCAAGAGATGCCTTGGCTGTTTAATGTTCTTTCAAAAGTTGGGGTCTGCTTATTGCACGAAAGCTACAGAAGATCTAAAGACTTTCTACAGAAATGACTTATAGAGATGGAAATGAAAGCGGACCGATCAAACCGTGAGTGGAATGTTATGGTACAACAATCACTACCCCCAGAAGATGAGCCTACGGTTTATGAAACTCCCAAAATTGCTGTGGAAAAGGATTCAGAACATTTATCTGCCGAGTCCAAGCGCAAAGAGGTCCGAAGCGAAATGCTCGATCATATATGTGAGGTTTTCTCTTCTCCTGTTGCTACCATACTATCAACTTGCTGACACTAAAACACAGCTGCATCACGAGAGGTTCTAGGTACGTAAATGAGCCAAGAATCCCCTTCCCTCTTTCAGACTTTGTATAGTTCTCCCTCTGACACTCCACAGGTCTTGTTCCTGCATACAGCTTCTGGTACCTGGCACAGAACCCCCACGTTCAGCAATCAATTCGAGACGAACTCAAAGAGGCAAATATCGATATGATTAGCAGTCCGACACCCTTTGACCCTCAAGTTATCTCCGAAATGGGACAGGGTTGATGAATTCGTTCCTGAAAGATGGCTGAAAAGAGGCGGTGGGGTGGAAGTAAACGGCAGGCCAAGGAAGACGTGCTGTGGCCCTTCGCCAGTGGGCCAAGGATGTGTCTAGGTACCTACTAATTGGACTTATTATGGTAAGTTCATGCTCAATCCGAACCCCTTTTTGGCTTCGTCCGATGGAAGAGGAGGTGCCTGGTCTCGTACCTAGCGTTGACTCGAGAAACAGCTATGCGATACATATTAGCCGTCATATCCTCGCGTTTCGAGTTTGAAGCGCTTCCTCGACCTATGCAAGATTGTTGGCCTGGATCGTCAGCTGATCGCCTACCGATCCGGGCTAAAGAAGTATCGTCAAACTAGGACGCCGTGCTTGTCTGCGCTTGCATATTATTATCGTCCTTATATCAGTGTATATCGCACTAGGTTACTCTCGATGGGCGGAATAGGGGTGTACAGTTCGGTAAGTATGGCAAAACATGTACACCTCTGGGCGGGAAAAGAAAACAAAATATCAATTTATCATTGATCATTCTTTCCCAAGTTGACCGTTATATAAATACTGCCACACCAGACCATGAATATTTTAAGATGATATTCAGCTGGGAGGCTCGTGCCCCGGGTCTCGACAGAATCTCCTTACCCGTCTGGATTCGCTTCTACCTGTTGGTCACTGACAACATCAGCGTCCCCTATTACAGATACTACAGGCAAGGCCGAGACGATTCGGCTGAAGAAAAGGAGTGAGACGGGAAGAATGCGCAAATACATATTGATCTGCAGGTCTGATAGTTGGGTAGAACTTGCGGGTGCTGGTCAATGGTAAGCTAAAGATTAGAAGATATGAGGTGAAAAGGGGGAGGCGGATATAGTTTTATATCGCAAATTTCGATATAAAATATGCCCAGGAATACTGCGGGAAGGTCCATGAACCTCTCAAGTTGCAGAGATGGTGGCAGGGCATACAGAAGTCTGCTCTTTAAAGAAATTGCCTGGTTTCGAGTCTAAGGTGAGAGGAAAACTCACATGTCCTTTTACCGCTAGATTCCGGGGTGGAAAGCCATTTGTCCCGTGAGGGGAAGAAAGATCTCTCAGCCTGCCTCAACCACGTTGCATTGTATCTTATGCTTGTTGGTTGTTCTGTCAATGCTCTGGCGGTTACAGTCACTAGTCGCTTCTACGGCCCGATTATTGGAGAGTGTATTACTCTTTTGAATAAATGGTGCCTACATATATGGAATGGATACATGGACTATGGCTAGAAATCTTGGATGCTGCCGCAAAGGGACGGTGGTTACTTTCCTACGCTTGAATCATCCGACTCACCAACATGTGGTCGTGTCATCCTCTCCTTCGTGAAGCCTCTGAGGCTGGTCATCAGTTTCCCTGTAAAGATCCTCTCGTCGGATCCTTCTGGATGCCATTGGGCTTCGATGGGCTTTTGCGGCTCTCCCGGATGGGTGATCCTCTCACGTATCACCCATTCCGCTACCCCCACGATCTTCCCCGTCTCCGTGTCCGTGACTTTAAACCAGAAAAGATTATCATCGTGCCTCCAGTGTTTTACAATCCTTTGCTTCGTCGCTTGAATTGTGTCTTCAGTTGTCGTGTAAACAGGCATGAACCAATGGTGCAGAGGATTGTAACGCTCCTCAAACGCAGTATGCAGCATACCCAGCATCTCGTCAAAGTCCCCTTCATCTTTCACCTCCTGAAGAAGATACGGCATGGCGAAGAATCTCGAACGTCAAAAACGACGCTGTTGGACGTTCGAGCGGTCTAACGATTGTTATATAACCTCACCTACGTTCAACAAAGAAAGTGTCGCGACGATAGAGCGAAGCTAACAATACCACACACAACGTAGTATTCACCCGTTGATTGAATGACTGAACTTGGAGTAACTTGGCTTTGTCCTGAACAGTATAATGCAGTTGGGAGGTAATCAGAAAGGCTTGTATCGCGGTAGGATCAGCAGGCTGCCAATCGTATATCGTAAGACCAAAGCGGTTGGGTCTCAGTATGCTGTTGGCCTGCAGGTGCAGCATATTAAGAGTTCAGGCGCCGTTATCCATATCTGTAGTCATATGCATATACCTTTTTATTTATACATACTCACTATTGTGCTATATTTCAAGAAGCGAAGAAAGAAAGACAGAAAGGGGGGCAAAACATGCAGAGTCCTTGTTCATCTGAGACAGCATTCTAGTATCATTTTAGTTGTTTGAGTCAAAAGCAGTCCCCCACTTCGCTGTTCATTCTCTTCTAACTTTCCCCCTCCAATATGACTGTTATTTGGACGCCCATCGATAGACTGACTCCAAGTCAAATTCAAAAGCAAGCTTGGTTTTCTTCGCGCCGCTCCTCCTAGATCGTCTTCTCAAACCATGGACTCCATCGATGTAGCTATCATCAGAGGAGGGCCTGCTGGCCTTACAGCAGTAGTCTTCAACTCTAAGAGTTATCGAAACTCAAATGCCACTTCCATGCACATAGTGCCCAGCTGGAAGAACAAGAACCCCAATTCTTCTCTGTTACAAAGACTGCAATTCGGTCTGACTACTCGACAATCAAATTCGCTGATGATGAAGCAACGAGAATTAATGAGGAGAGTGATTCTCACTTCAAAGTCTTGGATGCGGATACATCAAGGGCGGAGATCTGGGCTTGGAACTTGATGCTATTTACGATATAATGATCAACTAAGGCAGCATGAGTCCTTGACCAGTCAATTCCTTCTTGGCCTTGCAATATCCAGCGCAGAGTCCTAGAGGGTAGGATGATTGCCATGACAGTCATGAATGAACGCTCCGAAATATGCTCTAATCGTAGATAGGTTGCGAGCAATAGTCCCCTACCATTTCAAGTTTTACGGAAGTGGATGTCAATTCATGCGTCCCCAATACTCCAATATTTCTCCTGAAGCTCGATTTCGAACGTTTCGCTGGTTAACCAAAAACAAACGCGGTTTTCATGAATATCGCATCTGAAATCACGTATGAGCTGGTACATCAAAACGGCAAAGTGCCTATAGGCGTTATTCGAGTTTATGAAGTCAAATTAGTTGCGTAAATCGAGTATCCTAAGCTATCTGCAAAAATTCCTTCACAATGAGGAACGATCACCTCAAGACAATCATCGAAAGCGTCGACAACGAATTATGAGGTTTATCCACAAGAAGCTTCCAGACACTACATTGTCCCCTGAAGTAACAACCCAGGTTTTATGCATATGTCATGGCTCAAAGATGGTCTGACAGCAACGAATGCACAATCAATTAGCCTACACGCTCGTCTGATTCATTACAAGTAACCCCCCAGAATATTCCAAAATTCCAAAATAATAGTAGCCTAGATGGTTGTGATGCCAATCCCTAGGTAGTGAAAAATGCTTCTCGAACTCCGGATTCAATGCTTTCAACTACCCACCCAACCCGATAGATGACGAGATGCCCCCCCTGCAGGCCGCCTATGCTAGTGTAAGTAGGTATACAGTCTATCCGACTCATGCGTAACCAAGTGTGGCCTCGTGCCTCAAACATCTCTTTATCGCACATTTCTTCTTCTTTCTGATATGTAGAGTCGTATGTAGTTCAATGTGGTGTTTTCTTTATTATTGATTTCTGTGATTAGAAGTAAGAATAGTAGTAGTTAACGTTAACATCAACCCTGCATCTCGTGGAACTGGCCGCGGTGATTTGAGTTATAATCTCTCTCGCCGACCACGTTTCCGCCAGCTTCGTGGACGGTCGGCGGGACGTTCGGAGTGCCTGGGTTGCCGGGCTGCGGGCCCCAGTTCGAGTTGAGTGTTGATGTTGGGCTCTGGGGCTGTACGCTAAGTCTGGCATCGGAGAATTGTGAGACAGGACTCGTGGTATCGTGGCGGTCGGGCACACCAGTTGGCGATACGCCAACGAATCCAGCAGGCTTCTGTTCCGATGGTGGATAGTAGCCCTGTGGGGGTGTAGGCTGCTGTTGGTATGGTTGCTGGTCGTAGGGTGCACCTCCGTATGGTTGCTGAGGATAGCCAGGGGGCCCCGGAGGCGGTTGAGCCATACCGCCGGTTTGGGGTGTCTGCTGCATCCCCGGTCCGGCATTGAGTGCGTCCTTCTTCTTCTTGTTGTTGTGACGAACGAGGAAGAAGATGCCAAGGCCAATGAGCGCAAGGCCGCCGACTCCGCCAACAACACCACCAACGATAGGACCAATGGGAGTGGATTCCTTCTTTTCAACTGGTTGATCGGTGCCAGAGTTACCATTGTTGTTATTGTTGTTGTTGTTACCGCTGCCGCCATTCCCACTGCCGCCGTTTCCACCAAATCCACCGGAGTTCACGGGAGATTCCGAAGAAGTAAATGAGATGACGAACGATCCGTCTTCAGATGCGGTGTTGAAATCAGAGAAGTCGGAGTCACCGGATGCGGAATCCGATGCCGTTAGGGTGAACTCTTGGAAAGATCGGCCATCAGTCTCTCCATTGTACGTTGTATAAAGCTGTTGAGGCGTAGAGATGTTCAGTGAGTCACAAAGGAAGTCCTCAATACCACTAAAGAACGTAATAGTATTACAGAAAGGAGCGGCAGACTGAGTGCTGTGAAAGCGTAAGTAAATGGCTTCAGACTCGACCTTTCCCAAACGTACCACTTCAGTGTAAATGTGTCTTGGAGACATCCATTGTCACAAGCACTACTATAGTATACTTGTGAATAATCTAAACAAGTGGCACGGAGACCGCAGTTGTCGCCATCGCAGCAGCCGGCACGACCAAAATTATCCTGAATTATGAAAGCACAGGTGTAATCATTGTTACAGGTGATTGGGGCACCTGGAGGAGAAATTAGCACGAGAAGGCATTACAAAAATAAGATAGACTTGCCTGCTCTTCCAGAAACATAACCGCAAGTGTTATCGGGCCCAATGAGAACGGTTTGGTCACCGCCCGATTGCCTCTTGAATAATTCCCTTATAGCTGGTGCCTCTGTGATCTCGGGAAGATGGAAGGTCGCATCGGGGACGACGGCTTCCGTTGCTCGGGCTGGCTTTCCATCGAAAGCCAAAGCCCGTGCGGCGGTAACAAATGTTGCAGCGGCGAGGAACTTAGACATGGTATCGTCGACTCTATTCAACTCTTCCTATGGCTCTATGCTTGTCTTACAGACCGAATAGACCCACCGGTGATGAGATGGAAGAACAGTCACTCACTCACAGAACGCGTCGACACAAGAGGAAGAAGAAAGAGCAAATCTCCCAAGCTTAGGGGACGCGGAGGGCCATGCATGTTTAAGAGACAGACCAAACGCTTTCCGGCGAGATATTTTGGCCAGTCTGGCAAGGCATACTTCTCGTCGCCTCTTAGTGCTTGGCGCTCCAGACCTGGATACATGCTTCCAGCTTGCAGCCACAATGTGACCAAAAAGCCCTGGGCTGTTCTTTTTCACGAGCCGGGGAGCTGGAGAGGAGATTGCACGCGATGCATCGCGGACCATTGATAGCCAATGGTAGACGAAGGTGTTTTGGCCGACTGATGCAGCTAGCAGTAGCTGAACAGTTCAGCGAGATGCCAAGACACCACCCAGGACAGGGTCGCCACAAGACCTTCAAGGTCTCGACTGGAGTGAGGCTCTGGCGTCGAGGGGTCTGGATGAGCCAGGGAAGAAGCCAGACCACTGTGATACACAACTAATACAGATATGCACACATACGTGAGTCTAGAATTCCCTACTAATAGGTTAGGTACGATACTATAATTTTTTAATTCTTTTAATGCACTCTTCAAAAGAGTCTTGATTGTAGCCCTGATCATAACCAATGTTCGTGCAATGGTGCGGCTGAGAAGGCTCCAGTACTAGCGCACATTAGCTTCAGGCCCTTTGTGGCAGTAGCTAGCGAACTAAGACACAATAAAATAAGACGGGATAACTTGGGCAGAGTTGGACTTGGTTGATTCCCACTTAAGACAGGATCTCCAGGAAAGCGAGTGGAGAGCAAAGGGAGCGTGGCCAGTTTCTTTCGGCCAAGACTCTGGTGCTTCGGTGACAGATACAGAATGGTCATTTGTCGATTGATGCACACCAACGACGAAAGACCCAACAGCATCATCATCATCTTGTTCATAGGCCAGAACCTTTTAGTTTAGAAATCAGAATGGCGACAGTTACCGCGTCTCACCAGCACAGCTCGGGTAGGTCGGGGATTGTACAAGGAGGCAACATCCCAGCAATATTCCTATACTATTGAATGGTGGTCATGATGTTGTTATGTTGCCGGTCTCAGAATCACGAAGCTGATATCCAGGTGCATGAGACGGCTGTGGCGTGGTGTCGAAAATCTATATTATGTACGTGGACGCAGGTAAGGTAGGTATTGCCGGATGGAGTTGCCGGCAGCTATTTTTAGTGCTCCACTCACAAAATGAAGATTGAAATCGAAATTGAACATAGAATAAATTCAAGATGAACTTGAACTTTAGCTTGAGTTGTAGTGTGAATACGGGAGTCGCAAGACTGATGAGTGAAACATTAGCACAGATTACTTCGTATGATGATGGTTAGGGGTCTTTTTGTGTGGCGCCGTCCCTGGAGTTCGGGTCAGGCTGCCCCGTACTTCAGGTAGCCCCGTTTGTTTAAACAACCCCAATGACAGCTATATATATGCACTTATGCATATATAATTATGTCACAGCTGACGGGAAACCCCGGACAGATGTTCACAGGTGACCGGTCGCCTTTGCAACCTCTCATCATGAGATGTAACGACACCAGGTTCGACAACATTGAGATGAAGTACGAATAAAGGAAACCCCCTTTCTATTTCAACTAGAATCAGTCTCATAAAGGGCCACTTCAAGGTGCTCCTGGGCTCGGGAAGACGAATTCACAAATGAAGCAGTACTCATGACCGACCTGTCCCAGGTCCTGCCGGACTTCCCCGTCGCCCAATATGCGCGTCTGCTGCCAACCATCGAAAAGAACCAGCTAACCGTGACGGATCTTCTCACTCTTGAGCTCACTGAAATCGGGAAGCGCACTCAGCTACCGCTGTTAGATGTCAAGCGGCTGTGCAATGCCATCCTGGCCGCGCTTCATGCCGATCTTGGCGTAGGTGCCGCGGAGAAGGATGATGAAAATAGCGAAGGAAAGCGGAACCAGAACCAAAATGATTCCCGACCGGGGAAGCATGCAAGCATCGGGCGGGCCTCTCTAAGACAATCCGGCACAGAGCTCTTAGCACGGCCCTGGCACACCATCAGCACGCTCGACGCCTCTCTAGACGCAGCCTTAGGCGGCGGCGTCCCAACGGGGTACATCACCGAGATCACAGGCGAGAGCGGCGCAGGCAAGACGCAATTCCTGCTCACGCTGCTCTTATCCGTGCAACTCCCGCCTCCACACGGGCTAGGCCGTCCAGCGCTATACATATCCACGGAAGCCGCGCTCTCGACAAAGCGGCTCTCGCAAATCCTATCCCAAAACCCGTTCTTCCGCGCCTTGGACGCAGACGCTCCCAAGCCCTCCCTCGACCGCGTCATCAGCACCGTGACGCCGGACCTCGAGTCGCAGGACCACATCCTCACTTACCAGGTGCCCGTGGAAGTATCGCGGCGCAACATCGGGCTGGTCGTGCTGGACTCGGTGGCAGCGAACTACCGGGCTGAATTCGAGCGCGGCAGCGGCGGCTCTAACATGGCCGCGCGCAGCGCCGAACTCGTGCGTCTCGGGCACTTGTTGCGCGAACTCGCGCGGAAGCACGATCTCGCCGTCGTCGTGGCGAACCAAGTCGCAGACCGCTTCTCTTCTTCCTCGAATCCCTTCGCGTCGTCGTTTTCTCCCGCGGTTAAGAGCAGCGGGAGCACAAGACCCTCCGTCTCTCACCGTAATCTCGGCCCCATGTCCCAGGAAAGCCCACTCGCCTCGCGCAGCCGTAACATCAACACCCATCCAACCTCTACACTCGACGCGGAACCGACGAGCAGTATGGCGGACATAGTAGTCCGCTCCAGCATGCCGGAGCCGCCTCCCGAGGACGCCGCGCCGACTGCGCCCGCGGCGCTCGCCCTCGATCATCAGCAGAGATGGTTCACGGGCTGGGGCGACGACCCGTATTCCCACCATCACGAGACGCTGAAGACGCCCAGTCTGGGCCTCGTCTGGTCCACGCAGATCGCGGCCCGGATCGCGTTATTCCGACGTCCTGCGTACGGGCGGAAAGTCGTCGTCGACGGCGACGGTGAGCAAGATGGCGGCGAGAATACAACGACGTACGACGACGAGTATGATGTAAACGAGAGCGTGGGCCCGTATATCAAGTCCTGGCGCAGATGGATGAAGATCGTCTTCGCGCCGCATGTCCCCGGCACTGGGCCGGGTCTCGAAGGCGCTGTTGAGTTCGAGGTTGTGGCGGGTGGATTGAAGGGTGTCGAGAGGAAGAAGAAGGGTAATAAGAGGGGCAAGGTATAAGCCATTTACTTGTAAAGGGAGACGATGGGAGATATTGAGGGTCTGGTATAGGAATAGACCTGGGTAGATGAGATATTGCGACAGATTTTTGATCATGGATATCCTCCTGAATAGCTAGGATGCTTGTATACATAGGGTGATGATACCCGAAAGCCTGTGCATAAGAATCGTACTTATACATGTCACATAGAAGACGCAACAGCCACGTAATTATCTCAATCCATTGAGATAAATAATAACACTGCGATCGTGTTATAACCAACTGTTTTTTTTTTAATTGCTCTCGCACCTTAATGCAAGAGCCGTTAAATACATTCAAGCCACTCCGCGCTCTCAATATGCTATGAAAGATGCCTACTCCAGAGAACGCCACCTAATGCTAAAAACAAGACAACAAACGACGATATAGCCGTTATGCCAGGCTATCACCTCGGGTGAGGGAACTCATCTTCCAACTGTAGTCGTACACCAACATTCATACTGACCAACTCCTGCACCAGGAGCTTCGCAGCATACGGCATCGTCATCTTAGCAACCTCCTGGCTAGACCGACACGTATTGCAGTAGCCCTTAGATCCGAACAGACCGCAGCGCTGGCACACATCGAGTGTGACGGCGTCGGAGCTAGTCATGAGACGTTCGAGGAGAAGCTGTGAGGCGCCGTAGGCGACGAGACAGTCACGTTCCATTTCTCCCAGACGCAATCCACCGTCTCGCGATCTTCCTTCTGTGGGCTGGCGGGTGAGGATAGCCCGAGGTCCACGCGAACGCGAGTGCATCTTGTCTTGAACCATGTGCTTAAGTCGCTGGTAATAAATGGGGCCGTTGAAGATGTACGCGTGTAAGGGTTCGCCCGTGATGCCTGAGGTGAAGTAATCTTTCCCTTCCCAAGAAAAGCCTGCGTCAACCAATTCGGCACTCATTGCTTCGAGAGGATGTGAGCGGAAGGCATCTCCATAACCATAATCTCTTCGCCCCTTGACAATGGATGCTTTTCCAGTCAGGCATTCTAGCAGCTTTCCAACTGTCATTCGCGAGGGGAAACCGTGGGGGTTCATGATAATATCAGGGACTATTCCTGCATCTGAAAAGGGCAAGTCTTCTTGGTCTACTATAATACCAACCACACCCTTCTGTCCGTGACGGGATGAGAATTTGTCACCTATCTCAGGTCGCCGTGTTTGCCGAGTCTGGACTTTGATAAGCTGTGTTTCCCTATCTGTTTGGGTAATCATGACCTTGTCGATATAGGCTGGATCTGCAGCCTTATAGGAGATGGGTGTTTCACGGAATGCTTCTACCCTGCGTTCCATTCCTATAGTTGAGGTGACGGTGTCTTGCGGGCTCTCTTTCTTGATCATGACCTGGCCTGATTCTACCATCCATCCAACATCTGCGAGGCCATCTTTGGACAAAGCCTTGTTCTTATCAAGTTCGGGATCTTTGTCTCCAATGCGCTCTCGAGTCCCATTGGCATATCTTTGGAGATCGGCAGAGTATTTCTTGAAAACTTGGGCGCGTCCAAAACCACGGTCCAAAGACGCCTTATTAAGTACGAGGGCGTCTTCAATATCGTACCCAGAGTAGGACATGACGACAACGGTAGCGTTCTGACCTGCAGGGAGTTTGTCGTAGTGAATAAGTTCTATTGTCTTACTAATAACCATCGGTCGTTGAGGGTATACCATAGTTAGAAGCAGTGTGTCGATACGGTTGAATTGATTATAGGCAATAGCTCCAATCGCTTGTTTACCCATAGCACACTGATATGTATTTCGGGGGGATTGGTTATGGTGCGGGAAGGGGATAAGGCCGGCAACAGCCCCGAGCAATGTGAAGGGCTCAATCTCAAGATGGGTAGTCGCTTTGGTGATATCTTTCTCAGTGCCAGCAATGAGAGTATCGTTTTCTTCATTTGCATCGAGATACTCAACGACACCGTTCCGTAAAAAGTCATCGAAGGTGATTTTCTCAGCTTGTAACATCCTCAGCTGACTCTCTTTTATTCTGGGCTTTCCGTTCTTCACAATAATGTATGGTCGACAAATTCGGCCTTCGTCCGTGGCAATATGTACAGCTGATAGATTCTCGTTGACGTTAATGCTGACGAATGGAGATATCCAGCCACGTCGTCTCATAGTGCGGAAGTTAGCGGCGAATTTCTTCGGAAATCGGGTAAGAGCAAAAGGCGTTCCGTTGATGTGGACGACGAATGTACCTTTCTTGTGCATCTCTGCACCAGAAAAGTTTCGTAGAGGCTCTGCTGGGGGATCCAGAGTAAAAGCCCATCGCTTGATAGGAGTTTCATCGGCATCGGTAGTGATATGTGTCATTAATGCCAGATTCTTCACTAGGCCACATGCCTCGCCTTCGGGAGTATCAGATGGACAGAGCATACCCCATTGTGACGGCTGGAGAGCACGGGGTCCACTGACTTTGCGAGTCTTCTCAAATTGACTGCTTATACGAGTCATCATTCCTAGTGCGGCTATGTAACTGAGTCTGCTCAACACATGGGTAACACCGGCTCGGTTCATTCTAAATCGTTGAACAGTCCAGTTTCCTGTCTGTATTGCACGATTTAACCCATCTGTGATATGCTTGCCCTGAGATCCTATCTTCAAGAGAGGGTCTGCTGCAACAGCGCGATGCTGTTTCCTAAGTGTGTTCTCAATGTCAAATTTGAGTGAGCTCAAGAAGTTCTTGAACAGATCTTCGAAGAGTAGTGAGAGAAGCTGGCCTGCAAGTTCAAAACGTTTGTTTCCCACAAAATCTCTATCATCCACCAGTTTGGGGTTGTGACGAACCATTAAGACTCGACGTGTCATCATGGCAACATAAATAGCCTTAGGGTGGAAATCCAAGCCCTCGACTGGAATATGCGCGATGACAATGTTGGCTAAAGCATCAAGACCCTCTTCGATGAGACTACGGCGTGGCTGGAGGGGGCCACCTCTAGCTGGCCTTCCTTTCATTCCCATTTTCACTCTCGCACCTATATATTCTAGTGCTTGTTGCTGTGTGAAAACCTCGGCCACCACCGCCTCAGAAAAGTTGATCTCAAAATCGTCCTGATACCTAGCGTCCGAGCCACAGACCAGCTGCATGATTTCGAAGTCTGTGAGGCCGCCGAGGGCTTTAAGGATAATAACAATTGGTATGGGCTCGGATAAAACGTTGTGCTGGAGATTGATCCGCTCTTTCTTCAGAGTAACATAGGTCTTAGACTTTCTTTCGTGTGTGGAACTAGTGACGGATGCCGTGATGATATTATTCTTATCATCGGTTTCTATGATGACACGGTTCTTGCTGAGTTGTTCTTGGATGAGAATGACCTTTTCCGTTCCTCGTACGATGAAATATCCACCAGGATCTAGTGGACACTCGTTCATGATTTCCATCTTGGCGTTATTTGCCCCATAGAGGTGACACTTGTTACTCCGCAGCATCACAGGCATGCGAGCAAGCTCGACATTGCGACGGATGATCTTTTGCCTCTCTCGAGTATATGCGACATCAACAAGAATGCGCGCAGAGTATGTCGCATCTCTTAAGCGGCATTCTTGCGGAGTCACTTTGGGGTTCGTGGCATTCTGACCGACACTCTCTGGACTCTCAACCCTTATGTCAAGAAATTCAACCCAGAAACTGCTGTCAACATCACTTTTCACTATTCGGTTGGCTTTCACGATTTCTTTGATTTCATGGTCGACGAAGTAGTTGTACGAGTCGATATGTCTAAAGACAGGTTAGTAAATGAAAGAAGGAAAAGATATCGAGTCTTAGAAAGGCGCAGTAACGTACTGTTTCACAAGACCTAGATACGACAACACTGTTAGCTGGACACATACATATCTCCCAGCATAGAGGCTATTTACGCACCTTTCACCTTCAAGAAGGCTGGAAGCAGCTGATTCTTGTCCTCAACGGCAGAGATGGGATCTGTCAGCTTCTTGCCATTATAGAAAGGCTTGGTGAGAGCCTCGAACCCATCATCTATGAACGGCATCTTGGCAACGAGCTTGCCGAATGGTGGCAACTGTTGTTGGTGAGTGGAAAAAAATCCCCAAGCTGGCTATGACTGATCGCTATGAGCGTCCCCCACCATTGCTCTCACGCGTCGTGAGATTTTCTGGTTATCCCGTTATCGATAAGAGCAGAGGCTTAAAATTTAAGGTTATCGCCACAAGGATGATCGCGTCAAGCTCCTTGATCCAAGGACGATAGCATAAGCGCCCCGATATAAGTATTGATTTTAGTGGCCCCCCATTGCAGTGAGAGAAAGAGCCTGACGGGATCTTAGGTATGTTCTTGAAAGTGCGTCCATATCACCACAACGAGTCAATTTACGGGCATGTTTGGTGATAATAGTGGAAAAAGGTTACCCAGTTTGGCTATCTTTCACTCATACTCTGCTCCAAGTCCCTAGCTCTTATCACCCAAACTTGATTAGATATGAATGTTATGCTTAGCAAGTATATCTGCTGCCTATTACCTAGGTATGTTCGAGCCGAAAGCATATGAAGGAACCGCGGGGTCTTCCCAAACCTTGGCAAAATAGGCTGGGATAGCAAAAGCTGAAAGGAATTGGTCCGATTCTTGTCTTTTAATTCAATGGGCTTCACTTAGGAGCCCTATACTCGTCGGGGTAGGTCTACAGTTGCATAGTTAGGTAGGTAGGTATGATTACTCATACACACGATACTCGATGCGATGTTATGTTCTTGTTGCAAAGCTGTATAAGATTCAATTTGCACTTTTGCTAATTATACGATGAGGCAATGATGTTGAAGAATACGATACATATATGAGACGTCTTCTATTGCAAAGAAGGACTTGGCTCATAGATTATTGGTATAAAGTCATAGTATAGCCTTCCTGCCAAACTGCTTAATAATGCCTACCTACCCTATGCTGATTGACGATAGGGGACCGACTTGAACTACCTTAAAGTACATAGGTAGGCGAGGTAGGCAATGTAAGCTAGCCCAGCCCCTCTTTACCCCTCCATCATCCTTCGCTGCCCCTCCTTTTGCGACTCACCACTGCAGCTGGTCTGCATATCCGTTGCACGAGTATAATGTTGCGCTGGCACTTCATCCTTGCGCGTCGAACCTATCAGTATTGCCTCCAACGTCCGCATTTGCAGACAGTTTTCATGTGCGAGGTAGCCAAGGTTGGGTGGAAAGAGAGAAAAAAACCTTCAGAATGCAACACCCCGCCATATGTGAGTGAAAGTGGTAGGGCTACCTGTGTATATATAAGAGAACCCCTCCAAGGAGGGAGGGTAGAGTTGGGTTCATCATAGAAAGTTGAATGACTTGTCATATACCTACCGTATCATGCACCATCATGTTTGTTTTCTGGTTGGGGACTAGCCGGGCCCCTGCAGCAACTTTTGGTCAAGGTGCATTGTGTATAATTTGGAGGGCGCTCGGAGAGGTTGTTCTCGGCTTCAAACACAAGCCCTAGCAGATCCCAGGTTTTACATCTTGCACAATACTAAGACGCGTTAGAATGGAGATCGACGTGTGTCTCGGGTTGTCTTATGGCAATAGAGTGTAGGCTATCGGCCGAGGCGCTGCAAACATGATGAGCGGCCGTCAACTAGGTGCGGCTGTGAAGCTAGGTATCTGTGATTAGGTGAGCGCATACTCTCACCTTGCTCGAAGCGTGAGATACAGCCTCTCTATTACGCCCTACTAGGCAAAAGTCGGTGAGCCCCACGAGGAGCAGACGGTCTTAGGTCATCTCATAGCGATTCCAATATAGTCTGGCCACAGATGACGACATCCGAGGCGTATAATCAGCTGTTGGGGTAACAAACCTGCTTCAGTACACGTTGTGTCCTGTTCACCGATATTGCCACCGAGACGCCCATATCCCTAGCTAGGCAGCCAAGCACATCGAGAGATCTCAGACTTATTACGCCATGGGGAGCCAAAGCTATTGCTATCAATCATGAGCTGGCGAGAGGTGTGGTGGTACAGGTACCAGTGGTACGCCGACAGGGTCCCGTATCTGCCCGTACTAAACCACCACAATACTACCAGCATCGTCCCTACAGCGAGGTCTTGAGAGGGCCAATTACGTAGAATGGTCTAATAGGTGGAAGAGATGGTCTAGTATTGCCGTAGTGCCGAGTCTCAGTCATGCCTAGCAAATCGCAACAGGGTCAATATACAGTGGCGAGATCGGCTTCCTTATGATCGTAGCCAAGGTACATTGGGTTTTCCTCTGAGTCTACATATGAGAGGAGACCCTTAAAGTACAACATTCCAGTCAAGCAAGCCACACCTAGTAGACATACATCATCTGGCAGCAGCCCAGATCGCGTGTGACAAAGGGTGAGGGGCAATGGTGTGGTAGGCATACATACCTTAGGTACGGAGTACAGTATGGTACACTACCTAGGTAGGTAGGTAATTATTCAAGGTTGTGTAGGTTTTCCCAAGCAACGTTGCCAGATGTAGCTAGGGATTTTGGCGCGGTACTTTTAATCCTCCAACTACCCTGGCCAACTGCATACTTCGTAGGTTCGGAGGTTCCTAAGAAAATGCCCTATCTATTTGTAGGATCGTGTGGACCTTCTGATAGTGAATCTAGTGGATTATATGTACATATGTCGTCAAACATCTGCCACCCCAGTCTGCCCAGGACAAACCCCAGAAGGAAGAACGGGGGATAGAGAGAGGGGCAAAACTAAAAGGGGCAGAGATGCTGCCACTCGTGGTCTAGGCTATTTAGTCCTCTTCAAGTAAGTCATAGTATGCAGCCTTCCTCAACCTCTCTCCCCTCAACCTGCTTACGTATCTAGACATGGAGATATCTATCTAATTAAGTATGCTGGTACTGAGGGAGATAGACGCTGGCTACATGCGGCGAGTAGGAGTTGGGGATTTTGCTCATCCAACCACAATCCTCCAAAGGTCCCAATTAAACCATAGAACAGCTGTGTACCAGTTGGGGAGCGTTAACATTGGGGGCGAAATCATACAATCTAACGGGCAAAAAAAAAAATATCAAACCCCCTACCTCGGTGGTACAAACAGCACCGGACCCCTGTGGAGCTTTATGTACATAGTATTGAAGCTGATCATGCCGATCGCCGAGAACGGGGGAAGGTAGAACCAGAAATTCACTGCTATTATTCCATTCAAGCCATCAATATGTACTTATTTCGTTCGAGTGCAACGTTTTATATAGCTGCGCATCACCTACAGCCTCTCGATTCCTACCTGTTCAAGACTTTCACCTGTGGTCGTGTAATGTCCCGCGTACCAAGCATTAACCTGAAGGGGCAACACGATTTCGTGCAGATAGCTCGGGAGTTCCCCGCACTAATGGGCGCGCTTATCTAGTATACCCTACTAAACTGGCATAGTCAACATACAGTTATTTTCAGCCTTTTTAACTCTTTGGACGCTTTCTTGCACACCGCTCTATCGTCGTTAGAGCGAGTCCATTTACCCTCAACACGGGGGTTACCTGTTTAAGCCAGTACAGAGTACCGGTGCATATAATCACCAATATACCTAGTTACATGTATTAGCAAACATAAACATGGCAGGAGTACAGGTCAGATTTCCTGGTGTTTTCAAATCAAATCATTATAATAGGAAGCCATACGACTGAAAAGTCAAGCCTCAGGAGCTTTGTTGTGACCTACTTGTTAAGAGCTTGTAAACACCCAAGGATTTGCACAGGTTCAAGCGTCTAGATACCGACCCTACCTAATGTAGTAGACAGGTATAATAAGCACTATGGGAGTACGGCTGAGATCTCACTTGAGCTCATTGATACCTACTGACTTGGGTACTTATTGGATGGCCTGTCTGGTGGGTGATATCCCCGTCATCTGTGGCCTCTCTAGCTGTTGGTCTGGATTTGTCCGAAATAAAGGGATTGAGTGTAAGGATAGAAGACGATGGTTGAACAGCGCAGAGTTGGTCTAATGTCAGATATCTGTAGAAAAAAAAAATTAAGTTTTCGCCTGTTCAGATTGATCGACTACGTGTGCCGCCAAATCGGTCAGAGTGCACCCTACCTTGGGCAAATAATCAACCGAACCACCTGCAGTTGGTTGATTTACCAGTACGTGTAGTTAATCTGTGTTACTGAAGCTCGTGGCCCTGGACATCAAAGAGTGCCAACTCAACACGCTGGCCATTAATTGTGACTACTATTACACACTCAGGTGACTAGGTAGTAAATCTAGGTTAGGTCGCATTGCCGGAAAGCCTACGAAGAGTTTCAAGTGGGAAAACAACAAGTGGCGATTGATACTTGACTTTCCAATGTCACAAAGGTATCCTAGATTCCTACCACCACCTAAGACGCCTCCAGCAGCAACGAAACATACCTACTACCTAGGTACCCTAGTAAGGTAAGATAACCATCAACGCAGATGGCATTTCTGGTACAGGAAAGGCAACTAAGGAAAAGCACATGTATTTGTAGCTGGCGAGTCGCCGAGACCAACGGCTTTTAAGTAGAAGAAAAAGTTTGGCGCTGACAAACTGGTGTCAACGCGGGAGACTTACAGTACCCTACCTACCCTTGTCATGTAGTAGGAGGCCAGCGAACATACCTAGACAACATCCACATACATGTACATACGTGGGACACGGGGCACAACGCAGAGGTAATTACCAACTGCGACAAACTGCAACCAACTCCACGGCTACGTTTCGCAAACGCTTCGCTACAGGCGCCTCTAAATACCAACCTCCACTAAAGACGCATACCTACCATCCAACCTAGGTATAGGTATGCCTCCCTGTGACATATAGCTAGCAAAGTCCCCAACAACATATTGTTAATTACCTACTTTACACTAGGTATCCCTACAGCTAGGGGTCCCTTAGTTTAGAGGTACCTAGCTGGAGGATTGTAGGTGGGTGGAAAACCAGCACAAGGGCCTGAAGGTTAGATGACCTTAGGTAGGTAAGGTAGGTAGGTACCTAGGTACTTAGAGGTAGAGGTATGTACCGACATACTTAAGCCAGGCGGTTAGGCAGGTAGGCAGGTAGGCAGGCCACAGGTAGGGGCACAGCACCACCTAACCTACCTAAGGTAGTAGTCTCAAGCAGTAACAACAGCCTCCTTTACCCTGCACCACCACGACCACCTGCTTTTCTAGAATTGAGACATTGCTCTTCTTGCACTTCGCACAACTCCACTCGCTTTTGTTTCTGTGATTTGCAACTTCCCCCCTCATGCTGCCGCCCCTGGCTCTCCAGGGCTGCGTTCGCATAGGTGCTGTGCTTATAATTGTGATTATCCTAGTGTAAGTTGCTTGAATTCCCGCGGGTCCTACCCCCTCATCACCATCCTCCTCGTCGAGCTGCTGGGCCTACGTGCCCCCTCCCTTCTATCGAGGAGCCAGTCTCACCCGCGAGTCTGACGAGCGCGATCTGCGTCTCTGGCGGAAGGCCGTGTGGCCCCTCAGCACGTTGGCGGTGGCATTACGCGCAATCTGATTTCAAATGGTTGCGGTGCGCCTCTGTGTCCCCTCATCAAACCGAGCCATTATTGCCGCCGCAGTTGTATACACCATCCCACCCCTAGAGTAGATAGGCAGGCCAACTGACTGGTGGGCTTTCAGTCTATAGACTCCGACGACTGCCGATTCGGCCTGTACGAAAGACTTCCGTGTTGTAACGATAAAAACTAGACGCAGATGGATGATTATCGATTTCGCTCTCAGCAGTCTCCGAGAAACGAAGCGCCAATGAATTCCCTTGTCTCACCACAGCGAAATGGCAGAATGCCTTCGCAAGACCCTCGATCCACCCTACCCCGACGGTTCACGACCGATTCGGGGCGTGTACCAACATTGTCCTCTATAAATACCACTCAGCCCCAAGAATATGCTTCAGTCGTGAGTCTCGCCCATGGTCCGAGCGCTTGCCGGCCCAACTCGCGATTGTATTTAGCCTGCCCGTCAGTCTCTGATTAGCATGGCATGTCTCAATCTGCGAATTGACTCGGATGTCTCTCTCCATTGTGGGACCACAAGCTGACCACGTATAGCTTCCCACCCAGTATAAAGTTCAACTGGTAAGCTCTCCATCTGAGGCGTACCGCACATCATACAACATCTAGCCAAACTTCCTTACGCGCGAGGGGCGGAAGGAAGGTTCTCTACAAGAAGAAAAAAAAACCTACTGCCGCATACTAGCATGACTTTAGGGTGAAATAGAAGTCTAGGCTGACCGGTATACCTAGTTGGAGAAGAAGAAGCTTGAATATGAAAAACTTCGAGAGCAGAAACGCAGATTTGAGGCGGAAATGTTAAAGCTTGATCAACAGCAACGGGAGCTACGAGAGGACTTGAGGCCCGTTCTAGGGCTGACGGGCCATCAATCAGAACCAACAACACCACCTGAGTATCGGGAGACACATGGCGGCTTCCCAACCATGTTTTCGCGCCCGAATAGATACTCCATGTCGAGCCTAGCCTCCCCCCCAGGCCTTTTCAACCGGCCGGGCCGTTCTGGTTCACTTCTAACCTCACCGCAGTCGAGCATTATGCCGCCTCGGTACCATGATGACCCATTACCCTACCGTTCAGTGCCCGCTACCCGACGCAATAGTGACGAAGATGAGAAGGAGGAAGCCCTTCGTCAGGATCCCACTAGCCACCGCTCCACAAACGCGTAAGTACCCTTGAACATTAACATCTTTCCTCGGTTTGTATGGTTCATGAAAATGATTAACTACATCAACTTGATCGCTTTCCCCCGTAAATCGTCCTAAGCCCTAGCAAGTGCTATCTCCTACAAGTGTTCCTTAGAATTGGGTGATCACGAACTTTGACACCGAGGGCAAGTGCATCTCATCGTGATCATGATACCCACATATATTCCCTCTATGCCAGTATAATTTCTGCCTACTATCTACTTCGGTTATTTGGCCGAGTCACTGGAAAGAGCATGGAATGAGCTGGTTGTGCCTCCTGCACAGAAGTACCCACCTATATATAAAGTATCTAGGTTCCCAGTCCGAAGTTTGTCATGTGTGCCAGAGCAACACCATTCACCAGCACCACAGCACTTCACTTCACATTCAACCAACATACTACCTATGCCTAAGACACTAGGTAAAGTTTTTCTATAGCCTTATGCTGGAGAAATAAAGGCCTAGGCAAATATTGTGTTGAGGCTCATAAGCGTCTGATTCCCCCACTCACTCGCACACCTAACTCTTATCTACTACAACAAACACACACTAGAACACTAGGTACTTTTTGCAACACAATTTCCTCGTCGTTCGCAAGTGTACTTGCCTCGAAGGCCACAGCTCGGGATTTGAGAGTTATTTTCATTGCCGCGCGCCTTCCTTCCTTCCTCCGTCTTCTCTACGTTGTTGACCTCCTCTACATCACCAGTCTTTACTTCCCCCTCACACTTTCCGTTGAGTCACATCACGTTATATATCAGAAGAATGTATCTGTGCGTCTAGATCATAATAACGCCGTCACTAATCGAGTTTCACATATATCTAGCCTGAACAGGTACTCTATGCCTGTGACCCGACGAGGTAATTTATATGATAACATCGACCAAACCAATACCACTGGGTTTCTCTTCAGAGACGACGACGCAACCATGGAATCCGGCAATTACCCTAGCGTGGATGCGAACGAAGACCACTTTCCTCAGCTCCATCCTCAGAAAGGTAATCCTAACGTGGTAAGTTACCCTTCTGGCATCCAACTTCACTTCGTTACGTTTCCATTCCATCTACACCTGGCATCGGCGGTGGGTTTTACCGACCAGTATCGTTGCCGCAGAGTCCCTGTTTTTCTAGTGTCTTGCAACATCTTGGAGCAGCACCTGGAAGTCATCAGGATCACACACCTCTTACTACAGGAATACTACGTACACGAAAGGATATAAAACCTTTGATACTAATAGCACCAATCCTCTCGTCTTATCTACATCATATGGCTGGGAAAGAAAGAAAAAACAATTCTTTCGACTCTTGTATCTTGCTTGCAGTTACTTGATATCAGAAAATCCTGATGAGTTTCGCATGTGGTGTGCTAACATCTATCATCGGTAGCTTTCCGCTTCAACCTCAGCCATGGATTTGGCTTCTCAGCGTGGAAGCAGTGAAGGAGGCACCACCAATGGCTGGGGAAATATCACGCGTCACCGTCAGCAGCAGAGTTTATCTACCCTACCCTCTTCACAGGTAGCAGACTCCATAGGCTCAGTGCAGGTCGACAATAATCCTCTGGCACCGCGCCCTTTTCGTCATTCGATTGATTTGAACCAATTCAGAGACTCCGCTACAGAGAGTAGTCCTGCTTCCACCATGCCACCTGCGACCATGCCGACCCCTCCGAAGCTACAGGCTTCCTTCTCCGCTAACGACGTGCCAACTGTCAAGACCATGCCGGGTGCTGCGACTTCCTCTGCTAATGCTCATGCCCAGCAACATTTCCACAACCACAACGCTAGTATCGGCCGCTTTCCTCCTGGTGCTATGAAACGACATAGCCGAGAGCTCTCTGGTGATAATCATACCATTGTCACCCAGCCTGGAGGCACATTTCCCTCCATCCAATCCCAGCTACAGGGCAGTGCACCTTCTTTTGGTCCCATGGCGTCAAGCCAGGCCCCAGTCCAATCTCCTGTCTCCACGGGTATGAACACAGCTGCATCGTCCCCTTCCGGGCCGCCCTATCCATATTACACAGGGTATAATAGCCCGCCTGGTCCCAATAGCGCTTACAATATGCTTGCAATGGGCATGCAGAACATGAACATGAACGGATACCCACAACAGAACTATACAGGTTATGGTGCTGTCTATCAGCCATCTGTTCAACCTCGAGACTCGCAACAACGTATAATGCAACAACGTCGGGCTCAAAATGAGGACGGTAAGTGCCACGTCTCCCCTCATAACTCTTCTAATTTGTCCCCCGCTAATACCACTGGCAGGCCAGAATCGATTTATCGGTGCAACTTTGGACCAGTATGGAGGTACCATCTATGAGCTTTGCAAGGACCAGCATGGTTGCAGATTTCTCCAAAAACAACTAGAGAATCGCAACCCCGAACACGTTCATATGATCTGGTTGGAGACTAACCAACATGTCGTCGAACTTATGACGGATCCTTTTGGCAATTATTTGTGCCAAAAGCTCCTGGAATATTGCAACGACGAAGAGCGCACTGTGCTTATTCAGAACGCTGCTAAGGATATGGTCCGTATCGCGCTAAATCAGCATGGCACTCGAGCTCTACAGAAAATGATCGAATTTGTTACTACGCCAACCCACGTCAAGATTATTATCGAGGCCTTGCGTGACCGAGTGGTGGAGCTGATCCAGGACTTAAATGGAAACCACGTCATTCAAAAATGCCTGAATAAGCTTGCCTCAGTGGACTCTCAATTCATCTTCACTGCCGTTGGTAACCATTGCATCGAGGTAGGCACCCATCGCCACGGATGCTGTGTTCTGCAGAGATGTATCGACCACGCATCTGGTGAACAAAAGAAATGGCTGATTTCCCAAATCTCCCAACATGCGTTACGTCTTGTCCAGGACCCTTTCGGCAATTACGTTGTTCAGTACATAATCGATTTGAACGACCCTAGTTTCACCGAGCCTCTCGCTCAACGATTTTTCGGTCGCGTCGTGGAACTTTCGCGCCACAAGTTCAGCTCCAACGTAATTGAAAAGTGCTTGCGCTGTGCTTCCGAAAAAACCAAAGATACGATGGTTAGGGAGATTCTCGCATCTGGAGAGTTGGAGCGACTTCTCAAAGACGGGTTCGGCAATTATGTTATTCAGACCGCTTTGGATCATTCTTCGGTACAACTGAAGCATGAGCTAGTCGAGTCCATCCGTCCCATACTACCCGGTATTCGTGGCACACCTTATGGACGACGCCTAGCGGCTAAGATTCAGCAGCACGACAACCAGAATGGTAATAACAGTGGTCAGACTACTCCATCTGAGCCTACACAAAGCCAGATCGTGCTTAACGGTAACCAACATCGCGCTATGACAAGCCAGTCAATTCTCGCGCCAGGTGTCTATAACAATGGCTTAAATGGCACGCGGGCGCAGATGAGCTACCCAACTCCGGCAAACATCACGATGCCAAATCCACCAAATCCACCACCTCAGCCACCTCGAATGAATGCATATCAGGCCTACCCTGGAGCTGGTAACAATCACGGAAATGGTGACGGAGCTTTTTTCTAGGGCATCAAATATACCTACATTGTAACGGTACGATACACGAGCTGGGATGATATGTACCTTTGGCGGCTTTCTACTTCTATGATTTTCTGGCCTTTGATAGCATGAGTGGATGTTTCCTATGACCTTGACGACATCTCGTTGATGACAATAATTGTCTTCTTTTCGGGCACTGAAACTCTCATGCCGTCGACATGCACCACGGGCGTACCTCAATAGCACCCGTCGTCTCAGGCTGCTCTGTACACTAGTCGCGCCGTGGTGCATGGCATATTACTGCTCTGATACACCGTGCTTTTGAGCTGTTACACATGGTCTTCGCCATCAACAACGGCCGCTACACGGGGTTTTAGGCTCTTTCATGTATTTGGATCCCGGCTCGATTTCGACATAGACTTCTTTTTCTTTATTTTTCTTTCAAAGGTTTCTTTCGCCTGGCAAACCGTTCCTCGTGTAGCCAATATTCTGCTCGGCTCGCATGGGAGCTCCCAATTAGTTCGGGAGTTCTGTTATTATGGCATCTGACCAGCAGAGCTAACAAGGCATCTGGGGAAACACGCAACATGCTATGGATACTACGTCGCTTCATGATAGATGGCAAGCTCAGATTGGATTTCGGGAAACAAAGCCTTCGCCTCGAAGGTATCTTTTCCATCTATCTTATCACGGTTTCAGCAATTTCGACAGTGGAAGTGTGTCATTTCATTGGGGGCATGAGCAATTCGACGATGATGACGAGTGAGAAGTAGTGCGGCTGACTTGCAGTACCAGAGGTGGGGAGAGGAGGCCGGTGCATTGTGTTATCTGATCCTGTGCATCTTTTTTTCTGCTTCACGAATATTCCCTTGAGATATTTCTTCTTCACTTCGTTGTATGTTGGTAGATTCCTACGGCTTTTCTGGTCTGGCATTTGGACGCGTTCTTCATGCAACGATGCGTATGCGTTCACGTTCACTTTTAAGAAAGAAAAAAAGATTTGCGCCAGAGGAATCCGATTTGCTGTACTGCCAAATAGGTTAATCGATCAAAGCTTCACAAATCTTCTTCTCTCTCGTGGTGTAGTAGTTGGAATAAACTTTGTAAGCTCTGCGTCATGTAGAAGGTTTCTTCGCAGACTATATGGTTTGCGCTGTTTATTTCAGATTGGGGGGTCTGGTGATAATTGAGTTTTGTAAATGCAGTCCATCGTAGATCAAACTTCTAGTGTAATAGTATTTAGGTCAGGTAGGTTACCTACGTCTGCAACTAATGGGATTAAGTCGTGCGCTTGCCGGATGTGCTGTCGATGTATATATTTCTAGCGCCACCAGGCGCGCGGATAGATCCGAATGTTAAGATTAGCATTGAATTGGGTTCGGGGCTGATTGGTTAGGGGTGGATGTCTGGGTATTTTGCTTTGGACTGTGTATCAGAGTTTACTCGCGAGTTTCTTGCCTCTCGTCTTTCTGTATTGTATTGTGTGTGTGTATGTTCTGGGTGTGAGAATGTATGTACTTGTGAAGTTACTTGGTAGTTGAGTGTGCGAGGTGATTGCGTTCGTGTTTTGAGGGTTGGGTTTGCTTGGTATGAATGTGGTGGTGGTGGTGGCGAGTGTGTTTATGTATATGTTTTGTAGAGATACATGGACGGACATGTATATACATGTGCTATGTGCTATGTGTTATGTACGTGATGACACATGTATTGGGTGAAGGTACTGTGTTTCGAGACCAGAGACATCGCGGTGAAGGAGGTGGGCGTGCGTGTGAGACGAACGCATATACTACGTAAGTTCATATAACGATGGGGCAGTGTCTACTGATTTGGAGTTGACGATGAATTGTCTCTTGCATAAAGGGGTATTCGAGCATGTAGATTTGGTTCATGTAAATACTAATACAGCACTCGCTGTTCACTATTCACGGTCATCAAGAAGACAGCGGTTGACTGGAGAGTATGTAAATTGAATATCTGAAATTCGAAGCTCAACCTGGAAGTATGGCTATGAAACGAACGCCAAACACCATGCCTAGTCTGCCCTTCAATCATGTCGATGGGTATCGGTCCGTATCCTCATGGGAAGTGAGAAGGAGGAGCTTTTCTTCGATCAATTTCGACATTTTCGACGTTTTCGACGTTTGTCTGAGACTTGCGATCCCTCAGTGTGCCAGTCTTGCGCATTTGACGACTGCTCGTCGGTATTAGAACGCTTAATCCCTTCTGAGATTCCAGCTTCTTCGTTACGCCAGTCCTGTAACGTCGACAACGAGCGTTGAGTTTTAGGGTCCTCAGACCCCATGACTCGAGTCCGTAACTGGTAACACTTCTCCATCAACTCAATCGCTTCATGAACACGGCCTTGCTCTTTCCACGTGCATGCAAGGTTGTGCATGCTTCCTAATGTATCAGGATGTTCGAGCCCTAGAATCCTTTTCCCGATCTCTAGTACTTGCAACTCTAAAATTTCACATTTTTCTAATCGCCGATGAGCGTAGTGGACATTTGCCAACCAACCCAGAGTCCATAGCGTATCAGGATGTTCTGATCCAAAAACCCTTTCTTCAAGCTCTAATACTTGTAATAATAGTGACTCCGACTCTTCTAACCGACCTAGACGCTTATATGTGATTGCTAAATTCTTCATTGTTGTCAGTGCATTCCGATGTTCTGCTCCCAATACCTTTTTGTAAGTTTCCAATAGTTGTGATTGTAGCAATTCAGCTTCTCTTAACCGCTCTTGATAATAATATACCGAGGTCAAATTGTTGATAGTTGTTAGTGTATCGAGGTGTTCTGATCCTAGCACTCTTTTATTAATCTCCAATACTTGCATCAAAAGTGATTCGGCTTTTGGGAATTGCTCTTGATGCCAGTATATTATTGCCAGCACCTGGATGCTGTGTAATGTGCATTCATTTTCAAGTCCTAGTGTTGTTTTTTCTACCTCCTGAGCACACGTTAAAAAGGCTTCGGCTAATGTGAGTTTACGTTGCTCAAGAAAGAAATAACCACAGTGGTGCAAAACGATGGCCCATTTGATTAATGTTTCATTTTCATTTGGGCGATAATGTATGATTTTCTCAGCATGCGGCAAAAGCTGTCGGCAGATTCCCCAATTCTCAAACTCGGGGTACGGAAACGCATTGGCCATCCGGTCGATGTACTGCTCCTTAAATGCCTCTGTTTCGCCGTGCAAATCTAGCCATTTCCTAGTCGACAGCTGGACCAGTCCGTGCATCTCAAAAACATCTCCCGCCTCATTCGTCTTGATCAGGCAGTAGCTTCTAAGAATTCTAATGTCTTCTTCGAATTCTGGATTTGAAGCCAAGCTAGACGTCGTGCTTTCATTGTCTGAGTGTGCTTCATCGTCGCTTTGCTCGTCCAGGTCCATTGGTTGAATCAAGTAATCAAATATACCTTGGGAATCGAAAAAGCTCATTAGTGACAATAGGTTGGTTGCGGATGGTCGTATGGAGCGTATATAGTCGAACGAGATCTGCCATGTTATGATGACAGAATTCGATGCGCTTCCATCTCGTCGCAGATCTCCAGAATCGTAGTTCAAAAGGCTCGACTGGTTTTCCTCATTCCTTTGAAACTTGTCCAAATACGTCTTGACCGAGACACGAGGTGCTCTCTCTTGTATATATGCAGCAGCCTGACTGATGGCTAGGGGCATGCACTCAAGCGCTTCTACTAGCTTGAGTCCATCTTCATTGTCGTATTGGGATCCTGACCTTGCTGCGAGCAATTCAAGAGCATGGGCTCTGTCCATTGATCCAACTTCGATCATGTTTTTGTGGTTACCTGTGAGCCTAGAGGCTAGTTCTCCACTCCTAGTCGTAACGAGAATCGATCCATTTGAGCTTTGTGGGAGATATGTCCAGAGGGGTCTTTTTTGTTCTTTTGTTGTTTCTTTTTGTTTCCCCTTGTTGTTTATATCATAAAACACGTCGAGATCGTCGGCACTATCGAGGACCATAAGCCATTGCCCAATCCGCTCATTTTGTAGCCATTGATAGACAAGCTGCAAGATGTTCACACCGGACTGATTTCGGCCAGGGACTTCGGCGATGTCTGCGATCCGCTTGAAGTCTTCTTCAACACGCGCTCTCGTGCTTGCATGGACCCAGAATGCCCAAAATTGTCTGTCTTCTTGCTTGAACCTATCTCTCATCCTGTACGCGTGTTCGATGGCCAGTTGTGACTTGCCAACGCCCCCTAGCCCTACAAGAGCGGCGCGTGAGGCAGGTCTTAAGCATATGTGATGTAATTGATCCATTATGATTTTACGATTGACAAAATCATCGTCTCGACGGAAGGGGATATTGAATGATGGGGCTGATGGCGTTTTCGCTGGTTCGGGCACTGCATTATTAGGTTAGCAAAGCGGCGACAATGTCTCTGCGACAGTTGATAGGGCTCTGTAGATGAGCTACCTGTATTGTAGATGTTTCCAACATGAACCCTGCCATGCCCAGAAACACCTAGCGTCCCAGCAGAGTTACTCGTTGCCATTGTACGTATTTACGTGATCACTAGCAAGACTTTGGCGTTGAAGTTGGTCGGAACATGGAGATGGGTGGAGAGTAGTAGGCAGACATGAACGAGTGGCAGCCTCCCAAGGTCACGTCAACCAGCCCCCAACCTCTTGAGCATGCATAGATTGGCCGCGGGCTATTCTTCACCACTCGCATGCTTCAGTTTCAGCCACATCGACCCCTCATACACCATACAGGCCTTCTCTATCGGGCGCTCGTGGCCTTGGTACAAGCCTCACATCTTTGCGCTTAGTAGCTTGTTTGTAGTCATGCTACCACTATCACAATGGAGGCATTTGGCACTGCAACCAGCGTATTGAGCGTAGCATCTCTATTTAATAATTGTGTTATTTGGTTCGAGTACATCCAGCTCGGCCGGCATTTCGCCCGGGATTACGAACGATGTCAGCTGAAACTCGACATTGCGAAAACCCGCCTAAGTCGATGGGGTGAGGCTGTCAAAATCAACGAAGACCAACGATTCGCTACCCATGAACCCTTCGATACAACTTGCCAACAGGTCCAAGCCATCTTGGAAGAGATCGATCAGCTCTTTGGGACACTGCAAAAATCGTCGAAGCGGTACGTGATTGGCGCGAAACCAGAGGACCTCGAACTCTGCCAGGTCCAGGACATGCGACCTATGGCCCAGAAGCTACACAATCGTCTTCATAAAGTTGTCAGCCAGAGGCAGAAGCGAACTGGCTTTTTCAAGAAGGCTGCTTGGGCGTTGTACGATGCCAAGAACTTTGACAAGCTCCTGGGACAAATTACGGGGTTCATCGATGATCTGGAGAAGCTATTCCCCGCAGAACCCGCCCGTCATACACTGGTAGAGATGGAGATCGAGGAGATCAAGGAAGATGAGCCGAGTCTACAGGCAGTGCAAGACGCCGCAAATGATATCGATCCAGCCATGTCCGAAGTGGTTGCTGATAGACTGAAGATACTCGGAGGGCACAATTCCGCGTCAGACGTTCAAGCTGAAGAGACGGCGCGAGTGCTAATCGGCAATGGATGGACTGATGCTGCGCTGGCAAATATTGGCGTTGGTGTATCTGAGCCAACCCAGAACAGAGCAGATAAAGTCATCGCCAGAGGCTCTTCGTCAGTTATGATTGGGAACAACCATGGAGGGCGTGGTTTCTGGGATTCTCGTTAGCCTTACCCAGTTTTTAGGGATACTTTCATATGCAAGGGTTATTAGATAGCAAAGGGGGTCGAGATGAGTCTTCAGCGGTAAATTTCCTAGCACATTTATATATTAGCCTTCCGAATCAACAATACTCTCTCTTTCCTACCTAAGTAGTTGCTAGGTGATGTCGAGTAAACAATCGGCATTCCGCCAACCTATACTACCATTATCAAATGGCTTCCTCTCAAGCCTAGGCACATTTCAATCTTTCAACCCCAACCGACTTCACGATATTGATATGTACGAAGCAATATAAGCATAGAAGGAGAGTCGGAAAAAGGACCGCAAAGGAGAAGCAAGGAGAAGGAAAAGCAAAGATGAAGGAGCTGATGAAAAAGGGTGAATCAGTGAAACCCAACCCAAACTTACCTACCGAAGCAGCGGGTCTACCACCAACGACGTTAAGATAAGGAATGCCAGAAACACATCCCTTACATATGCCACCAAAATCACCTACTACCTGATTACCAATATTCCCTATACCGGGACAAACACCAAGATCTCAAGTCCATAAATCAACACATACGTATAAGAATATACCCAACTTCTGTATACGCGTCCGTAACCCATCCAAACCAGCAGTCCACAAGCTGAGATGTGCGCGTCAAGAAATCATCATCTCGTCAATCTGTCAAGTTGCAGAAGCCACTTTTCTCTATCGGACTGACCGCTTACCGACTAATTTAGTCCATTCCCTTCTGTCATTTCTGTCAACTCCAACGTCGCGTACCAGATGAGGGTAGAAACCACCGTGGGCAGTAGCTCATGCAGGTAAATCTTCGTAGGTACTCTAGAGAATGGGGGAATGTATAACTTAACATGTCTACATTTCATTTATCACCGGGTAGCTGGATATGGGATACACAGACATGCACGTACTTTGATAGAAGACGAAGAGACCCCGTAGATTATTAGTCAAACCGAAATGATATCACATTCATAAAAAAGACGCATAACATCGTGTAGCGAGGAATACTTTCTGTTCCTTCTCTCACTAAATAGCGTAACTCCAGCCAATTTTCATGTGCCAGACGCATGCCCTGTTGACCGTGAAGCAAGACCTCACTCCATCCCAAATCATGAAACAGGTTTCCACACTCCTAATTTTCACCGCGTGTAGTGCCTCTAGCAGCACACGCTTATCGGTAGCGCCAGAGAGAGAGGGTGTTGTGTCTCTTCCAGGTCTTTCTGCGACCAGCCTTGGTCTTGGTGTAACGGTGACCTTTGTTGAGACCGCGGGACTTCTTGCCAGTGGCGGTGAGACCACGGGACTCGCGGTGCTTGTGAACGGGGTTGACGATCCAGTTGATGCGGGGATCCTGGCGGATGGCCTTGTGCTGAGGGTCGACGAGGATGACCTCGTAGTACTTGTAGGTGGAGTCCTGGTTGATCCAGTACGAGTTGAGAACGCGCAAGTTGGCGCAGCGGCGGCCAACACGCTCCTCGGCAGTGGACTTGAGAGATCGCTGGTACTTGAGTTGGTTCACACCCTGGTTGGTGGGCTTGCCTGTTTTTGAAAATTGGTCAGCCGCGTTTCCCAAGCATGCCTTGTATAATCAAATCGCATCTCAGCCTGGTTGAGAACTCACCGTAAGTGGCACCCTTGGGCACGGGTCGCTTGCGGCCACCGCGGCGGACACGCACACGGTAGATGACATAACCCTGCTTGGCCTTGTAACCGAGACGGCGGGCCTTGTCGGGGCGGGAAGGACGAGAGGCGCGGTGGATGACGTTCAATTGACGGAGCTATATTAATGCACTCTCAGCTAATGTTCAACGAGTGTATAGCAAAGACACGTTCTCGAGAGAGAGAAGACAGCGTCCACAGAATCCACAGCATCCACGTCTCGGTCTTGATTGTAGATATTTGTGTTTGTTCGCGCGTCTTCCGTGTCGGGATAGAATTCGGAGGTTTCAACATACTTCCCAGCAGCGGACTCGGAGAAGGAAGAGCAGGACATCAGACTGCTTCTTCTTCTGAAGCTCTTCGACGTACTTGAGGGCACCCATCTTGACTGTCGGCGAGGCACGGCTGGTGTTAGCTGGCACACTTCATGTACGACTTTAATATGGAAAACAATTCAGATATGATGGATTGACGTACCAGGTTGGGAATTGAGGCCTGCAACAATGGATTGTCGAGTGTCGTTGGTGGTCTTGTTGAGAGAGGAATGGAAAATCTCCAAATCGATCACCAGAAATTTGATGGTGGAGGGGATTGTGTGGGCAGTTTGTCGGAAAAATTAAGCGATTATGCGCTAGTACGGAAATATACTAGCCGAATTCAATGTCGATAAGCCTGTGGGCTGTGCCATTATGCACCGCCACGATTATGCCCCTTAGAACTGTGGAGATTGTGGCTTATTATACACGATAACTGTCAATTGTACCTATCAGCCAGTGCTTGAAAGCTTTATCTCACATTGAATTATTCAAGATGCTTGACTCCAAAGAATGCTGTGTGGACATTGATTAACCCATCATACTCAGAGATCGCATGCTAGCAAAGATTCAGCTCTCTACGTTACATTGCTTTGAAAATTAAAGGCCATTTGGTTGGATGCAGTCCGCAGATTATTCCGTCTCCTATTGAAATCGCTCCTCCTCGAGAGGGATAGTTCGTGCAATCGCCGTGACCTGTCTCAATGAGTCTTCGGCAACTTCCCCCCATGTCTCTTGGTCTGAATTTCTTCGTACGCCTTTGAATAAGTCCTTGACGAGCTGTTCCTTTTCGCTTGATCCTAGTTGGTCGATTTCTGTGCTCCCCATCGAATAGGGTGCCAGTGCGTTTCCCAACAGAACCTCTCCGTAACTGCTACCGTACGCCAGGACTTCTTTGAAGTTGATCTCATCTTGCTCCCAAGTAGACACAGGAAGAGCCAGCTTCTCAGACTCAAGTTGTGTTTCCTCCATGGTCTCGAGCCCTTTTAGAAACGAACTAACCTCTTCCCTCTGAGCCCGGCGTCTCTGGAATAAGGGGTGATCCTCCTTACGCAGAGCATCTAGTCGTCCATGTTTTCCATCAATTAGCTGTTGGGAGATTTGCTTTATCACCCCGCCAATTTTTCCTTGGTCTTCGGTCCTAAATTTGTCGAATGAGCATTAATAGTGACCAGGAGCGAATCCAGATTTACTACTAACAATTCCTTTTCTTTATCTTGACAGAAAGCTTTCAGCTCCAGGCCTTTTCTTTCCACCTCTTTTCGAAAGTCTCGAAGGAAATCCTTAGACTTAGCTGCCTGGACGTCGATTGCTTTAGCTAATATTTGATATTTCCTGTTTCTTGATATTAGTTCCTGTCGCTATTTATACGGAGAAAGGCTGGTAGCTGCCTACTCGCTCCCTGCTCGCCCTGGGTCTTCGTCGTATTCCTCTAAATGATGAAGCTTGTTCTTCTTGCCACGCGTTCTTGCTGCAGGCTGTCGGCCGGACTTGCCTAAGTAGAATCCACAGTTGGTCATTAACGGACTATGATGGAAGCAGCAATTGCGAGAAGGACTCACCGGCACCGTGGTTCGTGGTTTGAGTCCTGGTAGTCGGAGGCATGCTGACTAGAGTAGTGGGGACGGAAAAGAAAATCAAGAGGATGCGTCTGTTCTAGCCTGAAGATGATTTGCATACGTCAGAGCACCCCTTGAATAATGTCACACGGCCAAGAGAGCCTTTGTCACAAATAAGGATGGGGCTCGGACGAAACCCTATAGTTTTTGATTTTATGGTGACAGAAATGATCGAGACTACCCCCAAGAAAGTCAAAATGATATGTCTCAACAGTCCTGGAAATGGATCCAGGGGTCAACTCTTGCTCGAGTATAATGAGTAGGTAGGTAAGTAAGTCGATGAGAAAACGCCAAGTTTCGAAGGCGGCGCTCTTACCTTCAAAATCGACCAGGACATGCCTGCCTGTCTGCCTTTTACGCATCGTGACTGCCAGCCCGCCGGCCGGGGAGCTCAGGAGAAGCTGCCGCGGCTGCCTAGATTAAGCAGACCGTGTGCCTCCTTCCCTATCTCCTACCTGATGTTTTCCCACATACCTGCATACTTCAATTTCACTACCTCGCTCATCAGCTATCTAGGTATCTTCATCAAGGTAATACCACACACACTTGGAATTAGAAATTAAAATCATTTTGAACTCGACGACTAGTTCAATACGGATCAGAATGTTAATTGTCCCAAGTCCATAAGTTTGTGTAGGGGCCGCTTCTTATAGTATTTTATCTTCCTATCAAAGTAGATGAGGAGGATGCGAGATATCCTCACACGACTACAAATAGGCCATTACATACTCGCCTGTACAACTTTCTACGGCGATCAAAACTTGAGAATATGGTGACAGTGGGGAAATTAACAGTATGAACACTTGCAATGCTGGTATTGGCCATCTACTTATTTGACGGAAAACATCATCTTTGTATCCACGTTCCCTAAAGAATCTACCTGCCTCCACCTACTTGAAAGCCGTTGCTCTTGTTGTATCTTGTCCAAATGAACACGACAGCCAGGTTCCATACAATTTCTTTTATTCCTTTTCTTGGTCGTACATGAGTTCCCCTCGGGAATACCCAACTGCAATTGCACACGTCCTGGTTTTCAGCTCAAATTACACCGGTGCCGTGCAACCATCTCAGTCTATAATCGCCTCCTTTGAATCCAGTGGTAGTTTTATCTTGTTGCCAAGTCTTAATGCCGTCGTCATGAGTCAAGTGAGTCGTGAGAGAGCAGAAGCGGGGCTTGGACTAGACCCCGTCCTGCGCCTGTAGTTCCAACTACGTCTTTAGCCGTGTAAAACAAAGCCCGGCCAACACCAAAATCTCATTGCCATCCTCTTAATCTGCCTTGTTTTCTTGGGGATACTATGGTACGCATAAAATATAGTACGAGAAGCGAATGTATGGTGGCGGCGCATGTCCACGTTAGAAGGGGAAAATATGGGGTGCCTTTAGCGAGTGTTCAAGGACAGCCCTTGGAACGCACCAACCCATTCAGTCTGATTTGCTAGGCTAGGTTGCACCTGATCATGGGAAGCCGGGTTTTCATGTGGACTCGAGAACCTCGCCCGCATTGTCGGCGGGAATTCACCATTCTGCGGGAAACTTGCACCGTAAGCATCCATGGTTTGCACCATGCCCGGCATATAAGATGTTGCTCTTGGAGCGCCACTATAACTCCCGTACCCTGAATAGGGGAAGTTCGCTGGTGGGTAGGCCGAGCCCCCCGTTGACGGTCTATCTGTCGCAGTGAACGGTGCGCTAAAGGCTGGCTGGAATGAGCGACCGCTCGGGTTGGCGTTAGCAAACATGCTTTGCGGTTCCTGCGTCTGGTTGGCTCGTCTGTCGGTGTTGTTTGAACCGCCCGCTCTCCCCAGCCCAACAGCACCAGGGCCAACACCACTAGGTGCTTGCAGGCCAAGAGTTGGGCTAGCAAACGAGGCCGGATTGATGGCGGACATCCAGATTCTCGTCTTGTAGATCTTGAAAAGGTCAGTTACAAGAGAGTTGAAATTGATGTAGGAATCCGCGAAGTAGTAGAACGTTAGCTTCTTCCAATCCCTAGAATAAAAGAGCCAAATTAGCGATTGCTCCCAGGCTTAGACCATTGTCACACTTACATCTGGAATTCAGCGTCGAGAATCTCCATATTGAGACCATGCTCTTTTACTTTTTGCATACACATGCGCTTAGCTTTCGCTTCGTTCCCCTCCTTATCACGAAGACCAGTAATTTCGTGGTTCTGGGCCAGACGTTTGATCATCTTGGGTTTCAGCTCGCCTGAGTTAGGCTCTTGCATATGATGCCCGCTTGGAGGGCCCATGCCACCAATAGCACTTCCCTGAAGGCCGTTCGACGCAGCCATCAGACCGGCACCGGTGCCCTCTTGGGCGCCAGCTGCATTCTGTGAGTACATTACTAGCCATTTGTAGTGCTCCTCTGCATAATGCTCCTTGAGCTCTTTCGCAGTCTGCCAGTCGACGTTTTCTCGAGCTACAGTCCCTAGGTCCGTTCCTCGGTCGGCTTCGACAATGACCAAGTCACCAGGTTTAACGGTTAAGCCAGTGCCCTCCTGAATATAAAACACATCTGCTCGTGAACATTTGAAAAGTACAATATGCAGGAGCTGGTTATGTCTTGGTTGATTCATGCCATACATGTTTCGATGGGGTGATGGCGGACGGTTCGAGTAGCTAGGAGTTAGCCCAAACGACGGTTGATACGGGGTGCCATAAGCCGATGATGCAATGGTTTGATGGGCGCTTGGAAGATTAGAACCTGCAGAGTAAAACGACACTTGGAAGTAAGTTAGCTCAATTGCGGGAGTAGAAGATGAATTTCTCATTCCTACCTGGACTAGTTGTATTAAAGCCAGAGGGATCCGCGAATGTGCCGAACTCCTGGCTCTGAGATGCATCTGGCGAAGTGGCCTCGTGCAAGGATACAGCTTCTCCCATGGAGCTAATAGAAGGTTGCCGGGTGGGCACATCAGCAAACGAATGTCGTCGACTCTGAGGAATATCGGCTAACCCCCCAAAGCCCAGAGAGCTCTGCCAAATAGCCCTCTTAACATTCTCGAGCTTTCGGTTCTCTGCTGTATTATAAGGAGGTCGATAAGACGCTCCATATTCACTCATACGACGAGCGAAAGCTCGTTTCATCATAGGATCCTGACCGTCATTCATCTCATCAAGCTCATCCACGGCATAGTCCGACTCCTCCGGTACAGGATCATGAAGGCTATATCCGTTTCCCAATCCATAGGTGGCTGCAGTGGATGCGCGAGGTCTGAGCCGGGAGCTTTGGTATTGCTGTTGTCGTAGTATGGCGTTCTCACGAGTAAGCATTTCGATTGTCTTGGCATCGGCGCTTTGCTGCTGTTGGCTTGTTTGAGCGGAGTCGCTAGTACTCTCTTCGTCATCTTCCACCTCCTTCACCTTTCCAAGCATTGCACCTTCGTTAGACATCTCGCTCAACATACTAGGTCGAGAGGGGCGATGCTGTAGTCCCGGTGGGCCGACTGGACGTGATCGTCCAGCCAATGTAGACGATGTAGGCATCGCTGTGGTCGACTCCGGATCCAACTGGCCGACAGAATAAGACTGTGAGCGATACGTCTTCGGAGTCGGATGCAGTGGTATAGCAAATGGAATTTGTGAGCTAGTCCCTTGTTCTCGAGGAGTAGGAGACGTTTGAGACATAGAGGCTTCGCTGTTGAAGAAGCTTTGGCCAGGTGGTACAGTTGATGTTGGTGATGGCAAGACTTCAGTGAGCCGAGAGGGTGGCTCCTTCCGCTCAGAAGTCCATATGCCCGTCCCCCAAGGGAAGGATGGAGCCTGGTGCCCGCGACTCATAGTTCCAGAAGATGAATGAGGTGCCCAAGCGCCAGCACCAGGTTCCGCCGATGGCGTACTCGGATGAGACGTTGTGGGAGACATAGAGCTTCCAGCAAATGAGCCCTTCCTAGGATGAGGTAGCGTGGCTTGTGATGTGTCGTTCAACCAAGACGCACGGCGAACAGGTCTTTGGGGTTGCATGGGGGCTTGCGGTGTGTCTTGTCGGTGATTGTCCGGCTCATCATCGGAGCTGGCAAGAGCCTCAGAGTCTGGTGTAGACCTGCGGACATTGAGCTTGTCAAGAAGGATGGATTGGTTGTTGGGCGCAAGCGCTGCGATGCCCCCTTGGCCGCCCTTCTGTGCGGGCCCAGATTTAATGTTGCTAGAGCTCATGGTCTGTAAATGAACATGAATCCTCGGTGGTATCCGAATTCCAAGCCGCTGGCATGGACTACAATGCGAGACGTATATACTTCTAGCTCAGAGCGAAAAAGATGAAGTGCCTCGTGGGTGAATAGGGCGATCTAAAGGGATGCTTTCTGTTCGAATCTTGAAAAGTGTGTTTTAGTCGGTGTTGATTGAGTCGTAAAGCTGTTGCAGATGTCAGTATACATGTAAGGCGAACCAGGAGAGCCAGCTCCTTGGGCGTCTAGTGAAACCCGAATCGGGTTCGCTTCTGCTTCCCACTAACCACGTCTTACGAGGGCCGAAACACTTGACATCGGCCGACTCGCAGACGCCGCCGGTATATCTCGTAGAAACAGCGGGCAATTACAAGCGGGGTGTGTATGGAAAAGATGTGCTACTGACCAGGTTGAGTAGTATTATTACGTCTATCATGGGGTATCGCGAATCCGTCTAACAACCGACCATAGATCAGGGAATAGTAACAAAAAGAAAATACCAACAACGGGTGCACTGAAAAACCGCCCAGTTCGAAAACACCCACGGATTGGTCAGGGCTCTAGACACGCCACGGTAGGGTCTTCTCCTCAGGCCAACGACAAGACAGCAAATATTAGGACGTGTCAGGGGCGAGAAACGAAGTCGCGGGGCGTATTTTTTTTTTTTTTTAATTTATTTCGCAGGTCTCACGTAGGACGGACTGGGTCGAGAGGGGCTTGGATAATATTCGAATGACGAGTCTAGTACAATTGGGCGCGCGAACGGAACGTATAAACAGAATTAGAGGTCTGGCTGAGATAGACGAGATGATGGGTTGAGATTCTGGGCGGGTGCTCGGTCTGTTCCCTTGCTCTTCTTTATATTCTTGCTTGCTCTCCTTTTATTCTCTTTCTGGTCTTCTTCCAGGGTAGCTCACTTCGACAAATTGCGACGGCGCTATATGCGGCGGCCCATTGTCGAAAGGGGGTCGGGTTGAGTCGTCACGGAGCTGTCGATGCGAGCGTGACGTACCAGCAGTGCAGCAGAGACCGGGTCGTCAGGCCACGACACAACTCAAGTTGACGGCTAGTTGGAGGATTGCGACAAAACTCGCAGCAGACAAAGGGAATAAAGAGGGGGGAAAGGTGGGAGGGAGGAAGGTAAAAGCGAGAACAAGAGATGATGGATGATTTTGGGAGCGGGGAAGAGAGTTGGGAGAGTTAAAGAGGGCGTCGGCGCAGAGCAGCATCAGAGGCCAACTACATGCATATCCGTACCTACCTTGCTACAGAGTCCACGTACCTACTACGGGTTAGCAAAGTTGAAGTCCCCTGCCCTTCCTACTTGATGTATCTACACCTGTACCGCCTAGTACCTACTAGTACCCATTCGACAGCCTACCGTCGTGGTATGAGGTAGGTAGGTAGGTAAAGAGATACCGTACTAGGTATGCGTAAGTAAAAGTGTGCAGGCAGTGTGCCGTGCGCACCCTGTTCTCTTCTTCGAAAGCAGTTAGTAGTGTTGCCGCTAAGATTCTCTCGTACCCGCTACAAAGCGGGTAGGAAGGGTGGGTGGCTGGTGGGGATCAGAGTTCGCCCATGCGCCCCTGCTGGAGACATACACTACATGTACTTACATAGGTAGGTACATAGTACTAGGTCTGTAGGTACGTGTTTGCTGTGGCCAATCCCGGACAGTGACCTTCATTCCTACAGTACCTCTACATATGGGAAAGCTGTTACGAGCTTGAGTGAGTAAGCATGTTACTATAAAGGCGGATAGGATACCTAGGTAGGTATATATATACTATGTAGGTATGTAGGTGCTCCAAGTTAGCTACTTAAGTACAACGATGGGTGTTAAGTAATTGGATACCTAGGTATCCACACTAAAGCTCTCGCCCCAGGCAAGAAGAGACGGGCGGTGCAGCACGCCTGATACCTCCCTAATAGGTACTACGGACACTGTTTGCTAGCATCTTAGTTAGGCGTAGAAATGCGTGCTTACGGTAAATGCGTACCAACACTTACTAGATCAGGTACTTAGACACCCCAGTAAGTTACCTAATAACATCCCCGTGGCGGGCGTGTCATACCGAACACAATTAACATTCTATGCCTGGACCGCACCATCATGCGACAGATGTGCATGTCTCGGGCGATTTAGAAAATGGTGTTCAAGACCTGGCTGTCATTCCCGCATTGTTCAACATAGTCACTGATCTAACAACCTAAGCTCGTAGGCAGTGAGTACTACATATAAGGCTCGATAGGTATGTATGTTGCTTAGTCAAGACTCCTCTGTCAACCTACCTAGGTAGGTAGTTAATAAGTAGCTAAGCAAGTCATTCATTCCATCTGAGATTGGGGGGCAATGGTTCGATTGGCGAGATCCTCGACAAAAACGGTCGACGAAGAACAATCTTGAGTCTACCATACCATCTACACTGTACAAGTAGATCGACCCTAGGCTCTCTCTCTCTCTATCGTCTCTCGTCTCTCGTCTCTCGTCTCTCGTCTTGTGCTATGCCCTGTACACACACAATATGCAGCATGATATGGATACTTTGATCGCAAGGACCCTCAGTCCCTGATAACACGGCCCAGATTAAGAGGAGAGGCCGGGTAGAATCGCATTCAGTAGAAGACCATATGGATACTGGACAATAGGGGCTCGTATGATCCCAAGACAGTCCTGGTGGTAGTGTAGTTGGAGACAGGTCGAACTATACACCTTATATACATACAGATCTCATAATGTGCGTGGTACTATAAACAACAAAAACAGGGATCTGGCTACATCCCGACTCAGTAAGCACCTAAGTAGGTAGCTTGGACAAAGACCTTCGCCAATAAAATGGTCCAGCCACGCAGTACCTGTGCGCAGTTACGTGGTGAGCTCTCCAGTGTACATGCTTGTTCTGTAGGTAGCGTATGTTCATTGTAGGGCTCCGAGCCTAAGCACGATGTTCACGAACATGAACTCACCTTTTGCCCCCGAAATTCCAAGAAATATGATACCTGGGTCGAATTAGTCTGCGGCTGTTGAACAATGTCCAACAACGTACTTACTAATATATATATCGACATGTCCATACAAATCTATCAATTTGGTTTCATTGGCCTCCTTCTTCTCTTTGCCCTCTATCTCTCTCTGCCATTTTGCCATGCATCCCCCTTCCCATTTCTCTCGATCCTACTCCCTGTCTCCAAATAATGCATGATGCTGCACCTACTCCCATCTCCTGCTTCGTGGGCCAATTGGGTGTAGGGCTAATATAACTTTATAACACCCTGCTGCAGCAAATGCGCTAAATTTGGTGTGCTACACTATGAACGAGGGAACGAGTTCTTGAAGACACCACAGTTCAGGACACAAGCACGGAGATCGTCAGGTTACTGCATTCGGCCAGCGACGGGCCTAGAGTTCTCCGCCCGCCTTGCTTTTTAGCATCCATTAGTCGATCTATGCTTCGAGAACCACCACGTCCCGTTTTCAAGGTCAGCCAAACACATGGCCTACGAAGGCCTGGCCAATAACGTCTCTAATGCTTCTTTGAAAGGAGACAAGAGCGACCAACTCACTTTTCAGGCACTTAAGCAGCTGAGGTAACAACAAGGAGAGATACCTAAATACAACCGTAACGCCATTCCTCTGCACAAGTCTAGGTATGCCTCGAGCCTCCCAAACAGCCATTGCTCTTGACAAGACTGCTTAATAGGGCGGGCGCATTTGCTGCCGTCATGGTCTGTATTTAGATGCCACCATGGCACCACCCGGTCGTCTCCAGGTGTTCTGGATACACCAATCCGCGTTTGAGTTTCCTGCTCGTTATTTTTCTTTGTTATTTTTTTTTTTTTTTTTTTGGCCTCCATGGCCAGGTGGTCGTGGTCGAAGGTCTACTGTCATGTACAGAAAACCATGAATTTTCCTCACAGGTGTGACCCTCCACTACTTGAATAGACAGAGGGTTATGGCTAGCCTTATTCATGGATGTCTACTCAATGTCTCTATTGGCTTCCCACTCAACCGCCGAACCCGCCCAGTGTTCTTCCTAGCCGGTCGACAGCCATCGAGACAGGTTTACACCACAAAGGCTACTCAGTACTGTATAGCAAACGGTGACCGATGCCGCTACATCGGGCCTCCTGCGTCTGTTTCATGCATGCAGGTCAAGTAGCGGTTACGCGATGGTGGCCTTGCTCGTTTTCTTGCCAGGGCCAAATGCCAACTTGCACTGGAAGCGGGCCAGAAACTCTCATTATATGCCGTACAATGAGCGGAGGCGATACTCGCCAGAACTTATATATATAAGAGTCCCTCTCATCTTTGTAATCTAAGTAAATGGCTTGAGACAGGGGAATAGGCATTTTCAATTAAGCACAATCGAGAGAGAATGCCCATACCTACGAAGCACCTCGCCGGAAATTGAGGGTATGAATAGCTCGGGGCTGAGGTGGTAGTGGGGAGGGTCTCTCACCACGGAACATACACCAACGGCTGTGACGAATCACAGGCATCAAATCCAGTGAAAATGGAGCACGCGATGCTCTGTCAAACCCGCCCTTTCTCCCCCCCTCGAGCTGTCGTTGTCCATACACAGGCAATCTGCGATAATTTATGCCACCAAGCGACGACCGATCGTGCTGTTGGCTGCGTATATGGCGTTGGAGGTCCAGGAGCGTTGCACAGCATGCAATATGCCACGCCCTCAATTGAGGAGCAAGTGCCTGGCTTATGACCAGCATCGGTCGTCATTGTGGCATAGGTAGTTCTGTAGGTATGTGTAGGCACCGCTTCAGCTCTGGACACTACATAGTACAAGAGACAGCCTAAATAGCAAAAGTTGTCCTGTTACGGATCCACAGAAGGTCCGACGGTATCGTGGGCACCCCCAGCCCCTTTTTGGGCCAGCCACCCACATAAATTCAATCCGACGACCTAGATAGGATGAAACGGATCCTAAAAAAGGAGGTTTGATGCTAATTCTATCCGTTCGGGGCCACGGGGTACCGACAGGCTACAATTCGTGGAATGTCCTACAAGATCTGTAAGTAGGTAGGAGATTTTATCACTCTGAGTTCCGCGCTAGAGGCCCGTGGGCAGAACTGGGGGTGGCTCCGGCACTACCACACATGGTCTATAATGGGTGACATAAAGTCTTACCCCGGATTATCCCCTCACGATCCCTTCATCTGCGGGTAGCGGGTCCGGCTTACACCAGACTGTACTAGCGACGAAGGTACCTTGTACATCTTTGTACGTAACCGTACCACGAGCTTTCACACTTGAGCTTGCCACCAACTTGCGTCACCCAGACACCTAACTATGAATTAGGGTCATCTTGATATCGGAGGCTTCTCTCATTGACAGGCAGTCAACGACGGAAACGTACATCTCTTGCAAAGCAAGGGGCCCCCAAGTCGCTGCGCGACGTAATTGCGACGCATCCATCCAACGTTGGTGGGAAGCAACATTGTGTTTCGCGGAGGGCTTGGCTTGGCCACTAGCCTATCTTGATTTGCCACTGGCTGAGCATACCTACGGCAAGGCATGAGCATGCAGTTCGTGTTCCTCTCACAAACATCGATAGAATATCGAAGGCTTCTTGTTCCATGATCCCTTCTGTTTGGGCGCGGAGAATACTGACTTACGAGAATGATGAAACTATGACTCTCAGCTTCTTCTCATCCGATACCTAAATCATTCCGTCCGCACCTTGTGTGAATTCTGAGGGAACCAACACACGCTATCGACACTTAAATACAATCGCCCCTAGCTAGTCTTGAGGGATTAAGGAGAAGAACTACTTCGTACAGTAGAGGATTCAATAAAGCAGACAGAATGAACGACAAACATCACGAAAGACACGAACCAATGCAGCTTGACGTACGGGTTGTATCTTTTTGCGGGGAGCGGGAGGGCGCTGGCCTATTGGGGCGTCAAGATGTAGAAAGCTTCGAGCTGCAGGTAACCCATGTGACCATTAACCACACCAAGCCAGAACCAAGCGCACCCTGTTGCTCACCATGACCACACCGGTACGCTTGTCATGCTACCTTGGTCTCTTGAGTTTCCTCGAGCAGCGCCGTTGCCTACCACCCCCATACTCTACCCATCCTGCGCGCGCCATCGAATCAGACAGACCGGTCGACGCGGGGCCCAATCACAGAGACTACTGCATGGTGCCGGAGACTAGACTGGACCATTCATGTTTTGGTCAGGCCACGGCCGACAGGCGAATTGGGAGAACAAAGGTCGAGATCTCCGGCCTCCTTGCTTCGCCAAGCATTTTTGATCCAGTCGCATGAAAGATATCGAGAGCGTTATACCCTCGACTACCACCGCGGGGCAAGGTCGGTACTCTAACAACTAAAGAAAACAACCCCGCCCACGACTAAAGCAACTTTGCAAATGGCAGCGATGAACTGATTGTTCAACCTTAATCCTAACTAACTAAGATTGCCAAGCTTTAGGAAGTATGCTTCCCGTTCCTAGTCACTGAGGGCACAAGGTAAAGGCATACCTGGCTAGACAAATTGAGAAGGTATTATATCAAATTTATACAGTATTGATCACCTAAGACTGCCGGCTATCCCGGAACTGAATCCAGGGTTCCCTTCCCTGGTGTTGTTGGAGCTGCATCAGGCCCCTTCTGTTCGCGCAGTTTCTCCTCAAACTTTGCAAATTCTTTGATGGATATCTCCTCTTCCGGGTCCATTACTTGCTGTACACCCTTGACCTCCTCAATCTACAGAATTTCCCATCAGCAGCTGTCCATGAAATCATGAAAATGAGATAAAATCATAGGAAGTCCGTCAAGCCTGCGCGGACTAGATCAAGACGGAAGCCTCCAATTGTACCGAGTGTATCACACGGTTTGAATAAAAGAGGTGATGACTGGGGTTTAGCGAAGGAGGGGATGTGAGATGGTGAGAAACCTACATAGTGCATCAACATTCCCTCAATGCCATTCTGTAACGTGACGGTGCTCGAGTCGCAAGTTCGGCACGCGCCCCGAAGCTTCAACATGACGTAACCGTCCTGAAACCCACGAAACTCAATATCACCACCATCTTCCTGGATGGCGGGGCGTATGCGGGTCTCGAGGAGTTCTTTGATCATGCCGACGACTTCATCGTCGTTCTCGTCGTAAGCTAAACTATCGCGCTCGGCGACCTCTTGTCCATCTTTTCCATCCTCCGATGCCGAGGTTGTGCCTTCTTTCGCAGTGACCAGCTGTTGGCCCGAGGAGACGGCCTCGATGATGAGACTGAAGATCTCGGGCTTGATGTGTGCCCAGTTGGCGTCTGGCGCCTTTGTGACGGTGATGAAGTCGGCGCCGTAAAACACCGAGGTCACGCCGTCCGTGTTCATGAGCTGTGCGGCTAACGGCGAGGGGTGCGGCGGGGCGATCGTGCTTCGCGCATTCAGGTACTCGATGAAGGGAACGCCGAGCTCGGGAGGTATCACGGGGTGATTCGGTAGGAACTTGAGCGCGTCGGGGTTGGGTGTGGTGTCAGTCTGGATGAAGATGCTGCGGGCGCCGCGGGGCATCGAAGACGGAGCAGGGGATGAGGCGAAGGGCGACGGAGTAGTCGTCGGTCGCAACCGCGCTATGCGACCCAGAGAACGTGCGCTTGTATGTGCGCTCCGTGACGCTGCGGCTTCGCAAAGCCGACTGCATCGCTCAGGATGACTTCGTCGGATGGCGGCCGAGAGCAGGCCGGACGCAGGCCGAAGGAGTTTTGCGGGAGGCATATTAATTGGTAGTGGCCATAGGCCCCTCAGCATTCAATAAGCAAAAGGTGCACAAGAGGAGAATAGTAGATAGAATCAAGCTCTAGGTCGAGTTAGGTGTCATTTATTACCTCTAATCAATTACTGTTGGCTGTACTCGATGTTCTCGAGATCTATTATTCGTTCCCGAGGATTGATAAGATAAGCCGGGCGAGTGCGATTATAAAGCAGTCGCAGTGGCAGTGGCGATGACGCACGAAATCGCAGGGAAAAAAGAGCATGAGATGAACGAATCGGCAATGGCGTTTTGCTCATACCGAGCGCCGACCAGCTGCTAGCAACTGGGGACCAAATCCACTTCGTCGCTCAGATGCCGAGGGTTCAATGTACCTACCTATCTACAAAATATATCTGTCTGCCATTGGCATCTACATATATGTACATACGTATGCAGGTAGAGGCACTGATCATGATGAAGAACCTTCATAGCATGAATGCATTCATTCACGGCTTAAATAGCAAGCAACCGCGAGGTTGTACAGCGAACTATGGAAGATTTCATACCGCCCAGAGACCCCAAGCCTGACTTCTCCACAAAACCGAAGAAATGATCCTCAGGGTCGTCGGTATCCACGGACCACCTAGGTAGCCTACCCTACGAAGTATTATTGTACATGCCTCTTCAACAGCATCTTGGCAACGAGATAAAATCGTCGACGCTCACCTGGAGTATATCGCCATCCGGCAAAACACAGTAAAGGTGAGTCTTAGCACCTTGTAACGAACTCTAACTATTACTGGCTATTTCCTCTCTACCGCTACAAGACGCTGGAAGTTTCGACGCAAAGTTCCTTCTCTCCAAAGTACCATTTCCCTCTCCCTTCATCTCTAAGTGCACTACCAACAATCAGTCACCTTGCTCAAAACTTCTTGATTGGTTGGTCTCATGTGGCTCTGCACCGATGTGAGAAGATACCTAGGTACTTCACGACAGTCAAGTGGCAGAGTGTGTGGTCTTCAACCAGTGCAATTCTGCCTCACAAGGTTTCCCAGATGATATTAAACACGTCCTTTGCTTGTCTTGGCCCCTTTCTTTCCTACACACAGCTTTCACTCTCCCACTTACTGTTCTGATATGCTAACCTACTTGGATAAGCTTCAGGGTATATAATGACTCATTTGAGCTTCAGATTGTTATATACCATCCCATCTTCTAGCGTTCCCTTCAGTGCTTGAACAGGAACGTCCCTTGGTAGCCTACAAAGTTGAACAGTCGGCCTCTGGCTAATGGAACTCGTTCAGGTATGGCAACCTTACCGTCTCAGCCAAACGATCGTCTTTTGAACTCTAACTAGGAATAGTTCCTTGATTGTTGGGCCAGATCTTGCTAGTTTGTTCCTGGTTGTTCGGGTGGCTTGCAAATCACATCTTCTGTTTCGGCGATCCTTGTAAGATCATGGCTGTCACACGTCCCTTATGTATCATTTGCGATACAGTCGAAGGCAAATACAAGTGCCCTCGATGTAGCACGTATACGTTAGTATAAAGTCGAAATCGCCTTATAAGTGAGCTATGTTGACGGATGAAAACAGCTGTTCCCTAACCTGCTCTCGTGAGCACCGTGATAACCACCCAGCTATTGAAGAGAAGCCAAACCCCACGGAAAGCAGTGATGTAGCTAGAGTGGCGCAAGCTGCCCCTTCAGAAGAACAAAAACCTGCCAAAATATCCGAAATTGCCGACTCGCCAGAGTACAAGGCGCTGCTCCAGCGGTATCCGGACCTAGAGTTATATCTCTGGGACATTGCCACAGCCACGGACCCTCCTAAGCCTAGCCACGGCGGTAACATTGCTCGTAAGGCGAAGCAACCGTGGACCCAGGAAGTGGGGATGAACAACGCTGTTCACCTCGTACAGTCTATCAAAGCATCTCCAGGGGACGTTAGAGACGCCCTCCGAGAGTTCAGCGATATAGTGTCCATTTTCAAGACAAGGTTACAAGCCCACGATGACCAAATGCGGAAGCGCAGAGCAGAGGACGTTGAGATAATCAATAAGCTGTTACGAGAGGAGAAATCCTGAGGCATTTCTTCTACTTACACCCCACGGTTGTTAGCTCGGGCGTGCCAGTCGTCTGGCGGGTTTCCTACTGCTAAAGATAATATCACTATACAAGAAACAGAGATTTCTTGTAATGATCTATTCAGGCTGTGTACGTCATGTCCTGCCTTAAGTTTGCTTTAAGCTACTATGACTGATATAGCCAATCAGACCCCAATATTCATCCAGTTAGCTCACACCCACTACGCATAAGTTGACCACAATCTTCGCCACCGGTCACTGTTGAGACATTGATGGGGAATCTGACCCTAGTCATGTGTATTGCATGAGCGGATTTCAGTCATCAGCCTCGGCGACGCATTAGTGGTGAATAAGTTGCCACTCGGCGTCATGTCACAGGACGTGTTTCCTTTCGGAATGGCTGCCCGTTTGTTGACGCCCAGCCTACGAGTTCTCACATGGGTGGTTAGTTACACGGTTCCCCGGCATTAGGTCTTACTTTGATTCCCACTACTTCTGATATCTGTGATGTACTCTGAACGACCTTGTCATACGTACAACAGATGTGTACTGGACAATATGTAAAGTATAGGCCATGGACATACAGGAAGATGAAGGGAGGAGGAGAATAACCTGTATTATAAACCGTGCTATACTCTAAAGTATTTTTATCATTACATTGTGACTTCGAGAAACCTGTTAAAACCTAGGTTCGCACCATCCCTTACTTTATCAGCAGCTAGTTCTCAGCCGTTCAAGTCCTAACAGCAGATGTCTCACTTAAACAACACTAACTCTCTGAACCTATCTCTCGATAGCAGGCACAACAATCGCAAGCCTCGGCTCGTGATATTGCAAGTGGCAGTGGAGGTGGCTTTACGGCTAAAATACATATACATACACACATTCATTGACTGCTCTAGCTGTGAATATTCTACCTAGCTCTATTGCATACATGCTCACCGTAAATTAACATACCTAATTTCCCTCCCTCTGAATACGCGACGAGGATCATGAGATTCATTCACCTTATCGCGTGATGGTAGATACGTAGACGGGAAAACTTGTGACATATCACACGGTTTCACGGAACTCTTATCTTGGGATCACCGCCTTCCCTCGTCGCTGCTGCAGATGCGCTTGACATATCCTCATTGGACGCCACGTTTTGTTCTATTATCGCAACCGCTGCCTGCCTCGGAAAGTCTTATCTGAGACACGCTGGAAAAGAGCGTTTGAAGTAACGGTCTTGCTCATTGCCGTTTATTTTTCTGATTTTGAATTTTATTTATTCTTACTGTTTAGACTCGATTGACAATGTATTCGAGTCTAGAGAATATTACTTTTTTTTTTTTGTTGATATTGTTGTTGTCAATGGCAGTAACACATTGAATGTCTTATTATAGCGCCTCTTATTACTTTTGGCTGGTTTAAGCTGACACGCCTTGTTACGCCTGAGCTGAGCTTATTCCCGGCCACGATTATGCAATGGCGTCGTCATCGGGGTTTATTAGAGATTGCTTGACGTGTTCACAGCCTTGTCGGTTTTCTATGTCTCTGAGGACAGACCGGATAGATTGTCTGCATTTTACACACTACCTTCTTGGACATAATCCTTTTACGCACTTCGACGTCTGCTTGGTACGGACTAGTCGATTAGCTAATATGGTTAATAGGGCCTTTTCAGCTCTAACTGACGACTTCACGTTCATCCTAGAATGGATTGTTAACTAGACGCAAGTGAGCGAAATATCTTCCAATACACGCTTAGATGGACAGCTCATTGTCGAGATCATATCACGATACAAGCCCGGAATTCAAAATATGGTGCGTGTGTGTGTATGTATGAACCGGTTTGGTGCATCGACCTACACTTTTCAACTTTTCAACTTTGAGCAAACACATATGAATGATTATATAACTAGTCGCTTGGCTCACCCACTGGGTGGCAACCGAACTATGCAGGCTCACCTAACTACGACTTCGTGGAAAATAAATAATATGCGATTCACAAGAAAAAAAGGACATGAGAATTTCGTCACATCACTATGTCCTAGCTGGGTGAGATATCTGCCATATGCGCATTCATGTTCATCCTAACGGGCGCTGACCGCGAGATATTTGCCGCAGTGTTTATGAATGCGATGAGATGTCATGCGTATATGCAAAAACCTTGGATTTGCAGCGTAACTTGCCGAAAGCGCAACAAGTGTCTCAAGACGATATGATACCCGACTGTGTTGGACAGCCGCACAAAGGCCGGAAGCAGGGCGGTCGTTAACTGCAGCACGACAGGCCACGACGAGCTATCCGGCTGTTACATGTCATGTTATGAACGATACCAATGTCGTTACACCAACGCGTCTGCAAAGACTGCCAGCTTATGGATGAACGGAACAGAGGAACAGACGGATAAGCTCTGACGCTGTCAGCGTATCGCTACTGAAATGGTTGCAGATGGCTGCAGTCCAACCGTATCACGGGCTTATTCAGCGGCATGTTGATATAGGACGACGTCCACGCATCCGGTAAGGAACGAGTGAATACTTAATCAGCAGCGAAGCTAACATTAAGTATAGACCGATGTCATCACCGAAAGCAAGTAAAGTAAGCGAATAGAGTCCACAACGTTCACAACGCAAAGGCGGAGCGAGTGGGATAACAGAGCATTATCATTATTCTTTCTCCCGCTTGTTCTCTGTCCACCGGCCGGTGTATTCAACCATTCATCTATCTAATCATGAAATCATACACATCAGACACACGACATCTAACCCCGTTTCAACCGTGCCCAGATCCCAGGCCTTCCAGACCGACTACTACTCGTGCCCGAATGAGGGCTCATAGGCGTCGACCCATCATCAGCATCGGCCTCAGCTTGTTCATCACAAGCCTCTTGTATCGTCACAATACGAAGTTTATTGCCAGACTCGCCATTATCCACACCTTCCTTGGCATTATTCTCCCCGTTGCTATTCCTCCTCAGATGTCCCAGCTTTCCCTTCAGCGTGAGTATCGACGTCGTCTTCCGGAGGAACTTGACCCCCTTCTTCTCGGACGGCAGCATCTCGTCGCTCTGCGTCCAGTCGACGCGGTGCTCGTTGGCCGTCGCCGCGTCCACGAGGGTCTCCTCCGACGAATGCGATCCATTATTATTATTATTGCTATTATCGGCGAGGGCGTCGCCTTGGTTCGGGAACGCGTGTAAGTGCAGGTCCGCGAGCGCCGATATGTTGCCCTTGCTCTCTTCTTCTATCTTCCCCTTGTCGCTGGCGCCGGACTTGCTCGACCGCCGCCACGGCATGGCCTCGTCCATCCGCGACTCCTGGAACTGGTTCCGCCCGTACTGTCGGTCGCGCTGGCTCTGCGCCCGCTGGAGGATCTTCCGCTGGAAGCCTGGCGTGATGCTCGAGTCGATGGCTGACCGGTCTGCTGAGGATGTCCCCTCTACGTATAACCGGAGCGCGGCGCGCGAAAGGCTGTGGACGGTGGACTTCTCACCCTGCATGCCTCCTGAGGTTGTCGTGCGGCTGAACTGTGCGGCCGCTTGTTCTGGGATATGGCGGTATTTCGGACACTCAGTGGTGTCGGTAGGATTATCAGATAGTTCTGATGGTGCGGCAATCATGGAATTCCTCTGACGTAATTTGTCCTGGGCAGATGGCTGTTGAAGTCTGGACTTAGGCACCGTTGTGCTTGGCCGTCGAGGTGGCGCCGTCACCTCTGGCATCCATGTCGTTGCTGTCGTTGCTGCTAGGTGCTCGATGTACAGCTGCTGTGTATCCCGTTCCCTTTCTACCTGCGCCCATTTTGCGGGCATGGCGTCAACCCTTTGTCGTTGACGCTTTTCGCTTTGTGCTTCCCGCTCGGCGATCACCACGTACAGCCGCCGGCGCAAGTCCTCTGGGTCGAAAGGCTGCGACTTTGGGTGGTGCCGTTGTGGTTTTCTAAGTTGCTGTTTTGTCATGTCGATCCTGGGTACTCCTCCTACTACGCCTCTCATCGACGGCGGTAATGCCACTGATATCTCATTCGAGTATGCCATGGTCATTGTCATACTATCACGGATGAAATTCCAAGACCAAAAAGTGTATTATCAAGGCGGAACCTCAAGGGCTGATGGTGTTCCCTCAGCTAACTGTTATAAGACGGCAGGCAATGGAAAGTGGTTAATAGCAATGGTGGAGTTTGGGGGTTATTCGCAAGCCAGGGCCGTGGTCAAGGTTGTATGGGTTGTGGGAATTTCGTCGCCTTTTCCTCTCTTGACTGGTCTGGTCCGAGTGTATCTGCTGCACGTAGTTGGAGTAACGGTATGCAGATATCCCATGTCACGTCACAGCTGGCTGGTCTCAGACCGGCACGTCTGCCGCGACTCCTTCTTGTCGCTGTTGCTGCACGAGCGCCGTCCAGACAACACAGTATCAAGCTCAAGCCTCGACGAATATGTTCAGCCGAGGGCCAAGATCGAGTGGCTGTAACGCACTTCTGCCTCGAAAGGGGGCTTGACGATAGGCGCGGGCGAGAATATGAAGGAGTGGGAAGCCCCAATGTTCTGATGTTCGAGAACAGCCGCTGGGTACTACAAGGATGGGATCGTCTTATACTTGTGTAAACGGTAGAGAACGGGTATCTAACAAACAAGCGGGCCGAGCAGGGTATTACAGACGCGAGCCGGGGCCTCTAGGGAAAAGACATTAATTACAGCCGGGTTAAAATTCGAGACTGCTGCGGTGGAAGGGATTCAGGCTCTTCATAACCTCAATCACTCAGAGTTCTCGTAGCGGGTTCTTATTCAGGCCAAGCTTGTTCCGTCTATTAACCCTGTGACAGCTTACAGGACAATCTAGCTTGCCCGTTCCCTGTTCCCAGCATACCTGGTGATGTATGCACAAGTGCCTCTTTAAATACTTACTTTGGCAGGAAAAGACGGGAAAACAGGGAACAAAAAGATACAAGTCGTATTTGCGAGACAAGCGTTCACTTGGCCGCAGTAAACCAAAGGAGGACAGTGGTCACTTGACACTGACGAGAAAGACGCCGTTGCTAGCGAAGCGAGTTATTGGCTAGACTCGGCTCACAGGGTCTTTGCTGCAGACCCCCCTGCTTCTCTCCACTGGTCACTAGCGATTCGGCTAAACGATATGCGGAAGTTCGAGCCAGGGTCTCTGGCTTCTTTTCTCTTTTTCGAGGGGGGGGTCCGAACCAACGCTGCGCTACTCCCTCCTGGATCAAGATCGGCAGCGGGTATTGTCTTGTGTTGCGGAGTCGGTCAAGACAGAGGAAGGAAATATACATAAAGCTCTGTATCTGTCCTACGTCGTAGGTATTGTATATTTATGTATGTCGAGCAGGGAGGGAGCCGTTGCTTTCCTTGTCCCTTGCGATTTACACCACAGTTACTTAGACGAATTCACCCAAGGTGAGCGAGTCTTGGGTCTCCTTGCTTCGCGTTATGTTACGAGTCTTTCCGAGAGTTGAAACTACACGCGATGCTCGACAAATTTAGTGTACCTAGCTCTATTAAGTCTATACCTACATAAGCTACACCATACGACACTGGCTGGAATGCTGTGGGTAAACGGCGCAGAATATCTGTCCCGGCCACCTTATCCCTGGGTGATGAGACACACTGCGAAGATGCAGTAGCGTGTGCACTACCAAGCACTACACTAGTACAGACACCATCATTTTACCGTTTTTTAGTCATTGCTGCTATTCTTCTACCTCCATCTCGTGATACCTTTTGATGCTTATGTGTACTAGGGCGAACGCGAAGAAACTATTAAGCACCCGTAGATTCTCAGAGGTTCGGTAAGTTACCTACTCGCCCGTTCCCTCCAACATACTTACATATGTAGTGACGAAGTGGCGTCGATTGTGGGTTGAGGTTGCTGAACTCGACGATCGTCTCATATCTGGAACTCTTTGACCCTGAACCCAACAGCTTACATATAGGCAGAGGGTTTATTCCTGTCCATGAGCTGGCCAAGAAAACTCTACCAACGTTGCTACATATCCTCGACCTACAAACATTAACGTTTGGTATCGGATGTAGCATGTTGAGCTAGGTGCTGCAAGGTGGGGACTTTATCATGTACAGCAGCACCCAATTACACCTACGTAGTAATTACACCCAATAGGCAGTATACATGATGCTGTGAAAAGTCCGTGTTCTACTGACAGGTGCATCTTGTGTAGCGGAGCTGCAGGGTTCCTGTTCCTGTTTTTGTCTTGCTGGTGGCTGACTGCATAGTGGCGGCATGTGGCATTTCCCCAGGGGGAAATAGCGTCAAGGGCACCAACAAGAATTTTTTTTTCCTGGTACTTCTCTTCCTCTCTAGTCTCTCCTCATGTTGTACATCTGTACCTTACTTAGTATGTAATTCACATGGTGTTTAGGAAGGGGGCCGGCGAATCAAGCCTGCAGTAACCCCGTGTCTGCCCGTGCTATGTAAACAGTTTACTCTCATCCCTATTAGCGAACCCTAGCAAAACGCCTCTTTTCTCCCACACTTCTTCATGTTGTGTCGCCAGTTTGCTTGTGTTGTGCGACTCTGAAATATCTAGCTAAGGGCCTGGGTCCTATCGAAAGAGATCAAGAATGTTCGTGACTGGTTCGCTTGCTTTTCTCCCCCGTCCCCTCTACCCCTGGCATCTCACGTTGGTATGTCATATTGACATCGGGGATGCTGTGATCTGATGGCTGCCCTCCATCTTCAGACTATTTGTGCCTACATGAAGCAAGTATACTACTTAAGTATACTTCTACTAGTACGTATGAATATGCAATAGGCACAGCCATAGTATTCCGTAATTTTTTTCTCAATTCCGCCCCGTTGAGTAGGAAGGCTTAATGAAGCGTAGTGTAGAGCTTAGATACTATATACTTACCATATGTAGTATAGCTGGTACCTACACTAGCTTCAGAATAGCTTCACTTTACGACACTACCGTACAATAGGTTAGATATTTGTCTACTTAAGTACACTATTCCACCATACCCAGCTTATTGGGTTAATTATGTCTCTTTATATGTCACTGGAAAAACATCGTGACCCTCGTGAAGAAAATACCTAGGGTAGATGTTTTGCCACTTACTACTGTTCAGTGGCTGTCTACCGTACTACATAAGTATGCATCTCGCTGCCATGAGGCAAAACCGGGAGCTCGGCACAATTTCATGATGAGTATAGTAGTATGCATACCTACATATACAGTATCACATCCGACTGCAAGGCGGCATGTCGCTCCAACGTCTAGGGTATTCATTTTTTTATTACACTAGATCTGTGCGTTGGTTTGTCGTTGATAAATGACCTGAACACATACCAGCATGCTGAGAGGTCCAAGATAGTGAATAGGCGCTTGGCAGCATTAGGGAGGCAGAGTCAATCTTGGTCAAGGCCCCTTCGTATTATTATTACTCTTCGATACTACATAACGAAACTTTCTCGTGAACTATGCGACATGCCACCAAAGGTACCTACACTATGGTACTATTATTCCGCAAATCGCCTATACCTGGATTTCCAGCGAGGTTAACCGCCTTCGCGTGGGTCTGTGGATTCAACCTTAGACGCGACTATGAGCATACATGAGTATGGTCGACGAAGAGCCACCGAGAGATGCTGAGATTTGGATTACTGGCTAAGCGAAGACAGCATGCTTCGATGGGCATGGTCTCTCCTACGCTTATCAGCAACAATAGATTACAACAAATTGCTACTGCACGCTTTGCTGCAGCAGAGGCTCCTGCGTGTGTCATCATCAGTCGGTCGCTTAGGTAGAAGTACAGAACACCAAGTAAGCCACATCTGCTGCACAAGCAGGGGCCGTAATAAGGCTCTGGGCCATTCTCGCTCTCACTGGACCTTCGTGCCCAGTGGTTGTGTCGCCAGGCGTCTATGCGTACAATTCCCGGCAGACACTAGAATCGGCCAAGTGGTGCAAAACGTACGATTCCTTCGATCTCTGCCGCGCCATAACAGGGTTAATCGCAGATAGCGGCGGATGTTTCCATGGATGTTCCCAGGGCGCACGGGAGATCAAAGCAAGGGAGAAAGAATGGTCCGGCTTCTGATCCGGATTCAATCCCGACGTCAGGAACCTAGATTTGCTCGTTGCAGACTCGTTGGGATGTGAACCCTGTATTCGCGTACGCCTGAAGCGGGCAATATACTGGCAACCTCTGGCTGCAGCCAAGAGCATATCTTTCAACATCTCGCCTCGGTGGTGTCATCATTGTAACTTCATGGTAAGGATACGTAGCCCATATTGTAATCGGGGCTACCAAGATAGGCGAACATCCCAGGCTGATTGTATTGTTGAAGATGGTCTGGATCAGACACTGCTTTTTCTTATATTAGCTGCTAGCTGTTGCGCACGAATGAGAGAACAGCTTGTCTCGAGGTACGCGATATCATCTCCTGTTAGTTACTATCGCGTCTATTTGTGTTGAATGAAACTTGCTTGGTGGCACGGACTAGATACAGATAGCTAGCCATGGCGCAGCTATTCGTTCAGGCAGTATCGTCCCGGGCCAAACTTTTAATAGTGATACAAATTGTACAGTATGCACCTACCCTGCCCTGCGTGGTGCTTTTACGATAGATGTATGGCTAGGCTGGTGGTTTTCTCCACGACTACAGACTGCGACCTAATTACAAAGAAGTGCGGATAGAACATATAAAATAAGAAACGATACTGAAACGATACTGAAATACCAGCGTACCTAGTCTTCGTTGAAGCACAGATCATAATGAGACGCTTGCCCACGTTGTCAGTGGCACATTAGTGTTCAGGCCTCTACATGTGTTGTCGGCGACCAAAAAACATACTGTCAACGCCTCCACACAAGCAACAAAAAGCCATGCCGCTCACCGGAAGGCTGGAAGCCATCCGAGTGCTTATCATAAAGCGGCCAAAGCTGGGAATAAGACGAACTGGCTGATAATGCGCTGCTTACCCGGTGATAACGATATTGAGAGCACCTCCAGCCTCACTTCGGGAACCGGCCGATCTAGGTACAAAAGATATCCGCCATCTAAGCGCGGGGCTCAATTGAAATGCATGTTACCGAAGTTGCTAACCTCAGTCATGGCCCGCGATCATGTAGCAAGGCTCATCGCATGGTCATCGAGAATATACAAATCCCATGAGACATCGTTGGCCTCTGGGCAATGGATCTAGGATGGCGAATCGTATCGGGCTGGACGTTACCTGCCCACTTGAAGCACTGCTACCTACTACCCAACATATCTACATCGGTATGAATATTGGCGGCTCAGCATCGATTGATACGGGACTATTGGTGTAATATTGGCCTTATCTGAAAAACCACAGCGAGTAAGGAAGGTATGCGAGGCTTGGCAGATGGAACCTACACGAACAAGAGCAAGAGTAAGATACTAAATAGATAAAACAAGGTGAAAATGAATACAATCCATTAAACGAGGGGTTTAAATACCAAATACCTAACTAAACAAACTAATTTGCTCCGAAAAGAGGCAGGAAAAAGCGACAATTGGTAGAGATTTGCAAAAATGAAAAAGAAACCAATGCTCTCGATCGGGGAATCGAACCCCGGCCACCTGCGAACTGTCTATGACAAGCAGGTATCCTAACCACTAGACCAATCGAGACTGTCAGCCGAGGTCTTTCATTGATTATCATTGATCTGGAAATATCAGTATATATATAACTAGCCTAGGTAACCACGTTACTTCTCCAAGTGATCATAACGAGTTATGTATTCTTAAGAAGAGAAAAGAAAGTTTTGTACGATAGGTAGTCACCCGTCAAAACAGGTAAGATACATTAGTGTGAGCTCGCAGACAGTAAAAGGGCACACAGCTAGGTACCCCGAACAAATTTAAATGATGGGGAAATTTACTGAGCCCCCAGAACTTGATATGAAAAGGCATCTAAACAATTGCTTACGCTTAAAATCCTACTGATCATTGGAAATTAACGAAGTAGATAGAATCATGAACCTCTTTGCCATATGTCATGACCATAAAAGAAACATGAATACCTATATAGAATATACTATCTACGAAGTATGTTCTCCTCAGTTTCGATTGAGCTGAGGTGGGGTGAAAGTGACAGCCCCGCATTGAAAGTCAGTCAGAAAGTTTGCCCCTCATCACAAGATTCAATCAATTGAATCAACGTAATCCTTAGTCACAAGTAAACTCGCTTAACAATACCACAGCTCCAGTTACACACACAATTCACTACGCATACACAAGATGTCGCATTCTCATGACGGCGTGAGCCACTCCCATTCCCACGAGGGCATCTCGGCCGCCGAGCACGGCCACTCTCATGAGATCCTCGACGGGCCCGGCAGCTTCCTCGGCCGGGAGATGCCCATAGTCGAGGGCCGGGACTGGAATGAGCGGGCCTTCACCATCGGCATCGGAGGGTAAGTGACTTGACGCGATTCGTTCGTTTATTCATGTTCCTTCTCCATATGCCTGAGCACGTATAGCGAGCTGGCATAAAGGCATGGATACCCCTGTGCTTCTACACATTGGAATCAAGATATACACTCTTGCATAGACACTATATGTATATCTTATACATGTTTTGTAAAAACATACATATCCACAGATACACTACACAGATCTATTCACAACCTATCCTCAACATACTATCCTATATCTCATCATGAAGCAAGAAACAAAAAACAAAAGCTAACCCACCCCCAGCCCCGTCGGCTCCGGCAAAACAGCCCTAATGCTCGCCCTCTGTCTCGCCCTCCGCAGCAAATACGGTCTGGCCGCCGTAACAAACGACATCTTCACGCGCGAGGACGCCGAATTCCTCACGCGGCACGCGGCTCTGCCAGCGCCGCGGATCCGCGCCATCGAGACAGGCGGGTGCCCGCACGCCGCCGTGCGCGAGGACATATCGGCGAACCTCGCGGCATTGGAAGATTTGCACGCGCAGTTCGCGCCGGACTTGCTCCTGATCGAGTCGGGCGGCGACAATCTCGCGGCGAATTACAGCCGCGAGTTAGCGGATTTCATCATCTACGTCATCGACGTCAGCGGCGGCGATAAGGTGCCGCGGAAGGGAGGGCCGGGGATTACGCAGAGTGATCTGTTGGTCGTGAATAAGACGGATCTGGCTGAGGCCGTGGGCGCTGATTTGGGTGTTATGGAGCGTGATGCGCGGAAGATGCGCGAGGGCGGGCCGACGGTCTTCGCGCAGGTGAAGAAAGATGTCGGGGTGGATCATATTGTGAATTTGATACTGAGTGCTTGGAAGGCGTGTGGTGCGGAAGAGGTAAGCAGGAGTAGAGGGGGCCCGAGGCCGACCGAGGGTTTAGAGACGCTGGGCTAGAACAATCACTTGTAAATAACTAAGTGTAAAGAATTTGATATTCATATGCAAAAAGTAAACTTGAAATTGTTGGCTGTTTGCCATGTGACCATTCATAACTCATCAAAACTATATACCCGGAACGCCAGATCATGTAAACCTCTATTGGACATCTTCATCCATCGCATCACTTTGTCCAACAGCCTCACCCCCTTCTAATAAAGGTCCAGTGAACGGTGTGGCACTCCGTGGCCACATACGCTTGTATAGACTGACACCAATTGAATCTTGAGGGTTGATTTTGCCGTCAAAGTTAGCCTTGAAGTAACCGTGAGTACCTAGCGTCTCCTTGATATAACCACTCCTACCCCTTCTTGTCCAAAGTGGGAGAGCTTTAAACCATTCGACATCTTCCTTGTTGAAAAACATCCATCTGATAGTACAGACCTTCTTGTGCATATGGTAAGGGTGACCAGTCAAGATTGCACGCTTAGCAACCACCCGGGAGGTGGATGGCGCACGAGAGGTGCCTGTGGCAACTAGCTGGAGAGGGAGAGCTGCTGGGCCATCGCTATACTTTGGAGTCAGCCGCTTGAAGAACAGCGTAGGGACAGAGCCCCAAGTGACGGGACCCATGAAAGTCGCAATTGCAGCATCTCCTGGGTGAAGAAAACGGCTGTATTTGTGAACATCATTTTCGGTGCTTCCACTGTTGGAGAATAGAGGGTTGATGACGAATCTCCGAGGACCACACTGCACAATGAGTTCTTCTTTCGCCTTGATTGATTTTTCGTAGTCATCTTTGTGCGCAATGTCAAAGTTCACTACTGTCTTCTTGTTCTCATGCCTGAGGAGACTGAAGAGAGTAACTGGGTGCGAGGGGTTATAGGTCTCCTGTACGGTTGCAGGCACACCCTTAAGATAAACATTGACTCGGGTTCCAGGAGCAACACCGCCAATCAAAGCTTCGCGAAGCGCTCGGTTTCTCGAAGATTGATAGTCCTGAATTTGTAAAAGTCTAGCCCAATCTTCAGGCTGATATGGTAGATCTTCCTCCTTATTCCAAGGACTTGTTCTCAGACTCTTGAGACCTCTGTATTTGGCTAGCCTTTCGCGGGCGAGCACATGTGGATGTAATTCAATCTCATCAGGAAATTCTTTGTCTTCTTCTACTTCGTCGCGTTTGCGATCCCGGTACGCAGAGAGTTGCTGCGCATCCTCGTCCTCATTTGGCTCCACAAAAGCCTCAGATTGAGGATACTCAGACATGGCCGCCTCAGTAGGTTCACGGCCAGCGAGACCTTCCACACCATCTTCTGGCCTGGCTGGGACCGTTTCATCCTGCATGTCTTGCATTTCTTCGTCAAACTCTGATCCAGAGTCTGAGGCGTCATCTAAAATCCACTTTGCTTGGTAAGCGGATGTTCCCTTAGGTAATTTTTTAGGCACCTCATATCTCTCAGGCTCTTCTTCCGAGAAATAATGATGGTCATCGAGTAAAACACCCTTTTGAGCTGTCGGGGCTTTGGATTCCATATCATATCCATCGTCAATATCGTTCATGACAGCTTCTTCAGGAGCTAACTCGGCTAGATCATCCAGATCTTCATCTGGCGTCTCCAGTAACTTTTCTTCTTCCGCGTCGTCCACAGCCATACCCTCGTCTTTTCGTTTTCTATTCGATATAGGAGCTGCTGTGATCTTTTCTATTTGAAAAGTGCCCCATTCGCCCACGTGCACTAATCGGTCAGCTTTCAGCCCCTTTCCACGGACGACACCTGTGAGTACAGTAGACTCTCCTTCAGCGGATGCCCACCGTACGCTGTCTACAAGCATCCATGATCGTTGGTCTCTCCAGTTAACTCCCTTCGGCATTGTGCTGCAAAGGGACCTCATCAGGTTAGAGCATTCTTGCCTGGAGTCAAGACTGTAGACTTTGTCCTGGCCAGGATGGAAATGTGTCATGAAGGAGGCTAACGATTTGACGACATCGGGCCTGGCTTTTGCGGGCTCGACCTTATCGAGGTTCTGGACCACGGTGTACAATGTCGACATACCCTGGTTTTCGATGCTTCGAATGATTAGCTCTCCCAAGGAGTCAACTTCGGTCTCAGCAGACAATATAAAGACAATGAAGTCGGCGACTCGAGCAGCATCCATACAGACCGAGAGGTCTCTCTTGACTGGCACATATTGTAATTTTTGTTTGAAGCGGTCGACCGGGACGCGAAATGTGGAGGTGGAGACATCACACTCGATATCTAGACTACCATTGAGGTTTTGGATAGCGGCGAGGGCATCGCCATCGGCACATAGAGGGACAACAGCAACAATTCTTGGGGCGCCATCTCGACCCATGAATATAGAAGCCTCCTTCTGGTGCTCTTTATGCTTGGTAAGTTGGCGCTGCTTGGCCTGGTTTCGTCGATCGATTTTGGACATGACTTGTTGGTGGGGAGTCTTTCGCCTTTCGTTAGGTACCTTGCCTGTGACGCAAGACTTGGTTAGCCTCCAGGATACAATATTAACGTTGTCTTAGACTATTAGACTATCTAAGACGCCATGCTCGATATTATTACCTTTGGATTGATCGCGAAGGGCGCCTTTCGTAGCCTTCTTCGATTTGAAGGCCTTATGCACAACTTTAGTGGTTGGCCGGTGGGAGTGTGTGGCCGAAGGCATCTTGCCGTCGCCACCCGCTTTAAATCGAAAGGGTAGCGAAGCCAGATTGAAGAGTAAATTTCATATAATGTGTATTATTGGCTGGGTTTCCGCTTCCCAAATCCTTCGTGAGTCACCGGCGACAATGATTCAGAATGATATTTTGCAAATCATATGTTACAGATATTGGCACATAAAAATGTTGGAGGGGTCTAATGTCCGCTATGGGTATCGATTAGAGATAGAGGGGCATAGTTTTTTTGTGTGGGCGATGCGATCTGCGTACTAAAAGTACCAGCAAAAAGTTCCTAACGAGTGGTACATTGGTACCTACTCGCCTACTGACAGCTTATCGCGGTGGGGCATGGAATCTGTTATCACTGTGTCTCCACTAAAATTTCTAGATGACCGGGAATGCCTCTAGCTTCTTGTTGACTTCAGCATTTGCGCCGCCTTGTCAATTATACCGAGCTGGATATACCGCGACGACAATTGCATCTTTTTTTGCGGAAAATTTGAAACTGCTATTCGTACCCTCGGCTCAATCAACGCCACCAACACGCGATCCGCTGCTATGGAGACTGACAACGGCGCTCGCGTCGTTGACCAAGCCAGGACGAGTCTCGTACCCAAACATGAACGAGAAAAACGTCGACGGGAGAAGGAGGCACAGAGAGATTATGGCAGGGGCAGAAGAGTCAACACAAGAAATATAAAAGACAAGAAACTGCGCAGGAATTTGCAAGCCCTCGAATCCAAATACAAAGAAGCCACCCTCAAGGCGAAAGATGCCGAGATCTTGCTAGAGGGAACATCAGGTTATCTCGAACCGGAAACCGAGTTAGAACGCACATATAAGGTCACACAGGAAGAGATACAAGAAAGCGTGTCCATTGCGACAGCACAGAAGCGATTCGACTTGACCCTCAACGAGCTCGGCCCTTACGTGTTTGACTACAGTAGGAATGGCCGTGATCTATTGTTAGGTGGGAGGAAGGGACACAGTACGCGCATCTTCAAACGACGGGTTTATAACGGAATGCTGACAGGCCGGAAACAGTTGCCTCCATGGACTGGCGGCAAGGAAAACTGAATTGCGAGTTCCAAGTTAATGAAGTAGTCCGGGATGTTCGCTGGTTACATACAAATCAGGTAAGCATCCTTCGGCGTGTGCTCTACCGTCAGTTCGTTGAGTAGTTTGAGTTCCATGGGCTGCTGGATTGGCCTATGCGATATTGATAACTCAGTGAACTGTCGATGGTGCGACTATCCTTTCACCTGATACTAATACGCTTTCGTTCAGTATATGGCAGTAGCCCAAAAGAAAAACGTCTATATATATGATGGTCAAGGTGTTGAGTTGCACTGCCTAAACCAGCATCGCGAAGTCTCACATCTTGAATTCTTGCCTGTAAGTCAAGCCCACTATATTAGTACTAAGTATATGATGACCTGGCAGTTGCTAACGTATCTAATAGTATCATTTCCTCCTTGCCACGCTTGTAAGTCATATGAGCGAGGTTTGATGCTCACTTTTGCTCACTCGATACAGGGAATCAGTGGTCACCTTAAATACCAGGACGTTTCAACAGGTCAGCTGGTGAGCGAGATTGCTACTAAATTGGGGCCTCCGGCTTCTTTGGCGCAAAACCCATACAATGCGGTCTGTTTCACTGGACATAATAATGGTCAAATCCAACTCTGGAGTCCTAGCTGTTCCTCTTCAAATGGACCACTTGTTAAGTTATTAGCCCATAAAGGACCTGCTCGCGCTATGTCTATCGATCGAGGTATGTCTTCTGGTTACTCGCAGCTTGTTCAATAACATATGCTTACTAAAACAGAGGGACGATATATGGTATCCACTGGCCAGGACTCCAAGATGGCTGTCTGGGATATACGTCAGTTCCGCGTAGTAAACGAGTACTTTACAAGGCAGCCAGCTTCTTCTGTTGCTATATCAGATCGAAATGTTGTCGCCGTAGGACATGGAACGCATACCACACTTTGGAATGGTCTCTTCACAAAACACGCAGCCGAGCAAACTAAGGTGCAGAGTCCATACCTAACATGGGGAGGTGAGGGTCGCAGAGTCGAGAGAGTGAGGTGGTGTCCATTAGAAGATGTCCTGGGTATTGGTCATGATGAAGGATTTAGGTATGTCACCAATAAGTATTCTTACCATATTGACTGATTATTGACCATGTCATAGTTCTATCATTGTTCCTGGAGCAGGAGAGCCTAATATGGATGTCATGGAAGTCAATCCCTTCGAAACAGTCAAGGACAGACAGAATACTGAGGTTCGATCGCTTCTCAACAAATTATCGCCAGAAATGATTGCTCTGGACCCCACATTCATTGGAAACCTCGACTTGCGCTCTGAGGAGCAACGACAGGCCGAAAGGGATCTTGATGCCAAGCCGGTGGACATTGAAACGGAGATAAGGAAGAAGGCACGTGGAAAGAATAGCACGCTTCGGAGATATCTCAGGAAACAGCGGGCAAAGAACGTTATCGACGAAAAGAGACTCAAGGTTGATGAGATATGGAAGGAACAACGATTACAAGAACGAGAGAAACAGCAAAAGGAGAGGGAAGCAGATCTGGGACCAGCCCTGTCTCGGTTCGCAAAGAGAGACTAGCTCATTTAATAATATATACCCATTTGATTGCATCCCGCAGCTGGGACCGCCGATAATGTTTGTGTTTATATCTGGGGGTATCATTCGAGTACGTCAAGTGATAATTGCTACTGGTATAAGCCAACTTCGCGCTGATCTCTTGATAAGGGGTAAGCTACGGAACATAATCACTAGATACTATCGGACTTAAACACCAGTCAGTCACTAGTCATATATCAAATGCCCATGTCTACAGGCTTATCGCTGGCAACAGTCTATTATATCAAGAACTCAGGTAGCCATCTACCAAAGGGAAAGAAAAGAAAAAAAAGCTCAAGACAATCATTAACAACCCCATTACCATCCCATCCTCTCTTCCAAATTAATTCACATATCAATTAGCTGACAATAGCCCCAATAGTAGCAATCTGCTGCGCCCGCCGTCTATCGACCTCGCGCTTGAGCACGGAAACCGCAGTAGTCACGACGAGCCACTCGACGCGCTCGCGCCTCTTCTCCTCGAACGGCGACAGATCGAGCATCAGCCTGCCCCCGTTGCCCGCGGACGAGCGGCTGGAGCCCGGACTGCGGTAGGTCTCGTTGCGCACGAGCTGCGCGATGCGGGTGCCGGTCTTGGTGTTTTCTTTTTCTTTTTTTGCGATGGAGTTGGAGGGGGAAGGTGTGTACAGCTCGCAGATAAGCAGACTGTCAGCCGCGTAACTGGCGCGCTCCTCGGCGTTGCCGTAGCGCCAGCCGAACGTGCCTAGACCGGGCACCGCGAAGCGGATCGCGCGGGTGAAGAGGTTCTTGCCCGCGATCTCGAAGCCTTGGGGTTCTGCGGCATCGGCGTTACTGTCTTCTTCGTGACTTTGGTCGTCTGAGAGAGAGTCGCTGTGGGAACGTGATAGAGGAGGATTCCGCGTCGGATCTCCCAGGACTACGACGGGACGTCGGCTAGGCCCGAATCCGAAGCGGTAGGTTGTTGTTGTTAGAGGCGATTGCGTCTCGTCGTCGCCGTACGTTAGAAAGCTGGATCCGGAGCGGTGGTTGGGGCGCACGGAGAGGTAGAGTGGGCGGTCGAGGTGTCCTGAGGGCGTGAGTGTGAAGATTGGGATTGGGTCTGGGCGGGTGGGTGTTGGGAAAGAGAGGAGGTTTTTCCCTTGGGTTTGGATCTGGAGTTGTTTTGTTGGGGTGAAAATCGGGGGAGAAGAGGAGGATGGGCCTGCTATGGTTGAGGTCTCTGGGGCGTGCGATGAGGCTGATGTTGAGGCGGATAGGCTTGCGAGCTCGATGTCGTCGTACGGTGAATTTTTACCTGCGTGCTCGGAGTACGGAGGCAGTATTGGCGCTCTTAGGGATGTTTCTGAGCGGTTGGCGTGGATGTGGTAGGGTGGTGCTGCTGCTTGTGATGCCATCTTTCTTGTGTTTCTGAAATCTCGGGATGTAGTCAGGTAAGAAGGTAACAAAGAGATCTTGTTGCGAGGCGAGTTTGTCAAGGTAATAATAGACTGTATTCCCTTTTCTATATGTTGATCGACGACTACCTATCTAGAACCCATCGCGAGCCGCAAGTCTGTCTATATATCTAACCTTTAAGCTAGTCCATGCTTGCCATGAAGTCTTTCAGCATGAGATCGTCAAGCCACCATGCCAAGAGATACCAGAATACGGGGAATGCGAAAAGCATATCCGTAGTTACGACGGTGACACGCGAGCAATATAGCCCATATATACCAAACTCAACGAGCCATAGTCGAGGAGGCGGAGCAGTGGCTTAACATTTATCGATCACTTGTACTCGCTTTGTCCTCACGAACACTTACCTAATCGTTCGAATATAATATCGCGATAATATAATGACCGCCCATCGCAAGACATGTGATTGGCCGCGGCACCAGTAACTAGACAAATCAGCCTTACCACTAAGACGAAACTTGACTAAGACAGGGCGCCGGACGGTGGCGTGGTCCGCGGGATCGACAGTGACAGGACCTGGGGGGGTGTTCTTGTTTTCTTTGTCTCTGCTAGGCGCAAACCACTAGAAATATTAGGCTTGTAGGTAGAACCTGCTGCCGCCGCACGCGAAATACGACGAAAACGAGGTGCATGACGAAGTGCATAAGCCCCCCAGTCATCTCTCACCACCAAGGGGGCTAATTGGCGCTAATGTGGCGGTGTAAGCCCCTTTCGGTTGGGTTGAATCAGTCTTGGGATGGGCTCCCAACGCGAATTTCTTTTTGAACAACGAGGTTGCTCGCCGTTTGACTCATGGTCCATCATGTGGAGTGCGCAGTTATTGTTGATGTGTTACGGCCAAGACAGCATGCTAGATGGAGCTGTCTCTCTTCTGAGCATCCCATCAGATCGTAATCATCTAGCCATATGGAGATGCGAATGCAAGTTGCGATTTTGCTTCTTGAAGATTGAGGTTGATATGTAGTGTAAATTTGGAGTGAAGATGAAGTACTCCGCGCGCAATAATATGGTATCAATAGTAATTAGAAATTAAAGAGCACCTAGCTCATGCGCCCATAGGTATGATAAGCAATTGTCACAAGGTATATCTCTTCAATGACGCAACAACTCCTTGCCAAAGTAACCGAGATTTATATCCAGCTGCGCCTCAACCCAGAGGGGCCACTGGTTGTACTGCTGGTGGTCGGCATCAATGTGTCGATTGATGTGCTTTAGCCACCTGACCATACCCAGGTCCATATCACCGTCCTTTCGGCCAGGTTTCTCCCGCTGGCTGTAGTGCTCGGCCCCAGTGATTGTGGCCATGATTTGTTTCAGGGCAATCCAGTGTGAAGCGAGCAGTAGACACACTTGGTTCCCGCCATCAATGAGGGACTGGAAGTTCTCATGCGAGATTTGCATCCACCAGCCACTAATTCAGATGTTAGCATATAGTCCCGCTGCGCGCGGATTTGATCTGAATTGAAGACACAGAACCCTCTTCAAACCGAATGAACCTGATAAAGTAGATACTAGATAGTGAACATGTGTATACTTACTAGTGTTTGCAGAGCTTTTGATATGCTAGTTTATCGCATCAGAATTGAGCCTAGAAAAACCGCCACTAGATAAAGACTTACCTTCGAACGAAGAGGTATATAGAGCTTCCGCAATTTCGGTGAGCAGCTGGTGGTAATCAATTTCGACTTGTTGCTGGCAGAGTGGTTGAAGGGCAGCGATGTTTGCCACGGCCATATCAGTCCACTCTGTACGAATCGGCGGGATAGCCTCCATCAAAGGCTGTAGAATCTCCATCTGGTCGTCGCCAAGGAAGTTGGAAAATATGAATTTGGCTCCCTTGCAGTACATCTGAATCGCGACGATGATGATGCCTCGGCAGAAGGTCATGAATTCTGCCATGCCATCGTCGAGCATGACTGATTGGAAAGTGAGGGCGTAGCATGTTGCAAGGAGTGCGTTGCCTTCCTCGAAGGTGTTCGTTTTAGGGACGTCAGTTAACGTTTTCTTGATAGCCTTTATCGCCTTTAATCGGTGTGCCATAGCGAAAGTGACGAGACTCGGATCATGAATCATCAAGTCGGAAGCTGCAAGACCTAGGATAGCATGCACTACGACCACGATAGTTAGTCGGACTTGCTTCGTCTCATCTAGTTGACATAGGGGTTGCTATTGATTCAAGAAGCGTATAGCCAGCAGGGGCTAAGACGAGGAGGCTAGACACGTACTAAGATATTCGTGCTGGAAGACTGGTTAGTACTTTGAAGTCTTATGGCTGAAGCAACCTACGTTCTGAGACAAGCATGGCACTTCATGTGTCCAAATCGACTCGTTGCCCAACGGGTGATGCGGAGAGCAAGTTAGGAGAAAATGCTGGAAGAAGCGCATATCTTGAAGGCTAAAGAGGGGGATCTGATGTTGCGGCTGCATATAGTCAATATCGAGTTGTTCGGGTCTCAGCATCCGAGACTCACTTGATGAGTGATCTGGGGCACGACCGGGTACTCGCATTTGAGACCTGTCTTAACGCAGTGCCCGCACGACGGCCGGGTTTCTTGACACTATCGGAGCCAGTATGAGTCAGGGTCGATGTGAACAGCAGCGCAGGAGAAGTACCTTGATTCTACGCCTCTTGCAATTGTAACACCCACGACGGCTCTTAGTGTGGCCTCTTCTCTCCAACCTTGGCTTTTGGTTGGAATTGCTTCTAACAACTGCGGAAGAAGTAGGTGGTGAAACGCCAGCAGAGGTAACATCATTCATTACTGATGCCGACCCCGAAGAGCCGGTATCCCCCAGGTAATCGAGATCGTCATCTTGTAAGTAAGCAGCATAGTCGAATTCGGTGTTGTTGCTCCCCAAGGTTAGGAGGGGTAAGCTTGTAGACTGGCTGAAATCTAAGGGGTCCATGACGGGTGTCGAAGCATACGCTTTTTGCTAAACTGAAGGCAACGAGCGTGTTTTAAGAGATACCACGGAGGATGAGGAGACTTGGGAGGAGCCCCCTTCGATATTATTCCTCATAAGTCCCAAAAGATCTTTGATTAACTTCTAGAAGGAATGGAGCGCTCTGATGCCAAGCAATATCAAGGACTATCTGAGTCAATCACGTGTCTAGTCGGGGCAGTGCTCCCGAAAGAGCACTTCTAGGGCTGAACACGCAACCCGTCATTGGCTTGCTCAACCACCTTCGAGGCTGGGTTGGTCCAATGTCTTAGTTGTGAATGATCATCAACATCATCGTCACCCTGCACAAGACCCCAGCAAACACCATACATGCAAGTCTTGGCGATATTGCAACCTTGACTTTCGATGGATGAGTCAGATCGCGCAAAGCCAAAGGCCACTACTAGGTATTTGATAAGGGCCCTCGAATCACTATCCAACATAGTCTTATGGAGATCTCAATAGCACCGAAGATATTGTCTATATCTGTAAGGCACGACAAGAGATGAGGGTCGATGACGGGCATCAATCGCGTCGCGCTAGTACAGGCCTTTCCATTGATATGCACACTTCGGTACTGCCCGCCATACTTTATCGGCACCTCTGACCATTTGTTCAGAGGCAGGTCGTACTCTGAGCCAGAATTCCTAAGCCTTGTTGCATCGCGATTGAACAATCGTTGCTACTGTATGTTGAGCTGTGCGCTGCGCCCCAAAGACAGGGTCCCCTAAGAACCTGGTTAATTAATGAGATAATAGGTGACTTGATTAACCAGCCCAAACCTGAAAGGCTCACGAAATGAGGGGAAACAGTAAGCTTCTTCTTGTTCTCATTGCTCGCATTTGCTAAGTGTCTGCCTAACTGCCAGAGTCTTAAACAGGACACCGAGAGCATTGGTTAGACCCAAGCATTCCCCGACAGGGTCTAGCTTGTAGTATACTCCGGCATCCGGCAACATCGTGAGCGATTGCCTGTGATCATAGAGATGTGGACGTCTTGAATCGCAACCCCAACAAAGGACGGCTCAACACATCAGCCGAGAGGTTCGATACATAGACTAAGAAAATTGCAGGTTGCCTTGACGTGTTCGAATTGATTTGCAGGGACAGTAATATGTGAGTACACTGTAACTCAAGCCAACCAATCGCACATAAGACTCGTCGGCAGGCTTCCACGGAATATATACATCGGCTCAGTTCCGATAACCTTTATATTATAGCTGCTGTCATTGGGTAAGCATGTGCATAGTTAGGTAGGTAAGTTTCAGAATGCGCGTCCGGGCAACTCACACATTACGCTTTTCGTCAAAGCACGCAGCTAGCTAGTTTGTAAGTATGCATATATATACTAGCATACGTCGACCCCAGAGAGAAAAAAAAAGTCTCGAGCAGTAGTGGCCGCTCATGCAAGAACCCGAAGACTGACGGATACAGGGATGTCGAGGATGGGACAATCAAAGTAACCGCGCATCATGAATATACAGTACGTACATACAACACAATAGGTATAACACAACTTGCCACGAGTGTCAAAGATGGCAATGCCACTTGGTAAGGGAGGTGGTGCAGGTAAGATATGGTAGCAGTGGTCTGGGCTGGGTTGGTGGCACAAAGCTCTTCAGGCCAACGTCAGACAGACAGACAGACACAGCACCATTACCCCGAGAGATACATTCCCCGGTTTCCTTGGAAGGTGAGACGGCGAGCAAAAGACCCCAGGATCACCTCATTTTGGGGAAACACAATCCTCGAAGATGAGGAGTGGCTTGTTGGGCAAACTTCATGTTGCTTTCAGTGTAGATAGGTAATGAATGATATGTCCGATATTAGACCTGGCTGCGTGGTAGGACTGTACACATGCTTTCGCGAGATGTGATAGGATGGGCGAGAGATAATCTCGTTTGTGTTTCATCATGATTAAATTTGCTGTTGCTACAGACTGAGGAAACCCTTTCCCAACAGCAGTTTGCTATTGTAGCGCACAGAGCAGGTATGAATTTTTACTTCTTTTCGGGTGCGTACCTATCGAACATACGTTTACTTACCTACTCTACCACAGCACTGTAGACCTACATGTAGGTATAAGTCAGCTGTATGTACTTCGTAAGCGTGACAACAGCCCTAAGTCGAAAGTCCCTGGGCTGAAAACCTGCCAACTGTTGAGATGCTGCCCACGCTCACGTCCGAATGTCCGAAGGTATTTCCACGAGTGCTAGTGGTGTCTTACGTAGTATACCGTACGCCAGCGAGGCCAGGAAACACTTCACACTACAGGCTACATACAGCACACATACCAAAGGAATTACTTACTTACGTGTACACAGGGCCAAGGCAGCTTACGCATACTGAGTAAAGCGTGACCGGCCTGTACCAGTAACCCACGTGGGCCGAATCAAGTGCCGTCGCCATTCGGCTACGCAAGTTGAAACACCCAGTCAAGCCACAAGTCTTCGCAACAGCTGTGACCAGCAAAGCTTATTGATCGATCGGATTGATCGACCGTCAAGCGCATCGCCGTCAGCTCCCCAGAGGCCACCTAGACTGCCTCCTTGTGGAGTATCTTACACTACCTACGGGAACTACGCGGTAAGTAGTGCACGCCGGTTTCTGGCGATGCACAACTGGTTTTGATCTATCAGCAGATAGCGTGCGAGAGGCGAGAGGCGAGAGGCTTTTTCTTTGCATCCTGTGCACCCGCCTTCGAGACCAAGGTGCTATCTGGTTTATGACTCGTGTTGGGCGATCATATCTTTTTGACAGCCGAAATTGATCTGACAAATGCAGCCAATTTCCACAGTCAAGGTTGTAGCACAGTGATCTCTGTACATGGAGCTTGTTTTCGCCTCCCATCTCGGCGCGGGATTTGGAGATACCTGCCTGCCGGCAAGTATACACGTGTACAACTTCTCGCTACGTAAACTGGATTTTCGTGACGGCCGACAAGATGGCGGGTGAATCGCCCCATATGACGACTCTAAAGAGGGTATCATGATCATGTCTAGCTTGGCCTTAAACATGGCTGGAAGATGGATGGCTGGATTCAATCAAGAGGAACAGATGGAGGCGGCGCCCTTTTTATTAACTTTTTGTCTTATTACCTGCCGCACTGGGAAGCTGAGGTTGTCGCTGAAGTGGTTGGCGCCACGAAAATAGACGTACAGGATTTACCAGGTACCTACAATGGTGTGTGTTAAACTGGCCGACACTGGAGCTTCCCTTTTTTTTTTTTAGAGAGAGAGAGAGAAAGGATTACTTGCTGCTGACATCTCCACACAGTTCGTCCGATTCGTCTGTTTCGACTCCATGTCCGCGCGTTCCTTGCAGCAGCTCAAAGTCCTGGCTGGTGTGTCTGGGTCCGTCCTTGTAAAAAACCTGAGTGTACCTGCATACGAACTGTCACGAACGAACAGGATTGGACACGAGAGCCAGGCACAAGGGGGCCTAGTAAGTACACGCGAGCGCCAGTCCACTTTGCAGCTTACTGAGCGATTGGCCGAGAAGAGTGGGAATACCTGCACCGCACCACAGCACCCGACCTCTGCCCGACAGTAAAAGATGACTGAAGAGCGATGCGCCGCTGGATGTCGCCGCGGCTGGGTGGGCTGGGTGGAGGTTACGTACTATGTACTGTGACCGGGACTCCATGTTAGCACTCTACTCTGCTGTAAGTAAGCTTACAGGTGAGCGAGAAGGAAAAGGAGATCAGCCTCCGCGCAGGTAGAGGTAGTGTGCACTTACGACAGTGATCACATCACTCGTAACCTCTGCCACCACCACCACCACCACCATCGCCAATAGCAGGAACAAGGTCTTCCAAGTCCTCGCTGCTGGTGCACTACCTCTGCACTACCTATTGCTACCGCGGGGCATTATTGTCCTTGTGCGGCTCTGTGGGCATCGTGGCATCGTCTGGGCGACGCTGATTATTACGATGTTGGGATAAATTGATGGGCAAGATCGGTGTTGGAGGTTGATGGCGGGTGAATGGCCCGTTCTTGGATAGCAGATTCTATTCCCGTTCAGTAGATTGGCACTGTCAATCCGCCGAAAATCCCAGCCATCATCAGCCCTGAGGAACAGCCTAGAATCCGACGGAGTTTTTAGTTTTTTCACTACCAATTTTTTTCTCTCGTTATTTTTGTAGTTGTAGTGTACCTACTTACACTAACCACTAACCACGAACTTCGAACCCCTGCAGAGAGAGCAAGTAATCCAGCCAACGAGGAATCAGGATTGACGGTGTTTCAGGACTCCTGGTAGCTACCTAACCCAGTATAGTCTAGACGGCTAAGCTCTGCATCCAGCCACTTGGGCCAGCGCTCTTAGCACTTTTAGCCCGCTGGTCCACTATCCGCCAATCCGCCGCGCTTCCTTTTACTTAGCGGAACTTGGAGCTGACGAACGAGCTGGTCTGTACCGAGCCTACTTACAAGCAGACTCGGCAGACTTCAAGTAACAACTGGCGCGCGGTGATGGGACACATCTGCTGCCCCTGTGGCTAACGCTAATTCGACGATCCTCCCGACATTCGGGGCCTACCTACTATCGTATGTACAGATAGATACATGTACATACATACGCTGTACTACCTACAGTACACTCTTCTGTTAGTAGACACCTATTATACAGAGAATTCTAACATTGTATCATGCTGGGTATGATCAATCGAGAAACCTGCTTGTCCAACCGTGGCCCCAGCGCAGGGTCATGTTGTTCGTTGTTGTTGCAAGGTCCATGGTCACAATGGGTGTTGTGTACCTGCATCTTCCCTATTTTCGGCCTTGTTTAGCGCACTGATGGCAGGTACGGTGGGAGTGGCTATATTACCCCTCACAGTGGATTCCTTCAGTAACTAGAACTTCTACTCAACAACATCAATAATATCCCCTTGGCAATCCCTACAGTTATCAGCACCGTATCCAGGTACGTGTACCTAGTAGCGTAGCGTATGGTGATAGGTATCCACCCCATCTATTTGCTCAGATCCGTCTCGTCAGCTCCACCCCTGGCGGCCCCACAATGCTACCCTCTCGCCTCCTCAGTGCCTCTTCAGTGCCTCCTCACCACACCACAGCGCAACCAACAACCAACAGCGACAGAGCGTTACCGACCTCTCTTAGTGGTTGGTTAGTGGTTGGTCCAGTGGCTGGCTCACTTACATGTAAGGTACCTGTACACGCACACAATGAACCCACACCCACCTTGAAGCACACATCGCACCCCTGCCCCCCTCCTCCTCACCTTTGACCCTTCACCCTTCATATTTCGTTCCTTTTTATATGTTGGTTCCGTCCGACCTCCATCGTCGTACATTCTCTCCTCCCTTTCGGTTCCCTACCGCCATCCGGGTTTTGGTTTCTTTCCATCCACATTCCTTTCTCCATCCAGGTCGCCAGACGTCCACCTTCACGTTCTTTGTAACTTGTTCTGCCGTGTTATTCGCAATCTCGACAGTCTTTTCAGACCCAAATAACATAGACAGCACATAAAGAAGCCACTCAAGCGAAGTTCAAGTGTGCCACTCGACAATTTCCCTCGTCGACAACGCATATTGCTCCCCCACCGTCTTTGATAGACTTAAGTTGCGCCGCTATTGAACCACGCAGAGCGTTGGCTGCAGAGACTGACTCCCTTTTTGGACCTCTTCCATTCCTTCTTACCTGACGATATCATATCTCTGATAGATACGTCTCGACATTCATTGCGAACTGCTGGCACCGCAACATTCATTTTCACCTTCAGGAAAGACGAACAAATCAAACCAAGGATCACTGTACATCCACCTCAACCACCTTCAACCATCACGATCCAGTATCACTATCATTAACCATGTATTCGAAAACGAGCTTGATGGCCCTTTGCGCCGCCGTTGCCGTGAAGGAGGTCGCTGCTGGTCACGGGCACCAGCATGCTCATGCTGACAAGCGGGAAATTGTTTGGGCCGCTACCGAGACTGTTGTTGTCACCGACTACGTTGTTGTCACTGTCACCGAGGGTGAGGAGCCCACCGCTGCTGCTGTCACCCCTTCCTCCACCCCAGTTGCCGTCACAACCACAACTAGGGTCCGTCGGCCTCATCACCACACCAAGCAGCACTCAAGTGTGCAGTCGGAGACCTCAACTTCGGTAGTTATCCCTGAGTCTACCCCGTCTGTTGAGGTCCCAATTGTGACCCCAACTACATTGGCCACTGTCACAAGACCCGCAACTACTAGCGTTGCCCAGGAAACTCCTATTGAAACCCCCATTGTTAGCCCTCCAGTTGAGGTCACTTCAGTGATTGAGGAGCCTACTATCATTCCTACCACATCTGCTGTATTTACTCCTACCTCTTCCTCCAGTGCTGCACCTGCTCCCACGAGCCACAGCGGTGGAAAGCGTGGTCTCGCCTTCAACGACGCAAGCCTGGTTCAAGAATTCCTTACTCTAGGTGGACAGGCCTCCTGGGCTTACAACTGGGGTTCGTCCTCTGCTAGCCTTCCCGAGGGAGTGACCTTCTACCCTATGCTTTGGTCTCCAGCTCCCGACCACTCCAACGGCTGGGACGGATTTGCTGCTGATGCCATCTCCAAGGGTGCCGATGCCCTTCTCAGTTTCAACGAGCCCGATATTGCCAGCCAAGCCAACATGTCTCCTGCGGATGCCGCCGCTGGTCACATTCAGTGGATGAACCCCTACTCTGGAAAGGCTCGCATCAGTACCCCCGCTATTTCCAGCAGTGCCAACGCCAACCAGGGTATCGACTGGCTCAAGCAATTCTTCAATGCTTGCAACGGTCAGTGTGCGTTTGACTTCTGCGCTGCTCACTGGTATGGTCCCGGTGGTGCCGACGGCGCCGGCCTGTTCCTTCAGCACCTCAAGGATGTCAACGAGGCCTGTGACGGTAAGCCGGTCTGGGTCACTGAGTTTGCTGCTGAGGGTGCTGGCGTCGATGAGTTCATGACCACTGTTGTTGAATCTCTCGAGAGCGAGGAATTCTCATTCGTCGAGAAGTACTCGTACTTCTTCGCTGCCGTGGGCCAGCTCTTCACCTCGCCCACTGAGCTCAGCTCCTTTGGAAAGATCTACGCCGGCGTTGCTTAAGCGCGTCTTGGGTCATGATGATATGGATAGCATGTTGCACTTTTTTGAAACTGCCATTGAGCGAACTCTGATTTAGATTGGAAATGTTCTGTTCAAATCCACTCTTCTACTTCGTCTGTACATAGTTTTTTATATGATTGTTCAAAGCCAATCTTTGCGGATTTGTTTACCGGTGTCCGTTCCCAGTTGTTTTTACAGGTGCGAACCCGGCAATCATTGCGTGTGTGTATGTGTTTTTAGGAAGCATTAGGCATGGGCGGATACGGGAAAAACACTGCTTGCTTTTCCTGATGGGAGCGCAAAGGATAGATTTACGAGCCCATGAAAATACCAACGAGATTCAAAATCTTCTCGAACTTGACAAGTTCCATGCTTCTTACCTCCTACGTGACGTATAATCCATGTTTGTCCCATGCTATCGGTAAATTAAGGACGTAAAGTTCCTTGGCACTGTGTCCTGCATTGTGCGCGCCGCAGTGGGTGAAATTAGGTTGTCTTGTCTTGGGTTCATGTGCCACGTGGGAAATGAGTTTATACTCGCTCTTAAAATATCCCTGTCTATCGGTGATTGTGAACATGGAAGAGATAAATGGTGTTGGAAATCTAGGTAGCGATAAAACAGAGCGGCTCCTAACTGTGAGGAAGATAGCTGGATAGATAGTATGCAAGAGCAGGTAGTTGGTTAGAGAAGGCTGTTTTTGATGATATTGTGCTCGTTATCATGCCCGAGGCCCGCTTGATGGTCGTGGATGATTTGGTATATTTGGTATAAGAGCAATTGTCTTCACGCTGTCGCTTGGGAGGAAGATTGCGAGGCCTGTGTTGATGTGCTCTGCGAGAGGATATCTGAAATATGCGGTTACGAGGTTGGTATGGTATGGAAATGAAGCGTGACTGAGCACTCGCTTACTCCCAGTGAGGGGAGAAGGTAAGGGGCAGAGGAAAGATATAGAGCTGACATGAGAGGCTAGTGGTTATTATTCCTAGTATTGGAGTTGATCCTCATGGCTGTGAATACAGTCTGCTGTTTCCTGGTATGAGTTCTTCGGGGGTAGCGTCGGGTAACTGCGAGTAACATATGCCAGGGGAATGAATATATGCGTGGGTTGGTGATGTTTGCCACCTTGCTAGTCTGAGAATGCAGCACATCTGTTATACCGGGTCGTACTCTATCTATCTATCTCCATGTATACAGGTCAGAGCCTCGCGTACGACTCGAGCACTCGGGTCAAAGTGACCCTTCATCTCTACCATTACCTCATCATTCTCATAGACTCTTTTCGGAAATCATCGGCCACTAAACCTCTGCTTTCCACATATGTTTGCTGGCTTACCATGTGGGACTTACATCGATGGCTTTGGGCTCGGTGCTCTCCTTTATATGGTTGGTTGTGCCAGCATGGCTGGTATGGCACAGCTGGGGACGGTATCAGCGACGGCAGGTAAGCGCAATAATGGTAGTAGATCAGTTTCAGCACACTGACGCGAGCTTGAACAGACTGGACAGATTCAAGCAGTCGAGAAACGATGTAAACCTCTCCGCTAGATGGTCACTAGGGTAGGACATATTCTTCAGAGCCCTAAAGTAGCTAGAGACGTTCACATACTTAATTGAGTTTTTTCTGGTAGTCACCGATGAATGTGGATCTACGTTTGTTCGGAATGTGTTCGAAGTGTTGGCAATCAATCCGATCGATCAGCAGAACATCGAGGCCATGCTGTCGACTAACTTTGCGGGTAATGCGTCCTCTCTAATGCAGGCCTAAGATGAGAGGTAAATTACCAATCTTTCAAAATGGAAAAGGCTATGTATGATCTGGTTGTACGTCCACTTATGTTTTGAGCATTGTCGGGCAGTGGAATCTTCACACAAGATGGCGCAGAATTAGAACACTCACGCCAGTTACTCCAACCCCTATTCGCGTCGAACCGGGCACAGAACTTCGTCGAGATACAAGAGTGCGTAGAGAGACTGATTGAGCGGATTCCAGTCAAACAGGAAATGGAAATAGACCTGCAGCTTTTGTCCTTCAAGCTCACCTTTCTATCGCATCGTGGCCGGCTATGTCACATTTATTGGATCTTTGACAATAAGGAGCTCCACGATGCTTGCAAGACGTGTCGTGGATTTATTAACGAGGCGGTAGGAGTGGCCTTGAAAATGTCATACAAACAAGGAGTTAACGAAGGACATAAATTTATCAACGCCCTAGTTGAACAAACTCGGGATCCAATTGTCGTGAGGGATCAGTGTCTCAACGTGCTTTTGGCGGGACGGGACAGCACTAGTTGCTGGTTATCTCGGACCTTGTAAGTCGTCGTTCTTCTACACACTGTACAGAAACACACCAATACTCTGATAACAGTCACCTGCTAGCTTGACTTGAGATAATTCTCAAGAAACTCAGATAAGAGGTTGAAGCTATAGTTGGCCTTGGAGCTAACGCATATATCACCATGATCCCCAAGCGCTAGCTCTCATCCCCTCTCAAGTCCTCCGTCTATATGCTTCCGCCCTAGTGAACTCGCGAGTTGCGATACGACAGACCATTATTCCACTAGGAGGTGTTCAGATGAGAAGTCCCTGCTATACGTAGCCAAGGGACAAGCGGTCGACTATTCTGTGACGGAAAAAGACGCGCTCACTGACTTGAGTCTATCTCTTATAGAAGAATTCGCGTTCCTCGAGGTTTCTTATACTGTAGCGTCTCTCGTGCAGGATACCACCTACAGAGAGATTGGTTGATATGAGAGCTGGAAAACAGGATTTGACTCTTGTAGTGTCTTGTGCTGAAGGGTGTGCGGTGTCTATGCGTCGCTAACTGATTTTGGTCACATAGGGGGCCGCGGCTGCCTCTTAAAATAACCTACACGCCTATTTTCAGGAGGATCACGTCTGATTCAGGGCAGTTTGTCTATGTAAATATGATGTATAGGTACTGTATATCAATCACAGGTACTTGCGACCCCGAAGCTGAAGTGACCATCTCATGAGAATGAAGGAGTACACATAACGCAAGAAGCATGAAGCAAAATACATGAATATGAAGCGAAATAAAACTAAGATGATGCTTCGCTTTAATAAATTCGGTATTAGAAATCATGTACTACAGTATGTTATGCATGAGGGAGAGAGTAGGAGGTATCATTCAACATAGTGTATATCATTGACTATGAGAACAAGGTACTAGTACACCTTGAAATCATATATCATTAACGCATTCTCATCTTGGGCACGTATACGGGACGGACATACGAGGCATAGTAATAACTGGCACATAAAAGATCTCATCGCTTTCCAGTACAAAAATCGTCATTGGTAATAGCCTCGAAACGACTCTACCAATTCCTAAACGAAATCGTGAGTATTCCCGATCTCAGGAGCTTCATACGCAAATAACACACCAGCTAACTCACAGACACATAGACACATGTAAAAAGCAAGATACACATCTCAGGCTCAGCCCAGGCCTTCTCACGTTAAGACGTATGTCCAAAACAACATCACCAATAGAGAAAGACATAACAAAAAGCGTACTATATCCTCATCATCTCAGTCCAGAAACCACCACACACACACCTACCAAACCTACCCAACACCACGATCCAACCCCACATAACGCAAGCCAAGCCCGTAGCCCTACATAATCCATGAACCCATCAGGAACCCAGCCCAAACCTTCCCGCATGCCCCCCCCATGCTGACAGAAGCCCGACGCCAAAATACAAGGAGGCAATTCCCTCGCCCAAAGCGGCTACCTACATACACACACCACCCACACACATAACATAACATACATATACATGCCCGATAAAAAACCACGTGGTCGAAGAGCCGCCATGTAAGGCAAGAGAGGGGGGGAGACGAACCGCAACTGGCTGGGGGGGGCAGTTCGAAACATACATATACGGTACATTACATGCCACCCTAGCGTTACATCGTTTCGGGCATGGTTCGATATTTTTAAGGTTAATGTGGATGGATGGATGGATGGGACTTGTATGACTAAGGGGATGATGATAGAAATGAGAGCCAATGTCACGAATGAGTTATATCACAATATGAAGTGAATCAAATAATTCGTAGAATTGTATATACATACGTGCTTCTCATGTTTACAAGCCTGGATAGCATATTCTCTTCCTTTGCATCCGGCGTTCGTCTATGTACCATATCCCATACCCCATACTCATAACCTCCCTTATAAAATGAAACTGTCGCAACTCCCCAACGGATATCAGTAAAGTCACCAACCCCCCACCCCCCCTTCTCCCCCCCGGAAATCTATGTTATGATGCCCCTCATCGCAAGACGTATAATATCAATCAATCATGTGTCCCCAACGCCTTACGATGCAGTTAATGTTGTTCTCTACCACCGAGTCCTTAATCGCAACGCTCAATCAAACTCAAATACCAGGTGACCACCGCACGCATGATTATTTTACGAACCACTTTTGTTTGGCCTAAAGAGAAGATAGAGTCACGCCTAAGTAGGAAAATAAACTTAATGTTGTTGAGTCGAGGCAGGTGGAAGCGAGGTTTGTACGGTCGAAGCAGGCGCCGCTGGGGGTTCAGGGGTTGTAGCATTGCTTCGAGACTCGCTCCGGATATGGAGTCTCTCTCTCAACCGGTCTGTCAGTCTAGAGTGACGACGCTCGTCATCTGCAGCACCATCTGAAGCTTGCTGCGACTGTCTATATTGACGCAAGGCTTGGAGGCGCTCATCCACCGATGCGTGGCGGAGTCGGTTCCAGTCAAAGAGTCGCGACCGGCGTCGTCTGTGAGTTTCATCGGCGGCGGCAGCTGATTCTGGCGCATTGCCTTCGCGAGTGTCGGGTGGAGGGGCTAGAAGACCACCGGCTGTAGGCGCGGCATCTTGCGTCGCAGGGGTGTCATCCTCTTCGCCCTCAGCATCTTCTGGGGGTCGCAAGTCCAGACGACTATGAATCAAGTATTAGTCTGCTGTATCAGATCTAAGATGTATCACGATCAACTTACCACAAGGGACATGTGCCAGAGACATTCACTAGCCACGGGTCTACACAAGCGGGGTGGAATTTGTGGTCGCAAGGCAAAACCCGCACATCTTCGCCCTTGGTAAAGTCTTCGGTGCAAATCGAGCATTGCAGATGATCCTCTTCGTTCTCGGGTTCCTTGTCTGCTTTGTTCTGCGTTGAACCTGTTGTGGCAGGCGCACCCTCTTGCTCACGCTGTGACGCTGCGTGGTCGGCTGCTTCCGAAGATGACTCGGGTACAGTAGCGTTGTTTGATGTATCATTCGTCGCATCTCGCGAAGCATCCGGCGTCTGTGATTCAACTCTGTTGACATTCTCAAGCGCATTTTCTTCATCTGGCTTTCTTTGGTCGTTCTCGCCAAATTTGACAATGGGCAGAGTCTCTAGCATGGCCATAGCAAGGCCTCTGGCACGACTCCGACGGGGTCTACCATTTGCGCTTGGTCGTGGTCCATAGCGTTCGGGGTTGCGATGTGCACGTACAGCTCCCGTGGCAATGATAAACAAAAAGAGGAGGGTTATCAGGCCCGTAATAGCATACAGAATGCTCATAGCGATGGCCGAGGTGCTACCAGGTCGGCCCTGTTGTTGATTGTCTGGAGCGACTGAGCTACGCATGATTGAGGCCATGCACGTATCCGAATCAGTTGTTGCGATAAAGCTGTGGACCTTGGCGGCATCGTCTTGACTCGCCATTGTCCAAATGCGACTGTATGGCAGGTTTCTCCCTCCGAGGAAACAGATCGGTTTCGTTTTACTGTAGAGTAGAATAGCGGCCGGCGCGGCAGAATTGCTCATAACTGCATTTAACACACGATCAGGAGAAATCAGATTGGAATCATTATTAGACGCTCCGTCGCAACAGAGGAAAACGACCTTGTCCGTGTAGTTGACTTGGGTGAAATTAGAGTAGTCAAGTATGACGAGGTCACCTTTGACATCCGGTAGCTGGTCACACATCATTAGCCACGGTTTGACAGTAGTGGACGGACCAAAAAACGGTATGCAACACTTGCAGGCGGCACATAACTCACCTTTTTCACATCATCTGGCTGAAGCCCAGCTTCGCTGGTCAACGGCACAACATCAAATGGTACGCCGCCAGGCGAGTTATCGGCGATTTCAGGGGTTTCGATGACAAGGGCCATCTTCCACTGGGCAAGGTAGTTTGTGAGATCTGTGGGCGTTGTAGAGGCATCGTCATCAGCAGCAGACGCAAAGGAAACAAGGGATGCGATGCTCAGAGCTATCCACGCCTTTACAATAAAAGAAGTTAGGGCCACCACCGCCATGCTCATCTATCGTCCAAGGTGCACAGGATAAGGCAGCGTTGGGCGAATTGGCAAAACTTCTAGATAGCTACGAAGCGGCAGGACGAGATGCAGTCACGGCCACGCGAGGAGGCGGGTCGCAGAAAGCGGTTGCAGGCACAGGCGCAGATGCAGACGCAGATGCAGCGTGGATAGTGGATAGTGGCTAATGGATTGGCGGGCTGGCGGGACGTTGTATGCGCGGGTTTAGGCGGGCGGAGTTCTCTCGAATGTTGGTGTCTCTAGAAGGCCTGGACACCTATGGGTAACAATGGCGATGTCAAAGAGAGGAATGAATTGTCGCATCTGAGGGTATCGTGACGGCACGGCCGGGAAAGGTGACAGCGTGGACTGGACTAAACTGGACTTCTGGACAGGATCTCCGGGAGCAAATGCTCGATCTCCTCAGACCGTGTTTCTGGGGGTTCTTGATCGGCGACAGGGCACGGCGACAACTCGCAACAGCATGGGTCGGGGCGAAGAAGCGCCGGGTTGGCTTGGTGTTTGATCTCTCCCAATACGCATACATACAGCCAAGCGGAACACACAAGAGATGGGATGGGATGGCGATTGAACCTTTGCAGTCTCAATTCGAGCAGCCTCACAGCACCGACAGATGGATAGATGGATGCTAGGTATGCACTATGCTATCAAGCTATCATGCTACCATGCTACTGTATGGCACTACAGATGGGACAGATTGGACAGATGGGAGATCCGGGGAAGAGAGCGAGAAGGCATCACGAGAGGAACTTAGGCGCACGGTGACATCGGGTCTGACACTTGGAGACTTGGAATCTGGAACAAAGGAAAAACGAAGGGGGTTTGGGGGGGGGGGGGGGGCGACGGAGCGATGAGCGAACCGCCAACTAAGGGAAGGGGGGCCGTTAGTTAGTAGACAGTTCAAGTTGGGGAGAGAAGGATGTCGGATGGATGACGGATGACTGGGCTGTGTAGGTTGTGGTTAGTGTATTGTAGTGTATCGTAGTGTACCTACATTCATTACATCCATCGTCAGGATAGATAACATGATGGTTTGATTGCTTGTGAAGAGGAATGTTCTCTTCCATCGCTCTCCTCTCCTCTCCTCTCTCCTCTCTCCGCTCTCCGCCCTCATCGACCTATCTACAGTACTCGCCTACGGTACCTATTTGGCCTCTAACAGCTGACCTGCCGCAAGTGCTGAGACCCTGTCGAGCCTGTCCAGGCGATAGAATAACGCTACCGCACACTAATCAGGTGCGCTGTGGGGGATGAGCGATACACTAAGTACACTCAAAGTGGGCTTCCCGTTTGACAGGAATCACCTCCGTCACACACGATAATACCCGATTACATGGTCTCAGTAAGTACAGAAGCGGCAGGAATTGGAATTGGAATTGAAATGAGTGTCCTCAGGCTTTCACACTACTTGAAATAAGGAATGATACTGCGGCGCAGTCGCCAGATAAGCATACTATAAGTACCTGGGTAGGTAGAGAAGGGTGCAGATAGGTAGCATGCGACATGCAGGATTTGGAATCAGACAAGACAAGTGAAGTAAAAAAAGGCCTTGTCCTGCCATGCCCTTCCCTGTCATAGCCAATGGAAATAGTATAAAAACACAAATAAATTGACCAAGACATTGTAGGAGCTCAGTTGCATTTACCACGCCTTAATTGGCTGCTGCCAAGGAAGCAGCCTACGCACGCATCAAACAGCACACAACTACACAGCCCACAAGTTACGTGCATCCATATGAATGTATACACATCTTACACAGTAAGTAAGTGAGTAAATGAGTAAGTACATGACGACGTGATGCCATTCACTAGTAATGTACACAAGGTTCGCCTTGTAGGGTACCGGGTTGTAGGAGCGAGTCCAAGCACGCCGGACATGTACCTAAAGTGTGAACTGTATGTAGTGTACTATGCGTCCTTCCTGTACGGTACCTATTTGAAACCCCCTTCCAACGCCAACGCTGTTTGCGCCAATGATTATTGAAACGTCGATAATAATAACAATAACATCAACACCAACAACAACAACAAGAACAAGACACCAGAGTTGAGACAGACAAGGCGCAATATGATACCGGTACGGCCTACCTTAGTGTTCGCGGTATGGCGCTCTGTCTGCCCTTCCAATATACTTAGGTCCCGCAGCCAGAATGAGTTTGATGATGAGTTGATGCGACCTACCTACTAACATCAGGTAAACATATCATCAAGTTCCACACTGGCGGATTTGCGGCTCTGCGCCCATCTTCTCATCCCCGAACTGCCTACCTACATTACATTACTTACTTACGCAGGTTGCCGCTAGGACGCCCATGTTTCGGTGCCCGTACTTACATTACACACAGCGTGATCTCCGCTCCAATCTTACTCCGGCTATTCTTCCGAGGCCGACTGTGTTGGGATGAATGAACTTCGGGTATAGGTAGGTTGGTAGGTACGGTAGGCAGGTTAGCCAACCTTTTCCGACACGGCGGATATTACAACGTGATATTGTAACCACTCCAAGCAGATCCACGGCAACACCCCCCCTAGTAATCGCTCATTTCTGCCTGACCTTTATCCCGACAGCGGATGCGGATGGGAATGGTTCTCATGCGAATTGGCGAATTGGAAAATCCTGTTCATGCCATGAAACAGCGTGCTGTGCCGCTCTGATCTCTTCCTAGGTACCGTAGGTATAAGCCAATCTCCGTCCCTCAGTGGCACGCTTTACGCGGGTGCGCTAGGCAATTCGGATCTTCTATCCCCATGTCAGCTAGGACTCCAGGAAATACCAAGTATGACCAGTGGTGTAGGTGTTCTCAAACCCTAGTTCCAAAACAGTTCAGTTTAGAAAGAGTAAGTATATCGCATAAATTATCAGTTATAACGTTTGTTGTTCGCAGGCTGTCTGTCTCTCTACTGTGAGTAAACAGGTTGGTAGTAGCTGCTAGCATTATTGGAACGAATATGCTTTGAGTTGTTAAGACATCTCAAACGTGCTCAAGAATCATCGTTGATTCAAGTCGTCCTGTTACCAATATGCACCACACCCCCCTTGTAACCTCCTACTTATATCTCAACATGAGTATAGGTACACCCCAGATTTTCCCAAGAACCCTTCAGCCCGCTTATCGAGGGTTTTCGATGCAACCGTGTTGATGCAGAAGAAAAAAAAATTGTAAGATGAAAAAAAAAAAAAAATCGCTCGCTAGAATGCCTATACCTGGACTAGTTCATCGTAACACCTTGGACGCCTCTCATCAGCCATCATCTCACATACGTAAGCCGCGCATTAGTTTAGATTGGAGAGAGAGGCAGAGCAGGACGCACGGGAGACTGGCCGCGGCGGTCGCCGGGTTTCATTACATGCATAAACGCTGCTCGGCTGCATGGCGGGTGATCCTCGAAATCCCTCGCGCAGCACGGTATTGGTTCATCGGCAGGTTCGGAATCCTGGCGTGTAACCCCGGCACCAAAGCACAATCCTTCCGCTACCCTGCTGCTGCCCTGCTTGCGTTGCCCACGGCCGATGTTGGTTTGTTGCGTTCGCTGCTCATGTCAGATCTCCCAAGGACTACCTAGATACCAAACTGCATGCGCTCACTAGCCCTACACAGTAGCTCTCTAGCTCTCTAGCTTCCTAAGTAGCTTCCTACAGATAGACTAGTTAAAACTGACTAGTACTTAGTTGCTACCAACTCACATTTGCCGGGTGGCTTCGATGGTTCGGAGCAGGGGTCTGGGTGGGTAGAGTTTGAAGAGAGGGATACCAACAGTACACGTGAACCAGATGAGTGTTGGTAAGAGGATCTCGGTAATATAGGTCCATGAGTGTATAGCACAGCCCTATTCTATCTGAAATGTACCGGGGAAGACGACGACGACTTCATATTTGGAATGATATAGGGGTTTGTTGTTATTATCTGCAAAGCTACATAAGGTATTATCGCCCCAATAATGGATACCAATATGTGACATGGAAGTGGGCTATTGCGTTAGAAAGGTTACTTTCGAGATATTGGGCTAAATGCACGCAACTATATACTATATCTTTGAGTGAGCAAAATGAAAGCATAGCGCTGGGTCTAGACTGGGCAGACCACATAAATTACAGAAGAATGAGGCGGGATGAAGACTAACAAAAAAACAGTACTGACCCTTGCATCCATCCGCATTATCATCTGGATCTAAATGGTAGGGATTAAGAGGTCGTGGTATTCCCGCTAAGTGGATGCAATACGGGCTTTGCAATGACTCGAGGAAGTCTGAAATAGAGTGTACCACAACGAGGTCATCTCTTGTATTGGTTTAGAGATACCTATTAGCCGCGTGAAAAGAAGGGTACCCCATGCTACCATTCGTGTGGCCGGCGATTTTGCCGTCTACCAGAGGACGGATGAACTGGTCTAATGCAGGCTATATCTCTTCCATGTCCTCTAAATCGTCGAGGACTGGCCAATCACCAACCTCGACTCGCTCTGGCCTGACGAACACGCCATGCTTGAGTGAGGATTCCTCACCCCAATACCTGGTGCCTCCTATGCTACCATCATTCTTCCCGACCGGTTCGTCGAGATGAACGCCGACCCAAGCGCCCAAGGTGCCAGGTATCTCCTTGACCTCGCCAACAAACTTGATCTCGCCTCTACGCGTATCATCCCCACCCACCCGACATCGCTTCCCGGGTTCGATGCCTCGACTCTTGATCTCCTGGTCGACGGCATCCACCTTGGCCTTCTCGAGGCTTGGAGCATCAGGATTGAACCGGCCGAGTTTCTCGGCCTTCTTCCAGGCCAGCACTGAGTCTGCCTTCTTTTCGTATTCTTCAATTGGCATGACATATTTCTCGACGCTAGATGTGTCGTTGAAGTTCAGCCTAGCCCCAGGTGGCCGAGTATCGACGATCTTCAGGGATGTTAGCGTCGGCAGTTCTCTAGCAGGTAGGATGGCTGCACAATATTGCACCCGGTGACCGGGCCGGGGACGACGAAAATAGTGTCCCGGAGTACATGTCTTCTTCTTACCTGTAACTCAGCGTACGGCGCCAAGCGGAAGTTGGTGAGGAGCGTGACATCCTCATCCTCGGCTTCGATAGCCACGGTCTCGTTGGCCGAGGTCTTCAACCTCAGGCGCTGGCAGGAAGGCGGGATGCCCGTGATAGGTTCGAGCTTGCTCTTCAGCTGACTTATGGACCATGAAGGCGTGATTCGCCTCTCGGAGGAGGAATTCTCCGAGGTGACTAGAAGTGGAACATCGGCCATGTTTACTACAACTGTACGTACGTAGGCAGGTAGGTAGGTAGGTATGTAAGATGACAACAGCGACGTGTGCGTGAACGTGGCTGAATGACAAGCTATTGGCGCTGTGCTTCCTGGAGGGACCCTTGCCTCGCTTGCCTGCCTGCCTGCTGGTTGCTTGCTTGCTTGCTTGCTTTTCTTGCTGAAACAGGAATGTCTTCCGTTCACTCGCGGCGTGTCCACGTAGGGCTGATGGCTTCAACAGACTTAACCGAATAGGCCAGACTCCGACTCCCTTGACCCCTTGCCCGTAGACAGTGAGTACCGTCGTCTGACGATATGCGCAGCACTTATGCGAGGTGCCTCAGACGACCGACCACGTCCGCAATACAAGACAATCTACAGCTATGTGTCTTCGTATAATCCTCGGCGGCCTAACTGTGTGTGATCAATATCCGGCAGCGCTGGCGGGTTTTAGGTGAGTTGGGTACCGGCACGGTATATGGCTAGCCTAGCCCGGTCCTTGGGTCTTGACTGTTCGTTCGGGTGTCCACAAGTCCACAAGCAAACAAGTCGGGCACAGCTACCGAAACGAGGTATCGCAAGCGAGAAAATGTGGCTGGGTAGGTACATAGGTACTTACATATGTAGGTAGGTACCTACCTGTTCTGAGTGATGCTGTGGCTGTGCTCCGGGCTCCGGGCTCTACCCAGCCAACCTCAGGCTTCTTCAATGTATGTATGTAGACCAGGTACTATACTACATGTAACCACCCCCCGTGGTGACTGAGTTGGACAGAGGAGTGATGAGTCAATCCATGATTCAGGTTTTCGATGGAGGACTACGGCTAGATTAAGAGAATGTCTGCTAATTAGCCTCTTAAGCTAGATGGCGTGGTGTAAATAAGTGCTTAGTCGGCAAAACGTGGCACTCTCGACATCCAGATCTTGCTTGGTCCACCCACCCAACCTGCCTCTACACTACACCACCAGGAATCAATTAATTACACGACTGGAGTATTTCGAGTGACATTCAATTGTATGCTACATTACGATGTAACCCGCCGGGACTGTAGCGTGCCTACAGAGGTATATACCGATGGTCTCTATAGCCCAGGGTATATTGGCTGCCAGGGGTTTCAGAACATACTTACATAGTATCCTACGTATCCTACGTATCCTACATTACCTGCCGACCTCAGTGGACACAAGGCCATCAAGTACGAAGTAGGGTAGGTAGGTAAGTAGGTAGGTAAGTAAGTAGGCAAGTAAGTATATGTACTCTGCATCACGATGTAGGTAGGGACTTACAGGAGATAGGGTATTGGTGCTTGCATCGTACATGTTGAAGATACCTACAACACCACATCCTACAAACTGGTACCTACCTACCTATCACAGATGGTCATATACCTACAACACCTGTGTATACGTGTACTACTGGTATACAACCTGTTTGCCCAGGCGTACATACGTACATACGATGCAGGCGTTTGATTCTGTTTGATGTAGAGGTGTCTAGGTAGCGTACGAAGCAGATGATAAGGTACCTATTGAGTACATGTAGGCCATGTGATGCACTCGCCCGCTGCACCTATGACATCTCGTTCTTGTTCTCTTCCTCTTCCTTGACTAGAGGACATGTACATACTTGCTAAGTAGGTACCTATACAAATCCACATCTATCTATCTATCTATACATAGGTAGTGCACTACACTACGCTTGCTACCGCGAGGTTACATGGACCAGAGCGGGTGGTGTACAGGATGTGGATGTGAATGAGGATGGTGAGGATGGGGATAGGTAGGGATGGATGGGGATGGGGAGGGACGATGGGAATGGGAATGGGAATGGGAACAAGAGGTACCACCATCCCAATGCCCAGAGGTACCGTCACAGCAAACAAAGCACTTGTTTCAGAGCCGCGTGGTTTACCCCATTGTCCTCTGCCTGCTGCAGGCGTCTCTTGTTCTTGTTGCATGCACGAGGGGATGACTGCCGATCCGTACCTACAGAGACCCCAGGACTGACCAGACCCAGCTCTGACCCAGGAGCCGAGATCCTTCCGCCTGCCGTCGCGTGTTACCAGCGACAGCGCCGATCCGATATTTTCATTGGATGCCGCCGTTTGTATCGTCGATATGAGTCTCCAATTTGGTTGCTACACGACAGCTTCTTCGCAGCATCGAGACCTTCATTCACCATCCTCAACCCTCAACTCTCATCTCGCGTCGCTCATCGCCCATGGCTCACACTACACGTCCGTTGTGGTCTGGTCTGGTCGTGGACGTGGACGTGGACGTGGAGAGGCCGCCGCGGGGGAACACGACGGCCGCCGGATACCGACACGCCTCACCTCCTCCTCCCCACCCACCCGGCCTCCCTTCCAGACAACACACCCTTCCCAAGTACTACACCACACCACTATACCTCCCTTCTACCTGGGCACAATCTCATCATGTTCGCTCTAGACTAGCAGACCGCGTCTACAGTACCTACTCTATCTCACAATGCTTTTCGCGTTAGGTATCGATGCTGTTGGCTTAGCGTACGCGGTAAGTAACTTTTGCCCTCAGCTTACGGGTTGAAGAACGGGGGGACACGGGAACTGGGGCCAATGACTTCACCGCCAAGCAAACGAAACAGATTTGTAGTTGCAACGGCATGGAACTGCTCAGTACTACCTACATATACTAAGTATGTTACGAAGTATACACTCCCCTGTGACTTGTCCGACTGGACAGGTCATATAACCCATCCGCCATCTTAGCACCAGCTGGCGAACAGGAGGCGTTCGACGCCAGGGCGCCCGCCCTTACATACATACATACATACATAGTACATCGTTGTTGGTTCGTCAGTACTATTAATGATACGAAATAATGCAACTTTGATGATTCGCTGCAGCACCTTATGCTGGGCCAAATTACCGTTCAGTTACCTACCTGCCTACCTGGCCACCTACCTATCTCTCTACCCGTACCATAACTTCTTGCCGTCTTTTCTCCCCAGACAGGCGGAGTCTAAGTATCCAGAGATGCCTCGCATTAATGCCCAGCGCAAATAGGGAGATGGCACTCACATATAGTCACGAGGCTGCACTGCTCACCGCTCTCTTCTTTCCAAGTATTGACGGACGGACACGCGCTGCCGTCAACCTCCCTCCCTACCTACCTAGCTGTCCTTTTTTACCCTGTTTTAACCCGACCGGTACTCGGCATTGGTGTTCAGCAGAACCTAATAAATTCTGTCTGCCCATCTAGATGTACTATACATGACACAAGCAAAAATCTTCAGGTACCAAAGACGGTTAAAGGCCTCCGCTACGACCCAATGCGTTAAAGCAGAGAACAAGGTTCTGGTAGCGAGTATGCAGCCTGACGTCCGTGCTGGAAACGAATCTGCCAGCGTGACATTGTAACGGTGGCATAGGTAGATTTAGATCACAGATCGCTCAGCCATCGTACCAGTGCATGCAGGTTGTTTACCAGGTCCAGCCGTTGATGCGAGGCCAACGCAGCTGAATATCTAGCGGGTCTGATTAAGCGGGTGAAGAGTGGAGGGTTCTAAAACCGGGCCGTGGTCATGGTTGGATCATGGCTGGTCTAGAGCCCAACCGAGTGGTCCTGAGATTGACTGGTTGGCTTTCCCAGACTACCAGAACACGCGATGAGCACATTGCAAGAGACAGAGGCACATGCGCCTTGCCTCACTTGACCTCGTGTCGCACCCAGTGCCACAGCTCATCCCTAGGACGATGGTAGCCTTATCTAAGTAGAGAAGTGTCTTGTATCAAATACAGGTGCTATCGTAAGCGCTATATCAGATGAAACGTCGAGGTTTTTTCGAGAAGAAGACCTGCCTGCCTGCCACTTTCTCAGTAGCGTGCTAGTGAGCTTCTTCATGCCGCCAACTCATTACTATGATAGGTGCATGACGAGCAGAAAGGCCATCTCCCTCAGTGTCACCCCATCTTCCGCATTTCCGGATCCGACGTAGGGCAGAAAAAAAAAAGGTTGAGAACGCCCAGCAGCGAGCGTTTGCAACTCATAGAAATGCCAACCCTATAAAAGTAGAATTATGATCCACAAACGGAAGTATAGGAATTGGTGACGATCCCGTTTGGCTCGGGCAGCAACAGCTAAAAAAGCCGGTCGACGATCAACCATCTACCCTTGTCACACGTTTCGGTTACTGCACTATCTACTTCGGGTGCAAAGGACAAGGACAAGGAGTCGGAAAACCTCACTATCTGAATGAATGAAGCTTCAATCGAACCCTTGCGATGACTCGTGTGCTGGGCGCGAGCACCGCCTACACCACATTGGAATCTGGGATGCTCCTCTGGCGGCTTGGCTGGCTGTAATTATCGTACGAACACCACAGATGCTGCTGCATGCCTTGCCTATTTGCCTACCGGTAGTGTACGCTAGACTCATTATTACCGACATCGCCTCTTGCCGTTAAGCTCCTTGTTTCCCATTTGGACAGTGAACACGCAACCCACAGTTCTTCGCTTCTTTAGCGGGCTGGAGAGTGGCGGGCAGTCCCCCATACCTGGGACAGACTGGGACAACATACGGTCAAAGTAAAGCCGCAGCAGGGCTTCGTGCCTGCGCTTTTGCAGTAATCAGGCATAAGTACCATGTACGGGGATGGAGCGCAGGGGGGGTGCGGGCTTTTCCAATGACAATCCATCCGCATAAGCCAGGGCGATCGTGGTTCATGGCAGTTAAAACGATCAGACAGGCTAGTTCCTGGTACAGAATAAGGGATGGGTACTTCCTTGACAAAAAGTTGCTTGCGCACGCGCGCGTGTGTGTGTGTTTCTGGTGTGCATGATAACTGACCGCCAGTTCACTCGCAACCCAAGAGACGTACCTACTTACATGCCATACTTCGTAGTCGTAGTATTCCCGGCGGCCGGGAATGGACGGCTAAGCTGTCTCTTCTGTGTGGACGTCATCATCCTGGGGAAGGGGGGGCGCATTTGGTGATTTTCTGATCTTCTGTCCAGGCTCGTCTCACAGACATTGTCTGATCTGAGGTGGGCAAGACGGGCTGAAATGAAGGTGACATTATCTAGATGGATGGAGATGGATGGAGATGATGGAGATGATGTAGATGAGGCCCGCACAGACGTCGAGTTCAAGAAAAAAAGCCCCGTTTCCCGCATCCGAGGCAACAAAGCCTTGTTCATGGCGGCCGCAGCGGGTTGGCAATCAGACAAGGTACATTGTGCCGGAGGAGATGCCGGGCGGGGATTTTTCGTGGGAACTCGAGGGACAAAGCACCACCGCCAAACAGTTGGCTTCTGCGGTTAACGCTCCCCGATCTCACCAAGACCACCACCACCACCACCACCACTCCCATCCACGCATCCACGCATCCACGCATCCATCCATCCATCCATCCATCCTCCACCAACACCAACGCCAATACCAATACCAATACCAACACCACCCACGTCGTCTACATACCTACCTACCTACCTAGTACAACACGCCCACACACGCCCGCCCGCCTGCCTGAACCATGCGCCGCCCACGCAGACTAATTTGCACGTACAGAGTAGGTAGGTAAGTAGATACTTGGATGTGCCAGGATCATTTGCCATAGGCGCGCAAACGAGTCGCTTCTGTTACCCCCCACTCACCTGCGCACGCAGTCCGCACAGCACAGCGAACTGCAAATTAAATATTGACCTAATAACACTCTCTCTGCCTCTCTCTCTCTCTCTCGCTCTACTATAGGAAACGCCCCCCTCCCCCCCCCCTCCCCCCTAATATCTGTAATGCTGCTCTCGCTCGCCCTATGCGGCGCCGGCTAGGTCAAGAGATGCTGCCGTAGTCGAGCTTAGTGCAGCGCCGACTGGGCTTCATCGTCAGCAGCCAAGCCATATCCGCCATGCGCATCAGCAGCACCAGCATAGCATAGGGTTGTCGGTTTCAATGGGCTCCACTCATGAAGGAGTTTCATGGCAGCCACCGCCACTAGATCTGTTTATCTGGGACCTCTGGAACTGATCGTTCGACTGATGTGACCTCCCCCGAACGTCCTCTCTGCTATCTAATAAGCCCTGTGCTTCCCACCACGGTGCGGCACGGCGGCTCGTCCAATGTTTTCAGATCGTGGACAGCTTTGTGCATAGTGGCATGGTGTAGTGCTTGATCTACCTGCTAAGCCTAGAACCCTATACTCTGCTGTGTATGCTCTATATCCTGGTTCTTGCTGTCGTGTTCGAACTTCAGGGCAACTCCTTGATGCTCTTCCCGGTGTTGGTTACCCTTGTCCCGGCCAGACGTTCATGGAGCTTCAGGACACGCGCGGTACCTACGTTCGTTTGGTTTCCGCTGCGTTTCTTCGGTTCGCCGCTCCAGTTGCGTCATTAATCCGCCGTTCTCCATGTATCTAGTGTGCCAGCCGGTGAATTGTTCTCTGCGAGCTCATGCATGCTTTCGTGGCCATGTAATCAGCCCCAGTTTATAGCTCGTGGGTAACAGAGCTATGTGTGTGTGTGCGTGTGCGTGTGTGTTCAAGCCTCTGACTCCCACTTGGAGGATCTCAAGCACCAGCGTCCTGAATCGGCATTGTAGTGATCGAACCGACTACCTAACCTGGAGGTGTCTGCCCTACTTACATGGGAGTTCTGTCTCACCGACTCGTACATTGCTCGCCCAGTAGCGTGATGCCTCTTGCCCTTAGTCTGGTGAGTGGTACGCTACGCAACAATGCCTCCCATCAACCCGACTGACTGACTGATCTTATAATACCTAATACCTGATACCTGATAGACTGACACACAATAACTGCTGTCTAGAACTGGATCTGGGATCCACATTGAATGTTTGGATACCTACACCACTTGTTTTCATACACCCCTCCCCTGCTCCCGCTTGGACTTCCTCACCTGGTACTTACAATGCTTGGTCTACTTTAAGGCTTCCTCGAAATACTTGGCCCTAGCATAGCAGAGTCCCCCACTACCACCACGACCACCACATTATTTTCGTTGACTTGCTGTCCGTTGCTTCTGTAGGGACCTCGTTTGAGCTTTTTCTCTTTTAATGTCTAGAATACGCTGCACACCCAACGTGGCCCCTCTTGTGACACTCTTCTCCCACAATGGCTCTCCCTAGATTATCATGACTGTTGCAAATGTTCCACTTGCTGGCGAAACCCTTGACGGTAACCCAACTAGACTGACGTATTAACGAGCCCTGGCGCCGCCTCGTTGTTCAAAGCTTTTCAGGTCGTCATAACAACGTTCATTGGTGGAAGGGCGGACCAAGTACGCCCAATCATGATGACAGTTCCTAGAAACGCGACCACGCTTCACTGACATTAATCTTGGCTCCCTCAGGAGGTCTTCCATAACCAAGTCTCCGAAACATCTAAACATCCCATCGTCATCTAATAGTTCTCCCGTGATACCCAAAGCACTCCTAAACTCGCTCGTTTAACCTCAAACTATTTCCGTTCCTACCTACTCGCTTGGCTCTCAACCTCTATTTGCCCTAGCATTGTCTGGGTAGACAAAAGTACCAAGGGAAAAAAACAAACCAAGAGGCGAATAGAATATTACATCACTACAGTCATCGTCATCACCAATAGTCTGCTTATAAGGTCTCTTGAAGAACACAGCGGCATAGCAAGGGACACAGCCAAAACGTCACGGTTGAAGTCGACTAAACTAGCGACACCATTGACGTTTCCATGAACACGAGTCTTACCAGCCCGATTACGGCCTTATAGGCGATCTACCGCCATCGTGGATATCGCCTCCCTACTTAAGGCCTCCGACTCAAATGAGTCCTCATTACCCTCATCCCAGCAAAGCCGATCCACATCCGTACCGGCTACCGCGGGCCCGGCGGTCACGACGACGGCGCCTTACGGACCTCCCTTATACGCAGCACCTCCTCGCCTGGGAGGAGTAGGCCCCATGGTAGCAGGAACTGTCAGCAAGCGCGGAATGGCGCCTCACATCTCAGAAGCGCCGGCGAAGAAGCAGAGTAAATGGTCAGCAGAAGAAGACGCACTAATCATCGATCTTCGAGGAAGCGGGATGAAGTGGGAGGACATCTCTAAACGATTACCCGGCCGCAGCGCTATAAGCTGCCGCCTTCATTACCAGAATTATCTCGAGAGGCGTAGTGAATGGGACGAAGAGCGGAAGAACAAGTTGGCAAGATTGTACGAGAGGTACGCCCCACGAGAATTTGGGAGTCCTAACCGCCCCAATCCTTACTTTCGTAGCTGGACGAGAGGCCGAGCGGACCGCACAGACAAGACGTCACGGAAGACTAACGTAGGAAGCAGATTTAAACCCGAAATGTGGGCGAAAGTTGCAGAGGAGATGGCCATACCATGGCGTGCGGCAGAGGCGATGCATTGGCAGCTGGGGGAGCAAGACATGGCTCGACGAGCAGGTGTGACACCTTTCTCTCTCTCTGCCCAGACTTTGGAGACGGCTCATGGAGGGGCACGGGCTTCTTCGCGACACACACACTCTTCATCACAAGGGGGGATTTCGCGAGAGGTCAGTCATGGAAGAGGTTATGGTCGGGGCACCGCGCTCCCTCCAGCTCGCCCCCTCGTGCGAAGAGAAAGTCTTGCGACACATCATCTCCCACCTCCCGAGCATCTTGAGGTTACCTACGGATATTCTCATCCACACGGCGGCGGGCACCTTGCTCCTATTCAGACTCAAAACCCACCGCCGCGGCCGGGAATGCTCCCAAGCGTGGCAGAACTTACAACTGGTGTTAGTCCCTACAGCACGCCAGCCTACTCAGCAGGAGTGCCAAGTGCGAGCCCCGTACACAGTGCTACAGCAAGTCCCGGGCCCTACATGCCACCACTTGGCTACCCACCAATCGATCCGGCATCGGCCAGTTCTAAGAGACGAAGGAGCCCCGAGGTTATGCCCTACGAAACGAGTAGACGCAGGCACCTCGAGCGACCACCTGAGCCATACGAGCACCCACAATCCAGACGATGAGCGCTGAAGAGACTTGGAACCTTGTTTTGTAAAGATTCAGGTACAGGAAGACGAGGAAAATATTAGACCACCATAAAGACGAGGATGAATTTGGAATTTGGAGGCGTTCACAGACCGGGATAAAAACAGGATCGAGGAATCATGTGCGCTATCATACAGCAACGACAACAACAGCACCGGCATTACACTCGACGCCTTTGGCTTCTCGCCCTGGTGACACCGACATACATCTCACATATGACATTACGGCGTTACACTCGCGGACATTCGCCCACATCGGCGTGTTCTCTGAGATTGGGGGTTGCTTTCGAGGACGAGAACAAAACAAACACGGAACTTGGGATTCTGCATCGGATCGGAGTACGCATTCTATCTACTTTCATACTTGGCATCACTAGCACACCACTACAACACCCACATCGAAAACTGAAGGAAGGGGGGAGGGGCAAAACGAGGATAGGCAAGATAACTCTACGAAACTTTTTTTTTTCTCCCCACCCTTTGGAAGAAATGGAGCAAAAAGAAAGCGAAGCCTCGTTCCATTTCGCACCACCATGCGCATCCTTTACAAAAAAAAAAAAAAAAAAGGGTGGGGAGAAGAGTTTCGAGATTTGCTCGTTTTGTTAGGCTATTCCGTAATCTTCTTGTTTTTTTTTTTTTCCTTTCCCTCTTGACCTTTTCCGGTCCTTTGTTTCAGGTTCCTCGTAATCACCTGGCTCCTCAACACCGCATGACAAAGAGTATGCAGGCTGCAAATGTGGTTCAACGGGGGGACTGATACTAGGACGGGGAAAGTAACGAGAGTGACCAGAGAGAGGAAAGGGAAAAAAAACAAAAAAACAAGAAAAAGCAACGAGAAACCAGGTACCCCATTACATAATTCGATCTTCTTAACCCTTTTTGTTATTAAAACTCCAGGAGTCCAGGAAGCGGGCCGGTAGTTGGTTGGGGAAGGGGGTTAAATTTGGATTGGGGGGGACCATGCAGGTAGCTGAGGGCTAGGGTGGCTTGGTTTTTTTTTTCCCTCTTTTTTTTTTGGCTTTTCTTTCTTTTCTGTCTTTATTGCACTCCTCTTGGGCGTCTATCAGGCATCGAAGGGAGGGGACCCCTGGCAAATGTGGTTGTTTATTTAAACGTACCCTCCTTAACATCACATCATCACATTGCATCGCATGGCATCACACACACATCCAGGGATTTTTTTTCCCGGAGAGAGAGAAACTAAAGAAAGAAGAAAAGAGAAATCCAAAAAAGAGGATTACAAAGCAAGCCAATCTGAGTGAAATGATCGGGGAAAACCACGGAAGCGAAATCGAGTCAGAATATTTCTTGGCTCGGTTTTTTTTATTTTCTTCTTTCCGTTACCTTACTGGGTTTCCTCGTTTCTTTTTCCCTCTACTACTTTGCCTTACTCTTACTCTCTCTTTCTATTCTCTCTGTGCCTCCTCCTCCTTCTGATCCTTCAGTTCCGGGATCTTATCTTTGCGTTAGACTGATTTTCAATGGGCGTATCTTGCTTAAGCGTAATGAACATGGTTGGGAAACGAATTTACTTTGTCTGTGAATTTTATTTGTTTTGTTTTTATTTGGTTTCTATTGTTCCGAGGTTTTCATTTGTTGCGGAGGGTGTGTCGTTACAGGAACGTAACTCGAAAATGAACCACACAATACAGGGAAAAGATAGGAAAAGCGTGTGTGAAAAAGCCAAAGTATGTATGTATGTATGTACAATAATATGATAAGTCAGAGAAAACACCGTTTTCGTCGACTCGATAACGCTGATCATTCCTCCTCTCGAGGCTCTTGGTTGTTACCTTACTGCTACCTACGTTCTTCATTTCCCTTCATCCGCGTAAATCCTTTGTAACGTTCCTCGCCGTACGAGATGCTACAATACCTACACTGCCTGGACGAGCCAGTAATTCCCGCGGCGATTGCCTAAACTCGCGCATGTAAGATCTGAGAGATCTACACCACAGCACATATTGCCCTCATGCAGCCCCTATCTCGGGCCCCGTCGAGAATCCAACGTTGTAGTGAGGTGGGATAGTGCAATGTGAGTGTCATGTCAGTGTGCCGCGTAGTGTGCCATAGGCCAGAATAGGTCAGAGGCCAGCCACCGCAGTCAGAATTAGTCACAGGTAACCGCTGGTAAGCAAGTGAGAGAGACGGAGAGAGACGGAGAGAGACGGAGAGAGACGGAGAGAGACGGAGAGAGACGGAGAGAGACGGAGAGAGACGGAGAGAGACGGAGAGAGAGGAGAGAGAGAGAGAGGGAGGGACGTAGGCAGATAGGCAAGTAGGCAAGTGGACAAGTGGACAAGTAGCCATGTTGGTAGGTTGGTAGGTTGGTAGGTAGGTACCTGCAGCAGGGCGGTCTATGGCTTTGCCTCCTCCCCGTGACCCCCTATCACCCACCAATTATCCCTCTCATACCCGCTTTCTATGACCCTGCCCCCGGCCTCACGCAGGTCCTCCTCGAGCTCGCCCTCGCGGTAGAGGTGATAGAACCTCTCATACGTCGTGTCGACGCCCGCGTTACCACCGCTGTCCCTGTCGTCCTTGTCCTTCTTCTTGTTCTGGTTGGCCTTCATCACCCACGGCACGAGCTGGTCCTGCGCTGAATCCGCATCCCAGCCCCTGCGGCTCGAGCTCTGCTCTAGCGCCCACACGTACACGAGCACCTGGCCCCCGTCAGCCCTCACGCACGTGAGCAGCTTGCGGAGGGCGTCGATACGCCGCTCGCGCGTCGACATGTGGTGGATGACTGCGATACAGAGCACGAAGTCGGCGCAGCCGGCCCGGAAGGGCAGCGCGAGGCCGTCCGCCACAGCGACGTCGAACCCACGTTCCCGCGCGATGCCCACGAGCGACGGGCTCCGGTCCGACCCTACGATGTGCACGTCTCCGCCCTCCCGCACGCCCAGGTACTTGCCGTTACCACAGCCCACATCCAGCCCGATGGACCCTGACGTCACACGCTCGCGCAGGAACGACGCGATGAAGGGCCACGGTTTGTACCGCGTTGAGCTGAAGTGGCTCGCGATCGACTCATACACACTGTGAACGTGCTCATCCTCGTACGTCTCGGGGGACAGCGCCGCCGCGTCACGGATAGAAGCTTGTGGCTTTGTGCTGCTGCTGCTGCTGCTGGTCTCAACGCTAGCATTGGCATTGGCATTGGCGGAAAGCGACGGCGACGACGGCTGTTCTGCTTCCTTCACTTCGGTCCTGTCCGTGTCATGCGAACCTGTGGGGTACGACATGTTTACCCTGCGCGTCGTCCGTCCGTCGTACGGTTTTTCTTTCCTTTCCTGTCTGGTGTAGCAAAGGAGACCGACCGCCGGCCCGAGTGACTGACTGAGTGACTGACGAACAACTGGAGCCAACCCAGGGTCTCCCCTCTGGATCCCTTCGGGATAGGTTGAGAGTCGAGAGTCCCCACAACGGCACTGCTTGTTCCTTTCGCTTGGTTTGCGTGCTTTAGAAACCGGATTCCTGCGGCGCACGTTGATAGATGTGACGCTCACACCGAGTTTTTGCTTACCTCGCTCACCCCCCCTCGTCGTCTATCAGCACGGACTTTATCGTGCGGCGCAGGTGCCGGAAGAGAAGGGAAAATTTTGCGAAAAACAATATTATGCCTTGTGAAATGCGCTTTTGAAACTGTGTCACCTTGAGTAAGGCGTCAGATTCTTACTTGTATCTCGGCCTTACAGGTAGGGAGGAAGACACGTAGAGACAGGGTAGTTCACGGTGCTTGTTGGAGTCGAGGTCAGTTTACTGTATTCTTGTCCTCCCTTCCCTCGCTCGGGACTCCCCGTTCAACGTTGATGAATCCAAACAGGTCTTGCCGTCATGTATGACCAGGACGCAGGATGGGATAGGAGTTGCGGCACACTCCGTCCTATCTCCCTGGATCTTCCCTCCGAGCTCCAAATACTACATGCGCTTTTTGGCAACAGTAAAGGAGAATCTCTTACCAGACTAGGCAACAACGACAACGATCCCGAAATCCAAGAATTAACAAGAAAAAAAGAAGGCCTGTGTGATGAGTTGCGTATGCAGTAGCTCGAGGGCACGGCTGTTTGGCTAAGTATAGCCTATAGATGCAAGGTGGGCAAGGTGGACAAAAGGTGGGCAACACCACAGACAAGCTCCAACTGCAACCGATTCCCAGGTTTCAATGGGAGGGCGAGTGTTGGCGTGCTCGTTTACCGTCGTCAGATCAGCCAGGGAGCGGTGGTTCTTATTCGCTGGACGGGCGGCGCCTGTCCGCGCGTCGTCTCAGATGGCGGAGCGGTCGCGCAACCACACCTTTCAAGATATCTCTCTGCCTCTGTCCCAGGAGCCCGGGATCGACTTGGTCTTTCCTGGCGCTCGCCGTGTACTGGTCTCGTGGGCTGCGCTGGGATCCCTGTCTTGGCAGCTTGGTCAACGGGTGTCGTTTTAGAGACAGGTCAGATCACAGACACGCACGCCCTCTCTGTGCTCAGACCGAATGTTCGAGCACCCGGCGAATTAGATGCACTCTCGAGCAGCGTCTAAATGCGATCCCTGCGGTGTGATGTCTGTGTGGATTTTATGTGCGATGGGGCCGATTAAGTTCGCTCGCTCAACTGCATTTGTGGATGTCGTATTGACTGGGGGGGTGGGCTTTTTTTTGTGGAGGTGGATCTCACTCAGTAGTAAGTATTGGCGTGCCACTGCATATGGTTGGTTAATGCCTCTCTCTTCTCTCTCACTTTCTAAACCTCGAAGACGACGCACCGACAAGACACTCTCTCTTGGATCTATGGAATGCAGTCCTACGATGACGTGAAGGAATAATGAGAGAAGGGTAAAGATGAGATGAAAGAGAAGAAATTGTAGTAAGTTGTCATTTCAATAACTCGAAGAAGAGTCAAAACTCGAGTAGTTAGTATAATTAGTACCCAGGTAAAGTACTTAGGTAGGGTAGGCAGTGAGTTAAGATACATGAGGTTATCAACCACATCACACTACAATAGACCCTGATAAAGCAATTCTTCAACTATAGGTCGTCTACTTATTTGTGCGATCTGGATCTCACCACGACTCATTCGCAACAAATATAGGCAACTACTACGATTCTCTAATGACGGCCTTGAATTCATTGAGACACGCCACCCAGACATCCCGACTTCCCTCGGTCTGCGCGAAACCATCCAGTATCTGACTCACTTCCAGGTCCTCGGCCATATGTTCCTCGCTCGTAGTGCCATCTAGCACAGTGGTTCCCTCCAGACCTAGCACGAGGGCGTACAGGGCGACCGGTGCGCTGATGGTGGCACTCTCGGCTAGTCTACGTACCGGTGCGCTATGCAGCAGTTCAGGGTTCCCACTCAAGGTCCAGAAGGTCTGGAACGCGATGCGGTGGGCGCGACAGTACGCTCGCAGATCAACTTCCCACCGCGTGGCGGGGTAGAATCTATTCTGCACCACCGCCGGACGCACGCTCACGTCGGGGCTCGTGCAAAGCCCATGGACGACAGCGAGGTCCGTATTGGATATCCCGAGCTGCTTGATGCGGTGTGGCACGTATGTCTCCAGCGTCTTCCAGACCGTTACCAGGTCTGAGAATTCCCGAGACGGCGGCGAATGCAGTACAAGGCTGTCAATGTACGCGCTGACCGAGTCTTCGAATGTGAAATTCGCAAGTGACGAGGCCACGGAGGCATGCACTTGCTCCTCCAGGGGCGCCTTGGGATCATAGGGCATATTGTGGGGATCCTGCCCGCTGACGGGAGTGAATTTGGTCTGAATCTGCGAGAGATGAGATGTCAGCACCTCGCCTTTTCTTAGCTCAGACCAAGGCAAAGAAGGCAGGAAGTCGGTGAATAAGTGAGTAGATAGGCGAGGCAGAGCGAGTTACACACGAAAAGATCTTCTCGTTTCACGATGCCCTTGGATATGGCCTCTCTAATGCCAGCGGCCACAAGGGCTTCATTGTAGTGACGGGGTTGAGCGGCCGTGTCGACGCCCCGGAACCCAGCTTTCAATGCCTTGAAGACGAGGTCGCCCGTGGCTTCTTTCTTCCACGCCGTGCCGTATAATAGCCTTGGCATCGCCATGACGAACTCGAAGTTGATTGGCGATTTGCAGATTGATGGGAGAGCTCATGCATACGCTGAATAGGTAGGTGCCTATGCAACATTCACGAGGTTTACTGGGCAATGCCAGCTTTGGTGCGACTGTATCGTGATCATGAGAAGAGTGTACCTAGGTCATCGGGATCAACCTTGATGGTGTCACCATGATCGCTGATTCCACATAGATAGAAGTAGGTACCTTTGTACCTGCCCACTACTTAAGTACTACCGGTATGTATGTAAGTACGGTATGTATGAGAGCGACATACATGTGATGCAGGTTAGAAACTTAATTAGTTCCAGATCGTCATTGGTAACTGCGAATCGCGAATCTCGAAATCTCTCATGACCCTTGCATATGCATATATCCACCTAGCTGGGCACGTCCGATATCGCTTCCAGTTGCCAAAAACAGTTGGCAAAGTAAGTAGGTACATGGGTAGGTACTCAACGTTGGTTCATGGATACAACTCATGTTCAATTAATCAAGGTAACTGGACTACTAGGACATGTTATGATGACATTTCTAACATTCTATATACATTCTAAGCCTGGATTTTCGACTGCACCCACTTGACCACGCCTCCCTTGGCGACAATTTCTTGAACGCTAGGAGGCATTTCACCAACCTTCTGTTCCCACGAGATGCCGTCTTTCTGTGTAATCGTGACTTTAGAGCGTCGGACGTCCCACAGTAGCTTCCAGCCTGTGCGTCGAGTGAGCGGCTTCTCTGCGTCGTCCTTGAACGCCTCGCGGAGCCGCTCGACTAATTTCGGAAGTTCAAGTGTAAGAAGAGCATTGTTGATGCCTATAGCAATTCCATTAGCTCAACAACTAGTGGAAAACAAGAAGAACCTCACGGGCAACTTACTATTACGGCCAAAAATGGAGGAGAATGATGAAGCTACCACTAATGGTATTTGGTTGGCTAATATCGATGTGGCGGCCTAGGTTCAAGTTAGTAAATCATATCCGAGTGTTAGACTGGAAATTTGGAAGGTTAATTGACCTGTTCTCTACTACTTCCTGATCCAAAAGATGAGCCCGCTACGAGCACATCATGTGGTTTGATGATCTTGCCAAACTCGGTATCGTAGTTCTCCATGCACACCTTAGCCATTTGCTCTGGGGTCATGTCATCTTGATAAGTGTAGCGTCCGGGATAGATGCCATCGGTATTGATGTTGTCATTATCGCCTACCACAGTTAGCGAGTAAGTCCATGGGTGTATGTAACAATTACTCACAGAAAACAATCTCTCCCTCAATCTTCTCGGGGAAGCCCGGGAGGATGTCCGTCAAGGTTCCAGCCTCAGTAGCTGCTGGAGAGGCCGAATCTTCGGCGGCTCCTTCAGCCGTGCGAATCATGCTCTCCATATCACCAATGAGCAGGTCAAGAGCATCCGCGGCAGAGCGAGCTCTGTCGGCAGCCCAGTCACCGGTGCCCTCACCAATGATAGGCTTCTCCACACCTTCGGGCTTCACATACCAACCAGGACTAGCAATCTTGCCCTGAATAGCACTGGCAGCAACTACCTCAGGGCTGGCAAGATAACACAGTGCCTTGGGGCTACCTAGAAACATCAAATTAGCATCGTGTATCAAGCTTGAGGTACAGAGCTGAGTTACCCATCCGACCCTTATAGTTGCGATTTGACGCCGAAATCTGGAGAGTAAGGATTCAGTAGGCGTTTCAGGAGCATGCAAATCAGTGAGGCCCGAAATCTGCCCAAGATGAGAATAAATGATTCCAGAGGACTTACCCCTACTTCGCCTTCCTCGAGCAAACCCTGTATACCGTATTAGTACCGAACAACCGGATCTGGTACGATTAGAATCTATCACATACAGGTCCCTGTGTCCGATATTAGTACCAAGCAAATGAATACGAATCAGCTAGAATCTTACAAGCCCAATACAAGCACCGCAACCTGCTGGTAATAACACAGCGCCTGACTGTTCAAGAACCTGCCAGTCTCCAGCCTCTTTTGCCATTTGCTGTTCAGCTATGGATGCTGGTGCAAGATAGAACTTGACATTGGGGTGAACTTTAGCAGGCTTTCCGTCGCTGCCAGCCTCGCGAAAAACACGAGCAGCGGCAGCAAAATCCTCATGCCTGCCATTGGTACAACTCAGAAGATAAGCCTTGTCTATCGAGATGTTCTGCGACTCGAGCTTCTTGACAGGGTTAGCAATTTTGACACTGTTGGGTCCGGCGACAAAGGGGGAAAGGGTGGATCTGCGCCTTGTTAGAACATCATTTACGAATGATATGCGGGTAGCAATTATTTTCGTACAGGTTAAGATAGAATTCTTTAGCATATGTAGCACCGGGATCAGCAGTCAGAGGGTTTTCCAAAAGCTCGTCGATCCGCTTGTGATTTATACGCTCCTTAGTAGGGCTATTAGACATGGCCGCAACCGTGGCTCTAGCACGGTACCACGAAATAAGCATATCATCAACTGGGAAGAGTCCTACACATATTCATCAGAAACCGAAGGGAAATACGGGAGGAGAGAGAGTAACCTGATAGAGCACCCCATTCTGTGGTCATATTACTGATCGTGAGGCGGTCCGATATGGGGATGCTTGCCAGCGTCTGTTCGGATCCGTGGAACTCTACGCAGTGGTTGAGCACTTCGGACTGGAGCATAGCACACAGGGCAAGAATTGTGTCTTTGCCTGTGACGCCCGGTGGCAGGATACCCGTCAAAGTGATTTTGGCGATGGGTGGAATCTGCCAGAATACTTGCGAGGTCGCAAGAACAGACGCCGCATCGCTCCTTACTATGGCCGTCCTTTCTGGAGTCAGTAATTACCAGAAAGAGTGAGAATTTATCGCATATTTCGGAAGCATCAGGAGGAAACAGGTCCGAAACTTTCCTAAGGGGAGAATAGAAGACTCCAGGGGACTGACCCGAGACACCCTATACCACCTTTATATTTTCATTAGCCGGCTGTCAACGAGCGGAAATCACATCTTGCATTTACCATAAATGGGCGAATGACTGTCGCTAGCAACAGCAACGGTCCCTGGCCAGGCATAGCCTTCTTCCACCATGATCTGGTGCCCGATTCCGTGCTTGGCAGGATCTTTTAGGTTAAGATTAGCTTGCTTCAAGTACGATTAGGCGGGCACGACCCAGTAAAAGAAGCATACAAAAATCAATTCCATGCTTTTTGGCAAACTCCTCGATCTATGACCTGGAATCAGCATCTAGAGCTAGGATCTAATGGCTAGGGGACTAACGCACCCGCGCGTATTTCTTCAAGTTCTGTTCACTGTGATTCGAGACCTATAACAAACGCGTTAGCTGATTATCCCCTGGGCTTTTTAGGTAAAACGTCGTACATCATGATCCAACCTGTGACTAGTCAGAGACTATGAAGGATTAGACGGTAAGATGACATACGTCATAACAACTTGTTTATTATCATTGACCTTGGAGGCGCCCATCTCCATAAACTTGGTAATCACAGGCCATGAATTATCGTGTGTCATTGACCTATTACAGTTGTCAGGGCTGCACTGAGGAGGCAGCTGAGAAGGAAATTACCGATGCGGCCGTAATGTAACATAATCCCCAGCTTTGACTTTTCTGTCTTCACGGAGGCCAATTGCGTGACGCTGTATAATCTTCTCGGTAATCGTCTGGCGGTTGACCGGGGCGGCAGAGGCCGGGGAGGGCTTAGAGGCGGATTGAATTGTGATGCTATCATTTTGCGTCTGGAAAGTCTGTTGCTGTCGGGCGCTGGTCGAGATACAGTTGCGGAATCTAGTCGCAGGTACCGATACTAATCGCGTGCGAGCCATCGAGATCCGGCCATGCCGCATCGCCATGGCGGCGGCATTGAGAGAAATGGCTCTCCGCTGAAGTTGCAATGTCAGTCAAATTTCGTCGAGGATTGAACGGGGGACGCTGCACGCGACAGAGCACTGGCAGGTGGTAGAGAAACATACGAGGGCAGCCATTCTGTATGATTGTGCCCGGAAGCGGTGTTGATGGTTCCAAAACGCCGTCAACAGCGAACTGAAGGTTAACGGCTTCCGTTCATGTCCTGGCGCGTCGCTTGCACGGAGCCGGAGTCGGAGCTGCGTCACAAAAAAAAGTTCGGTAATTGGAATATAGGACGGCCGTGATTGGTTGAAACACACATAGTCACAAGTTACGGAATCCGTAATTACAGCCGACAAATATGTGACCTATCGTGTAACTAAGCTGTTACTAGGGTCTGCGCCAACCACACGTTAATTGGAGGTGAAGGGATACGGTAGCTCGACCGGAGACCGCGAATCTTGACAGGCATCTCTGCTTCTTAGACCACGGCCTCTGCCATTTACAGCAGTTGTTGCAGACCAAGACCCTGCTCGCCTGGTAGAATGCCATCCTCTTTCTCAAGAGGGTTGCAAACGGAAACATCCGTTCCCCATATCTTCTAGCTGCATCTTATGGAACATGAGATCATTGAGCGCTGTCGATCCCATGTATATCAATCAACTCTACCGACTCGACTCCAGCTATTAAGAAACGTTACTTGCCGCCGACACAACTACAGTCGTCTCGTCCTGACAGCCTCCTCGAATCACAGATTGCCAAGATACGGCACCCGTGGTTTTACACGCGGAGCTACCGCAGGGGTGTGGCCGAATAGAGCCAAATTTCATAGGCCCCTCGGACCCCTCCAAAGAGGATTGCCTGCCCCTCATCACCTCATCGCAAATAATGCAGCTAACATCAGACGGGAACAGCTTCAGACAAATATGTAAGACCTAGCCTTGGAAGCTCTCCATATTCTGCCGTCGGCTCTACCAGAACCGACGAGCGGGCCTTTTCCTTTGAATAGCTGTCGACGTGTGATTAGTAAGAGGGACTATTCGTACAACTCTAGCCCGGATTGGTCTCTCAACAGTAAGCTCTCTCCAGACCGAGAGGTTATGTTTCCCTTAGTTCCAGGGCCAATTCGTCCCGCTAGTACCTAGGTAGGGTCTAGATGGATAATAAGATGGATAATAGGATGCTGAATTGGGACCTCGTTGTCATCCTGTAGAGCAAGGGAGATAATTAGTACGAAATGTTCCTAAGGTAAGTAGGTATGTAATGTGGCATCTACCCCGCCTTCGCGTTATATCACCGAGCCAGCAATATCCGGACTTTCACGACCTCGTCTTTTCTGCTGCAATTCAAGATAGCTTTTCTGTCTGTACTACGCGAGAATTGTTGAGAAATTGAATCGAAAGTGAATTGCACCATTACGCATTATAAGAAAAGTTCCTCACAATGGCTCAATCACCACACACTGTTCGGTGGGGCATTATGGCCACGGGGTTCATCGCACAGAGTGAGTACAGACACACACGACCGACAGATTATGAAGCTATCGTCGGGTCTTGCTGACACGCCCGCGCCGCAGTGTTCGTCAGAGATCTCCTCTGCAACCCCGCGACCCGTGACGTCACCGATGTCGCACACAAGGTCGTGGCCGTGGCGTCGTCGAGCTCTAAGGACAGCGCAGCCAGCTTCCTCGAGAAGGTGAACCTGGCCCCCGAGGGCGTCAAGCTCTACGGCTCGTACAGTGAGCTCGTCAACGACCCCGACGTGGACTGTGTCTACGTCGCCACCCCGCACAGCCATCACTTCCAGAACGCCATGCTGGCCCTGCAGGCTGGCAAGAACGTCCTGTGCGAGAAAGCCTTCACCGTCACCGCGTCGCAGGCCAAGAAGCTTGTCCAGGCGGCCAAGGAGAAGAATGTCTTCCTTATGGAGGCTGTGTGGACGAGATATTTCCCTCTTAGCATTAAGATCAGGGAACTGGTCAAGTCTGGGGCTATTGGTACCGTTTACAGAGTTATTGGTAAGTAATTCCGATTGGTACATAGTTGTCAAAATTCTCGGACTGACAGAAATGCTACAGCGGATAACTCCATCGGCAACGACGGTCCGGAGGGTTCGATTACTTTCCCTGATGAGAACCGCATGGTCAACATCGACCTTGCCGGTGGTGCCCTGCTGGACCTGGGCATCTACTCTCTAACATGGTTATTCCAAATCCTTTATCACCTCCAGCCTGAAGCTGAGAAGGAGACTCCCAAGACCTTGGCCGCGGTCCACCAATACAAGACCGGTGCCGACGAGTCAACGAGCGTCATCGTCCAATTCCCCAACCACAAGACCACAGGTATCGCCCTGACATCGCTGCGCATTCCCACAAACACGGACGGCAAGAACAGTGGTGGACCCGCTATCAAGATCCAGGGTACTCTCGGCGAGATCCAGGTCATGGGCCCCGCTTACCGGCCCACGCAATACAAGATCATCAAGAAAGACAGCGATGGTCAGGTCGAGGTCGTCGACTGCCCCATCCCCGTGGACCGCGAGCGTCGCTTCGGCATGGGCATGTTCTGGGAGGCCGACGAGGTCGCCAGGTGTCTGCGGGACGGCAAGAAGGAGAGCTCGACCCTGCCTCTCTCTGAAAGTATCGTGATAATGGAGGTTATGGAGGAGGCGCTGAAGCAGGGCGATGTGAAATACCCTGAGCTTATCACGAGCGATGTGTTCGACCCCCAGAGCCCGCAGAACACTGGTGCTCGGTAAATTAAATGCGAGATCTAAAGAGATGATTGATGGCTTAGCCGAGTCACGCTGCGCGGAGTGCACATAGATATACAGCGTCTCAATTAAAAATACTCTGCATCAAAGACTTTCTCAATTTAATCAACTAGTCTCTCGACCTATATCATCTACTTCCTATTATGACCGTGCTCGAGTGTACCGCTATACTCTTATCTAAATTTTACTTAGACATGACTAAAAGACGCGCAGTCTCGTCATACAGTTGATATCAATTAAATACACTAGCGTCTTTTCGGCACTGTGAATTTAGATAATCCAGGTAGAACTCATTTCTATCTTAGCTTTGAAGCATTTTCATTTGAAACAGTGTGCTGGCTATAGGCAAGATGATCTCTATGGTTTCTCGAAGCACATAATAGCGTATCGAAAAGTGCCATTCGCATAGCCCCGTCTCATCGCACGGAAAGCCTGGAGAAACGCAAGTCCGTCTCGTCCCTGGGAAATAGCGAACATCCAGAGCGACGGCGACGAGACCAAACCCCAAGAAATGTCCCTATTCACAGTCAGTAACAAGTAGGTTAATTAGAGAGCAACGTGACCCTCTACCAAAGTTACTTACCAAGTCTTGGCGACATCACTACTAATATCAATTGGGCTTTGACGAACTACCAGGCCCGCCTTCTCAGCCATCTGGACGTAGTCGTCGGCTGTACAGAGGGGCGGGAGTAACATCCCGTCCTCAATGGGCTGGATATCCTCTTTTTCCTGCTCCGGCGAAAGCTGCGGTGCCTTGAACCAGTCGGCAATCACGAGACGCGAGGACTTGCCAGGAACCAGCAGCTCGGACGCGGAGCGGAAGAAAAGGGGTTTGTCAGGGAAGTGCGACAACGCCTCGGAGATCCAGACGGCGTCGAACCGCGCAGCGGGCTTGCCGTCGGCGGAGAAGTGCTCTAGCATCTTCTCGGCGTCGAGCTCGAGGAAGCGGCAATTGCCCCCCGAGGAGTACGAATTAACTTCATCTGTGGGATTGCGCGTGGTGCTGTCGGGGGAGGTCTCGGCTTGGGTCAGTTTCTTGGCGATTTCGACCTGGCGCCCGCTGATGGTGATGCCCGTTATGCTGCACGCGTGTTCCTTGGCGAGGTAACGCGAGGTGCCGCCGATACCGCACCCAACGTCGAGGACATTGGCCCCTTGGGGGAGACTTGAGATTCCGAGCAGATACTTGATCAGATTAACCTGAGCCTCCTCCTTGGTTTCTGTGGGCGATTTGAAATAGCCATGGTGAATATGCTGGCCCCTGCAGAGAGCATATCAGCGACGAAGCTCGTGAGCAATGAGAAAACATTTATCACGAAGGGTTCCGTACCAGAGAGAATAGTAGTAGTCAGAAGCAATCTCGTAGTGTTTCTTTATTCGCTCTTTCAATGACGTAGACGACTCGTGTGCTTCATATTCAGGTATTTCATGCTTATCACCTGGATGCGTCTCGACGGCGGTGGCCATGATATTTTGGTCAATGTATAGTCAAGGGTGAGTGAATCTGATAGGTAACTCTTGGAGCCTATATCCTCAGTCTAATAATGGAGGAGAAGCAACTATAAAACTCGCGTTGTGACGCGACGTGTTATGGATAGAATGAAACTTGGGTCTAGATCATGCAGCCTCCCCTCGCATTCCCACTATCTACTATCGTCACCATGTCGGGTCCCTAATCAAATACGCTACACTGGCAAGAATGCAAATGGCTCATTGGATTTTAATAGTTCAGAGGCAGGGCGAGGTACACAATCACAACAGCACAGATACCGCGTATTTGAGCTTATAGTAAGTTGAAGACAGGTGTAAATAACTACGTAGTAAGTACAGTATACTGTCTCTCCAGTTTCGTCTTTGTTTGAGAACAGGGGCTTACCATTGGACTGGGCTTGCCGTTAGTGAGGGGAAGTGGGGGTCACAGCGTAACATGGGAATGTACCTGTACCTGTACCTGGGTACCTCTGGAACCACGCGACATCAGTCAATGACATCACCTCATCACATTATCTCCAAGATGAGAGGTTGAGCCAGGACGCCTAGAATCCGCCTATCATTGCTTGCTTACCATTCCTTCATCAGGCAACAGAATTATTTCTTAGCTTTCACCACTTCTCTTCAATCTCTCTATTTTCATCTGTTGAACACAAGACCAATCCAGTCCATTGATTCAGTCTTTCACCAGCTACAAAACGACTAAATAAACAAAACAATGCTTCACAACGTATCCTACCTTCTCCTCCAGCTCTGTCTGGCTAGCTGGGCTCTCGCCGCCCCTCTTGCTGACGAAGCCATCACTGCTACCAGCAAGACCCCGTGGCAGTATGGAGCCGGAGGTGGAATTGCCGGCTTCATTATCCTAGTGTTGGATCTCATTGTCTTTGGTGCGTCTACTTTCCCACATTCTCGGATTCTATCCTGCCTATGCTAACCATGAGAGTAGTTGAGGTATTGAAGTCCAATCGTCCTACGAGCGACAAACTACTTTGGTGCCTCATCGTTTTCTTGTTCCCGGTCATTGGAATGCTCATCTACTTCTTGTTCTCAAACCGAAAGGCCCACAACACATACGAACCGTTGCCATAGATGTGGCCAGGCTGGTACAATGTGGTTGGGTACATGGAACGCTTCCACGTACCCGTGTCAGAAATTGATCGTATCAGTTTGAGAGCTGGGCTAGTTCCCACTCATTATTCTGTATGGGCTATGTGTTTATGACTGCATGATATATGGGAAAGCGAATGGAATATTGAAAGGAAGATAAACAAGAGACAAGAAATCCTAGATGGGGTTGTGGTCCTAGTCGCCCTATCTACTATAAACAAATCAAAACCGCACAATTATTTCAAGCTATTTTGAATGATTTTCTCTTGTCTGTCATGCTCTGATTACCCCTAGATCTGTAGACACTCTCCATTGGTGCATCTCTTGTTTTCTTGGACGACGCTGTTAGTTGAACGTATAGAGAGAAAGGAGGTGGTAATTTGAATAGTAACTATGGACCTCATCAATGTCATGAAATAGTGTCGGGCTACGAAGAATTGCAAAATCGGTATCCGTTGTATACATAGTATTATCTGATTGAGCCACCAGGACCAACAATGAATCTGGTTGTCAAGAACCATTTCAGCCCCAGCAGATTATTAATTGTGAGTAACCTCAGTTCCAGGAGCTGTCAACAGCCCTTATTATAATAGTAGATAAGAAACAATTCTCAATCTAACAATGAGAGTACTTGGCATGTATTTAGATACTAAATGACTACTCCTTTGTAAGCATTTGCTGTTCACCAGGCGATATAATATTTGAACCAAGGTACCTATTCCTCGTCCTACGTTCTAGGTCCATATCATATTTTCTCACAAACATGCCAGCTTTTACCATGGACAACCGGCCACGTTTGTGGTCAGCTCCCTCACAGTACTGCGCCATGGTTTGAACGTTTTCCCAGCAGCTGTTTGCTTGCTGCATAAAAGTTCTTCCTTAAAGGGGCTACGACGTTTCTTTTCACTTCTACTCCCTTCCTCTTGTCTATAACTCAGAAAACAGTTTACTGAATGAAACTGATTATCAACAATTCACAAACTTGGCATCATTTACCTCCAGCCCCCTTCTTACCATCCAATGAGCCACAAACTCAGTAAGTCATTCCCGAAAATGTAGTGAATACAGAGATATATGAAGGTTTGGTTTGGCTAATATAAGCAGCTATAGCTGGGCCTCTAAGAAGATAACTACAAAGTACTTGCGCTCCTAGGAAGTGGAACATAAGTAGTGTTATTGTACGTAAAGCCCAGGTACTGACCAGATGAGTTTTCAAGAACTGAACAGAATAATTAACAGCACTGGGTGCATTATCATACACCAACAACACAAGGATACCAGCCCAGAATTCCCGGTTTCATCTGGTGATATCTAACGATGGCTGCACGACGCAACGACCACGACGGGGTCATCCGCAGAACGGCAATCCTCCAAGTGAGGATCCGGGCATTCAGCACGGCGACGAAAGAAGATTTGCTCGTGAGAGCCGCCCTCCGAGATGGCGCAACAGCAGGAGATATCCGTAGGTAGTTCCTCACACTATTCCCAGTGAAATCACAAACTAATGTAGAGCTCCTTTCGAGCCGAACTCTATTCTAAAAGTCTCCAAGACCCTGAATGGTCGACAAGCACTAGACTATGTAGCTGACTATAAATATTTTAGTGCAAACGGCGATCGACCATCGCCCTGAAAATCCCACCAACGTCGCCCCTATGAACCCTAACCCGACATTTGAGGAGCTCGTAGAGCACATCATTCGGGAGTCTCTTAGCTATCTGGACAATGAGTTCCGAGACCTGTTGCTGCTCGATGCAGGTCTACGCGACGATGCTACTGCTGGCGACATCATACAAACTGCAATTGATCTCTAGGCTCGAGACCACGAGGTCGTGGCGGAGAGAAGAGGGACGGTGGAATAGAAACGTGAATGTTTCCAACCTCATGACATTGGGCTACAGCGCCAGGCCGTTACACTTGACGAAGTCTGCTCTCCATTAGGCACTTCGACTACTAGTATTTGCTTTCGATATGGGCAGTATGTTCCGGTTTGTGATACAACATCGATCCATAGAGCTTCGGGAAGCTGACCAATCGCTCGATTTCGATCACGGGATTGGTCTGCTGGACAGGAAGAAGGTTCACCATCGCCAGACTATGTGGCACCAGGCTACACGCCGGTACCATCTGGGGTCCGCTCAGCGTGCTAGCTTAGCATCTTCACTCTGTCCTCTCACTCGGTATTGCTTCTAGATAAAAGTCATGAGGAGACTCGTTAGGTGCACTACTGCGAACAGAAGACTTTGATCTCTCGTAACAAGCTGCCATACTCTCGTCGTTTATAATTAAATAGATTGTCAATGATCGCTAATATCCCAGTGAAGTGCCCACCTAAAGTGAAGTCTATCTGAGCTCGTGTCGGGAAGGTCATATGGTCATCGCACTAGCGCAAATCATTTACCATGTAAGAAATGCATTATATTTGGCATCGACTTTGAAATTCCCCTTCTGTGTGTGGGCCGGAATACAGGATCCACGCCGAACTAATCTATCTCATCTTAAACCCAGTCTCTCGCGGGGAAAATGCCATCACCTAGAAAACGACCTAACAGACCTAGTGATCGGTTAATGTCGTCAAAGCAGATGTTTGGATCGATCGTTGGAGCTCTAGTCTGTCAGATCTGACTACTCTCATCGCCATAGCCGTAGTAAAACCCAATTCGAGACACTGCAAATACCAAAAGTCATGACGTCGTTGACTTGCGTTCAAATCACCTAGAATTCCGCAAAGCTCACCTAGTGATTAGCCATCACGTCTCAACCTAGTTAGGCCGCTCATACTAAGTTCCGATGAGTTATGTGAGCTCCTACGGCGGCGCTTGGTCAAGTCGTGACGACTATGACTTACACCCGGGCGCCGCCATAATACCGTCGGAAGTGGCTTTTGAGCATGACTGCGCAGAATACATTACAAACGGCGGCCGAATATAATTCGTCCTACTCCCTTAAAAAAAAAACCCCTGCATCGGGATGTGCTCGCATCACTCGATATCTAGATAAATTCTCTGAATTCCGGTATCCGCTGAAGGGGAAGAAGACAACTATACGAGCTTGCATGCGTCTTCAAGATGGGAAAATTCAGTTCGCCCGAAGAAGGGGCCGCGTCAGGGTCAATGGATCATGGTATTTCTGACGAATCTGTCGCTATTCCTGATGTTAATACCAGCGACCTTTCCAACCTCACGCTGTACGAGAAGAAATGCGTCCTCATCAACCGTGAGATCGACGCCATAGGCATGGGTTATTACCAATGGCTTGTCTGGGGACTCTGCGGATTTGGTTACCTAATCGATCTCCTCTGGGCACAAGCATTCGGGCTCGCACTGAGTCCGTTGCAGCAAGAATTCGGTTTTGGGAGCGGTCAGACGGGAAATATCTCCTCTAGCTTCAGCGCTGGGCTCACAGCTGGTGCTTTCTTTTGGGGCGTTCTGGCGGATATCATCGGTTCGTGACTTTAAAGGTGCCTTTTTTTTTTTTCTCCTTATGCTAATCGACTGTCGAATAGGAAGAAGATGGGCTTTCAACCTCACCGTATTGATTTCATCTGCGTTTGGACTAGGTCTCGGCGCCTCAGATAATTACACGACATTTCTGGTATTGACGGCTTTCGTCGGGTTCGGTGTGGGCGGAAACATTCCTATCGACACCACTATCATGTTGGAGTTCATTCCTCAGGTAAGTTACATCAACAAACTCAGATGGATGTTGTAAACTGCAGCGCTGATCCCATTCTAGAATAAGCACTTCCTCCTCGCTGTCCTTTCTCTCTTTCAGCCCGTGGGCGTTGTGATATGCAGTGCCATAGCATTTGGCTTCATCCCAACAAAGTCATGCTCGCCCAACTTCTCCGAGCCCGGTGCACTGCCGTCATGCTTCCAGGAAGACCTCGAGCCAGGCGTAGCATGTTGTTCGCGTGAATCAAACATGGGGTGGCGCTACTTCTTATACACTCTCGGTGCTATTACTCTATTTGTATTCTTCCTACGTGCCGTCATCTTCCGGCTGAAGGAGTCCCCAAAGTTTCTGATATACCAAGACCGTGACGCAGAAGCCATCGAAGTCGTTCAACATATAGCCAAGAAGAATGGACGTTCATGCAACCTAACACTGGAGGACTTCGAAAGATTGACTGGAGAAGACGACTCAATAGGCTCAGCGTCAACTAATAGTAGCGGTAAGACGAAACAATTGGTATTGACCCGAAAAGAACAAGTCTTTGCCGCAATAAACAAATACTCAGTACTGTTCAGTGGGTGGCAGATGGCGAGACTCACAATATTAGTGTGGTTGACTTATATATTCGATTTCTGGGGTTTTACGGTTGCAGGTACATGTGTTTATTCCAAATGTATCTCAAACCATTCACTAACAATGCACAGGCACTTATCTTCCTCAGATCCTCGCGCTCAAGAACGGCTCGGCCTCTAAATCTCTACAATTCACGTATGCTTCGTACATCTACACATATGCCCCAGGTATACTAGGGGTCATTCTTGGAGCTTTGATGTACCGCATCCCCTCTATCGGACGCAAATGGACCATGGTTCTGGCCTCGGGACTTATGGGAGCTTCAATCTTCCTCTTTGCTGTGGTCGACACTGTGCCCAAGAACCTGGGTCTTTTCACGCTTGAGTACTTCTTCCAAAGCATGTTCAACGCTGTCTTGTACGGATGGACGCCAGAGGCCTTCCCAGCGTCTGTACGAGGTGGTGCTTGTGGAATTGCTAGTTTTTGGGGACGCTTATTCGGCATCGTTAGCCCGCTGATCGCGCAGAAACTATACGCAACTTCGACGGACGGTAACTCGGGAGTTGGAGGTAATATAAATACTGTCTTGTACCTCGCTGGTGGGATTACTTTCGGTTGCGTGATCACCACATCGTTGCTACCGTCAAAGAAGCTGAGTTCGACGGAGGAGAGGTCATAATACAAAGGAACAAAAAAAATTCATAATAAACGGCTCAGGTCTTATTAGAGACTCTGGCATGAAGTGATAGATAGCCTAAATAGATTTAATTCATAATCAACTGGAATCTCATCGCAAACGTCCATTTTAGCTGCAGATGTGTTTCCTCAAAAGCTGCCCTATACTTTATATGAAATATCTGCTTCATCCGCTCTTTCAAAATTCTGCAATAACCATTCGAGGCGGAAAGATGTGAGACTATCTCTGGTATTACTACTCGTAGTTTCTATTCTATTCTACAGCTTGTGGTTAATATTTGTCTTCAGCCCATTTTATTCATCCACTTAACGACAAAACGTTCGAAGCTGCATAGCATGCAATTGGCCCGAATGTATGAACCCATGCAGAAATTTACTTCAGAATGTTCATGGGTCCGGCCACTCTTCTCAGCTGCTTGTGAGATTAAGGGCTATTAAGATAATGCGGGCCGGTTGAGGAGTCGCAGTCTTACATCAGCTTCGATCAGGGGTTTCGGCGTCTCTTGACCTGCAGCTCGATGATCTAAGTGCCCCCCCCCCCCCCCCTTTCAGCTGAAAATGACTTGCGACAAGACCTTGTCTAGGTACTTGGAGCTTAATGTGGTAATCGATCCACTTACGCGCTTTTCAGTTCTAAAGAGCAACACCGCTTTCTATGATCAATCAATCTTACAGCAATAGAAAGACGAAGCGATGTACAGTGTATGTGAATTAGGAAGATATCGCCACCTACACTCTCTATGGGATTATACCAGCCGAGTTGCTCCGGGATGTTGCATATAATGTGGCTATTCAACGTCTGGACTGATAGCACTCAATACCTGCTTCTAGCCGCTCATTGGGTAATCAGATATTCTACATCTACGTTCATCGCTTAGCAGAGGTTTCAAACCGATGTCATCTTGTCACAGACAAAGCTAGGGATCATTATACAGAAAACCGGTTATTAGATACCGACGGAAAGCCGCGTAGTGGTTCGCTGTGGCTTGGGTGATTGATCAACGGGTGTAGTTGGGGGCCACGCCATGAATTCCCATCCTCACTTCTTCATGCAGCGTGGTAGTACAGGCGGCTCCCGATGTTCGGACTTGCTTCCATACGACCTCTTACGACAACATTAATTCATCTAATGTTCGCTCTGTCTTCCATGTCTTCTGTTACTAGTACAACATCTGTAACAAGAATGAAACTCCATATAGAACTTTTGGGTTCATTGGTTACTGTAGTTAGATAAGTAGCTACCCACGTCCCGGACCGGGAACCATAGGCTATGCAATCTATCATATCTTTCCTCAGTCCAACATCGTGTAATTTTTGTTGAAGTAGAACTATGGATGCGTGGAAAGGTGTTCTCACGTCAAGCCAGCAACCGGTCTACGTGGGACAGTGGACTAACTGGTCCCGTGGCCCTATATTCGGCGCGACTTTAACTGTTACCCAACGAGACGGCAATCTCATAATTGCATTTGCTGCATTCTTCGTCACTATCGTGGCATCGCGCGCCTGGAGAATCATTTGCGTGTCCTGTCATCAAGTCTTTTCAAGCAACAAACCTCAAGACGCCTTATATCATCAACGACAAGTCATTCTTCGCAACTCATCCTCACCACAGTCAACATTATGGAGTTTAGTACAGCTCGGCTGGGGGCCTAAGGGTTCCTCAATAAGAAAGGTTGGGAAGACCACAGGACTAGTGTCTCTTGCTCTACTATGTCTTGCAAGCTTCACTGTCGTGACCTACGTTTTGCCATACTTGTCTTCATCTGCAGGTGACGAGGTCTTGCTTCAACCTGGACGGTGCGGGTTCTTAGATACCTCGCTGATTACGGATGCTACAGAATATAACGTTATAGTTCCGCCACTAATCGCGAACTTAGTCACCAATGCAGCGAATTATGCTACACAATGTTATGCTAATAGCTCGGGAACACTTGGCTGCTCAGGGTTCATTAAGGATCGCATTCCGACCCTTGCTCAATTCAATGCGACCTGTCCATTCCAAGAGGGCGTGTGCCGGGGAAACGCGTCGAATTTATTTCTGGACACTGGTTATGTTAATTCTCATGATCACTTCGGTTTGAACACGCCTTTGAAAGATAGGATTTTGTTCAGGAAAACATTACACTGCGCTCCCTTAGTGACAAAAGGCTATACAACTACTTTCCAATCACCCTCTGGGAACTACACTCGCTATCATCATGGATTTTTCATTGTTGGCCCTGAGCGCTCTAACAACTCACTTTCAGACGGTCTCTACATGATCGAGGACCTTGAAGATCAGTATAAGTTCCGCAACGCTCTGGGAGGGTTGTATCCTATACCCACTGCGAACTATCAGATCGAGTATGTAAATTTTACTTCTATAAGTCTTACTCTTCCAAGTCTGAACTGATTGTGGATAGTTCGTTCGGATGCCGTGTGGAGAACAGGTCGGCGATTGATGGCTCCGAGTACGTTCCGTCATCTAAGCTTCGTCGGCCTGATGGTGATGCTTATATTTTCTATCTTTCTGGGAACGGCGTTCAGTTTACCGAAAAATCGATGGACACCTGGTATAGGGCCATTAAGCCAACAGCAGCGATTTATTCACCAGCCTCCAATTCTACTCACCAGCCATTTATATTTGACGAGGCAGCGTCTCCTCTGAGCTGTGTAGAGCAACATCAATTCTGCTACGAGGCGCTTCCCAAAGGAAAACAGTGTGGGCCGCTAGCTAGTCTAGTCGACTCATTTTCGGCTGCGTTTGATATGAGCCCATCAGATGCAGCTCTTGGAAATCTCGTCTGGGTTATCGATCAGACTTCGGGCACTTCTATAAGTGAAGTGATCAACACCCTTGGGGCCCACGCACTGACTTCTCAGCGCAATTTAATCGCTGGCAATCAGGGCCCTATACCTGCAAACCAGTGGCAACAAGATGTAACCCACTGGTGGGCCACGTCCTTGGCTGTTCAGCAAAGCAACTTTATTGAGAACGTTGTCGGCCCATCTGATGCACGACTTTACCCCTATGTCACCCCTCCTCAAGACTCTACAGTCTGTTCAAACCAAGTACGTGAAATATCTCTGATAATTCGGATAAAAAGCACTAAACAAAATGGCAGAAAATCCGAAACACTGCGTATACATCTTTCAGCGTCTTCGGTCTATACGTTTTGTTTCTCAGCGGGATATTACTTATCATCATCTCATATTCGATCGAGCCCATTCTCTCCTGTTTCCACCGTAGAGGAAAGTATAGTCAGTATAAGTATCTTGAGTGGGTTACAAATGAAAGCCTTCAGCTGCACCGGCTTGCGCATGAAGGCATCGGTTGGGGCACGTGGTCACGGGCCACCGAAGATGTGCCGATAACTAAACAGGGCCAGGTCCTGGGCTGCCTAGATATCACCGAGCCCCTTCATCCAAGACTATACACACCCACATCTAGTCTTGAAGACGATGCTTATATGGAAGATATATCAAGTCTTGCTCCAGAGCGGCCAATTTTGACGGAAACTGCACAAAACATCCAACAACTGAGCGAAGGAAATGTTGAGTCTGGAATTCCATCCTTTACTGCGCAGGAAAGAGGTGAGACTCGGTATTCAAGGAGATCCAACTATTCGGGTACTTCAATTTCCGCTGATGTCATCACGCCGGCTTATGAACCTGGGCGAGCTTCAAGGGGTGAAAGGATGTCACTACATCCATCACTAAATACTACCCGATAGGACGTGTCTCTATTATGATTGCTGGCTCAATGATAAGACATAGCGATTTTTACGAATTCATTGGATTATGTTAGCTCTTTTTCTATTTTCACATGAGTTGAGGTATTTGTGTCAGCAAAGACTTCGCCATATTTTACTTTTATACTTGAGTTCTAGCTTGAAGATAGTCTATCAACACTTACTTTCAATGATCTATGCCTAAAGCAACTTAATTCGCATAGTACTCTTTCGCTTATTTTGAATATAAATAGCTAACTATTTTTATTTATTGAAATAATAAACAGGTTTACTTCTTTTGATTCCATCAATTGATTTATCCTATGCCCTGGGACTACTTACTAAGGAATCGGGCACCTTTCACCGCACAGCAGTAAAGATATACCTACTAATACTTACCAAAGCAATAATACAGCTTCAATTCATGGCTGAAGTAATCAGGATCGAATAGGTTTCATAGAACTACTCTCCCCTGTGCCAACCCCCTAAAACCTTTACCTTCTGTTACTAGAAATGGCGCCGGCCAATTTGTCTGCTACATAGGGACTTAGCCCACTTCAAATCCGCAGGTTCGGCGGCAATGGGCTAGTGTAGAGAATATCGGGGACCCTCTTTTCGGAGACCTTCGAGACCGATGGACTGACTGGGCACTGGTTTAATGGCTTAGGACGAGCCAGATCAATGGAATTCGAAGTGGAGAGCTCTTGTACGCCAGAAAATACATCAGAGCAGAGCCCGTCAGAGCTTGCGATAAAAATAAGTTCACATGCTATTCTGAAAGGAATAAAGGGTTTCGTCCCAAAAAAAGGGCATGTTGGATAGGCTAGGTGCATGTCGATAGCAAATATTAAGAGCATCATCTAACTCACTACGGGTTGCTTGAGCACGCTAGAGCCGGCACTGTCGGCGGTCGGACCCGGTAAAGGAGCCGCATAGTCGGCGCGCCCGACTGCAGTAGTATTAGTAGTGATTACTCACACGGACAATTTAGGGATTGACAAATACCGTAAGCCCCTACGGAGCCGTTGGCTCAAGGAAGATTGGATGGAGCCGTGCTAATCCGGTAGGCCTTGGCGCGAGATACCGATGAGTCGGACATAATGGGTAAGAGATTTCTTTTGATAAGTAGCGGGAATCAACACCACAATAACTACTGTTGACCGAAACCCATACAGTAGGGCCGGGTTGGGTGACATTGGAGGCCTAACATAGTATAGCTTTGACATCGTGCCTAAATACGGCCCCTTGTCAGCCTCATTTAATTAACATCACTTGGCGTTAGAGGCCAAGGATCCTAGCATTGTAGCACGTGGGAGGATCATGATCGTTGATAATCAGCACAGGGATATAGGCATCGCATGATAGTATAATATATTCCCAACCATAGCTCACTCTAATGTGCTTATCTCGAGATATCTTCCTCCTTTTCTCCCATTTCTTCACGGACCCATGACTCTTTTGGTCCGAACCCGTCGCTATACGATCTAGTCATTCATTTATTTACTTCTTTTGGCTTGAGGAGGTATAATTCAACATGGTCAAAGTACTTCCCAGCATTCTCTGCGCTGGCGTCGCGGTCGAGGCGGCTGCCATTCGAGGAGGCGGGTTCCCACGGGGAGGCGCTCATATTAGCAGACTGGCCGAAGACCCCTACTCTCTTCCTTCGCTCAGTGTCAACGTATCAGCGAGAGCTGAGGCTCTTCGAGTGAAGCGTGAGGGTTGGCAATACGGGCCATCTATAGCCGGCAATACATCTTTCTATCCGGTCGGCGCTTTAGCTGACGTCGCTACTAAGGCGGATACCAACACTCTTTTCGCTTTCCGTATGTCAATACCAAGGCCCGTTACAATGCGTGTTCTACTCGTGGTGACCTTTTTGTGGTTCGCAGCTTGTGATGCACACAAGATGCTGCAGTAACAACCTGCTAATCTCGTAAATCTAACAGAGGACAAGCACACTGCCAACGTTGGCATTGATAAACAGAATGCCTTGGACGCTGTAAACGCTGTAAGATCTTCCTTTGCTTGTGGAAACCGTTGTTCTTAACTGACCTATAAAGACGGGGGGTATCAAGTCGCTTGACGAGTACCACAAGCTTTACGACCATGAATGGGTTATAACTGTTCCGGAAGGACCCTATATAGGTATGCTGTCAAACTACACGAGCGACCTCCTCTTCTCTATGGAGCGCCTCTCTGTAGCTCCAGCCAGTGTTGCCCGGGTGGGCGCAAACGACGGATTATTATTCACCGTTGCCAACGCGGCATCGATCACCGGACTGTCGCTTGAGCAGCTTCAAGCCCAGGGCCGTCTCTTTATCATCGACTACTTGGACCAGAAAGACCTACCCCGAAGCAGCGATATTAAGTTTGGTGCAGCTTGCCAGGCTTACTTTTATATCCACCCCGAGTCAGGTGACTTCTTGCCTCTGGCCATCAAGCCGAATGTCGAGGGATCAGACCTCGTCTACACGCCTGAAGACGAGGAGAATGACTGGACGTTGGCCAAGTTGATGTTCAACTTGAATGATGTATGGTTCACTCAATGGTTCCACTTGGCTGCCGGCCACGAGACCGCCGAGATCGTCTATTTGGCTGCTATCCGAACATTGAGCGAAGAACACCCTCTCATGCCCTTTCTTCACCGACTGATGAAACAGGCATGGGCGATGCGTCACTCCGCGGAGCAACGACTTATCAACGTCGGCGGCCCAGTTGACCAGTTATTTCCCTGGGCAGGATCAAGTGCAGGCGTGGTACGTGTTTCTCACAAGTATTGTTTTACAACTTTCAGGGCAGAAGGTTTTCCATGACAAAAAAGCGTCTAGAAGCTGCCGAAACCCTCACAAATCGCGCTCTAAATGACAATAACTGACTGCGAGAGTTGTAGTACACCGACGCACTATACCAATCCGGCTTGGCGAGCAAGTTCCGTGCCAATTATCTGGAGGCCAACCTAAAGAGCCGCGGGCTGCTTAACAGCGCCTTCGGCCCCAAACTCAAGAGCTTCCCTTACCTCGAGGACGCGACCCTCGTAACAGACGCGATCCGCACTTTTATGAAGTCCTTTGTATCATCGTACTACCTTACGTCCGACGACGTGACCGCGGACAAGGAGCTGCAGGCATGGATTAAGGAGGCCGGACCTGCCGAGATTAAAGATTTCCCCACGGCCGTCACCGACGTCGATGGCGTCGTCGACATTATGACACACATGTGTTACCTAGTCGCCGTGCAACACGGCGTGCTTAACTCCAACAGCCCCGTAGCCTCGACGGCATCGTTGCCGCTACACCCGCTCGCTTTCTACCACCCGCTGCCGACGGAGAAGGGTGTTACCAACATTATGCAGTACATGCCGCCACTAGCTGCCGCCGTCGGACAGATCTCGCTACTGGCTGCGTTCAACCGGCCGCAGTTCCTAGACACCAACCAGACCCTCTCATACTTGTTCGACGACTCCGAAATCCTGGCCCGCATGAACCCTGAGACGAAAAAGGCGGCGGCGGCCTTCCGCGTGGAGATGGATGCGTTCAGCAAGGTTGTCCGCTCGCGCAAGTTCGACGCCGACGGACTCTCACAGGGCATGCCGTTCCTCTGGAATGCGCTTGACCCTAATAGAGCGCCGTACTGGGTTACGATCTGATTAGGGGATGATACGGCTCTGCGTAGTGTGTTGCCCTATCTTCGATGTCTCACAGAAGAACATACAAGTGAAGGCCGCTTATTTTCATACTAGATGTAAATATGTCCAGGCATGAATAAAATTGTGTAAAATAGATTGTTCCATCACGTATTAGTGAAACTCAGTAACCTGAGTATTTTGCTCGATTCGGTTCCGTTACAGCATGCTTCACAATTCATCGTCTGCTGCTTTTCTCAGCTCTCCAGACCAGCTTCAACTCCAAATCTTTCATACATTCTCTTTCCCTCATTTCAACCTTCAAGTCTTCAGCTGGAGTTAGGATGCTTGTCGTGATATGACTTTTTGTCTTCGGCATAGTCCATTCACCTTGCACGGGGCTCATATCATATTTCAACACCATTACGACTAAAATGGACAAAATCTCGTTCATGGCGAAGTGGCGACCCGGGCAGACGCTTGCACCACTTCCAAACGCACGGTATGCACAAGCCGGGACCTTCTGCTTCCCTGTGGGCTCTCTTTGATTCATGAAGCGTCTTGGATCCAATGCAGTCGCGTTAGAGCCCCATATGGACTGGTTGCTGTGAAGATCTGCGGAGGGAATAAGAAGAATAGCGTCCTTTTTGAGGAGATATTCGTCATCAATCAGGGTGTCATCTAGCACTACACGGCCAGAGGCATTGGTGCTGTGGATGCGAAGGACCTCCTGAACAAGGGACATCAACAGTGGACAATCTTCAATGAGAGTCGGAATGTTGACTTCAATAGCGTGAGTCCTCAATCGACCCAGACGAGATTCTATATCATGCCTTATCTCTCTCAACAGTAGAGGGTTGGAATAGACGTGAAATAGAGTCCAAGCTGTAGCTGGCACAGTGTTGACCAGAAGTCCATAACTAACGCTCAGGTTGAAATGCTCTATGTCAGTTCGAGACAGGCGGTGTTTAAGGCTGACTTCATAGCGGTCCCTAACAAGTCTCGAACCGTACTCGTGGCCACCTTTGTCGTAATAAGCACGCATGGCATTAAAGAAACTAGTCCTCGCTTGACTGCCCCTGGGTGTCATAAAATTGGAGAGGACATTGAGTCCTAATAGGACAAAATCTTTGTCAATTGTCCTAGATAGCCATATTAGTCAACTTCACTAGATCTATCAGTGCTCGTTTCGAACATACCAAAGCCCATTATATACCCCCTCATCCTTAAAGGGATTGAATTTTGCCCCATAGATAGCATCGGTACTGGCTTTAGTGACCAATCTACGGGTCCAGTCGAACAACTCAATCTCGCCGCACTTGCCGCTGCTCCTCATTGAGTTGAGTACACCCATTACTCCCTCGAGCATCACTTGAGTTGTATCCTCGAGTGGTCCACCGGGCGCAAGAGAGTCGTGCATGACTTTCAAGGTTTCTGGGCGTAGTCCCACCGGGCCTTGTTTCTCAAGCAGGTCTTCTTCGAGAGCGGAAATAGCCTGCTGGCTGGGGGCTAAGATTCTTTTGGCAAACTGCACAACATAGGGGGCAAATGATATAGTTTTGGCGCGGCGGTCTATAGCTGCAATCAGACGGGGTGAATTAACTATATAAACCTTCCCTCGAGGCATAGGGAGCGTGTATATCGGTAAATTGTACTTCTTGCTAGCAACGATCTTAGTTTAGGGAAGAGTGAAGTATGAGGCGCGCAACTAACTTGATTTTGCTGTAGTAACCTGAGCCATGTCGGATCATGCCAATAAGGTGTCCGACAATTGGAATACCAGGACGAATGAGGGGGGGTTCATTGGGCTCGTGACTCGCAGTTAGGGTGTGAAAACACAATATGAGAATACCCAGAGCTAATGATGTGAGCAGAATCATTTCGACTTTACAGGAATCTCCTATTCCACCGAGGTATAGCATTGGAAATTAGTTTCTCTTGTCAAGCAGTAGAACAAAATAGCCAAACTCTTGAGCAAAGAATAGTCGCAAAAGTGAGGCAGATGTCACAAGGCCAGGTTAGAGACAATGCCAATTCTCGGCTATTGCATTTTCTACGTGAAAAGGAGATATTTATACAAGACCTATCTACTGAGATAGCTAGCTGAGTTCCATCGAAACAGGAACACCCTCATCCAGGCCGTGTTAGCATGCTGGGTGTACCAACGACATAGGTACCTATAGGCTACAGTACCTGTGACTGAACTAGCACAGCGAAAAGTCGCAATACCTCCACTGAATGGCACCTAGCCTAAAATAGTGGGCCGATGCCTTACGGCTGGCTGGCTATAGGCGTGATAAGCATGCAGTCCTACCTACCTGCCTAGGTACCTACTGTAGGTGCCTAGGTATATACATAGGTACTGTGTATGTAGTTAGGTAGTTAGGTATGTAGAAATAGAATGCCTTTATCCAACGGGCTCGGCAAGTAATAGTACTAGGTACCTAACTCCATACCTATCTATGTACCTATGTACGGAGGTCGAGGTTATATATGCCCATCACCGTTTGTACTAGTATAGGTACTGCATACATACTTACGTACCTAAATGGCTACATATATAGGCACTTGATACCTAGGTAAGTACCTAGGTACTGAATAGGGCTGGGCGTTATAGGCACAATGTCTAGGCGATCAACGAATCGCGGAAACACGGAGGGCAAAGAATCCGGGCAACGAATCTGAGCAAAGAATGAATGTGATGCAATTGATATACACATAACAGATAACACCCAGCTTCTTCTTCTCATCAGACGCTTATCTAAAATTAAATGAGTCAAACTAACTATCTACCAGTGGTTCTCAACCACGGAGTGGGTTTTCAAGTATCTACATAATACGCACATTCCGAATTACATGTATGATTCCGTCGTCGTATTCGAAAACGCACCGGGCCTTGGGGCTTACTGACGCCAAACCCGAACCGCGGCGATGTGAAATGAAGGCCTTTCTCCTCTTCTAGGAGTTCTATGTCGAAATTGTTAATCAGGTATGCAGTTGAGAGAAGCATGATCCGCTTTGCGAGAAGGCGTCCAGGGCATGCATTTTGACCACCTGTTAGAGAACGTCAGCTTATTGCGACCGAGCAGAAAGGAACTCGCTTTTCACTTACCGCCATATGGAATCCAGGCGCCTTCGAGGCCCTCGGCAGAGAAATAAGCGCCATGTTCCAGTTTTTCAATTGGAATTGGCTGCTTTTTCCGAGTAGGACCGCTCGTTGGATCATTAGGGTCGATAATAAATCGGTCAGCATGAAACTCATCGAGCGGTCGCATGCCGTGATGTGTGTCCCACACTTCTTCATCGGTATGAGCCAGTCGCGTGTTAATAAGGATGAGATGATCCTTTGGTATGATGGTGTTATTGACAGAAAGGTCATGGTGTGGTGCAGTCCTCGGAATATGAATATGGATCCCAAATCGCAACGTCTCTGCGTATGTAGACAGTAGAAGAGGAATGGATTCTAGCTCCTTTATGGTGGGAGTTGGTGGAAGACGAGAAAGTGAACCACGTAATGAGGTAAGCAATGACTGAGATCGAAAAATTTGAATAGCCATTGTGGTAGAGGATGGTACAACCGTTGTGGCCGAGCTGTAAAGATCAGTTTTCTGCAAATAGGTACTGAATAGGCCGAGGTATGGTACTCACGCCCATATAAATGCCAGATTTGTTGAGGCCACTGATGATTCATCTTGACCAGTAGCACCAAGGAGTGTGTGATATCTTTCTCTCATCATCTTCGTACCCCAGCTGGGGTCAGTGACAGAATCACGGGTATACTCTGAATTTTTTTGAGAGGTCAACGCAGCTTGTTGCCACCTTTTGACTGCTGCTAAAAGCCTATCGCGTGCACGAGCAGTTTTCAAAATGAACACTCTCGGTATCCTTCGGGCAAGGTTCATAACTCCCTCATCAAACACCCACAGATCGCTGATGAAATGAGACTCTTGGGTGAGTAATCCTTCTCCGAAAAGTGTGCGTATTAGCGCCGAGCCCTGATGATTCTGAAAGAACTCCGTAATGTCTGGCATATATGCCCAATCATGCCCGATGTCCATAGCTTGTAGTGACTCCTGGAAAAGGGTCTCAAATCGATCAGTAGCTGGGCCAAGCCCGCCTTGCAAGAGACCTGCATTGAGATTCTCATGCGTCATAAGGCTTATGCGACCCTTCGGCTTAGCTGAGCTCCCAGGAATTGGTTTGTACCGTGTCCCAGATGTATCAGCGAGGTATGCGTCAACCGATCTTTGCTTCATTCCGAAACATTGTCGAAGAACGAGACTCCATGATCGTGTAATAGTAAGGCGAGGGCTGCGGAAGACCTCATTAACGTTTTTAGGACCAGTTACAAGGTAGATATCACCGACAACTGTTGAAATCTGTAGTGTGGAAGCATAGGGAAATTGACGACTATTATGGCATTTAGTTTAGAGCGTTATGAGAATTCAGGCACATTGAGAGCTTACAGAGCATTGTGTAGGAAGTTGAATCCATCAAAAGCAAAAGGAATAGTGCTTTTAAGGATAGGGATAGAGTAAGGTACACTATGAGGACTCCGCGGTGATTGGGCTTTCGCTAGGGAAAGGGTGATGAAACAGAGCGAGAATAGAATCGTGCAAAGCAACACGAGACCCTCGAGAATGTCCGGCGTCACAGGGATAGGGGTGGTTCCCAACATTATTGCCTTTGTCACAAGATAAGTCATGATCAATGTTCTAATAAGAATGCGAGTGCTGCCAATAGTTAATGAGTCCCAGTTATAGATATGAGATAGTTACAGCAAAGACATGTAATAAGATATAACGGGTTGGCGTGCTGCTAGATTCCTTATCATCGAAGTCGAGCAAGTTGTATGATACGTCATGGATCGCGAGTAATGATGCCCTAGTTAAGGTATCATTCTAAGTTATTATTATCAACACCATAGCCGCCCAGGCTAGTTGCCCTTGCAACCCTGATCATCAACTCATTCACGGGAAGTATCGAATACAACCATAAGGCTGATTATTTGGCTCAACAATGAGTCAGTCACGCAGTACCACGACAGAAATGGAAGACAACCAAACGGCCGTCCTAGGAAGCAAACGGCTGTTGTGTTCCACATGGGGGCTGAGAGAAGTCCGCTTACGCACTCTTAGTGCAGGTTGTGTAGAACACCAACAACGAGAGACAAACGAGGCACGAACAGCACGAGGAGCACGAGGCGGGATGCTGTCATGCGACTAGTCCTGCCAACGGTAATAGGTACGTCGCCATTACGATGGGATCCAATAGGCAAAAATACGTACTCGTCCTACATGCGGCCAAGGTTGTATCAGAATATCACACCGTTGAGGCAGGCTGGGCACAAAAATAGAAGCTACAGCCTGAGAGTGGGAGGTTGGAGTACTGGCGCATCCATCAGACCAATAAGATAGTCTCGGTAATCAAAACGATGATTGTCCCATATATCAAGTTAGCTACGATCTACCGGTATACAAGGTTTAAGGATACTTAGACGTGGGAGTGTGTACCTGACATTTACAAGCCGAATATACAGATCGCCTTGCACTTCGGCCGTAAGAAAGGCTATTTCAGGCTACTCATGATCTTGCAAGACATGCGGGCAATATTGGGCAACAGTGGAAAGTGAGGCTATGTAGTCTTCACTTCCTGAAGCAAGCCCTTGCGACCTAGGCGGTCTGGGCTGGCAGACCAGTTGTATATAGAGCCGAGTCAAGCCACCAAGGCCAAGAAGGGATTGGTTGGCCAAGGACTCATGCAGCCCTAATTGATCATTGTATTGCGAGGAGCATCAGGTTCCAAGCCCAGGTCTCTGCCCTTGTTATAGTACCGGAGAGACAGTTTGCTGGACATACCCTCGCTGTCAGCGTATCGTACCAAGTACCCAGTACCTAATGGAGTATGTCAATACACAGGATACATTGATTCGGTTACTGTGTTAGGTACCTAGGTAGGTTGCAGTCGGCCAGCCACAAACCCTTCCACCAACATGCAGTTGGTTTACTCCGTACGTAGTGTTGAATCACACAATGAAACAATAGCTAGTGTAAGAAACGGTGACGATTGTTGCTACAGAAAGGTGGGATTGGTACTACTCTATGGCTATATTTCGTGGTGTGTTGCGAACTACCAAAACGATCGTAATCGCTTCGCAGTTCAGAACTTTAGCGGATGGCGTCGTAGCCTTCGCGAAACATTGTAGAATGCAAATCCCTAAGTACACGTTACGCACATAACAGCCGTACGTTGAAAAGTTTTCGTTTGAAATGAAGTTCATTCGAAAACGGGCTTCCATATAATAAGTACATGAAAAATATAAGAGTTTGTATCTCGTAGTACTCGGTCGCTAGCCTTTGGGATAGCGACTAGGCTTTCACTTTCCAGACTCCCCCCTTTTCACGTTATGATAAGTACTTGGATCGACTGACGAAGATGATTCACCTAAGCCAGTAGCATCAAGCGGTGTGGCTACTATTACATCGTCATAGGCAGAAGCCATCCAGTGCGCAAGTTTCAGCTTCTTGGGTAGTATGGTAGTTGCCTTGCTACAGTGAGGTGAGTGGCAGTTAGGCAGTTCGCGCGTATTCCCGCTACACGGCCCACACAACAGGAGACGATGGAACCAATCGGCGCGAATGCGGGTGTAATACTACTTAGAGAGCCGACCCGAAAAGTGGAAGTAATTAGAACCATACGTGACACGGGTGAGACAGGGTCTGATCGGCTCTTTGTTGCTAATTTTGTTGGTTCCGAGACACCAACCTACTTACTGTAGGGAGGTAAGTAAGTCTTGTATTATTGGGCTGGGCGGCAGGCTACACTGCGGTGAGATGGGCACCTCATGTCCTGCCAGGTTTTCAATAACTGTCGGCTCCATTCAGTCTTAACCTTACATACCTATCACTTGTCGGTAAAGTGTGCGGTTATTTGTTTTCCGCCAACCGCAGAGTATGATGTAGAGGCCATCTATGCAAATAACGAAATTTAATAACGGGTTTCAGTGCATGTATTGTGACAGGTTGTGAACGAGCTACCCTATGAAACTTATGTGGTTCCAAGCTTCGTGTGAAAACTAAATGATTCCTATACACGACTCTCTTTCCCACCTTCCCCATCAGATTCCGTCATCCAAAACTAAAACCTCTGTTTTGCGCATACATTCTGCTATCCAGTTCCGGTGTGGCCATATCCATGGTGATGTCAACACTACGATTCACATGGACGGACTGTAGCGGCACGATATGATGTTGAGAATCATTAGCTGCTGAGTGTTCCAATGGGTAAGTCCAGTTTTGCTTAGATCCTTCGTGTGAGGTAGATCTAGATAAAAGCTTCTTGAAATGATAATTCCGTAGAAAGCTCCGAAGGCTGCCTCTAGTTGCCTGGCTGCCTTTACCATGGGCCTGTTTGAAGACGAAGAGTTGACGGAAAGAGGCAAGGCAAGCGACACTGATCGCTATATAATTAAGTCAGTTTCTCGATTTGCCCTTACTATCATTCGAGCTGCGGGCTGAGGTAACATACCAATCCCAACCTCCACGTTGGACCATAAATATAGCCAATCTATACTGGACACTCGCGTTGCGCTACCTACTCCTTTCACCAACACCACGCGAAGTATGGATGTGATAATGATGATTATGGTCAATGAGAAAATACCTAGAAGGATGGCCTTCTTCTTGAGTGGAATCTGGACGTTCCATAGAATTCGAAAAGGAATGGAGAGAATGAGCAGATCAGTTGCGATGTCAATAGCCATATTGCCATAGAACGTGTTATCATCGAATCGTACACCTTTGACAAGTGAACATTTCTCTAGGACTTCGTCAGTGGAGTTCAAAAGGATTGATTATCTTAAATTTGAACGTACCCATAATGTATGCGAGGTTGTTCACAGTACATTTGTAATCAATGTCTGCAATCGATGCAATCAGGCCAGCTAGAGTAACAGTCGTGACCACCCACCACCAAATTCGACCCACAGACACGTTTGACCCAAGACGCCGGAAGAAGAAAAGGAAAGAGAACTTCACAGCCCAAAGGGATGAATAGAAGAATGTATTCCAAGCAACCACGAGTCGCAAGAAGGCAGAATACTCAATAGGGAATTCAAGAGTTGGGGCAACCTTGCCAGACTGGATATCGTACATCCAGTACAGTACACTACTCTTGATTTGCCATAGGACGGCAGACACGAGAAGTAGCAGCCACGCAAGAATAACCAAGTAGTCTTCCACTAAGAGCGTTCTGCTGGACTTGGCCCTAGTGGCAAGACGAAAAATCACAAGTGTGAAAGAAACCCAGGTTGCCGTCCATGTAATAGCCTAACACGAATTAGTAAGGTGAGCAATTCCGTTCGGTCTGCTTAACTCACGAGGAAAACTGTCTGCTTCACTCTCTCTACTGAAGGAAGAGCGGGTGTATTGTCAGACATGGTAACTATTTTATAGTAGCTTGGAGACCTCGACTGGGAATTAAGGCAAGTTTAGAATTGGTGAACTTGAAGGAAGAGCAGTGATGGTGGTGGGGTATGGCCTGGATATATGATATAGGTAAGGCCAAACATGTAGATCCTAACGACACAGCTTGAAAGTGTGAGCTCCCGTTCACCCGTTTACCGCTGACTTCAAGAATACGCACACGACAGTATGAAGGAAGCAGCCCCCATTCTTGCTGTGAGAGGAGATGCTGTTGGTTGTCTCGTACTGCAGGAAGCAGCCAACCAGTCGAGTCCTATCTTTAGGGGGTCCTCCAATCACCTACAATTCCGCAAGGTCGCCACATAGGTGTGTCTCATCTGATAGACGCCAAAGCAGGCTATTTCGGGGTCTGTAATTGTAGGTATTGAGACATGAATGTTGGTGGGTAACACACAAAAGCAGGCTATTGTCAAGTCCGTAATTGAAGGTATTGACACATGATTGTTGATGCGTAAGCACGCACTAACGATACACATTGGGATATCTATCTGCGACCATAACGCATCTACTTGAGCCAGTGGGAGCATCCGGTTCCCATATTGAAACCGTTGTTGTGAACAGCAAGCCCGAAACCGTAGCAAATGAACCTGCGTTGATTGCCTAACCATTCTTATTATTATTACCATTCCCTACATTGTATATGTCTCTATTCCTACATGAACATCAGCAATCGGCAGCTTGCTGCTTGGTCTCTTCGCTGCTATCTGCCTCGGCCGCGTTACCTCTTTCTGCAGCGACTTTATTGGCGTTGAGCCATTCCATCCCAAGTGTAAATGGCAATGATGCACCTGCCAGAGCAGTACCTAGAATCAATGTTCGTGCAATAGCCGTGTTCCAGACATTACGCAAAATGATCAGCTCTTGAGGGCCAGTAACGAGAGCAGCAAGGTTTGCTGCCCCAGCACTAAGAACTGCCTCTGCCGAGATCCTAGGCAATCGCTGGTGAACAAGGTCGAGGACGGTAGTGATTATGATGTTTTGTCCCACAGATATGAACACTGCCCCCCCAAGCTGATAGAATAGCACGGCGATGGCATTACCGACGGGAATGTCTTGGTCTGCTAGAACAAGGGCAACAGCTGTATAAGGTAATTGCATGGCCATGCCAGAGCCAAGGCCAGACACCACCAGTCCTGCTGCCCAGTAGAGTGTGGGACTGTCGGGGTGAATTTGAGTAAGCAACGCTTGTCCAGCGACACATATCAATTCACCAGCAATCATATAAGGCACATAATAGCCAAACTGCTTTACGATTGCACCGACGATGATTAACGAGACAAGCTGTGGAACTAGGTAGGGTATGAAGTTGACGCCAGTCCGTATAGGGCTGATACCTATAACGCCCTGAAACCAAAAAGGAAGAAAGAAGACATTCTGAGCTAGTCAGTTATCTGGTCAAGTTATCTGAGAAATTATAAGCACTCACAACGTAAGTTACTGCCCCAAGGAAAAACAGAACCATCGCGCCAGTCCAAACTGACCGGGTCCTGAACACTCGAAGGGGTATCAAGGCAGAGTTGCCTCGTTTCCATTCCAGGTAGATAAAAAGCAGGGCCGAGAGACCAGCGCCTACTAAACACCCAATAACATCTGCTGAATTCCATGGTTTAGTTTGACCAGCCCAGTGTAAGGCAAGAAGCAGTAAGACCACGGTGCCAATGAACACAAGACATCCCAGGGGATCCATGTTGTAAAGCTTCCTTTTGAACGGGAGTGCTCGGTCTTCGCTTTGCGTTGTTTGAATCTTTAGAAATATGGTCAAGCCCACCAGAACGACCGCCCCAATTGGAAGATTTCTTATAGTGTTAGTATTTGTATCACTGGCGATGCATTGTAGAAAGTGAACCTACATCCAAAAGCACCATCTCCAAGTGGCATTCTCAGTGAAGACACCCCCAAGCACTGGGCCTACTGTGACAGCAATAACGAAGACGCTGATGACGACACCCATATAAAGCGGACGCTTCTGGAGAGGGACAACCTGGCTGATAATGCTGAGAGCACCCTGGAGGATGCCCGCAGCCCCAAGCCCAGCAAAAGCCCTCCCTACTATAAACGTAGTCGAATTCGGAGCAGCAGCGCATATTATTGAACCAACTTCTTGTCGTCAGCTAAATCAATGAGTAGGATATGGAGCTCGTACCTTCAAACACTGCGATCGACAGCCGGTATACGATGTCCGTCTGGAAATATCTATACATGGCGCCGTACACAGGCTGGAAGGCGGTGATGGTGAGCAAGTAAGCCGTTCCATACCAAGCAACATCTCCAAGAGCTTTGAAGTCAGTCGATATCTGTGGTATCGCAACATTGATGATGTTTGTATCGAGAGCAATAAGGAACGATCCGAAGAAGAGGCAAGCGATCACGATGTAAAGCCTCCATCCTGAAAGATAATTAGACGTGTCGAGCGCCAAAGGGGCTTTAGGGGAGTTGGTCATGATCTCCTAAACGTCGAGGACTTGGACAGCTTGCAATGGGTTCTAGGTGGCCTTTGGTTTGGACGTGAACAACACAACTGCGCCTCGTCCCGCAGCGAAAGAAAAACAACCAGGAGAAATCAGAAGAGTGACCAAGGGAAAGGTTGGGCAGACCCTAGGTCCCATGGCCTCAAGCCATGGTTGGCTGGTCTAGGTATGATTCGAGCTGCCTCCGTAAAATAGCAAGACAACACTTTGCGTTTCCCCCGCGGCGCAACGGTGGCCGTATGCCATATGCCGACACGTTAGCTGCCTGTTAGGTACTCAAGTACTTAGTAGGTAGGCTAGGTAGGCAGCCAGGGCCGTGCAGCTTGTGGGCTGCGGGTCGGCACGTCGCGATCGAACTAGGTACCCCTCCCCCGCCTCTCCTGCGCCGCTGTATAGGTACCGGTAGGTACCCAGCTACCAGTAGGTAGTATTGCCGCCAGCATACCAAATATGGGTTTACAGAAACAGCCTCAACAACGTATGAGTCTGTCTCGGGGCATCAAGCCTAATTACCTCGCCGAGCTACACATTGTCACATTGAGATGCATGGCGCAGGACCAAGGAGAACGGAGTGTCAGCACAGTAGTATCAAGAATGGACTGTTAACTGTTGATGGAGGACATGCAAAAGCAGGCTATCGTATTGCGGGCATACCAACATGCCCATAACACCGCCCCCATGTCCATCTCCGGGTGCGACATGAGTGGCCTAAAAGCAAATTCCAACAGGCTACAGGATGCCGCATTGATCTCACCTTTTCAGTGGTGCTGTACGCCGTAACCTCAGTGTGCATCCCCTAGAATACATGCCTACGATACCCTAAGAGTTGCAAGTACCTACTACCTAAGTACTTACCTAGGTAGGTGCCTATAGCCCTGTCGATCTATACCACCTACCTAAGCAACTCATCCGTGATAGTGGCCCTATCTAACTATTATAGCACACCTCTAGGTATCTTAGGTATCTAAACTTCAACTGTACTAGGTACTCACCTGTATCTACCTACCTACCTTATGCAGGTAGCTACTAAGTAGGCATATAAAGTGTAAGAACAAGATATTATAACATGACTTCGTTATATCGTGTCCTGGACTTGAAGGATAGTAAACGCACCTGGTTGTAGGACTTTCAACATTCTTCACCTCATCGTATTTCTTCTGAATTAGGCCAAAGCTGATTGCACTGCAAGAAGTCTCTCGCCATTTACCACTTGATAACCAGACTCTAAACTTTGTGTGTATCAGTTACATCGCAAACAAGAAAGAATCATGGCAACTCCTAACGTGGGCCCTGTCACGCAGCTTCTCACACAGGTTCAAAGAAGCACAGTAAAGTATCTAGAGTACTTCTCCATGCATTCTCTTCCTGAGCCATCTTACAAAGATGGCGATGGGCTCGGTCCAAATCAGCAGCTTCCAAGCGATATCGAAGCCGCTAGGAACTCCGCTCTGGAGGCAACGGAAGAATTACATCAACTTCTCCTTGGGCCCCTTGGCCTTATACTGAGCTCCCCCGGTGACCAGTATCTCATGCTCAGCATCCAGTATATTTGTCGATACAATATCGCGGAGCTTGTGCCACTGCAAGAAGGCACGACTTTTCAAGCTATAGCAACCGGTGCAGGTCTCAACCTGAAGGATGTGACGCGCTTCCTACGTCTATCGGCAGCATGGCATGTATTTCACGAGCCTGCTAGAGACAAAGTCGTACACACGGCGGCATCTCGCCTGCTGATCAACAATCCAAAACTGAAGGCATGGATCGACAACATAGCTGAAGAGTTCTGGCCCTCGCTGGCGCGAACTGTCGACGCAACTCAGCGATGGCCGGGAAGCGAGGAGCCCAACGAAAGCGGCTATTCCTTGGGCCATAATACGGACGATAGTCCATTTGAAGTCATAAAGCGCGACCCATTGCGACAACAGCGTTTCATGGACGTGCAAAGCTTTTCTCATTCGCATCACAGCTTCAGCATCGATCATCTACTTGACGGATTTGACTTCAATAGTGTCCGCACGATAGTGGATGTTGGCGGGGCGCATGGAAAAGCTGCCATTGCGCTTGCCCAGAAATATCCTCATATCGAGATAATTGTCCAGGATCAGCCGCAAGTCATCAAGGGCTTGAAGCAGCATGTTCCAGTGGACCTCGAGGGGCGAATTCGTGGTATGGAACACGATTTCTTCACACCTCAGCCGTCTAAAGATGCTGATGTGTACCTCCTTCGCTGGGTAATGCATGACTGGAGTGACAAGTACTGCATCAAGATATTGGAATCTTTGACACCAGCTCTCAAAGGGGGGGCTAAAGTTGTAGTGAGCGATATCTGTATACCCGAGCCAGGACAGCTGAGCGTCGCAGCAGACCGTGGGTTCAGACAGATGGATATCTCAATGAAGGCATTTAATAATGCTCGAGAGCGTGATGCGGAGACATGGGCGATGCTTTTTGAAAGGGCAGATCCAAGATATGAGTTCTTGGGTATTACGATTCCTCAAGGAGCGAGGATGGCCATTATCCAAGCTCAATGGAGGGGCGGAGACAGGTGATTGACTGTGTGCCTGACTGGTGCCCCCGCATTGGGTTAGGTACCGAAATACACTGAGCATACGGTATTATTTCCTATCATGTAGTCTAGATGTCATGTCTTATGAGAATAAATCCACATTATCCCGTTACTGGAGGCCTAAGGTCAACAACAATCTGTTTCCCTCCTACGTTTCTTGATCCAGGTTAAATTCATACATTTCTGTCTTAGGTTACTACCACTTTACAATTTACATCCCCTATGCCCTCAATAGACGGGTGTCATGATACTTCCCATACGTTCATTATTACGAAAGTGATGCTTCCCAATTGAGATTCCACAACAACTGTGAGCCTATTCCAAGATACGCCAGCTTCGGCGATGAAGCACTCAGGTATCATTGCGGGGTTGCGCCGCTTGCCCAATACGCTTAGGCCTCATTCGCAACTAAGTGCACACGATCCGCATCTCTCAGTCTCACGAGCATCTCCAAATCCACATCGTTGCTACATTCAGTGGCTCGCTTGACTGCAGCCTCTTCACTCTCACCGGGCTGCTTTTTTATCGCCAAGCGATGCATATTGAACAGGCAGGCCAATACCGCGACCGCCTGTACCTCAGCGAACTTCTTTCCGGGACAGATTTGTGGCCCTTCGCCCCATGGAAAGAATATACTCTTACTTGGGATGATCAGCTCTTCGCTGGCTAGTTGAATAGCCGTGGGGGATTTCGGGGGCGCGGGATTTGAAATCCAGCGAGAGGGCAGCCAGCTGTTTGCGTCAGGCCAATAAGCTGGGTCCACTTGCATCGCTCTCAGGTTGACGGTGAGATTGACCCCTTTAGGTATATGAAGCGTTTGGGTGCTTATCTTGAGCTCCTGCGTATGATTGGAGGCAATTGAAGGCAATGCAGGCACAGGCGGGTAGAGACGTAAGACTTCATAGAATACGGCTCGGCAACGCTTAAGCTTTGGATATAACTCTTTGTAGTCCCAGCTCTCCACAAGACTATCTCCTGTCACGATCGAGATTTCCTCTGCCAGCCAAGCCTGTACTTCAGGATGCGCCCCTAGAAGTAACATGCCAAAGGCCAATGTATTGGCTGTTGTATCGTGCCCAGCAAAGTTGATCACGAAGAGATTGCCAAAAATCTCATCAACAGAGAGACCCTTTTTTGTCACTTTGTAGGGTGACCCGGCAGTAGACTCGTGACGATGAATGTCAGCGGCGCGGACGAAAGACGGCATGATTGCGCCAGAGCCCGGTTGGCCTTGAGCAAGCGCCTTGGTCTCCTCTTCCAGCAATTTCACCATATGCTTCTGGAAAGAGATCCCTGCATTGCCGATTCTTGCCCAGCTCTTGGGCATCTTACATAAAACATTGAATGGTACTAACATCAGGAGGATGATGTTGTCGAGGACCGTTTGGAGAGCGTCTCGGTAACCTCCCTCGTCATCAATTTGAGGTTCTGTGGAGCCCCGGAAATCATAGCTTTTGCCAAAACCTGTAGCAGCAAGCACATTAAGCGAAAGGGCTCGCGTATCTTTCTGATAGCTGGCTATACCATCTGTAGATGCAGTAACCCATGACCGGAGCATCCCCTTAGCTTGACGGAGGGACTCATCCCAGACGGACTTCATAATGGTTTCATTGAAAGGTGTAGCCATCACTTTGCGATGCCGAGGCCACTCTTCCCATTTTGCAGTTGAGATGCATGGACCGTAGAGTTCCAAGAGTTCTGTTCTCGTCAGTTTACTGGCTCACCCTGGCCCTAGAGACAACGTACTCAGCTCTGCAATCGGTCGTTGGAAGTCACCCCGCCGTGTAACGATATCATGAATGGTGTCCGGGTCCGCAAAATGTATGTTGATGGCGACCGGACTCACGAGCGCCCACACAGGTCCTATCTGTTCATGAATGGTTGCTCTTTCGGCGAAATACCATCCGCGACGAGAAAAGCGCACAAATCGCGGGTAGGAGGACCATTCGATGGGAAGCGCGTCGAGTATCTTCCAGACTTGCGGCTGGAGGAGAATCCATAGGACATTATTTGAATCAATAGGGAGGCGTACAACAGGGACTTTGATGGCTTTCGCTTTACGAACATTCGCTTCCAAGCAAGCGATAGTCCATGCAACATAGGCAAGGACGGCGCCTATGAAGAGAACCGCTAACATGACGAAAGCGCAGAACGTAATGCTGCCTGGAAGGATTGGGGAGGGCGGCGAGCTGGCTTCTTCTCTCACACTCTTTCTTCTTTGCTACGTGGTAGGATACAGGTTGAAGTTGGCTGTGCAGTTTGATAGTATGGAAGCGACTGTCATGATGGGCGCGCGGCCTACGGTGGGGAGGCAATATGGGCACTTCTCCTGTACCCGAAATCGTCTGAGCTTTTGATGCGACGATACATAGGTAGTAAAGAAATTCGATCAAGCGAGGTATTGAATACGCACACACTGCGGCACCAAGCTACCCAACCCCGCGCTCTCATTCCAATACTATCATCCCTGATCGCAGTACGAAATTAAAAGGTAACATATGCTGCACACTGTCAGGAGAATCCGTTGCTGTGTGCATGCAGTAGGGTATGAATGAAGGGGGTGAATGTTGTCAGCAACAACCTGCTGGTCCAATCGACGGCCGACGGCATCCGCTTGGAGGGCGTCGTGGCCTGTTTCCGCCCCCACGGTATTTCAGCCACTTTTGTAGATGCAGCTAACAGCTGTCAACCTTCTCCTTGATTGGGCGCCTGGTCTCGGTCTGGTATCACATCGGCGGCATCCAATTCTCACTGTGGTAGAAGTTTCTGGACACTGTTGGTTTGTACCGCTTGTACTAGGACTTTCAATGCGATGTATCATGCGGCGTCCAACCTGTCGCTTTCACTTTTCTGCGTCGACGCCCTTGTGTACGTAGTAGAGCTGAGCGGCACAGCGGCCAAATCCCAAAGTTCTGGATACCACGAGCTACGAAGTACATGTAGTACCGTATGTCAAAAGCGCTAACAGGTTCCAATGACGAGTCATAGGATTAGGTACTACTAAATTTATCCGTTATAGGCCGTTGGCCATTGGCCACTCCATACAGTTTGCTTGAAGGGGGGAGACTGAATCAATGGCCGCCACCTATTGGAGGTTGCTCATACCACCAGCATGTGAAAAGCATTCGAGTTTGTGCGGATGTGTCTAAGGATTTTGAGCGCTCAAAACCATGTGACTTTGACACCCCCCCCCCCACCCCCCGAAAAACTCACCTAATAATTTCTTGATTCCTATTTAGACGAGCTAGTCGAGCAGCTATTGTGCATTGCATAATCTCAAATCTACCCGTTTTCCATTAATACCCCTTACCATAATCGAAGCCATCGACTATGGCCCTGCATCCATCAGCCTTGCTCGAACCACTAGGTTTGACAGCGTCGTTCAGTATTCTGATAGCTACATGGATTGCATGGAAATTCTGGGTGTTCACAGCTAGGCCATTCCTGTATCCCAGTGAGGTATCTGTCCTGCCTTATCATATTCCATGTAAGTTTATTCAATAGAGCTCGAGAATGGCATATACTGATATACATGAAGTTATTGGTACGAGAGCCTACAAACAAGTTTCAAATAGACAGCGATCTAGCTCACATATCGCAGGGCATGCCGTTTCCATGTTCAAAGACACGGTCGGCCTCTACCGCTATGCTGAGTGAGTGACCATTCCAAGTTATCACGACATCTACTGAGTGAGTTTAGGGCCTACTTCGGCTATAGCCGTGAGCCTTACTCTCTTTGTGTAGCAGGTCAGCAACTGATCGTCGTGACGAATCCTAAGCACCAGGAAGAGATATTCAAGAATAATGATCACTACAGCTTTGATCCTTTTATTAACGTTGTCTATCATAATGTTGGAAAGGTTTCGACTGCAGATTTAAACATACTTTGGCGCAAGTCTAGTGAAGGGTTCGTGTCACTATACCCCAACCCCAAACAGAAAGTACTTGTACATACTGGCTTGGACCTCCTCCATAAGCAAGTTCTCTCGCCTATTCCTTTCCAAGAACTAGTACTCAAGGTTGGGGGGTTGCTAGAGCAGTATTCTCGATGGGAGTCCTTCACGAAATCGGCTGTAATCCATCATGCGGCAGATAGTATCACAAAAGTTGTGAGCTTGCATCGCTGGTGTCGCGATATCACCATCGGAGCTCAGACAGACAGCTTCTTTGGTCCACTTTTTGCTGAGCTGCAACCTGATTATACCGAGAGTTATGACCAATGGGATATCAACTCATGGATGGCTACATACCAATACCCGAATTTTATGGCTAAGGCAGCATATGAGCCGCGTGAGAGACTAATCAAAACACTCGTGGCGTATCTTGATGCCCCAAAGGAGAAGCGGACGGGCTGCGTGGCATACGTGAATGAAGTAGCAGACGAGATGAGGCACGCGGGTCTTGGAACAGAGGCTTGTGCACGTGTCTTAATGATTATCCTTTGGGGGTGAGTGCGATTGTAGTATTCTTCAATACATGTCTTCGAGCTACTACTAACTCTGCGAATATAGAGTCAATTCCAACGTCCAGATGACAAGTTTCTGGTCGATGGTTCATATTGTGTCAGACGCCTCGCTCCTATCGGCCATCCGTAATGAGATTTCGCCATTGATGAGTTTGGCTGAAAGGGAGAACGATCTCGAATCCTTGAGATTAGGCTTAATGCGGTCATGTCCTCTGCTGAACTCACTTTTCAACGAAATTATCCGTTTCTATAACACCGGTTCCTCCATGCGCGAGACGGTCTGTGCTACACGCATAGCTAATAAGACAATCCCCAAGGGCACTAGAATCTTTCTCCCTCAGCGTCATTTGCTTCTAGACCCGGAAGCATTTGGAGAGGATGCCCACACCGTCAACCCTTATCGCTTCGTTCAGAATAAAAGTCTCGAGAAGCATGGGTACTATCGCCCATTCGGCCACGGAATTACTCAGTGTACTGGTAAGATGATAGGGCGTTTCGAAGTGCTGTGTTTTGTGGCCTGGGCAGTATGGAGGTATGAGTTCGTAGTGTTGTCTGGAACTTCAAAGGCCACCAAGAGCAAACAAGGCATACAGATACCAAGGATTGACTTGAAGAAGCCTAGTTTGGGTATGAGTAAGCAGGTCGAAGGCGATGATTTGGTTTTACAGATCTGGAAACGAATAGGTGTGTAAGCTATCTGATGGTATACGTATGCCTTGTTCCAACAATATACTCTACCAATTTGGCTTACTACGTGAGAGGATCGACTCTCCGGTGGGTTGTCACCAATCTTTTTGACTAAGAGGCCAGAGTGATTGGTGTAACAAAGACAGATAACTGGGCTCGTGATTGAAGCGATTCGTAACATACTAATCTGCCAGGACTGCCAGTTTCCCTAGCTATTTGAGTCCTTCTTAGCTACTGGAGCTTGAATTTAACTGTTAGTATAATTGAGCCGCCAATCTTGATTGTTTAAGTCTAAATGATTTATTTAATAAAGTAAGTTTTATATAATCTCACTTTCAATACGGCTTATTATATATCTTTCAAATGTTATAAAGCAGACTGCATTACACCTGAAACTTAGGCAAACTGCATGCTTGCTTATATGCACATATAGCATTCCTGGCCTTGGTAGCTTGACTGTGACTGTGTATATAATTGAACTGCCTGCCTCGACTGTCTAAGTTTAATTAGTCTGTTTCATAGAGCGAGGTCTGTATCATCTCATCTTCAGTGATTATATTACACGCGCGTACAACCAACCTACAGCTCGCCTACGATCATAGGCGATGTGCAAGGTAGAAGGGCCCTTCGTATAAGAGACATACAGGCAATATTAAAAGTGAAGTTATACAGATCTTGCTTCATGATGTAAGTTAATAAGTCCTAGGCAGTTAGCATTGTCAGTCCAATTGTATATAGAGTTAAGTCAGGCAACTAAGTTAAAGAATGAATTGGATATCCAAGGGCCTAACAATCCTAGCAAACTATCGTATTGTGAATAGCTTTAATTAGAAGCTCTGTTAGACGAGGTAGAGCTATATAATAACTGTTAGACTGTAAACAGTCTAACGGCGTCGTCTTTCATGTTCGACAGGCTCAGTTATAGGCCCTTGTTATAGATTGCCTATATTAAGTCTCATGCAGATCAAAAAAGAGATTCTTACGCTGTATACGCCCGTAGCCATGTGCGCGTGTAACTTTTGGCCATAGTGTAGAGAATTCATTACGAAGAACACTCGCCAGTTGTGCCACATGGACATTAAAAATATATAGGGACGTAGTTACCCCGTTCTTCCATTTATGAGACAGTTGTGACTAGGTAACGCTGAAGTTTCTCTTGGAGTTCGGTACTCTCTGGTACAAAACCTCCTCAACGGCCAAAAACTATTACATACGGCCATAGCTACTGGAGAACTCTGGACCCGTCTGCACCCCGATAAATAAACTAGTGAGCGCCGAATTAGTAGTTGGGTCGGTGATGACCAGCGAATCCTTGGTGCTGTATATATATATTGTCTTTTTCTTCCTTTTCCCACCCTTTACTCTTACGAGGCGATCTTGCTAGTTGTGTCCCAATTAGCTAATATGCTTTCAATTCGTCATATGGACCCTGGATCTATCGAAAAACAACCTCACTTTTCACATAAAGTCAGGGTTTAGTTAGAGTGTTTGTTCATAACCATACTACATACCCCTGCCCATATTGAAACTTGCAGCGGCGTCTCCAGAGACTATTGCTTATATGTACTTCAGTTCTCCTGCAAATGGCACAACATCTCAATGAGTAGGTTGGTACTTGACCTATTACAACTCTATGTCTCACTGTACCACTTGTGTCAAACTTGGCTCATAACAAGGTCTCGCGATGTCGTCTCTTGGAGGTCTCTCGTGTTGCATTAACCCATGGGTTCGGAAAATGATAAAAGTGAATTACCGATGCATCAACGCCGCATGCTAGTGCAGTTCTGGGGGCCAAGCAAAATATTTATTTCCACCAAAGCAGCAGCCAATCGGCAGCTGTCTGGACCGCGCGGCGACTTCCGGCCACGACCAAACCTCCTCATAACACCGGTCTCCAAACATATGAATTCCCGACTTTGTCTCTTGGCTGGGTAACCAGGTTTTGGTCAACACCACCAAGGGTCGCGGTCCGCGCCCGAGTAACCCCCCTGCGATTGGTGGCCGAATCATGTTTTGTCTCACCTCTACCAATCGGTGCACCTTGGGGGCGAAAGACTACTTCGCCGGTATTTTCGTGATATTCAGGAATGATGTAAAGAACCCCCGCTAATATATAGTGAACTGACGATCGTTGGCATGATGCGTGAGTTTCATCGCCCAGGTCGGATCTGCGAGTCACTTTGATCTTCGTTGCCGCCGCAGCCGTCGGCCCCGTCGAGAATACGTACGACGACATCTAATGTGAGATCACGGGAAAGGCTAGGATTTATCTTGCGTGACCTTAGTTTATCTAGTTCTAGCCCCCAAAGATCTCGGCTTCAAAGCGCCCAGAGACTTGGATGTGTTGATATAATTACAGAGCCAAGACAGAGCCAAGAACACATGTCGGCCTACGCCACGTAGTATATAACTGTAGCCGTCTCATTTGGCAGCAATTAGTGATCCCTGAGCTTGAAGTGAGACTTATGCTGTCTTAAGGTTTGTTTCAAGGATGATGAAATATCCTTGTCTCACAAGGCGGAAAAGGCGCCCAAATGTGCTTCACATGATTATGAAAGGGGGAGGCTAGATCTGCAGTCGGCTTTTACATAGAGCAGGTCTAGATCTGTAGTCAAGGTTGACCTATTCTGCAGTCATCGGTCCGCACCCACTTGCCGGTCATCTGCCAACATACTTGCTACACTATATGCGACTAAATTAGTATGGCAATCCCACCTAAAATTGGTTGGCTTACATGTAGCATATGACTCCGGATGGGTGGATTTCTCGCGATGATTATAAAAGAAGCAATGTCAAAAGAGTGCTAAATTAACTAGATCGCATAAGGTTGTGAATAGCTTCATATTGCAGGTGCGGGTATATAGGTGCAAGTAGGTAGGTTAATCTTTAGATATCAGAAGGTTACGACGAAGATTTAGGGCAGCGTGTAGTTTTAATGGGGAGCTGTACCTAAACTGTATAGTTAGTTAACGTGCATTTGCAACAGACCGACAACCGCAGATCTAGACTTGCTCTTTATATAACGGGCATGTATCGAATATTGCAGAATTTCGGACTTTTTTTTCGAACTTAGGCCTCAATCTTCAATCCAAGTGAGAAGCAGGGATTGTAGTATAGAGAAGGTTAAACTTCAGAAATGCAAATTAATAAAAAAACTGCATCCCTTCAACTTAGCTATCCGATAGTTCATAGGTATCTGTTATGTTTGAGCTTCAAGACAGACATAGCACGTAACATATAGAAACTGTCCTCTAGTCCTCTGACCCTCTGGTCTTATTATGATTTGAGATATAGCTTTTGCAATTGGGTTTGTATGATATTACATCTATGACGGAACCTCATCAATGGAACCTCGGGCAAGACTTCTTCTAATGCAGTGACACTATACGATTTCCGAGAAAGGAAACCAGAATACAACCCAAGGTCACCGATTAAGACTCTAACTTCATCAATCAAACTGTGAGAGCCGCGACCATGAGGGACTGTGTGATATTCGTCGCTGCATGGAGTTTTCGAAGCAGCCTTCGTGTCTATATAACAAGGGCAGATGAACTGGGCTTGGAATTGAGGCTTCTGATTACAATGATCAACTAGGGCTGCATTAGTCCTTGACCAACCAACTCCCTCTCGGCTGTTGGTAGCTTGAGATGACTCTATATACAAATGATCTGCCAGCCCAGACCGCCAGGGTCTCTAGGGTCTGTTTCAAGAAGCGAAGTCTGTATAACCTCACTTTCCAATATTGCCCAATATTGCCTGCATGTCTTGGGAGGTCATGAACAGCCTGCAATGGTCCTTCGTACGGCCGAAGTGCAAGGCGAACTGCATGCTTCAACCGGTAAAGAGGTTACACGTGTAACAGTCTACGCTAGGGGAATATATAGAGAGTTACTTTATCATAAATCCGGGAACATTATCTATATCAGGTAATGAAAGTATGAGGCAAAATCATTATTTGTGATCAACAGAGACAAAGTTCCCGTCTTAGAGCAGTTTTCGTTTAGCCATCCCCCCCGGAGGATCGCCACCAAACTACTGACTCTATACTATCCTTTTATCCTTTCCAGTACATCATGTTCAGCTAATTTAGATTTCGAAGGATATGATGTTCATTTCTGTTGTCCTAACGGAATTATACAGCTATTTCTCAATCCTCATGATATTTTGGGGTGATATGATCTCTAAGGAGACCTGAAGAGTGTGAAGTAATTAGTAGGAGAATCTATATTATATAAACTCTTTAATGGAATCTCTTGAATGCAGCGTCCTGAACAAAGTTCAAAGTGTTGCGCGAAGTCCAGAAAGTCAATAGTGGGGGTATTTAGATTCTTTGTAACTATATACATTCAGTTTTCCATCCTCAGCCCCTGGTTACTAACATACACAGTATCTGTATGTAGTCTCATGAACTTCATTCGTTCTCAAATCTATACATCATTGAATTATAACTGCTTCTCTATCCAAGTGTTAATCTCGCATGTGTGACCTGAAATGGCTCTTGGAATGGTTAAGCTTGCGTCTGCACTTTTGGGGTGGGATGACTACAGTGGCCGGCAGCGCAGAACTTTAATAATCTTACATTGTAGAATAGCGATTCTTTATTTGATTGTTCATTAATTTACTTTCTTACGATAATCATACCGCCAGGGAGGCAGGCAATTAGTAAGCTAAAGTTGGTGAAAAGCTCTTTCTAGTGAAGCACATCAGAAACGCGCTTCGGAACTCGTCGCCATAACACTGTTTAATTAAGCCCTGTGATCAATCTTTGGGTTCGCCAAAGTGAAGCTGCACAGAGCGACTGGAGTTTAATATCAATAGTAATGCCGTCAATATGCTTAACTGGCGCAACAGGCAAGCTAGCTCACCTAGTCAGAGTAAGTCGGTATATATCTGTAGACATATACGAGGTTGCTATAACTTATTTTCAGAATGCATGCACTTATAATATACCAAACCCAAATTGAAGCAAATAACTTCACCATTTCATATGCAGCCATCTCAGGATCCTTCAATGCCCCAATTACGGATATTAATGATATTCATATATGAAGGCTTCCGTCATAGGCGCTATCATTTTCCTATTCCTGTAACATATGTCTACATGTTAAGTTTGTTAGACTCAATTGTAACTCCTTAATGATTCAAGGCTTTCATTAGATCATATTGCGTGTGCAGCTCTGCCAATGCTACGGCAACTATATGCTTAGACACAACGACGATATCCATGATGTCGATAGGAGGCTTTCCCACTATCTCTCGTTAGCGCGGTCTTTCATCACTTATACCTGTCCATCTATGATGCTGTGAAGAGTCACCCCGTGGTACCTACAAGTTGTGAGGGTATGGTTATTAGATACTCTTATAAAGCTACTCTAACATCTTAATTGTTTGTCGAATCTCGCTTTACATTGACCATTGGAAGCTTAGGGACCTAGCTGACCACTATGCAGCACAGTCATATCGTCAATGGAATAACCGACAACCCGGGCCACTATTCTTGATAGATCAAGGATACACGAGCTGGGGTGAATTGCTGCTAGTAGAATTATTGCGTCAGTGCGTATACATGACATACCAGCTCGGCCTCCAACTTGTTTCCGCCTGCATCGATGACTGGCCAACGTCCTCGAGAGCTGAACAACCTTAGTCATCAATGCGCGTTTGTATTATGCGATCCCGGCCACCTCTTCCGTAAACCAGTCAATTACTCGCTCCTACATCGGGGTCTGCCCGGTCGCTCATTATCGTAGCCAAGCACTGAGTTTCGCGTCTAGATGCCCTTGTAGGCATCACTTGTGTTGCTTGGCTTACGCTTAACTAAGAGTCGTGAGGGGCACAGAGTACTAGCCCTGACTCGATAAAGAGAGCCTAGTGGCGCTTATACCGACTTAGACAAAACGTTATCTGGAGGCAGGCAACCCATATTTCTCAGGTCTATGCGAGAGTCGCGATTAGGTGGGGTTACTACCTCCCTTTGCCCAAGATTTGGGGTAAAGGTTTCAATGGGTAGGAGATGATATGTCGGTTCATCACTCGGTTCCCCAGATTATCCGATCTACTTACCACTGTGCCCACTGTTAAGACACAGACAGTCCGTTCAGCTGGGTGTTTCCCTCCTTTTCACTAGGACAATTCAGCCTTCGCTCATGATGAGCAAAGTAAAGATGGCGACTATTGCAATTAGATATTAGTCTTTATGCTGGATTACCACTAATTAGGCTCACTGACTCAAGATACTTCAAGAGAACGGCTGCCGCCGCCAATAGCAATTTGTGCCAAGGATCTTTCTCTCCCCCACAATGTTGACGTCGCCCAAGCCCTCGGGTAGGGGATATCCACCAAACTCCTACTACCTTATACTAGAAGTGATCGTCCTTTTCCACGAGGAGGTGGAGATGACCATTAACCCCCGCTCAACACCTCTACATGACAGGCTGTTGACCGCTAGTAGTGAAAATATAGTACACGCATACGGAGATGTAGTATATGTTTGTGTGGGTAGGCAAATATCAATAAAGACTCGTTCAGGCGGTTTATATCATTCGTTTGAGTTAACACCCCCACCTTTTTATCTTTTTTTCTTTTCTCAAGATAAGAGTATGGGTAGTTCGGGGACGTAATCTACAGACCCCGGTGTATAGTGATGGTACCGGAAGTTCCGGACCGGAACGTCTATATCAGATACATAAGGCATAGTTGCGTTATCTTGATCTTAATTTACTTATTTGGCGATATATACCCTTCGGTTTTGAGCAATTGAAGTCTGCCCGCCTCGAATCGCAACATGCTCCCTAACACGGCAAAGCAGGCTGCCGGGAAGCCGGAGGTGTGATAAGGCTGGCTAGGGGAATGCTTATTGGGTTGCGTCATACCGCAGAATCCTTTGTAGAATCCTTCGCAGATCTATAACATGACGAGAAAACTACGTCGGAGCCTTGCGAGAGATTATCTATTGTTGCAGAAGGGATGTTTTGTCGATAGGACCCTTCGTTGCTACTGTAGGCAGAGAGAGAATTGTAGGAAAGACAACGTATATGCCGCGAGCCACATACTGGCTGGGTGGGGAGCTCGCAAGATGAAAGTGAAATTCAGCCTAGGTTAGGCATGCCGTTACGCCCTCAAGGCTTAGGGATTTGTAGAAGAAAGCGGGAAAGGCGTTGAGGAAGAATGGATTCCACCTAGTAGTAGGTAAGAACATACTGGTTCTTCTGAGTACTCGTATTCTAAGAATCTCTTAACTCATTGCTGGGTATTGGAGGATATGTGCTCATATCAGGTCCGGTTCTCTTCCAAGACAAGGCATGTCGGTAGATGCCGCGATGTTGTGTTTGATGCTCACCGTGAGTTTAGAGCCTGCATTTACCATTCGATAACGACCACCTAGGTAACGCATGAAGCCTCAAACATATATGAATATTGAAACCAAAACCTCTTTAATGAAGTAAGCACCGCATAGCCCCGCGCGGGAGCCTATGGAAGAATGCGGAGGGCGTATTCACGCTAACGGTAGGTAGTGTTAACGGCGACGCTATGCCATACTCGGTAACCATAGGTACCTAGGTATACAACCAACTCCGACACCTTGGGTTTGTATTGGGGCGTCGAGGGGCATCACACCAATTTACGTCACCCGGCTTTGCTCCCTTGTTCTCTCTGGGCTTGCATTAATCGCTCTCGAATTGTTCATTGGATGAGTCGTATAGCTTTACGAAGGAGCCTTGTTCTCCTCGGTGTCTGCCCCGTCATAGTATGACGTCGAAGTTAGGCTCTCTGGGACCTTCACGCCATGTGCTCACTGTGTCTAACAGTGGTTCCAGCATATGACTGATACAATGCCTCATGGCTCAGCTGATGATCGACGCTTAATGCAGGTAATCATGCAACTGCTAAGTGGAAAGAGAGATGCCCTCCGTGTTGGTATCCAGTGTCTGCCAGTGGGATCGCAAACAGATCGCCTGAGTAGCACTGCAATGTCACCCAGGTATTCAGACCCTGAACCGGGCGTGCAGAAAATGGGCCATCGATCAGATTCAATGTGAAAGGAACTGCTCAAACATAAGAGAAGCGTTGATTCTTTAGTATCAAGTCCTCCAGGTAAAGGGCCATATTAATACGCGCTCCTCTCCCAACTCGCTCCTTTCTCCCCTTCCTTTCCACATTTCTACCCCAAACCTTCTGGATAAACGGTGCCTCCCCGCAGTCTCCATAATACCCCAGAATACATGGTAATATCTACTGCCAGTGAGAATCTGGCAAGCTACATACGATTCTCAATTCTAATTGAGTGTCGTGTATAAACACTACGAATATGTCTACAGAGAAGTCTGATTCCCATGCAGGGGGGCATAGAAAAGACTCGGAATTTTCTGATGTCTCCCGCACCGAAGTTGAGAACAGCCGTCTCACCCAAGACACGACCATTAATGAAGCTCAGAGGAAGCGCCTGGAAGCGTCCGCAAGATTGGAACACCCCCTAGCTGGACACACCCCGGATCAGCTTGCCCAGCGAGGCGAAGACTTCTGTAAGCAACATGGCATTACCGGCGAAGACGACGTTCGAGCTTTCCGGCTCGGCGCTATGATCGCCGGCAACATGAACAAATAGTATGTCTGTTTCAATGCCCCTTTCACTTGTACCTTTGTTCCCCTCTACCCTAGGTTGCCGTTCTGGCTTCTATGTGTAAATGCGCCTGTAGCAGCAATCGTCTAACCCCCTGACAGCGATACCGTTGAAGGCCTTACCGACCGCGAAAAGGAGGTTCTCGACAGGGAAATCACCCACAGGTGGTCAAACCCTACTATGCTCTACGCCGTTATTATAATTTGCTCCCTATGCGCTGCCGTTCAGGGAATGGACGAGACGGTTGTGAACGGAGCCCAGATCTTCTACAAGGTACAATTCGGCATTGGCGACGAAAACTCGCAGCGAGGTAAGCTTGAATTGCTCCGTACCAGCCAAGTATTTTTGGATTTCTAACACGCGCTGGCAGATTCATGGCTCGTTGGTCTTGTGAACGCTGCCCCCTACATTTGCGCTGCTTTCTTTGGCTGCTGGTGTACTGAGCCCCTGAATAAGAGATTCGGTCGTCGTGGCACTGTCTTCCTCTCATGTTTCGTTTCGGCCGCTGCTTGCTTCTGGCAAGCCTTTACCAACACCTGGTGGCATATGTTCATTGCTCGCTTTTTCCTTGGTTTTGGCATTGGTCCTAAATCCGCCACAACCCGTAAGTTGCTCGTCTAATTATGCATACTAGGGACCCGACTGACTTTCTTAAAGCCATTTTAGCTGCAGAGTGCTCTCCTCCTAAGCTTCGAGGTGCTCTTGTGATGCAATGGCAGATGTGGACTGCGTTCGGCATTTTGCTTGGTTACGTAGCCGATCTCGCATTCTACGAAGTCCCCGATCACGGCATTGACGGCCTGAACTGGCGACTGATGATGGGTTCAGCCTTGATTCCGGCTGTGATCGTCATTGCTCTTGTATACTTCACGCCTGAGGTTCGTATAAGGTATTTCTGTTGATTGCTGTAAACAGGCTAATGCGGGGTATACAGTCACCTAGATGGTATTTGACCAAAGACAGGCACGGCGAAGCTTACAAGTCTATTCTCCAACTTCGCTATGAGAAAGTTCAAGCCGCCCGTGATCTCTTCTACATGGATGCACTTCTTCAGGTCGAGAAGGAAGCAATGCAAATTAAGCAAAGCAAGTTTAAGGAGCTTTTCACCATCCGCCGAAACCGCAATGCTGCGATCGCCTCCGAAATCGTTATGTTCATGCAACAATTTTGTGGTGTCAATGCTATTGCGTACTATTCGACCCAAATTTTCATCGACAGTAACTTTGGCGAGAAGGCCGCATTAGCGGCATCCCTCGGCTTCGGTGCCGTCAACTTCCTCTTCGCCATTCCAGCTTTTTATACTATCGACACATTTGGCCGAAGAAAGCTCCTATTGACGACATTTCCTGTAAGTTTTAGGCCTACCATCCTCCCAAATGCTCTACCAACTTTTGCTAACATTATAATTTCAGTTAATGTCTATCTTCTTATTTTACACAGGGTTTAGCTTCTATATTCCAGAGGGAACCGCCCGTATTGCTAATGTGGCTCTCGGCATCTATTTATTCGGAGTCGTCTATTCGCCAGGCGAGGGCCCCGTGCCATTCACGTACAGTGCCGAGGCCTATCCATTATATATTCGGCCCTTCGGCATGTCCTTGGCAACAGCTACGACTTGGTAAGCAATATTTCTCTCCAAAAGTTAGACGCATTAGACGCTGAACCTAACATTTCGCGCTTAGGTTCTTCAATGCAGTTATATCAATCACCTGGCCAGCCCTCGTGCAGGCCTGGACCAATGCCGGTGCTTTCTCATGGTACGCTGCCTGGAATATAGTCGGGTGGGTTCTCGTCTTGCTGTTCCTTCCCGAGACCAAGGAAAAGACACTCGAAGAGCTGGATGCTGTCTTCGACGTCCCGCTGCGCAGCATCATGCGCTACGGCATTGCGCAGGCCGGGTATTTCTGGGGTCATATCATTTTGCGCCGAGATATGAAAGCTCCGACCGTGCCTACCTCGGCCAACACCATCGAGTATACCAAAGAACAGTTTGCGAAGGAGAAGCAGCATGATCCTACTGCTAGGGTCTAATCTAATTAGCGATCTAACGCAGTCAAGATGCGCATGATTAATGTCATCGATTTTCAATTACGGTAGTTGTCGATTCGATCTACTCCGTAGAAGGCGCATATATGTATATTAATGTCACTCGTACTTGCCAGACGTTGAGGCACTCATTTAATGGACGATACCCTTCTGAATTAAAATGCTATCCAAACCAGCCGAGCGAAACCACTCATAAATACTCGGCAGTCATGCTAGAACAGGTTATGTGACCAATCAATGAAAAAAAGAACAAGAGAAAATGGCCGTAGGGCTTCGTAACTCGTTACAAGATAGGTAACCGTTTCCCAGAACCAAATGCGACCCCTCATGTAAGTAGAAAAAAAGCCGCCATCTGCTCTGTTCCCAAGGATCCCGTCCCTGAAGAACATAACTATATGTGACGGCCCCCCCAAAAATGAAACAAAATGGGTAAGAAAGTGACGTCATATGTTGCGCTGGTTCAAATTACCAACACTCTCTCTCCATGGGATGGTATGTTATGCATCGATCAAAACCTGTGGGTATGTAGTAGGAGATAGACGAGAACGAAGATATGAAAAATCGAACATAGTACTGAAATGATGAAATAAACGCGAGAGTGAATAAGACAGAGAATAAAGAAAATGATGGAGATGGAGATACTGTGACGAAGGGAAGAGAAGAGGGAAAGGGAGAAAAAAAAAGAATTTTGGGTAAGTCCAATCTCCAACTTTTGCCTTGACCTCAGAAATGCGTCCAGTCCGATCCAGTCCAGTCCCAACCTCCATCCTAGGTATCCCCTACCTAGACCAACAGTTAACCCCTCCATAGAACGTAAATCGCACAAATCGCGGATCCCATCACGCCTCATATCAGAAGAAATAACAAAATGCCCCCCCGTCTGCCTGTGCCCAGCTTACACCCAACGCCCCCCTCACCTCGGTAAGTAAGTAAATAAGTAACCGTAACACCAGTCATCATGACCGCCGCTGCGCCTGCAACTTCTCCTGCTGCTGTTGCGCGCGAATGACTTCCGACCACGTCGGTCCGCGCTCGTCAGGCTGCTGCTGCGCGACAACGAGGGCGCCGCTACTATTCTTGTCCGCGGGAGGATTAGCACCAGAATTAATAATACTACCGCCCCCGCCGCTGCTCCCGCTACTGCTACTATTGCCACTGCTGTTCCCAGCTTGTGCTGATCTGGCGTTACTAGATGATGTCGCGCTGCTTGGGTTGATGGTAGATAATGTGGGCAAGACGCCCGCGGTGCTGCGTCGTCGGTCGGCGAAGCGTCGCGGCGCTGGGGTTGGTGCGGGAGTCGGTGGGCCGCGTCTGTCGCGGTCGCGGTCGCGATCGCGATCTCTGTCTCTTTCTCTATCCCTTTCTCTATCCCTTTCCCTATCTCTGTCTCTATCTCGGTCTCTATCCCGGTCCCTTTCGCGCTCGCGGTCTCTGTCCCGATCTTTATCGCGCTCCCTCTCACGGCTAAACGGCGCCCACCACCGCTCCTTTTCTCTAGGCCTCTCCCGCCCTCTGTCGCGCTCGCGCTCGCGCTCGTGCTCGTGCCCATGGTAACTACTCCGCCTATCGACCCTGTCGGGCCGCGGCGTAACGGTGGCAACGGTCGTAATAGTGTCGGAGCTCGCGGAGTCTCCGTCGTCGGCGTCTTCATCTGCGACGCCGAGCTCGAACTGCGTTGTGCGATTCCTCGATCGCAGTGCCACTGCTGACGACGACGGTCCTTGTTTCACCTGCTGTTGCTGTTGTGGTTTGTTGTATGGCTGAACGACGACTTCGGCCGGCCCGTAGCGTCTGTGCTCGTGGTATGAGTGGCGGTAGCTGTTGTGCCGGTTCAACCCGCGTCCCAGGAGCGCCATAGACGCCGAGTCGGAGCTCAGGCTGTCTACCCCGCCATTTTTGGTGACAGGAGGGGTAGGAGTAGGAGTTGTCCGAGACCTAATCAAAGGTCCCGCAGATGAAGGTGGTGGAAGTGGTTTCGGCGTCGATGAGCCGCCACTATTCTTGCCGCCCACGGGCAGTTCAATGCCTCCAGCCTTGATGATATCATTGATACCGTTGCGAGGCAAAGGCACAGGAGGCGGCGGCAAGTGCGGGACGTTGCTGTTCCACCCCGAGTTCGGGGTGAAGCTCAGGCTTGAGTTCGTCGAGACATTGGCAACAGACCATCGACGATTTTGCTCCGCCAAATGGAATGCCGATGTCGCCGCCAAGGGCACCGTCGCAACTGATACAAGGGAACGAGAAGCAGAAGTAGAAGTAACGGCAGAAGAGGAGGCGGGAAGGTTCAAATCGCACAAGAGATCTTCCACAGCAGCAGCGAGGATTTTTCGCGACTTCGCGTCTGATTTCACTGGGAGGAGGCTGCGGACAAATTGTCGTGGGAGCTTTTCGCCTCGGCTTACACTGGCTCCAGGGATAAGGCCCGTGGGGGACGCCAGTGGGTTCTGCAGAATCGATGCGGAGATGAGGGGACTGAGGGGTGTATTTGGGGTACTACTACCAGAAGAAGTGAACATGAAATTACTTGGACCCACGTCTGCAACCAGAGCTAGCTCGCTGGCGATTTTGTTCATGCGCTTCGCTTCCTCGTCCGGGTGCGCGAGGAGGCATTTGGTGAAGAACTGGGCGAAGCCCGTTGGTGTTAAGGCGGGGACACATGGCCTGATGGAACGTGGACGGGGTCGCAAGGGCTTATAAGGGTTTAGGTTTGAGGCACCAGCAGTAATTGGGTGTAAGCTCGAGTACGAGTTCGAGCGGGGGAATATGGGCGACAACGGGTTCGTCGCTGTCGAGTCCGTGGTCGAAGAGACGGACGACTCCGAGGGCGGTTTGGCCAGGGGTGCCGTTTCAATCGTGGACGGAGGCACAAGGTAGTACTCGCAGTCGAGGTCTGCGAAGAAATCGCCGATGCGTGAGTGGTAGGTGGCTAACCTACTATTGGCGCCGGCCGCGGTACTACTACTGCAACTTTCTTGCCGCGGGAAGATATGGAAGATATCTGTTTCGCCAAGATGAGCAACTCAAACGAGTGAAAGCCACATGAGGTGTTTCGAAGAGCAGTAGGAGCGAAGGGATGCTCACCTTCGAAAGGATGCACCTCACCCTCTATCTTGAACCGCGAATACAATAAGCCTAGCTTCTCAGGTGTGACAACCACGGTGCCTCGAGGCGAGAATTCCTCAGCCTAGACATCAGACATGAATTAGATCCGTTCTGCACATATTATCCCTCCTACAACACGATTTTGATGGGAGAGGGGAGTATTGAGATGTTAATAACATACCATATACTTCGCTAAGCCCCTGAGGACTTGTCCACACCTCGCCGTGGAATACCCATTTGCATCAAACAATACACCCCAATCAGGCACGGTCTCGCCATTCGAACTCGACATGCGGCGATACATAGTCCACGGAGCCTTCTTTGCTGGCGCCGACACTGGTGCAGAAACAGGGTTACGAGCGAGCGTCACGTTATCACTGAATCTGACTCGAGGATCTTGTTTTGCAGCCACGGGCGTGTCTAGAGAGAGGGGCGGTACAGAGGCATTGGTGGGAGGCGAGGGAGTAGGCGTGGGCGTCGTTTCAGGCGTATGAACATGGTCTGAGCCACTACCTGGCGCTGTTGCCGGCGACGATGACCCCTCATCGCTCTCGTCTTGCGTTGACTTGTTGAGGGGACTGAGGTGCGAGAGTCTCCTGCTCTCTTGGGTGGTGGTGTTGTTACTGCGCGTATCAGCGCCAATGAGGCTAGCACCACCACCGTCGCTGGCAGGATTTTGAGAGCGGTCCTTCATTGTGCACGCTCCGAGAACTAAGGTTCTCATGTCAGCTTCTAATCGGCAAGTGATGATGGTGGTGTCGGGCTGGTATATTATATCTATATCGCCGGGCTCGGTAAGTGCTTACGCTCCTGTTTGATAAGTCTCCTAATCTCGTCCATGAAATTAGGGGAGAACCCCCCAGACTCTAAAGCTGGTCGTGGTTCTGGTCTCTGCGCTGATGTGATTGACTTGTTCTGTTCTTGTAATACATGAATATCGGAACTACCCGCGACAGTTGAAGCCACCAAGCCAGTTGTTGACAGGGTTTCAGTTCCAGTTGTAGTTTCCATAGGAGATCCGGGACTATCTGGCGCTCTCGATTTTGGAAGAAGAGCCTGGGTTTGAGGCTTCCCGTTGGTCATTTTGCCTTCGGGTCAAAGAAGAAAAGTCAAGGTCCATGTCACAATGATTTACTTGTAAAGAATCGGCTTTGGCAAGTCACCCCTTTAAATGACCCCAAGCAGCAGCGACTGAATCGGATTTTCTGAGGAACCACTGGCTATTCTGAATCGAGCTATTCAGTCTGGGTAGCAATGTATGTATCAACAGCTGACCGCATGGAAGCATAACACGCAGCATAATACATAATACGCGGTCGAGACTTCAGGCAGCACCTCGCTCCAACTTGAAGTGGCACAAGAATTGACATTAGCGTAGACCGTCGCAGCCGGAGGTGGGCGAATGACATGGGCTTGGAGAAACGTCGTCGCTACACCTATCAATGCATCGTAAGTAGCCGGGCACTGGAAATGCACGTCCTGCTGCAGGTAGCCGTCTTGCAGGAACGTTATCCCTGCTTCTCCAACCTGTGTTGTCGGAAAAGGCTGCATCTACCCTGAGAACTTTGCGGCCCAAGATTACGTATCGGAGCGTTGGCTACGACATGCAATCTGACCTCCACCACCCTCCCTCTACAGACAGACCACCATCGCTATGCATTTCACCGTACAGTAGGAGACCTTAGGATTTAACACGCAGTAATTTCGGTGGAATGTATCAATTGCCACAATTTTCTCTTGGGTGACATCGCATTGTATTATCAGCATCTACTGCTACCATCCGTCGACCTATCCCGAACGTGCGAGCAGCCATCCATGTACGACCGTCGAAGGCTCGCCATATGGCATCTCTTCGGAGTCGACAGTCACAGTGTAATTTTGTAAGCCCGCCACAAATCAGAGTCTATGCGGTAGAATAACGAGCCACAAACTCAAAACGCATTGCATGCCTTGCTCATCAGTAACCATTCCATCCCTCACTCTACATCTCGTCCGGAGAGTCAGAGTCATGGGCAGCTTCCGTCCCATCTTGAATCCTCTCTCCAAAGGTCTTCTTATGCCCAGGAAATACTTTGCGATTATCCTACCAAGTGTCAGCTTATCGTACCAATGAGAAGTCTGTCGAGATGCTTACGCCTTTGTACCACTTCCTCGACTTGTCCGTGTTCTCTTTTTTGGGCTCTTGTTTCTTGACGGCAGGCGTCCACCCACCAGGCGGCTGATTTACAAGAGCAGCAGCTCTATCTTTGTCACTCATCTGCTTTGAGTTCGATTGGCTAGCCAAAGGCCGAGTAGATGATGATGGAGTACAGTCTCCCCAACCTGGGAGCTGGCCAGCTTGTGCGGGTCGTTGATGAGTGCCAGTCAACGGACCTTGAGGGTTCGGAGCTACCAATCCCCTTCTGTGAGGAGGGACTCTACTCAAAGCTGTATCTCCCTGACCAGAAGGGTACCCTTGCGAATAAGGCCCAGTTCGGCTTGAGCCATACAGGATCGGGTTGCTGATCACTGTTCCTTGACTACCCATAGTGCTGGCTTGGGTGCTGTTCACAGTTCGGACTGGATTAACAGTTCCAACAACACTTTGGCTAGCATTTGGGTGAACTCCGCCCCGGCCAGAGTTGATCACCGTATCTGTGGTAGATGCAGCATCTGTGGTGGTACGCTATGTGACCTCATTAGCTAACAGAGATGTGTGACCATCTAGGTTACGTACCTCGGCCGTATTTGCAAGGCCATAGCCCTGGAGACGATCAATTGCATTGGTAAGCAACGTCGGGTTGTCATATGGGTTGCCATCCTCATCGGAGCTGTCATCAGAGCTCTCTTCATCGTCATAACTCGAATTCTGACGGGCCTGTATACGAAGACCATCGTTGGAATCATCAGCACTATCGTCGTCGTCGCTGAAGGCGGCGTATTCGTGAGCCGCGAGGGGCGCGTTAGGCATTGCAGTAGGAAGCTCGTTTCCATCAAAACTTTGCTTCCACTCCGTACAGTCAATGCACCACTGGTTCAACAGAGTCAATTATCCACACATTACGTGACGAGCCATGTTGAATACTCGCTTACCGGTTCTGTGTTGTTCCGCTGGTTTTTACTAAAGTGATCAACAATCTTGATGCGATCACACGGACCATGGCAACGTAGTTCACGTTGGTCAAAGGCGTGGTCTTTACAGACCAGTTCGGCGTTCTCGGGGGTGACCGTATTATATCGATCATTCCTTTTCTTGTTGCGCCACTTTTGAATCTGAGATTGAGAAAATGCAGCAGGCGGCTTCTTCTGACCGCACTGTCTACAAGTAAACCTAGAGAAGAGAAAGGTGAGACATCGTTATATCTAGAGATAAGAGGACACTTACGTGCGCGGCAGAGATTCTCCACCAGTGTGACGTGGGGGAGCCATCGTCTACGCTGCCTGTGTCAGCCAGGGTGATTTCCGGTTGTTACCATAAGGAGAAGTTGCCACGTTGGCATCACACGCCGGCCATGGAGGGAGGGGATATACGAAAAGCGGCGCGGCGACAAGCTCCAGCAACCACCAGAATGACACCTGGAATGTGGAGAAAGCTTCGTGTAGAGATTGATCAAACGTGCTAGGCAGAGTATGTGAACGACAGCCTTACCTCTCTCAGAAAGTGGCAATCTAGATTGGTTGATATTGATGCCTGTTCGCAGAGCTCTATGAACTCTATTCTATACGTTGACCTGTGAACTGGGTCATCGATCTCTGATTGTCTCGTTCGGCTGTGGCGAGTGAACGATGACGAGCAACGCGATGAAGAGGATGAAGCCGGAGTTGGTATTGCTGATGATGCCAACACAAGCAGGTCTCGAAGTGGAGGGAACAGAACGACGAGGCCTATATAGACATCGAAGTTGGAAGAGTTGAGGAAAAGAAGGAAGTGTCAGTGTAGCGGGGAAGAGCGAGAAGTAGGAGTGTGGCACGTCTGGGTGTTTGTTTCTGATTGTGTTTTTGCTTGGGCAGGCAGGCGGTCGGTTGTGAGAGGGAAGGAACTTCAAAGCACTTGAATTGGAAGGCACACCCAACTCATGTGGTACATAAGGTATCTTCAAGTTTTCGGGAATCTTCTACCTACATGTAGATAGTGAGAACCTTCCCGTTCAACAGGCACACGAAGAATGCCAGGCTGTAGATAATGCTCTTCTCAAGTTGTTGCTAGAGTGAAGGAACCACATGGTTATATCTAGCTAGGTAGTCAATAAAGTCAAAAGTCAGGCACAAAGTGCAGAGTGGATGATGAGGCTACGAAACAACAACAACAACAACCGCAACCTGTATGTATAATACATACCTATTACCTGCACTGTAGGTAGGTACTTACCTAGGTAAATCAACTGAGCTTGAGGTGTACATGTACCTTGTGGCCTCGAGTCTTCATTGGCATTTGAGTATCTCGGTTGGTACAGGTGCTAGGTGAAGCGGTGCCTACCTAGGTAGTGTAGAGATAAGGAGATATCTACAGGTACCTACAACCCGTAAGCATCCGAGGTGGCCAGCTATAATCATTCTCTGGGGAATTTATATACCTTCGCATCGTTGAAAGTCATGAAAGCCAGAACTACCCAGGCCATTAATCAACAAGTACTTACACAGAAGCAGTACCTCGCGCAGAAAGATAGCCTCGTGGGTGTTTGCTGAGAGGTATGCATGTGATGTTGAGCCTCTAATCCACCTGTATCTCGGGACTTGCATTCTTCTAAGGCGCAGAGGAGGTTGATAAAAAATCGCGAAACGCATGCTAGGCTTTGCACTCGATTTTTATGTTGTATTGATTCTGCTCTTCATAACTGTAGCTACCTGATATAATTGTGTCAGCCTCGCGATCCGAACAGCTGCTGTGATATCCGCTCTTACTTACCTAGGTATACAATACATACCCGAACCACGTGAGCCTTCAACAAAGCTACCTCCAGTCTGCCTATAAACCATGCTTCATCTACCCCCAGATCTCCTGGATCGAGATGTCCGAATCAATTGCTCTGTTCTTCTCTTATAATCTCGTATCCAACAGGCTTACCACGACCTTTTCTCAGGCCGTACCAGTGGATGGGCCGCGGTAGCTGAGATATCTGATTACTTATTCATGCCCATATAAGCATTGTCAATTAGATCTGATTCAAAAGTAGCCGGTATCAAAGCCTGCTGAGTGCAGATCTAAAAATTCTACGAGCTGATTAGTCATTTAATTCCACATAGATCCGTCTCAGCATCGGGTTTTGTACTAACTATATGCAATGAGATGTACGCTCTGTTCTTCTTCGTCTTTACAGTACCTTAGACGTGTGTGCAGACCCATATGGCATCTTGAAACTGCCCATGTAAATCCGAAGGTCTTCCACATCCGGTTTTATAGCTGCTTAGAGCGCAGTACATATCATATCAATGAGATATGCCGCACAAGCACTACAAGCAATTGAAGCACTTGGCAGCTATATAGAAATGCGTCGGTATTAAAAAAAAAAAAAAAAAAAAAAAAAAAAAAAAAAAAAAAAAAACGACGTGCGGACCGACGGTTCACGCCTGCCGATAGGTCTGAGTCGTCAAACCGACCAATCGAGTCAGTATCGGAGCGCCCGTTCTCTATACCACAACTTCTGATTCAAGTCATCCTAGGCATTTGCAAGGAGTTAGCAGTAGCCACGGCAAAAGGGAACCCGGTTTTTGCTGCTGTGCATCCGATCTCCCATTCTTGTTTTACCCCGTAGAGGCTGGCCTGTTTCCCCTGCCTCACCCTCGACCCACAAGGCAACGGAACACTCGATTTGAAGACGAGGGACGAGATCCAAGCGCATTGAAATCACTGACAATCTGTCCCTGGCGTATAGACAGTCTTCTAGAAGCCAGCATTCACTGGGAATTATCACAGGGATAGATAATTTGGCCTCGTCGGACGAGTTTGAGCTACCGCAGTCTCAGGGCAGCTAGCGTAGGGGTTATATTCATGCAAAGAGCGTCTAAGGTGCTATTTAACTATATGCATACCTAGGTATGGATCGGTATTTATATGGCATTGCTTGTCACTTGTAAAACTGCCATGTAGGTAGTTCATCGGACTGTAAATTGCTATAACCATATATCAAACCGAGGACATGCACGTCAATCATCTTCAGACACGAATGCACAAGGTAGTGAGTTTAGACTAACCCCAATTTTCCCATGTGCGCACGAGATGCGGTGCCCTAACAGGAATCTGGCTTGTTTCGCATTTCATAGGGATGTTCCCTGCTTCGAGCGCTCTGCAGCGCTACCGAGTATTTTTGACAATCAGTGTTTTAGTAGCTGCAAAGCGGGTAGCAAAACATTTCGGGGTTCTGGAGAGAGGCTAAAACACATCTCCGTACGTACTATACTACGGCATGTACTAACGCTACTACTAACATGCGCAATATATGGGATTGGTAGAAAAACGTGGACACGCTACACTAGGTAAGTAGTATGTGACACCGCCATCTCGGTCGGACGCATACTCGGTATACATACCTGAGCAATCGTCACTGTGGTAAACTACAACGACTAGCAGATGAATGTGATATTCTATTGAATATGGAAATGGATTAGGTAGGTAGTATTTGGGATAGTTACCCTAAATCTACCACGTGTTCCAGAATTGACTCGAAAAGGGGTCGAATTGGCCAGATATGGCGATATGTTTTGTTCTACTAAGTATGTACACTAGGTATGTAGAATTCTGACATGACTAAGATTGATCTCCTTGACATCTCCTTGACTCACGTTGGCGTCCTTGCTCACATCTACTACAATATAGTACTCGAATATCTACACAATGTGAATGTGTGTACGACGTAGAGCTCAAGGATACAGGCAACAAGGTTATTAGTCACGGCTCCCTCGAGATCAACATGGCCCTAGCGTCTGAGGTGGTGTGGTGCTTTTCATGCAAGGTCCAAGGTACACCCGCGCCAGAGGCTTGAACGTTTTCTGACTGTTATCCCACTTGGCAGGCAGGCGAGGCAGGGCACGGCGAATTGTTTTCGTTTAGCCTCTTTCGGACAGCACAACATCGCTACACCACATACAGCAACACTAGAGAACCACGCCCTGATGATCTGGGTGCCATTTTTGCAGCTCATCACTCCATTTTCGCTCAACACTCCACTCACGGCGAAGGGCTGCGAGGGGCTGCTGTGCGTGTGCTCATACTAACGTATGTGATGTAGCTGAGTATGTAACATCAGCCGTCTAATGACCCTAGATACATGCATGTGCGATACGCAGCGACGAGGCGGTAGGTGATGGTGATTCACCACGTCACCACTGGCGGTCAAAGATTGAGGGCCAAGCGTTTCCGAGCACACATCGATCACAGAGCGACTCGCGAGCAAACGCGAGGGGCGGGGGATTGAGTCATCCGATCATCAGCCTGTTGACACCGGGATGGCGCTGTAGACTTTCGAGCGTTTTGCTTCTTCAAAACACACGTGGAGGCAGGTAGAGTGTACGTATCTTGTCCCCAGTCCCACATCGAGTACAGCCCGCGAATCAACCGAAACACGGTCACGTCCACGGACCTCCCCCTTTTCTATCTCGCAAGCCCGTTACTTGCCCATTGGCTGCCACAAGGGGATAAGGGCTGTTACGAGGAATGTGAAAGCTGGGTATAGGTTCTCAATATATGCCTATGCATTGAATCACATGGTTTCCATAGGACGATTATTCGAGCGAATTCGTGCCAACTGCACGACGGGCGAAACAGCCACTCATCTTTTTCCTGTTGCCCCCAGGCACGCTAGATATGCTCGCCACAAAGTCAAGTCAGCAATTGTCAGATTACGACGGAAGGGAAAATAGGCGTGCGGCTTGGCTCCCCTAGTGTAATATCCCGCTCAATGCATCGACTCCCGTCCTCGCTCGTCGAAGTGCACTACTGTGTAGGGTAGGGTGCCTCGACTCGGTGCTTGAGGCTTCTCTTGCGAGCTCGTGTGTCGGGAAAATAGGTCCTCTGTTCTCGTGCTTTGTTGCGAAGAAACCCTTGAATCAGCCTATCGACCCGTGATTTGTCGGACCAATCGCACACTTTTATGACGCGGATACGCGGTACTTCAAATCGTCTGGGCTGGCGCACTCACGAGCCATGGCATTGGCAGAAAACTCACTTGCATGCGTTGGCATTGACGAAACGGGACGATCCACACCACAAGCTCGACACCTCCCCCACAAATAGGCGACGCGTATATTTACTTAATTTTTTTCTTCTTATGCATGTGTATTTGACTTACGGACTGATCTCGACGATAAGCAGAAATGGATACGATGCCTACACGATTTGCCACGGCTTTGATTTAGATACGACGCCCGCGGGGTTGATAGTCGATAATGTGCGGTTTTCGCATAGTTGGCGTCTAGTCGGTAGGATTAATTGTCTTGTCAATTAAGACTCCCTCTGGAAGGCCGGCTGTTGGTTTGTGTTGATGTGCGGCGCCACGCTTATGATCCTGTCAATCTATCCCAAAATAGTTCTGGATTATAATATGCATACACTACACTACATACCCCAATACAAGGCACATCGGAATGTCATCTTCATGGAGCGGCCTCTCCGGACAATTGGTTCTCAAGCCACTATGCTCGCCAGCCCTCCCTCCCATTCAACTTGTCAGATGCATAAGCACTGCCAGGGTCAGTCATCGCTAGTCAAGCGTGGCTAATGTAGAACAATTCCTAATGATGTGAAAACACATAACTTGTTCAACGGAGGGAAAGGAAAGAAAAGAAAGGAAAAGAAAGCTTTAGGCACACCATGACTCGCCATGAACCAGCCTTCTGAATTTTCCCAAACCCCAGACCGCGCCCAGATATTAAGCATGGAGACTGTTCATAGTAAGTAGCTGTGCTTTTAAGTACATGGAGGTAGTGTAGAGTACAAGAACTGGCTGGGGAAATACTTGATGGCTGGTTGGGCTGTCTTGGATGGCATGAACCATTAAGAACTTGTTACCGTGCGAGTTCCAAGTCTGGCTCCGCGCTAGACGAATTCTTAGCGTGCAAAACGGGAAACGGGAACCGGCACGAAGATTAGGAGCTCTTTAGTGCGGACAGGTGCTGGGACGCTTCTGGCATACTAAGCACCAAGTACCCAGCGTACTGTGAACGGCAGCACCACTAGCCCCTGGCCAGCACCGTTAGTCAAGATGAGCCCACTAGTTTAGCGAGATTAGGCACCATTCTCACTGTGCGTATAGTTCCGGAACACACAGCCTACCTTACCTACCTTTGGATAATTTGATTGTCCTTTTCATATACCCATATAGGCATAGAGCCTTCTCCTCCGTCCGTTATAAATCAACATACCTAAGTACCTACCTATTCATCTACACGCGTATGTGGCTGGTGTGCCTGAAGATATACTTCGTCAATAAGCCATTACCTACTGTCAAGTACTCGCACTCTACTCGCACTACTTATAGCACATATGGCGAGCTAAGAGAGGTACTTACTCCAAAGCTCTACTTGTACCTGAAGATCTGCAGGACATACATAGATCTTGTGTACCTTCCTGAGCTTGGGTCCTAACAATGCTACATTAGCTACCTTAAATGTTTTACACCACCTGGGCAGACCTGGGCGCCTGGGTAATAAAGCCAAGCGCAGGAACATTAGGTAGGTACCTACCTAGGTACCTACTTAATTTTTCAGTCTAGGTACCCTACCTACACAGTACTTCATCTTGCCCGAGTACTACCTAGCAGCGCGCTTTCTCACTGTACCAACTTGTTGCTGTGGGCGGGACGCGGTGCTAGATATAGTGAGTCTGTCCAGCTTGATACCTGCTTCTAGCTGCAACACCAGGTACCGAACCTTGAACTCCGGTGTACTCGGTAGGGTGTATCCAGGTACTGCTACTAGCATCTTTATGCATAATACACGTGTAGTGGCACCCGTCAGTTGAAGCTTGGAACTGATTCTGCCATTCATTATCTGTCAGCCCAATTAATTCAGTCGATCGTGTGCTTGAAACCCACCTGAGCACCAAGTTCAGTGATTACCTACCTATGTAGAATAGGTATGACTCTCTACCTACCTAACTCTGGTAGTCGGGACTCCCCAAAATCCTTGCTACATCTCAGACTTGTCCTCTTGTTCTCCAATATACCGCTAGTACTTCCTGCTATACTTAGTATGTACTGCGTTAGACTAGAAGACACCTCAGGCTGTGATATGATAGGCGCACTAGTATACCTGCCCTGGACGGGTTGTCAACAATACCTGGCTGATCACGACATATAGCATACAGCACAGTGTATAGCATACCCAGGCATAAGCATCCCAGGTACTTCCCGTGTATCAGCGTCCGCACTGCCGGCTGGCGAGTCCATCTCGCTCCCTCGCACACTCTCCCTTTTCCCCTTCCTGTCTCGTCTCACCTCATCGTCCCCCAATTCGAATTTATTCCATTACCATGTACGCGCTCCGCGGCCACAGAGCTGGACCAACTACTCTTACTTCGTAGGTTAAGTGGTCTCTCCTCGCTGCCCATCTCCCGAAGAGAACCCCCGGTCCGCTCCAGAGGCCATTGTGAGCTTGCATTTTGCCCCTTTCCTTTTTGTACCGAACTTGTTCACTTGAAACTCGACACTACTTTTATCCTGCTTATGACAAGGGCTGTTTTCTTTGCCTCCCCTTCGCCGACCGCATGGACATAGTGTACATCCGCCGCGCGCATGAGCGACTAGATCATCAATAATTTCCCTTCCATAATACTATGTCAAAGCAAAGCAACACAACACAGCCAAAACCAAGCGCTCCAGTACAGCAAGCAGCATACCAGCATACAAGCATTACTGTACCAGCCTTCCGCTCCTTTTTTTTTTTTTTATTTTCCCCTCGTCGGCACAATCTCGTTCTGTCCCGCTAGATTAAAATCAGTCATTCCCTTTTCGACCAGCATCTAATAGGCTAGTGAGGAAGGCCTTCATTTCCAACAAGCTCGAGGCAATCTACCAGCTCCCCTTGGACCCGCTCCCCAGCTTGGTGGTTCCATCACCTCCCCTGTCTCCTTCATCATAGTTCAGCTATCGATCCGCTCCTTGATTATTGTCGTCTGTCTCTTCAGTCTTTATTCTCATACTTGCCTCGCCTTGCATTGTTATTATCTTCTTATTGTATTTCGAACTCAGTCACATATCGGCCCGTGCCGTCTCTACGAACCTTCACCTCCCTCGAATCAAGGACCATCCCTGACAACGGCCGACCTGGTGTTCGCTCTCATCTAGACTCAACTTGAATGAACACGCATAACTCCATGGCTCTTGTATAGAGCTTTTTATCTGAATTTGGAACTGTGTCGGAGGAACTGGCTGGATATATTCCGCAATCATAAGGTCAAAATAGCTTATCGAAGCCCGTGCACTCTGGTATTCACACTTGGGGATTCGTTTGAAAATGACGGTCGCACACGATTTGGCCCATAGGCGGTCTTCCACCCCTCAAAATGGCGTGCCTTTGGCGTTAGGGGACCGATTCGAAGTTTTAAAGGATATTGGCGATGGAAGTTTCGGAAGTGTTTGCTTGGCAAGGGTTCGAACGGCGGGTGCTAGTGTTGCTCGTCGCGGAACTGTGGTAGGTATCGGTGTGGGTATCTGGACGAACCGTGGCTGACCAACATATGTTAGATCGCTATCAAGACGATGAAGAAAACCTTCGAATCTTTCGCCCCTTGCCTGGAGTTGCGAGAGGTAGTATTTCTACGGACACTACCGGCTCACTGCCATTTAGTCCCTGCATTGGACATTTTTCTCGATCCCTATACCAAGAAACTTCATATCTGCATGGAGTATATGGAAGGGAATTTGTATCAACTCATGAAAGCGCGCGACCATAAATGCCTTGACAATGCGAGTGTTAAGAGTATTCTTTTCCAGATTATGCAGGGTTTGGAACACATTCACGCTCACCACTTTTTCCACCGCGATATCAAACCCGAGAACATCTTGGTAACTACATCGGGCCACCAAGACTCAGTCAATTCATTTAGACGATACTCGGCACTAATGACACCTCCCTCAACACCGCCGACATATACAGTGAAAATTGCAGACTTTGGTCTAGCACGTGAGACCCATTCAAAGCTTCCTTACACAACATACGTATCCACCCGATGGTACCGCGCTCCGGAAGTTCTGCTACGTGCTGGCGAATACTCAGCTCCTGTCGATATCTGGGCTGTAGGTGCCATGGCTGTGGAAGTGGCTACTCTGAAGCCATTATTCCCAGGTGGCAACGAGGTGGACCAGGTTTGGAGAGTATGTGAAATTATGGGCAGCCCTGGAAACTGGTTTAGTAAGGCAGGCACCCGGGTTGGTGGAGGTGACTGGAAAGAGGGCACTCGGCTCGCTAGCAAACTTGGCTTTTCTTTCCCGAAAATGGCGCCTCATTCAATGGATACGATTCTTCAGTCACCACAATGGCCAGCCTCGCTAAGTCAGTTTGTGACTTGGTGCCTTATGTGGGACCCGAAAAACCGACCGACGTCGACCCAAGCTTTGGCCCATGAATACTTTGCTGACGCCGTGGATCCTTTGAGGCCAAAATCCTCAACGTCAAAGATTCTGGGTCGGAAACACTCAGACATCGGGCGGGCTAAAGAGTCAAGCTCATCCGGTCCTACGTCTTCGAAACCTTCATGGTTCAGGAAGTCTCTAATCGGCCGATCGGAGGTTACAGAAACGTTACCCGAGATGACAACAAAGACCGTGGCGGGTCCAAGACCATTCCCCGGTCAAGTTGAAGCAAGCCCAGATACATCCATATCGAAAGCTCGCCCAAATGCAAGCAAACGTGCTACATGGACTAATGGACCCTCGAGCGTAGCTCCTATGCCGATTCTACCAACCATTCGGCCTATTTCGCCGCTTTCCGATGCAGTCACGGCACAAGCGTCGAACCGTACACCGGGGTATAGTCAACCATATGCCAATACAAGTCAACGCTCGGTTGTGGCCGAAAAGGCGAGTAAAAAGGTTAGTCGTCAGCTATCAGTGGCATCGAGCACGAATCACTATGCCGAACTGCATCGTCAGCAAGCAGAGCGAGCTCTTAATGGCACAGGGTTAGCCTCACCTCCGAGTGCGCAAAAGGAGAGTTTCTTCTCGCACCTTAGAAAGCGTGCAAGGAGGTTTTCTGGAAGGCATCAAACCCCTGTTTCACCTTCCTTTGACGATATGGAGGCGCAGGCAGGGTGTGGACCATGGGCAAGCAACAGATCGTCCTTCGTAGTCGAGCAGAACCAGATGGCGAGGGCCGAGACTTACGACTCTCTTGACAAAACTATCCGAGACGTGCCCCACGTCATGGACAACACAAGTGGCCCGACTCCACCCATTCATCCTATTGCATCCAGCGGTCATTTAAAACGACATCATTCACTTCCACATCAACAACCTCGCTCAGTTGACAATTTGATCGGAGCTGCACGTACGCCTGGTCCGATCTCCAGTAGGACGAGGAGGACCCAGGGCACCCATGGTGTTCAGGGAGATGCATTGGATGAAGAAGACGAGCTATTAGATGAAGTCTTGCATTCCACCCATCGGGCAATGAAACGTCTCGAGAAGGACGGCAAATACAACCTCCGACACTCAGCTAGTAATTTGGGCCACTCCAATCCTTATCCTACCCCTTCTCCCTCGGCTAGTGGCAATGTGGTCTTGTTTGGAGATGGACGTGAACCTATCACCCCGAAGCCTTTAGATTTAAAGAAGCACACGGGGAGAGAAGCAGAACAGAAATGGCCCACGCCGCCATACGAAGGAAGCGAGTGGGCATCTTCAGCAGCTGCAAGTATTTGGGCTGCTGGCAATCGGATCTAGATGATCAGATTTGTGGATATATCGGCATTTGATTGTTCTTGAAACCAAAAAGCAGACGTATGATCTACATCGTTCTATCATTGGGTGGTGTTCATGGGTTTATATTATTATTTTTTTGGGCGCTGGCGTATTCGGCGGGCATCGTGCATTCACTCATTCTTGCACTTGCGTGTCCATCTCGAGCTGATTTCAGCAAACCAACCTAATGTTGAATTTCCGTCGACCTGCATTTATTCGATTCTTGACGGCGATCTCCACCAAATACCCGATACTCGCTGAGCTAGCATCAGCTGCAACAAATATACTCGATAATACCCATCATAGATTTGTTTTAGTTTTATGGAGGAGGCGGAGGGAGATGGGAAAATGGGCTTGGACTCGTGGATGGTGATTTTTCCTTTGTCAGAAATGGGAGTGAATCTGCAGGCTATGCCTCACCCCGCCCCTCAAATCTACAATTGTTTTATGGCATGCCTGCTCGAGACTATATAAGATGCTGGCGGCATTCATACCGTCGACAGCGATGTATCAAAAGCGGCACACCTCATGTGGAAACATTTTAAAAAGGGCATAACACGGCCCGTAGTTTGAAATTTATACCCATGGAAGAGGAACAAGTACATATACATATATATATTCACGATACGTATGGCATCAATTTGACAGACCGGGAACACCCCATTCATGTCTCGTCTTATGAAGTCTGACTCTACGAAAGGCAGAGAGAAAAAGAACCATATTATTAGATACCCTAATCTCACGATAATAAAATAAGATGAACAAATCTACACGACCTCGGACAATGAAGCACTACGGTACTCAATGTATATCTGGTGTTGTCGATACTCCATGTGTTTTCGGCCTGTACCCATGTGGATTCTTCAACGGATAAGTCGGATTCCTCATCTTCGGGGCCGGTTTGGACGCGTAGATATTTTTATCACTCCGTATGTTCATGTATGTCCCCAGCTCACCAGTCAAGGTGCAATGCAGTTATCGCAGCCGGGGAGAATAACCTAGGTTGGTAAAGGTAGGCGGAGGCAGAGTAGCGTGGCTATAAGCATGGGCTGCGCCCTCTCAACTGAAGGTCAAATGGAACTGGAACTGGAACTCCAGGCAACAGAATAATAATGAAGCTGGCGGCCTAGCACTCCAGGCAGCAGGTTATCGTGGGAAATATGTAATAGATGGTTCACTTGCGAGTTCACTTGCGTTTTATACTTTGTCTATCGTTCCAATCCAAGTCAGTTCCAACGGCGCATTGCCTTTCGTAGCTTTTCAAACCAGGCCGGCCAACGATTGATCGAAGGCAGTGAACCCTTCAGGTCCCAAGGCAGTGTGCAGTGTGCAGCGTGCAGCGTGCAGAACACAGAGGCAGGCTAGGCTTACGGGCAGTCAGCGCTCCACTAATATCACCACTAATCTATCTACCCTTTCCCCCTCCTCATCATCATCATCGACAGCTGTTGTCAGTCAGCCAGTGTCAGCCTCTTGTTCTCGCCAATTGCCATAGATCGATACTGTCTGAGTGAGAAAGAGTCGGGCACGCTTTTTGGTGAAGCCTACGTACTCGCAAGCAGGGATTCGGCCGGTGATGAGCAAACGCTAAAGCATCATAGCGGCCCGGGAAAGTGGTAGCACGGTATCATGAACCTCAATCTGCCGGTTCGGTCGTCGCCGAGCCAGAGGAACCAGGCGAGCAGGAATTACTTCACGGGCTATACCCCGCCGCCCTCGACCGAAGCCATCAATGGTCCTCTCCGAGAGCCGGCTCGAGAGTTGACGCAGGCTAACGATCGTCTCATCGTGGGCGTCGACTTTGGCACCACTTTTTCAGGGTAGGGCCGTCGTCCCTTACTGTGACTGATCGCGAGATCGGGGAGGATAAATACCAGTTCACATGTGCTTACAATGAGATAGGGTTGCTGCTGTATATACCTCAACTCCTGATGATGTTGAAATCATCAAGACATGGCCCGGGGGGAACGGTATAACATCAGACAAGGTCCCTACCGAGATTTCATACACAACCCCCACAGACGCCGCTCCTAACACAACGCCTACTACGAAATGGGGTTTTCAATTCAAGCCCGAGGAGTCACGGCTGCGGTGCATTAAGCTGTTTTTAGACCGCTCTCAAAAGCTACCGTTCTACGTGAGCCCTCAAGAGACGGCCACGCAGCTGAAAACGTTTAATAAGACCGTCATTGACGCGGTAAGCGACTATCTGACCGAGATATACAAGCACACTATGGACACCCTCACGAGGAGATATGGCGAGTCATTCATGGCATCGACGAAAGTTGAATTCGTCTTAACTTGCCCTGCCGTATGGTCAGACGCGGCCAAGAACACCACTTTACAGGCCGCGGAGAGAGCCGGTATGGGCTCCAAATCGGAAATACAAATGATTAGCGAGCCGGAAGCAGCAGCAGTATACACGCTCAAAGCAATCCAACCGAACCACCTCAATGTAGGAGATAACTTTATCGTCTGCGACGCAGGCGGCGGAACAGTAGAGTGAGTTTGCTTAACTTCTTTAATGAGATGACGAATGTTTTGAGCGCCGACTGATGAGAGAGCAGCTTAATCGCTTACAAGGTCATATCCTTAAAACCACTCAGAGTAGAGGAGTCTGCTGTGGGAACCGGTGGCTTGTGCGGGAGCGCATTCCTCAACTATAGGTTCGAGGAACACGTCCGCGGCCGACTCGGCCACACGCGCTTCGACGAGATGAAGTTGAAGAAGGCCAAGACGTGGCAAATGGGGCTAAAGTACTTTGAGGAATTCGTAAAACGGAACTTTAATGAAGATGAGCACCAGGAGGTGAATGTCCCGTAAGTATCAATCATCTTACGAATCAGTCGTATAGCTTGTTGGTATGTCGCTAATCATATCAAAATTTGCCCACTACAGATTCCCAGGATTACCAGATGACGAGGAAGCCCGTCTTGATTCCGGATTCCTGATCTTGACCGCGGCGGAGATCAAGGACATCTTCGAGCCCGTCGTCAAGGAGGTCTGTGACCTCGTGCAGGGCCAGGTCGACGGGCTGCGCAACAAAGGCGGCATCGTGTCCGGTATCGTGCTTGTTGGCGGTTTCGGGCAGAGCGAATACCTCTATAAGCGCTTAAAGGGACACTTCACGAGCGGAGCGCCACCACCCTACTCCGAGCGTCCTACTCACGCCATGGCTCGCGCCATTGGAGAGAACGGATCCATCGAGGTCATGCAGCCGCTGTACGCCTGGACGGCCGTCGTGCGTGGTGCGGTTCTGCGCGGCCTCGAGGGGAACATGGTCATCAGTAGAAAGTCACGCATGCATTATGGAACGTCGTATGCTACGGTGTACAATGAGGAGAAGCACAGTGTCAGCGAGAGATACTGGAGTCCATTGTGGGAGCGTTGGATGGTCAGTGATCGGATGCAGTGGCATATTACCAAGGTAAGCAAGACATCTCCGCTTATTATCGTGTTTTCTGCCTATGCGATCTTCACTCTATTATACTTTTCATTAACTCCTGGGGTCGCAAATTTGGTCCAACGTATTAAAACTACAATGAAAACTGACACGACCGATAGGGCGAAGCCATCTCTCCTCTATCACCCATAGCCTTCCACTACACGCGCAATTTCCGTCCCGGACAATCCCTCGTTGTAACAGATGACTTGATCGCGTCCGACGCCGACGAGCCACCCGTGGCGTACAGCCGCGACCTCGTGCACGTGTGCACTCTAACGACAGACCTCAACGCCGTCCCGCGATCACTGTTCACGCGCCTGACGACGACCCGCGGCGTCGAGTTCGACAACCTCGACTTCACGCTCGAAATGATCGTCGACAGCGCAGGCCTCGGGTTCGAGCTCAAAGTAGACGGCGTCCGGTATGGACGCGTGGAGGCCGAGTTTCATTAACATCTACCTACTTGGGGAGCGAGGAATAGGGATCAAATTCTAATTTGCATGGTTCGAAAACTGGAGTTATTTTACCTGCAATGTTGATTGATGCATGAACGACAAACGGCGTGGATAACGTTTTTGGATGGTAAATGTACAGCTAGCTATGGAGGCATCTTTTTTTTTGCTGTGTATGGTACCTCTTTACAGATACCTTGGCCATATGTCCCGTATATAATAAACTCAAGACGTCTACGAGCCAGTTGTATATACCGATACTTGGAGACAATTGCAATATAAAACGGACCAAGTCCGATGGATTTATACTCAAGGTATTTAAAAAAAAAAAAAAAAAAAAAAAAAAAAAAAAAAAGATTGATGCTTGGGTTCCCAGACTGCATCATGTAAAAATTTGCCAACTGCAGTAGGTAATAGTCCGAGAAGATGGTCACATATCCTTCACAAACCGAATGTCATTATTACCTACGCAGTGACCAGTAGAAGCAGAGAATCGAGTATCACAGGTTCCGCATCCCTTACCTACAAAATACAAACACTTAGTTGTATTCCCCACCTCCTCCAATAAGATGGTCGAGAAAGGGGTTGTTCTGAATCTTTCGCTGCTGCCTAGAGAACAGTGCGCCTGGCGGAAAGTGCAGAAAATTCCCCTCATACCGGACAAGATCCCATACTCTCTATCCTACCAATAGGGTGCGAGAGTGTATGGAATGACATGTAAGAGAAGCAGCAGCAGCAGCAAAAGAAGAAGAAGAAGAAGAAGAAGAAGCTAACGACGTCGAGAACGAGGCAACCAAATGAGGCTGAAAAAGTGATTTTCAAAGACGCGCACCAATCCGCCTTTTCCCCCACCACCAACTAAAAACGAACAGCCAACCACAAGTACCCTACATACATGAGCATACATGACATCGACTAAAGTGAGTAGCATTTTGAGACAATCGAAACGGTAGAACGTGCATTGCATGCCCTCGACGCAACGTCGGCGGCCCAATTGGGTAAGAGCAACCCGCCGAATTAACTTGTTGGTCTCTTGGTACCTGTTCGTCCGGCCGGTTTCACTCTGCCCTTCATCACTGCATTGCGTTCGTTCACTCGTCCTCGAAAATTATCGCTGTTTTAGGAATCTTATTTATTAATTCTCACTAGGATTGGTTGCTGCAATGTCTTCCCCCATGCTGAATGAATGAATGATTGATTGATTGACGCCTGTTTTTGATGCTTTTTTTTTGCGCCTGATCCTTATCGCCTGTTCAACCTCAAAGCAGGTAGGTAGCCAAGAGATATTATACCAAAATGTCGTCCAGCAACATCTACAGAGACAGAAATGCCAAGTTAGATACATCATCATCGTCATACTTAAACGACAGCCGTCTAGAATTAATTAATAAGCACCCGGGATAGCACAGGTGGAGAAAAGGCAAATCGCACATGTACGTAAGCAGGTGAAATGCGTATGTTAGGCGTCCCTACATACTAACCACCACCAATGCGCCCTTCGGACAGACACCCCAAGGAACCGGGCATAAAACAACCAGACCATGACAACGGAATCTAATTGGACAGTACTATACTTAAGTAGATAGATAGATAGATAGAATAAGAATTTAAAAGGCAATCTAGCGCTAAAAAAGCAAGGAAGAGGCGGAGGCGGGTAAAAAAAAAAAAGAGAGAGAGAAGGGGGGGCTGTGTGTGCCTTGCTTTCCCGTTCGAAAAGAGTGAAGGCGACATGTTACTTCGCCCCCCTCCCGTCCGCCGCCCGTTTCGCCTTGTCTTGTCTTGTCGGAGGACACAGGACGACACACCCTACGAAAATCACATACCTACATAATAAATCTGCAAAAAAAAAAAAAAGTCCTAGATGATTTCCCTCACACTCTCCTTCTATACGTTAGTTTTTTTTCTTTTGTTTTTTCCTTACAAAGTCTAATTTGTGCATATTTTTCAAAACAGCCCTGTGCACATTATTCCCGCCCAGAGAGGTATTATCTAACAATTAGAATGAGCCTCACTTACACGCAATCAATCTTTTTCACTATTTACGCAGAAAAAAAAAATCGAGCAGAGAAGCGGAAATGGACTTGGCATTTTTCAGCACAGTGCAGTACAGTCATGAGAGGATGAGTGGATGTGTGAGAGGGAGCGAGTGAGTGAGAAGAGAGCAGCGTTTTCGCAATTGGATTAATCAATCTGGATAAAGTGGTATGGTATCACATCATATCATATCATCTCATACCAACAACATACTTTTTTTTTCCCCCTCGTCCTATCCCATTCGGTCTTCCTCGAAGGGAGAAGAACAAAACCGTGGTATCGCCCATGACAAAATGTAAAGTGGGAAAGAAGTAGAAGGAGGGAAATAAAGGATCGTAACTTCGTCAACGTCGTCAACATCACCGTGCCATCAGAAGAGAACAGAAAAGGAGAAAGCGAAGAGGGTAAGAACCCCCCTCCCCCTCTCGAAATCAACAGCCCGAGGCATATATGTACGGAGAAAACCCCGGAGTCGTCAAAGCAGCGCCTTCTCCCCAGAAGAACGAAAGAAAGCCGACGCTCATTCCGCGGAAGAAAGAAGCAGCAGGTCCTGCTCAGAAGCAGCTTGCTCGAAACCCTTTTTATTCTTCCTTAAATCCCCAATTCCCTCCCTCGCCTCGGGAGTTCCTTCAGACCACCGCTGACATAAGTACAGACAAGCGGGTAGTAGCGAGATCTGACGATGATGTGCGGGAGTGAGTGTGTGGGGCCGAGGAAGAAGGGGGCATAAAGCCCGATATGAAGTGGCCGCCCACCCGCAACAGACAAAACCAGTGCGCCATCCAGGAAAGCCGAAAAGTGCAAAAGTGCACATTGTCCTCCTCTCCCTAGTATCTTCTTGCCAGCCAGCCTGCCTGCCGGCGTTTTCTAGCCCCCGTCAAAGGAGCAGGGCAGGGCAAGGCAAGGCAAGACAAGGCAACCAGCCCTCCTGCATGCACCCCCTCGTTCTCGTCCGCGACCCAGAAAAAAAAAAAAGAATAACAAGGCGGACGCAAAACTCGGTAATTAATTTAAAATTATGAGGCTGAAATCTGCCTCGTCGATCCGCTGGACGTCATTGGGTATAAGTAAAAAGCCGTCCTTCGAAAGGGACAAAAAACAACAACAACCCAAACATATATCATGTAGTGTTATCATCAACCCACCCCCTTGTCTGCCGGCAACCGAGACAACGAACACACCAAGCCAAGAACACCAGGGAAAGAAGAGAGACGGAAAAGAGCCAAGGTTAAAACGTGGACGAACAATCCCAACTCTCAGTCCTAGGGGGGAAAACATGATGGCTCAATGGACCTCCGAACGAAAACTTGAGAAAGAGCCGAAGTTCGTGTGTATCCCCGAGTTCCGACAAGGAGAAGAGAGGAAGAGCGACGAGAAAGTCGGGGGCACCAGCCTGTCTGCCAGCCAGCCAACCTCAGACCGGCATTGGATTGATTGATCGACTGAATGGCTGAATCAACGAACGCTTGATCAGCGTCCCGACAGCGGCATAAACTTGAGAGACAGAAAGACTTAAAAAAAAAAAACAAGCAGAAAACGTAATATGTTTGTCCAGCACGCTAATACACCACTACCCTCTTTTTCTCATTCATTCATTTCCATCGCGCGTGTGCCTTGTCGCCACGCCCCGATCCAATTCGTCACCAGTGACGGGCGCACCGCATCACATCACATCACATCACATCACCCAGTCTTGACTATCGCTTGTGTTTTCCAGACCTGCGCTCTCTCCGATGCATCCTGTCCTCCTTATAGGTTTCGGTGACCACAAATTGGTTGCGCGACCCGCTCGCCGTCCCCCAGTCTTCTTGCGGGGCGTTCGAGTCTAGGATATAAGAGGGCTGCGGCACCTCGGAGTATCTGCGCACAGAGTTGTACTGGTCGTCCCCTATCAGGCTGTTTTCGTGCAGGTGTGTATTGAGGTAGTGGTCGGGGCGTATATTATGGACCGTCCTGCTTTCGTTCATGAAGTGGTCGCGGATATGCCACATCCTCTGCTCGAAGTTGAGGCGACGGTCTCCTCCCGCGCGCTTGTAGTCGAAGGTGTACTCGTCGCAGAACCAGCAGAACACTTTCCGGGGTAACTTGTTTCTGAGATGCACGTTGATGATGTGCTCGATCCAGTTCTCGACGTCGTCTAGGGCGAAGATTAGATCACAGCGGCCGTACCCCACGAACTCGCAAGGCAGACCGTTGGTCGGAGGAGCATAGCTATTGTCTGTGCCTGTGCTCATCATCGTTGTCATAGTTGACGCGGACACGCCGGAATCATTAGAGAAGATGGAGCTATCGTGTGAGCTGATAGAAGAGAGGCTACCTCTATGCGACATGATGCTGGCGTGGTAGGCACGATTCAGGTGTGAGGGGGGTGGGATAGCGGTGCGGCAAATACGCTGTCAGCAGCCCACGGCCTACTATCTGCCAATGGCAGCCAGTCAATCCCAGCGGGCTTCGAATTGAGACGGGGGTATGGCGTGTTGGGTGTTGGCTCCTAAACGCGACGACTATAGCTGAGTGTGCGTAGGTTGGGGGCCGAAAATATGGCGAACTAAACCGAGCCAGATTATATCGGTGGTTTCGCAGCTTGGGGAGATCAATGCGATGCCACCGAGGAGCAAGAGACTGCTACAGGTCGAAAAAGGACGGCTATCTGTCATACGTCGTCGCGAAGCGCCGAAAAGACCATGCACGCAAGCTTTGGGAAGCTAGTTGAGAAGATGGAGCTTTGAACAACTGGGTTACACAGCTCTTGGCTGCAGTCTGTCAACTGAATAGCTCTGGGTATGGCCAGGGTTCGGGGAGCTAAAGGCCGATGAAGATCCCCGTCCAACGTGTCAAACGAGACAAAATGGGAAATTGCTGGAGATGTTTGGGAATTTCCAGATGCCTTCGAGATCTGGGAATTCGAGCCTTTTTGTCAAATGACAATATCGAAGACTTCCACCCGCTTGGGAGGCTGATAGACGGAACAGGTGGGAGGGGTCGACCGAGATGGCCCAAAGACCAATTCGGAATCTATTTCAGTGCAGGGATCTCACAACACGGAGAGGCACCTGGGTCTCTCAATCTCTCGCGCCAGCGGGTACTGTGAGATGCTCGGACAGCCGAGAACACATACATACACACTGCCGAGTGTGCTCCTCCCCCTTATTCAGAGATCATGTCATCCGTCACGTCTGTTCTACTCAGTAGGTGTGCATTGGTGGCTATTAAGCTGCATACAACCAACCCGCGAGAGCGCCTGTTCGATAGGCTGGAATCGTCCTGTGAGACTCGCATCCACTTCTCAACTTGGGTAGAACTGCCAACCCATCCCATCCTCCCGGCTGTTGGTTGATACCGCTGCGTTAGAGCTACGACACGCAATCATGCATCCACACTATCAGGGCCTTGGCGCTTGTGTGGAGAGAGACATGCCGCTCACCATCCTCTATGGATTTATTTTATTGTTCTTTTTTTCTTTGGCCAGCCTGCCACTCATGACCATGGGTTTGTTTCCTGGTGCGGTCTCGGAGTGAATGGGTGACCCCCATCCCGAAATACTGATCATTTCAAATTTAACGTGAGCAGAGCGATACGGCACGCACCTACGCACGCACCTACGCCGGCGAAAAGGAGAGTCTCAGAACTGTGAGAAAATAGTGACGTCCAATATAGGAGGGGAATCCTTAAACCAAGTGCAACACAACGCACGGCGAGCCTGTGAAAATGGACCACTTGCCGCAGTTCCCGGCCGCATGTCTAACTTGGAGGAGTCGACAAAAGCAAATATGGGCTTGGGTTGAAGATGACAGTTCCTTGCGATCAGGAGTCATCCTTATCGTACTATACACTCTCGATCCTGTCCTATACTGAATATGCCGTGGCGCCGGACCTCCAGGGATTCTCAGAGACTTGTCTAGACTGACCAGGCGTGCAGATCCTACAGGTCGTACTGTTTGCTATTCATGCTGTTCGAGGTGTCTACGCATCGCTATAAGAAAGCTGCAAGTAAGCGTGATCGTTTGAGAAAAAACGTAGGTATCTGTTTCTTGGGCAATAGAGCTGAGTCGTTAGTCGCGAACAAGATTTGGATTATCTTGGTCGTACTGCAAGGGCGTCTAGAAAGCTTGCAGGAAGCGGAGTCTTCACTGTGCAGGCCACATATCATACTACGTAGTATCATCTGCTCAGTAGCGGTCTGATGCACCCGTATCGACGATGATGATGGTGCAACTCATCCACCCTAGTTTTGATTACGTGGTGACGATTCAGAGCACAGACTAATTCCATCACTCCCGACAACAGCCGGCCGATTGCACATGAAAATGCATGAGCGGGAAGAGGGTTGTAGTTGTCAGCTATCCATCAATGAGCTGCTGGTTGATGCGCCTGAGCTCCCCGATGAACGGGCGAGATGTGTTTGGGTTCACTGGTGGAAACTGTTGTTGCAGTCATCCTTCTGATCAGCATACGACATACAGGACTGGTGAGAGCGTAGGCGAGCTCAACGGCTCATTGGCCCATTCGTCGACTCAACTGCATGAGATTCCACTAACATCCCTGGACCATTGCGGAGAGGATACGTACTGCTCCAGAGGGGTAAAATCGCCGCTGGCAGAGCCGCATTTCTCCAAGACTCTGGGATTCCCACATACTATCCGCGCGCGGAACCCACGGCCAGCGTCGCTTTGGCTGCTTGGGGTTCGCATGGCTCTCACGCACTATCAGTGGATATCGGGATCTGGAGCTTATCGGCTGCAACAGGGTACACTATACCCAGGTGGTTGATCTGACTACCGTATTATGATTTTGTGATCCCAGTCCCAATTTGTTCAATACAACACTGTTATGACCATCAATACAAGTAAGTGGTAGTTGTTTCATTCAGGACTGCAGAGGACCGTTGCTTTGGCAATCACGTTCCGATACTGAAGGTGTTTACCGTTTTCATCCCCGGTCTTGATAATCCCTGGAAATGTAATGCAGCGTATTTCTCGGGATGTAAGACTCTCTTCATCCTCCTCGCCAATGTGATCCATAGTGTCAGCTTCAAATAACACCCTCTGATGCGGTAAAATCTTCGGCATTGTCACCCTGAACAGCGCTTTCTGGGCAACTAATAATCTTGCTAGGTTGATTGAGTTGGTCACCAGCACTCGTAAAGCCTGATCTCGCACATCCGATGCCTTGGCATCTGTGATGTTGTCCAGTATGCGATTAACCCTCGCAAGTACATTATATATTACCGTGTTAGTCTCCTGCTGCATCTTAGAGACACACTCCTTGCGGAGCATAGATAAAGTCATTGCCCGCCATTCGTTTACAACGTCAGTGGAGCCTGTTACCAATATTAGAAGATGTTGGCCAAGTCCCGTGAGAAAGGTATGTACGTACTAAGCTGCACCAAATATCTTTCCACCTGGCCAAACTGAGTGGCCTCTTCCTCTGGAAGGCCAACAAAATACGCATCAAAGATCATCTCCACTAAGATGCTGGACACGATAGACTGTACGAAGGCTGCCTTAGTCTCACTGGTCGCAAGATCTTCGTACATGGGTACTAGCTCGCTCAGATCATCTATAACAGCCTGATCTACTCTCTCTAGATCTGATCCAAGTTAGTATAGCATTCGCAGACATCGTAGGAGGACGGGCCACGAACTGAAAGATGATTTTCTAAAATGCGAGACAGCCCAATTTTGAAGACCATTTCGTAGTCTTGCAATGGATTCCCCGAACTCTTCATCACTCGTCTGATCACTTCTCTTCGTATTCGTGCTTACCCACTGCTTGAGTCCGGCGATTTGGGACCGTAGTGAACGGATCTCGCTCTCTCGTTCACCCAGTTCTCTCTGCAGCAGTTCCCATTGTTCGCGCAGCTCGGCTTTTTCGGCTTCCCTCACATCAACTTCAGTACGAAGCACTCGAATCTCGGTGTCGACACGAAGAAATTGCTGGTTCAAGCTAGAATATTTAGCTTGCCAGTAGCTTGCAGTCTCGCTTTCGTTTTGCGACAATCGATCCAGCGCACGGGTAAACTCGGCTTCATTGGCAACAAGCTCGCGCTTCAGCTCGGCAATCTTGTCTTGCAAGGTCTTCTCCCTCTCCTTTGCTGCCTGTGCGCTGCCGCTATCCTTACCAACAGAACTAGGGCTGGTTTGTTCGAGCGAACTGTCGTTGTCGACGGGAGGCGACGTTGATGTCGACACTGGGCGGATGAACTGAGCACGGGGAGGTGCTGCAATTATATTACTATTTCGTGACGAGGACGATGCACGAATGTGGTGGGTAATGCTTTTCCGCTTGTCTGACGCGTTCATGGTGTCGAGATGTTGAGGTTGCTGTAGGTAGGGGGCGGAAAGATTGATGCGTGCAGCAAGGACTGATGCATGCTTTCGGCGGCCGGAGTTGATGGCAGTGTGCTTCAGGACTGCAGCATAAAAGGTCTGATATAGAAGCCCACGGGTGCCTCCTTTGACCGTCCGTTTGCAGTGTTCGAGAAGTAATATACCAAGACCATGGTTAAAGGTAAGCTGGTGCAAGGCAAACGTCAGAAGTGGGAGAGGCAGGCTGATGTTGGAATATCCACTGTGCTGCAGTGGCTGAGCTCGCTGTTAGTTTGCCCTTTTCGGGCGGCCGAGTTCAGACCATCAGGGCCCTTGGACCCCTGTAATTCAGGCAGCTACAGAAGGGTGGAAACTGTTCTCGTACTTCTGAGCAGTTCTGAGTTTACGTCTTCAAAGAATGGATTGTAAATACATGAACGAGTGTCCTATGGTCTGGATACTGTATAATGGCCTATAATTAGAACAAAGGGTCCATCCAAATTGATTGTTAGATCTAGCGAAGGACCGAGGTAGTACGCGCTCGGTAAATGAGACAGACAAACATACAATTTGGCTTGTCAACAAGGCTCAGACCACATCGATCTCGGCTTCAACCTCGTAGATTTCATCCCCATTTTCTTGCTTCTTCGCGCCCATCTTACATATAGCAACTTTCTCAACAGGGCTGTTCTCAATCCACACATAGTCGTCATATCTATCAAGAATCTGGCGGGCATCGATCGTGAGTCTTTCACGACCCTTGCCCTTGCCTCCCCGTGAGGCACCTTTGCCTTTGACGTAAATCGTATTCAGGATCGTAGCGTGCAAAAGCAAGGGTCGATTGTCTTCCATCATAAGCCCGGCATCTTGGAAGACCGATCGTAGTTTCTCACAGAACTTGGTCAAGGAGCCACTGTCAACAGGAGGTGCATACAGTACCGAGGCTTTGGCTGGCGATTGCATTGAGTGTAACCCTTTCAGCGTCACTGACAACGTAGAAGGCAGAGGACCGGTCCCGTTTCCTTCCTCTACTGCCGGTGGTGATACAGCAATATCCGCCAGTAGTTGTCGCGGTATAATACTTCTCAGTAGTGCCACAGCTTTCTCGAGACCCTCATCCTCCGGGAATCTCATCACACCGAGGGTAAGATGAAGCGTCCCGATAGGCCGAACTACGAGATGCAGAGTCAGTATTGACCACTCTGAGCAGGGTCCGAGAGGGGTTTCAAAGGATGTAAGTCTCTGGGTTTGTGAGTGTAGTGCCTGTTACTCCTTACGAGGACTGGCAGGGAGATAGAATTGGGCAGAGGTGCTACTTACTGGCTTGGTCCGGAACACCAAAACTCTCGAGACTCGTGACATCTGCTCGAAAGGAGGAGAGACTCGCGCCGAGTTGTTGGCGGGACGTCGCAGTAACCAAAGGTATGCACAAAAAGTGCGTAGGGATTGGCTTTGGTGGCATATCTCATAAAGTTAAACAATCCTTGGACTGTTGTGCGTTGTTAGTAGGCTTTTCATGTTGGTCACCCAACCCGCGATTGCTCACAACGTAGCCCCAGTACAAATCTGGAATGGGGGTCACAAGAGTCGCTGATCTAATGCACAGGAGTAAAACGAATAGGATTAGGACGCATTCTCGCCGTTTAACCCAACACAAGCTGATTGAGGATCCTGCTCAAATCTTAGAGTAGCTCTGGAAGTTGTAGGAAGGTAAGAAAGTGGTTCAGGGATCAGGTTACTAAAGGGTTGACCAGAGATGTGCGGCATAGTCAGGCAACTGAAAACTCAAATATACAAATCTCTATTTCCACGCCCATATATACTACACTTCCCTCCCATATCATCGCTTACCCATTATCACAAACCCAATAATCCAGTGCTACACAGGGGAAGATGGATGATGTGAAAAGTCGAGGGAATATGCTCTAATTGGGAGTGCTTTCTGCAAACGACGTCATATTTAATAGGCCCCTGTATTCCCTTGCGATATGGCGTCACGGACCGAAACAGCAACGAGTGAGCCTCGGGAGGGTCCCCCTACACACTGAACAGCCCTGATAGCGGATGAAGGATAACTGTGCTTGGAATAGATATCAATCTACGCTGCGTAAAGGAGTGCGATTCACTGTTGCCCATCCCGAGCAGTGTCTCCACCATTTAAAATCCATCAACCCCAAGCATGATACCTCAGATACACGGCCGGCCAGTGAGCCGCTCGTAATACTACCTGACTTTCTGCACAAAACATGTTGTGGGAAAATATAAACAATATCCTCTATTGATATAAGTAGCGGCACAAACGCACCGGTATCGGGCGCATGCAAAGGCCGAGTACAAAGACCAAGTCGTAAACTTGCCACTCGGCATCTCGAACAGCCTTCGTTTTCCCTGGTATCGGGCTGAGACCTGTAGCCTATGCGCTATGGAAGCGCATAGCTGAGGATAGGCTTCGCAGAGCAGACCGCAAAGCATCTGCAGCAGCCGGTCCTCGTCTGTCCATTTGATGTTTTATTTGAAGAAATCCTTCAGTGTTTTCTCTGCTTCAGCGTACTCGGTTTTAACAACACTGAGCGTCGTCTTAATGCGTGATAGGCAAAGGTTGTCATCATCTTCAGGAGTGCCGTCAAGATTTTCCTTCTTGCCGTACCGTTGTATTTTCTCACAACTGTCTTTAACTTTAGTCAGGCCAACTGTGGCCGAAGAGCCCTTCAAGAAGTGCCCTAGACGATATAGCTCCTCCAAATCCTCATTGGCTCTATAAATAGGGTAGATTAGCTCCTGTGGCGCTGGGACACGTTGGGTAGATTCACGCTAGAAGTTGAGGGCGATGAGGGGAACATCGGAGGGGAAGTGAGCTAATTTCGTTGGTGTAACTGAAAGTAGGCTTACAGGGCTTCATCCATCTTCTCAAATGTCTCCTGGGCCTGTTCAAAAAAACCGAATACAATAGATCTGCTAAATTCACGATCATCTTCGCTGTCATCCATTTCTAGAATCTGGCTAAACGTGAGGATGTCGATAGCGTCACCCAGATCGGGTATGCCTTTGTCGTGTCCATCGTCGTGCTTTCGACACGTTAGTTTCACCAAGCAACACGGAATCTACACGAATACATACCTGAGTGTTGCTGGCCATGTTGCTACCAACCAAGGAGGAATACGTGCTGCTAAATATGTTAGACGAGAACGGACTAACGCTGGACAGCGAGTAGAAGAAGCTGCCTTTGGGTCTTAAATGTCGGAGAATAACAGCGTGAAGTGGATACATACCTTATGGAATTATAGAGTAAGGAGAAAGGAAAAGAAATGAATAGCCAAGGGTAGTAAGAATAGTTGGAGTGATTTTGGAGGGGAGCCTTGATAAAGAATAGTAGCTGTGTGGGCGGTTTGAAAAAAAGCTGTGACTTTAACCAGTTAGGCTTGATGTAGTAGTGTAAATAGCGACGACGATCGAGAGCAGCTGGTGATGTAGTGAGGTGGGGTCGCCTTGTTACCTACATGTAGGAGGTAGGTAGGCAGATGTATGTTAGGCATGCACGTCGTTACGACGGCAGTAGGTAGATGGTGGGAGGAGTGCTGAGGAATGCTGAGGAGGCGGGAGACAGGAGACAGGAGACAGGGGGAGAGGGACAGCGAAGACAGAGAGCGAAGACAGAGAGAGAGCAAGCAGCAAAGGAGGACGGGCCAGAAGAGAAGGCCATACAGGAAGGCGGCCGAGGAGGAGCAAGGGGAGGAGTAGGAGGAGTAGGAACCAAAGGTAGCAGTGATGGTGGGATTCCTCAGCGTCAGGTCAGTCAGTACCTCTGTTGCTAACTGCGTTGATTATGTCGACGGTCCAGGCATGCCGATGGGGGCGGGTTTGGGCGAGCGGTGCACACAGTGTTCTCTGGTTCGTCCTGTAAGTTGAAAATTCGCTTGTCGGCGCGAGTGGCCGGGGGAACAGGACGGTACCTCGACGGCTAGTGCCTTGGGGATGGAGGCATGTGGTGGAGTTTGTTGTGACGGGATGGAAGGGGTCATTCGGGACAGGGAAGGGGGTGATGTGAGAGCGGGACGGCCACGAGGATCGGATCGGACAGACAGACAGACAGACACACGCGCACACACACACACACTCACACACACAGGCACAGGATAGAAAATAGTAAGAGGTAAGACTTTCGAACTATCGTGCGTAGGCGACTCGCCATGGAAAGCTTACGAAACAACGAGCCGAGGAAATGGAGAGAGGCAGACACAACTTGAAGATATTGCTGAAAGTACCCACATACCTGAATAGCGCACCACGTACAGCGATGTAGCGCAGAGAGATAGCGACCTTGCTCCCGGTATGTGGTGGTCTTCTCCGGCCGGAACAGAAAAAAAATAAATAAATCAAAATCAAAATCAAAAATGATCAGGGTCCTAGCATAGCATCACTACCTGCCTCGTTTGGTATTGTGCGCTTGAGCTAGTATAAAGAGTAAAGGAGAAATTAACCCACGAGGTACTAGTAATCGCTGTTTGTGGCCGCTTTGTGTAATAAGCGGCACAACTACGTCACTGGTCCCCTGTTAGTATAAAGAGCTGGGGCAGCCCTGGGCGACTAGTTGATCGTGTAGTGCAGACTAAAATAAAGTGTCTGGGTCATCACGTCTGCTTATCGTACTGAGGTACATTGCCGGAGATGCTCCTCGCTCTCTACATAACGGTACTTGGGCCAAGGTGGGCAGACACGTCGACGAGCAGGTACCTACAGTAGATGAACAGCGAATATATCCTTGTCTCGAGGTGTGAATACGGCCATGTCTGCGTTCCAAGGTTCCAAGATGGCTTAGTCATTGAATACCCCTACCTACCGGTACATGTACATACCTGAGTATGTAGTCACATCCAGTACTTACCTACTGACTTACTTACTTAAGTACTTACTCGAGTACTTACGTATGTATTGGCAATTAATCTTGCCTCAACCGAACTTTATACAGCTGAAAGGGGTCCTCGCTTAAGCCAGATCTTTTATCACGAAGACTATTGTAACGTTGGTTTCTGCAAGACCAGCATCGCAGCCCCGAGCCTAGTCCTTTCCGTTGTTGAGATCGGCAAGAGTTGCTACCGGGTCTGTACCGGGGAAGAGAGGCACTGGCATCACTGGCATCACTGGGATGCCATCACTCCACCGTGGTGGATCGTGCTGGTCTCTCGCATGATCTTTTCTGTCTGTCACCGTCGCATGGGCTCGGCAGCATGGTTGCGATGCACGCAGCACCGGCGGGGCATCGGATATATTAGGTGCTTCCAGTAGTGCCCCCCTCGGCTGCCTTGTCGGTAACCATTGTGCGACAGCCTAACGTCGGTTATAAACAATTCATTCACGGCCCGCGAGGCTTCCAATTTTTCTAGAATCTCTCCTGTCTGACCCAATAACCATCCTAGTCCATACAACGGTTTCTTTGGTCACATGGCGGTTCCTACATAGTGACATTTTGTCCACAGCTTGGCTCATTCTAAACAACCCCCTCCCCTCTTCCGCCTCAACTCTCGCAACTACTTACGAAATGGCACCATCTCAAAAAATCGAGCAGTATTGTTGAAAACCTATCATCCGTCGATAAATTTGCCAATTTGCCACTTGAACCGGGTTTCCTTGTGTTGGTGTGATGGCAACATGTCAAAGACCAGTTCATTTCATCATATTTGGGCCATCTTTGCCTAGATCACGAGAGGGGTTAAACATGTACACACGCCCAGTCCAACTCGAAGAGCGAATCACGGAAAAGGTAACTACTGTGTGTAGAAAGGCCATTAGACTGTAAGGTAACTAGCGAGCTAGTAGTTTTTAAGTACTGTAAGGGGACACCGTGATTCCGTTAGTTGTCCACCAAAAGCCACATGGACACCCGGCTATTCTTCTTTATTTCTTTATTTGGGATAACGAGCGAATATCAGGAATTTGTCGCAGTCATGCCAGTCAATAGGCAACCCCCGCTCAGCCAATGGCTCACAGGGACGGGGGATAGAAGTACTTAAGGTAGGCCTAGCCTAGCCCATCTGCAGCCAATGCGCCGAATGCAGGGTCCTCGCGCGCCCTCTACTTAGAGGCCATTCCACACTTAACCCTCACGGCCTTATCCCGACACTGGGGATCTTTGTCCGCTCTCCTTCGCTAACCACGGCCCGTAGGAGCTGGAATCTACCAACACAGCAACCTACCACATCATATTGTCTGTCTGTCACTCGCAAAAGCCTGTCTCCCCTGTCCTCCCCTCCAGCGAGATCAAAGTGATAGGTAGTAAGTGTAGTACATGGTGCTGAGGTGCTGAGCTGAGCATAATGATCTGTCAACCCCCATGTTTGATGTGGGGGAGGAGGGGGGACGTGGAACATACGTCATGGTTAGTGAGTGGGATGTTGTTCATCTGCTTGTCCTTCTCTGCACACGACTTTGGGTCGGGAAAAGATGCCTCCGACTCCAAGCAGATCTAGCTATGTGAATTGATTTGGTTCGCGATATGGAAATAATCCATAGCCTAGCGGCAATCGCTGCACGCCATTAATCTTCCTCTTTGGTAGCCTTTTCACGAACATTCTCGCATCGTTCAGCGATCGGCGCCCTCGCCATACAGTATCCATTTCCAGATATCTACATCATACATCGTATGTACATATATGTAGGATTAGCGTGCCACAGCTGAGTTGAACACTCTCATTTGGTTCTAGAAATAAACCTACCCGCCTGCCTATATTCTTCAGCTATTATAGGCCCGGGCCTGCACCGCACCCAGTTAGGTCATCTGATGATCCGATAATAGTCCGGCCAGAGAGAAATCCGAGCGCCACCGCTTTCTGACAGCGATGGATAATGTGGTGTGGGAAAGGGACGCGGCAAGAGGGTCGCGAAGCGGCCACGAGGAGCAGCCTGTTCCAGCCGCGGACAAATATGCATGTACGAGATTGCAAAACCGGTTTTGGAGGGGGCCGCGGCCCTGCGTTATCGAGACCACTCGCTATGTACAGTATGTAGGTGAGCGAGCATTTCGCGCCAGCTAGCCTACAGGAGGCAGACAGACGAAACAGTAAAGGCATTTCATAACAGAAAGCTGTCACAATGGCATACAGTACACATAGATATCTACCTCGCGACGTCCCCCGCCCTCCTTTCGAACCCTCCTCCCCACACCATCGTCTGCAAAGGACGAGGCCTCGAGCTTTCGGCAAAGTGGAGCTTTGATTAACGCCAACAGTACAGTCATGTAGGTACACGAGATGTTGCACGGAATGCCTACCATCGCATTGGCCTACCTACCTATGTATCTACTTCAAGTTACCCCTTTTACTCTACTCTAGCCTCAACATCTGTGCATGGCACGAGATAGCGTCACCTAATCTGCAGTGTTCGGGAAAACTCCATGTTTAGATGTTCAGGTACTCGTTTCGAGTTGGCTTGATTAATATTATAAATAACAATATCCCATGAAACCCCAAATCCTGCTATAATGTTACCCAGACAGAACGCTGATTATCAAAGCCGATATGCATATGTCTACGGCATGGTCTCTGCACACAAACACTGTCTTCTTCTCTGTGTAAAGCGTAGAGAATGTACGGTATGTAATACCGAACGCCAAGCGGGCCCACTGTGCTAGTGTCTCGGATGTTGCATCTCATCCCGAGCTCACAGCAACACCTTTGACGCCACGCTTAGAAGCCATGCGGCATCTTGCCAGCCGGTACCTTCTTCTCCTTTCGGCGGTGGAACTCGTGGCTCGGGCGGAGTTGAGAAGCCTTCGAAATCGATAGTACTTGCGCTACGCGGAGCTTGGCTCTCGGTCTCGCCATCCGTTAAATCGCCGTCAGCGGTATCGGAATCTTCATCGTTCTCCTCGACAGCGAAAAGAGACCACATCCAGGCCCCTACACCATTGCCGCGCCTTGTGATTAGCTTTCGAATGGTTGCCTCGTCCGCATTGCTCGTGTCGAACTCAACTGCCTCCAACTCTTCGTCTAAACTCACAAAGTCGGGACCTGGTATATTGTCTTCGGCGTAATCTTGACCAAAGTAGCCGTCCTGCAGGCTCCGTTCCAGCGGGGTTACAATTCGGCTCCTACTACCCATCCTGCTCTGTGAGCGACTGCCATAGCGACTGCCAGATGGAACAAACTCATCATCAATTCCAACTGCGCTACCTCTTCGGCTGTTCCGCCGACTGGCGAGCTCCCGCTCTCGAGCAAGCTCCCGCTCGTAGGCCTCCTCCTCAGCATCACGCACACCCGTGAGACTTGTTGAACTGGCTCTCGATATCAGCCATGCCTGACCTTTAGACTCGCGAGTTTCTGAACTAATCAAAGCGCCGGCCCGTAGCATCCAATCACTATCTCTTCGTTGGTCCTCATCGTGACGACGCCGAGAGAGCGGTGAGAAACCACTGAGGACATGACGACCATCCTTGTAGACGTGAAGGTGCGTTGTTGATTTGCTTTTGGCCAGGGAATTTGCAGCACCGTGGGCGTCGGTAATTGATGCTCTTCGGCGAGGCGAGTTAGCTCGTGTTTGAGAAGGAGATTGGAAAAGCCGAGGGGTTGTTGGCGCTGATTTCCCCTGAAGATAGGATGGATTATGGTGAAGCGGAGATGCGACGAAGTCGGGGAGATGCTCGGCATCAGTAAGAGGCATCTTAGTCGTTAGAGGGGCCAGAGAGAGGTGGTTGAGGTTTGAAGACGACCGATTCTTCCTTCGCGCGTGACTGGAATGCTGTTTGTATGCGACGTCCATCTTTGCGGGTATCAGCTGCGTCCTCGCTGCGAAATGCTCGAATATATATATAGGTGGATATAAGCAGGGCACTTCGAGCGTAATATAATCGAAAGACTGTGAATAGAATCGTACGGTTGAAGTCGAACGTGCTTAAACCAGGCCAGTCAAGATGGCCTAGGGCGGCTCCGTGATTTCGATGGGGAAACGGAGTGCAGACCTAAGGGCAGGGATAGATCAGTGGAGGTGTGGATGGTCTTCATCCACTGGCAGCTCAAATTTGCCTTTGGGCGTTGCATGTTCCAAGGCCGAACAGTGACCGAGGTTAATAGTGCACCGTTCGGCCGTCTCCAGGTTAAAACCCTTCAGAAAAGACCACTCAAATATCTACAAACTCGAAACATGCTGGTCTGACGCAGTTGGCAGTTCCATGAGAGCGTATGATCAGTAATATCATGTGCACCGCTGACAGCTTAAGGGCCTCGATGTTCAGGATGTCTACGCTAAGATTGGATAGAGCTTACTTGTACAGTGCATTCTTCCATAGCTACTTGCACTATTTACTGTGAACTCTGGGAGCTGTCTAGGAATTACAGGCTTGATCAGTAGCGCTCAATGTAACTGCGCAGGTAGCTATGTGGCGTGTCTAAACTTCTATAACGGCACTGTGTTCTAGCTATCTGCCTATCACAAGAGCTCCTGCCCTAATACGCTTGTACTATATACAGCTTGCTCATAGCAGATGCCATGTGAAAAAAGCCCCAAATATTCGAGAAAGATGCCGTCGAGTGAGCACTGAAATATAAACATATAATCTCGAAGACGGTCGCCATCTTGCCTCGAAAATGCGAAACCTTCGGAATATCCGATACAATGCCTGGAACACCAGCACAAGTTTTGATGGCAGCGCCATTACGTCAAGTTGCTGGGACCCCGCGAAAGACGAGATTTTATGCACCCTCGGCCCAGACGCCAGAGACGGCCGCATCCGACTACTGAGGATCTTGGAGCATGTGAGAGCGTCCTCGATAGATGTGTAAGTGACCCCCCCTATCTGTCTTTTGTCACAAGACAGCGGGAAAACAAGAAGAAAAAACTCAAAAGATTTTGAGTGTATACAAGCACACACATGCAGGACGAGAGAAGGGGCTTACTAGGTGTTCAGTGAGTGCCAAGAAGTAGCCTCATGGGATGCTCCAAGTCCCAATCCAGACCTCGCTGTCGACAGGGTAGTGAGTCTGCATCATTTTGCCGACAGTTTGACAACATGTCTCGTCTTGGAAGGCGGCGATATTGTTGTTGTCGTGGAATCGGAGGGGCAGGCTTCATCGGACAGCGTCTATATCGAAATTAAAGGCTCTATCGATGAGGGTATCACTGCTGCCAGCTGGTCGCCTGATGAGGAGCTTCTGGCCATCACTACCAAAGCCAAAACTGTGGTTTTCATGAGTCGCACGTTCGATGGAATCACCGATGCGACCATGACAGCCGAAGACTTGAAAGCCTCGAAACATGTATCCGTAGGCTGGGGTAAGAAGGAGACACAGTTTCAGGGGAGAGGTGCCAAAGCACTCAAAGATCCCACGATACCCGAGAAAGTAGATCAGGGCATCATAAGTCCTGCTGACGATGGCAAAACTTCCATCAGCTGGAGAGGGGATGGTGCGTATGTTGCTATCAGCGCCATCGAGGACGGTATCCGCAGAGTTATACGAGTGTATTCTCGAGATGGTGTACTTGACAGCGCTAGTGAGCCCGTTGATCACATGGATAGTGCTCTAAGCTGGCGACCAGCCGGCAATTTGATGGCCAGTATCCAACGTCTCGAAGACCGAGTGGATGTTATTTTTTTCGAGAGAAATGGGTTAAGACATGGACAGTTTACCTTGAGACCTCCAGAGAATAGGACACTGACCGCGGATAAGATCGACTTATCGTGGAACTGTGATTCAACTGTCCTCGCAGTCACGCTCAGTGACAGGATTCAATTATGGACCATGGGTAATTATCATTGGTACTTAAAGCAAGAGGTTTTCACTACAAACCAGCCAACGGAAATTGTTTGGCACCCTGAAAAGCCACTTCGCTTTGGTGCTGCTATCGCGGGTAAGTTTGTGAAGCGATGTTGCAAGATGTCTGATTCTAAAGCGAGATTTAGGTAAGCTTATACAAGCGGAGTACATCTTTGAGGTCGCCCGTGGCTCGCTCAGTCCACCATATGATTATGGTGCTGTTGCCGTTATTGATGGCCAGAACCTCAAAGTCACCCCCTTCCGAACAGCAAATGTGCCACCTCCCATGGCAATGTTTGAGCTCCCTATTTCGTCCTCCGCTATCGACGTAGCATTTTCACCAGCCAACAACTTCATGGCCGTCCTTCATCAAACTGGTGTTGATCTGTATGAGTGGATAACTCAGCAGCAAAGGTCATTGTGTCCACGCCTTATCGGCACCACAGAGTTTGCTAAGGAACATCTCGGAGATCATCTTTTACCACTGCAAATCTCCGTAACTGAAACATTCAGTATTCATTGTCTCTGTTCGGGCGGTGAAGGACCTTTGATATTTTCTCGGGGCTTCGATCCGTTTAGCGGTGAATTCTTACCGGGTACTACTATGTATTCAGGTTCTATCTTTGGCTTCTCGCGTTTAACGCAAGCAATTTCCGAAGATGTAGTCGCTCAAGACGCACTTGGCAAACTCCATGGGGTTGCTAACCAGGTTGACGAATTATTTTCAGTCCGCCATAACTCCCAGCTTCCTTGGAGTGAGGTTATAGATCTAGCTGGCAATGTTGTTGCTATAGGGCTATCTCGAAATGGCCATCTTTACGCCAATACACGTCTCCTACTAAAGAATTGTACCTCATTCTTAGTTACACCAGCTCATCTGATAATTACTACGACGAATCATTTGCTAAAATTCATTCATTTGACCGATGTAGACTGTAAGTACTCAGATCTTCATTAATCTCGGCCATTCCTAATCTTTATTAGTGATGGAAGTACCCCCAGATGATCCCGAAACCGATGAAAGATGTCGGAGTATTGAGAGAGGCGGTAGGCTCGTCACAGCCATGCCCACCAATATGAGTTTAATATTGCAGATGCCTAGAGGTAATCTAGAGACAATATTTCCTCGGGCCATGGTTGTTGCTGGAATCAGGAAACTTATTGAGGCACTTGATTATGCCAAAGCCTTTGCTTTCTGCCGAACTCAACGCGTGGATATGAATATTCTCTATGATCATAAACCCGCACAGTTCCTATCTCATATTGGGCTATTCCTAGAGCAGATCCAAGACGTAGCAAACATAGATCTATTTCTATCATCTTTACGGTAAGTATCTTATTCGATGGCTACACGATGGTCGTTTACTAACGAGAATAAAAGCGATGAGGATGTTACTCAGACTATGTATCGGGATACGAAAGCATCCAAAGATGAAAGTCGAACGACCGAATTGTCAGCTGAACCAAATCTAGCTAGCGGAGACGTATCAAAGGTGAACATAATCTGTGATACAGTGTTGTCTCATCTTCAGTCCCGTAATACTATGGATCATGGAACATTGCAAAATATCATCACTGCTAACATTTGCAAATCACCACCTGCCTTTGAAGATGGTCTGCAAGTAGTTGCTACACTCATGAAAGAAGATGACAAGCTTGCTGAAACAGCTGTCGAGCATATATGCTTCTTAGCAGACGTGAACACATTATATGATGAAGCCTTGGGTCTTTATCACTTGGATTTGGCTCTCTTGGTGGCACAACAGTCCCAACGCGACCCTCGAGAGTATCTCCCATTCATCCAGAACCTGCATCAGCTTCCAGAACTGCGAATGAAGGTTGCCATCGACGACCATCTCAGCAGACATGAGAAATCATTGTCTCATCTTAAAGATATGAATGCACACAAAGAAGCGCAAGATTACACAGTCAAGCACTCCCTCTATTCAACGGCGTTGAAGCTTTATCGATATGATGCCACGAATCTTCCCCTTCTCAGGGGCCTATATGCGACATATTTAGAATCTAAGTCTAAGTATCGAGATGCAGGTCTCATCTACGAGTCATTGCAAGATTACACCGCAGCCACGCGCTGTTACCGCGCAGCGGGTGTCTCCTGCTGGCGCGAATGCCTCTTCGTCGCACACCAACAAACACCAGCCCTAACCCCGGACGCCCTTAATGAGCTGGCTACTACTCTCGCAGAGGCCGTCTACGAAGCCAAAGACTATGCAGCTGCAGCGACAATTCACCTCGAACACCTGGGTTCCCTTGAGGCTGCCATTCCTTGCTTGTGTAAAGGGTATCTCTTCGCAGACGCCATGCGACTGTGCATCCAACGCCAGAAGACATCACTCCTCTCCCTCGTCGACACCAGCATCGCAGATTCACTAGGAAGCACCACAGAGTTCCTCGCGGACTGCAAGTCGCAGCTCCTAGCACAAGTCCCCAGGATCGCAGAGCTGCGACGCAAGGCAGCCGAGGACCCCCTAGGCTTCTACGAAGGCGAGCGTGCAGGTGGCGCCGATGTCCCGGACGATGTATCGGTGGCCGCATCTTCGCGCGTCACGCACGGTGGTGCCAGCCTGTTCACGCGGTACACGGGCAAAAACAGTGTCGGCACGCTCGGCACAGGCGTCTCGCGCGCCACGAGCAAGAACCGCCGCCGCGAGGAGAAGAAGCGCGCTCGCGGCCGCAAGGGCACTGTCTACGAGGAAGAATACCTCGTCAACAGCGTGCGGCGCCTCGTCGAGCGCCTCGAGACCACGCGCCCCGACATCGACCGGCTTGTCGCTGCCCTCGTACGTCGATCCATGATCGATCGCGCCAGGGCCGTCGAGAGTCTCGCTGCTGAGGTCATCGAGGCGTGCCAGAAGGCTATCAAGGAAGTCTTTCCTGGCGGTAAAGAGGAAGAAAAGGAGGTGGAGCAGGGAGCTGAGGAGGAATGGAGGCCTATGGGCGGCGACGCCGTGTTTGCTGACGCCTTGGACGCTGCGTGGCGGAAGCAGGAACCGCCTGCCATTGCGGCGTTTGAGAGGATGTCGCTGCTTGGGTGATATTAGGAATCTTCGGTCGATTAGAGTCATGAGTGATGATCCGGTTGGTGAAAAAGAGGGAATACACGGGACGAAAATGGGCCTATAGGTCATGAAAAATGTTAAAATAACGAAGACAACAAAGAGAGATCGATGAAAATCACTTGTGCATCTGATAAGTTAGTATTTATAAAAAAAAATTTTAAAAAAAAAAAGGTTTCGAATATTTACGATATTTGAATTTTTGTTGATTCACCCTTCATGCGTGTGGCTAGATTGATGCCCGCAAAAGACGGGATGGTATATACATGTATGATACAGATCTTGGTTTAAACAAGGGGATGCGTGATCACATGTTTTATGTATCGTGAATACGATTAGTCTACAATTGGCCTGATCCCGGGCCAGCCAACCACCCCTATCAGCTACCAGAAAAGCTCCTATGTTGACGGCGGCGGAGGAGATGGATCTGCATTCGGACTTGTAGGAGGCGGCACGTCTGATGAGATGCCGGAGGAGGGCGGCAGGGCGTCCGAGACGCCGGCGGCATTGAGCGACCTCTCGCGGTTCTTGGCAATGACCTCGCCGATCTTCTCGAGCATCTCCACGGTGAGACGCGGCTTGCCCTTCTTCTTCTTCTTGTCGCGCTCGGCGCGGTGGAACTCCTGCAGCGGCGTGCGCATGCTCTCCATGAGCTTGGCGCGGTCCTTCTTCTTCTGCTCCTCGAGCTCGAGGCGCGCAATGTACTCGGGTTCGTGCCGCGTGCGGAAGCGGCTGTACTTGTTGCGCAGCTCGTCGATGACGGTCTCGGGCATCGGGGGCCGGAGGAGCGTGGGGACGAAGGTCTTCTGCTCGACGTCAATGCGCACGGTGTCGGCCGTGTTGACGGGGTGGTTGGGCTCTTCCTTGGGCGGCCACGGGATCGAGATGTTGAGGCCGGGAACCACGCGGTCCCAGCGCCGCCTGCCGGTTAATCGGTCTGTTACTAGGTTGCTAGGCAGTAATCGGTTGATGATTACATCGTTGGTTTTGCCGGTTGAGGGGTCGGTTATAGGGTGGACGAGCCGCACGGCAGAGACGGGTAATGGAAGCTCGATATTCGCGGCTATCATGCCGTCTTTTTGAAGATGTTCATTTAATACAATATTGCTCTATTTTCAAATTGCATGTCAATTATGGCTCCCTGGCAAAATATAATCTTTATTGCCAGCACATGCCCATGCAACAATACCGAAGAGGGCCGACTTACCTTATTCAGATCTTGGACTGTGACCTCCGCAGTGTCCTCGTTGATCTCACTTATCGTGCCTATACGCCCCTTGTCGGGGCCGTCTAGCAAAACGACTCGGTCTCCCTTGGCCAGGCAGAGCTGGTAAGCGCCACCGGCCCATTGACAGCGGGCATTGCGTACGGCGAGAGAGAAAAAACGAGTACCAGTGTACCGGACCTCGCTGACAGACCCAAAAGCGCCCTGGAAATCGCCAACATCGGCACGCGGCGCTATGGGGCCCATAGCCCAGTCATCTCGAACCATCTGCTTCCCCTCTTGAATCTCACCTAAAGCTCTCCTCACATGTTGGAGAGTTTGGGCCTTTGCATCCTTTTCATTTCGATTCCAGACTTTGGCCTTCTTGGCCTTCTTGCGCTTGGCGGCCACCCGCTCAGCGGTAGCCACACGGCGGAGGATCTTCTGCATCTTCGCTCACGACGATATGTGGACGGAATGTGGGGATTGGAGATTGGAGAGGATTGTCATGGAGAGGGGTACCAGGAGATCATGGCGCGTCGAGAGGAGGCCAGCAGGCTGAGTCGTCGTCTCGTGGGCTCGTACAGGTCGTTTTTTTCGTCGTCGAACCAATTTTTTGGGTAGCTCTACCACAGGTGGTCAAGACCTGCATTTAGAGACTTAATTGGCACGCGAACGTTGGAACTGCATTGAGCCAATCACACCTCCTAGATCTGCTACTCCACCCACGACCCGGAATATTCACCCGCCGCGCACCGACGAGCCATACCGTGCCGAATCAGGAGAGGATTTACTAGATACCGAGATGGAAATACCTACTCAATGTACTCCGTAGCGCCTATCTAATAAGTAGTACAGATACATCCGTAGGTACTGCATGTAGACATGCATCGATAATCGTATTGAAACCGCCGGCTTAACGCAGTGTACGCTATCCGGTGACCAACATTGGTAGCTTTCTCATCTCAAGGCAGGCTGAGGTTGGGTCCCGGCACCAAGCGCATAGGCTGTCGGCAATTATCTGAGTAGCCCAGCTGACGCTGCAACGTATTTGTTTGCTGGGAATTAAATGTCATACCTACCGAGCGAGTCACCTGCCTAGGTAGAAAGAGGTACAGTTGCCATTCGGCACTCAAACTTGAAGCTAAAGCCTAGATGCGAACAAGGCTTACTGTGTTATGTTGTTTACGTCTCACTACTGGCCATCTCTCTCGGCCTAAGCGTCTAACGGTGAGTTGTCACAGGTAGTCTGGTGATGAAAGACACCGATACCCCTATTTGCTCAAGGTGTAACATAGGTAGACTCCCAAACAGACATTGATTGCATACCAACTTCAAGAATGCCTACAAGAGAACTGATCAATGGTGATGTTGTTCCAGACGAAATCGGTATCCCCGTTCATTCTGAAGCAGGTAGGAGACTTATACCTAGACCTAGGTATATCAGTGCTGACGTAGTGCGCGTGCAACGGAGTGCGTTATAACCTATAAGCGATATTGGGAGACAAGGTCTAGAGCCATTAAAAGACGTATGCAACCCATATATTGACGACAGCTCATTTATCAGAATCTCCACAACAGTACCGTCAATACGGATGGGTGGACATTGCTCTAGGAAGAAAGGTAGCATGCGGAGGAGAGGCTGAGTCGTGGGCCATCAGCTGAGATGACGGAAGATTCCTCGAGTAGTTTTCAGGGGAAAAGAAAAGCAACAGAGGTGAAAGACACCAGTCATGGCAGAAGGCTTGTGATGATAATAAAAATCTTGCCCAAACCTATCTTGCTGTATTATTTGTTTCGAGAGCTCTCGATTAGTGTATACTTGCCTGCACGCTCGTGATATTGTGAATGTCTTCCAAGTGTGCCTAACTACGATACAGTGCCTGGTACTTCTGGGGTAGAGGATTTTACAGTGGATAAATGTCTACTTAGGTACAAGGTATGGTCTAGCGTGAGTTAGTGAGCACATTGCCTTGTCCTGGTCCAAGTGGGATGGGATGGTTTGGTTGCCTCAGCTCAAACCTATGGTCTGCTACGGTCATGGAAACGCAAAGGCCGCGCAACAAAAGGCGGCGCAATGAGTCTGTTTACCGGTTGGTAGGGTAGCCAGATTAGAGCTAGTGTATCCGCCGTTCTTTACTGGGCCCTGTCACGGTCCTATCCCACCAGGTGAGCACTTGGCGATTGTGCAAATCTTATGCGACTTGAACCCGTCCGTCTGGAACCATAAACGGTCCAGGCTGAAGCAAACGGTAGCTCTCTCTGGACTCAATTCCCGTTATAAGAAATCAGTCACATGTCTAAGGCAACCTTACCTAAGGCAGAGAGGCTTTACTGAAATATAATCAATCATCTTCACCTTTGTTATTGAACCTCTCACCTCTGGTACGTTCTTATGAACTCAGCCACTCAAGAGTCGGTGCTGTTCAAAATGGCCAACTAAGCTGATGGTATTGAGTAATCATAGGATTGTGCAGTTAAGGAAGAGCAACACCAAATACAAATTAAATTATCCTCTATGAGGTGAGTGTCAACTACCGGTATACTTGGATTCCCCCCTCCCCAAGAGCGATCAAGCATAACCGCTTGAACCTAGAGACACATGGAAGTATTGAATGAACCATTTGAGCATATGCATGCGTCAAAAATAAGTCTAGCGAGCCCAGGTCTATCCTGATATACTCCGTACTCACGTAGCTAAAAGAAAGACTTTCGTTTGTATCCGCAATCATCACCAGATTATAGTTAAGAAATATGTACGTATTCGTACGGACGGGACTACTTATAGATTCAACTATAACCAGGTACTATGATTAACCAGGGAAAAGGACCACCCTAGGGTATGATTTCAGTAGGCAAAGAGTCCTGACCTTTACGATAGCTTGGGACTGATGCTTGGACCAAGTATAAACACGATGCTGCAATGCAGGTCAAAGGTTTAATATCCTCCGTAGCCTCTGCAGACATGTCCGGATACCCAAGCTTGTTTCCATTTTAATGACTCTTGGATATTGCACCTGAACTAGAGAGATATTCATTCAAGAGGAGAGGAGTCGTTTATTTACCATTACACATCTACAACCAGTCAGGCAGTTTCATAGTAGAAAAGTAGTTCAGTTCATTACGGACTTGATTAATGCAGACGGATTTATGCAAAAACGGGGCGCACCAAGTGGCAGTGGCCTTTGGGGTGTTTTAGCTACACTAGTAGGGATAGGTAGGTAGCACCTGTACCCATCTCAAGTCCGTCCAAGTTAACTGAGTGGCAGTCAGATGAAGGGGTCAATACCTAGAGGATTCCCATTTTCATTTAACGAACTGTACCCAACAACCTGGTTGCAAGACCAACGCCTTGGGACAACCTGAGACACACACACAATTAAAGACAATAGCCCCGTTAAATTCATATCTTGACTACGATCCCTAGCTACATCTAGGTACATCAAGATGGATGCACTGTAATGCAAGTACCTGTAGAGGTAGGCAAAACATAGAGGTAGCCCATGGACTGGAACTTAATCTTTAAGTAGGTAGGTACTTAGATAGGTACCCCCATTTACTGACCTCAGGTACCTAGGGAGGGAGATAGTAGGTACTTAGAGATACCTAGGGATCTGCCTACAGGCACACCTGACAATGCATGCAGCTACGCATATGCCTAGGTATCTGTACTTACCAGGCCTCTGGCGGCGAACGGCGGGTTTACCTAGATACCTACCTACCTACCTATGTACCTGCCTACCGTAGGTACCTACCTACCTGTACCTACCTACCTACCTACAGTACACCTAAGCCCGATAACACAGGACAGTGACAGAACAACAGCAGCACGCACCGCACCTACTTACCAGCCTCTCTTGCTTGCCTAGACTAGGCCGTTCTGGCTGTTGTACCCTTTCCAGGTCATTCATTCAATTGAGCAGCACCTCGAAACCTTCTTCTCTTTCCATCCACCTCTCAAGTTTCCCCATCTCTACTTCTCTACTTCTCTTCCATCATCGGACGAGAGAGACAACAGCTTCATCTTCTTCCACCAACAACCCCCTCGCCCGGTTCTCCCTCGCCTGCGGTTTTTACCGTCAAATCCGCTGAGTTTGCCAGAGCCCCAGACACGCCAGCCAGCCTTCGGTTACCCCTAATCCTCCTACTCTACTGCCTTTGCCTCTAATCCATCAATCGTCGCCATGGCTGAGATTCGCCGAAAGCTTGTCATCGTCGGTGACGGTGCCTGCGGTAAAACCTGTTTGTTGATGTTTGTTGCCTCCCAGCCCGCCTCTCCATGCCCTCCATTCCGCTGACCGTCTCTTTCACAGCGTCTTCTCCAAGGGTACTTTCCCTGAGGTAAGAATACCTCCGTCATCGTTTTCTTGCAACAATGCCAAGCCAAGAACGGCCGCCCGCGTCATAGCCAACACGATCCCCCCGTGTCCCATCCACCAACCCGCTCTACAGCCTGCTGTCTCGCGTCTTCTCCCGTTCACCATAACGTGCATGTAGCATCGCGTCCTTTGAAGTCTTGTACCATGCCAAACTGGTTTACAGATTTATTGATATTTTGATGTCCAGGTCTACGTCCCCACTGTCTTCGAGAACTACGTCGCCGACGTCGAGGTTGATGGCAAGCACGTCGAGTTAGCCTTGTGGGATACGGCTGGCCAGGAAGACTACGACCGTCTTCGACCTCTATCCTACCCTGACTCCCACGTCATCCTCATCTGCTTTGCTATTGACTCTCCGGATTCTTTGGACAACGTTCAGGAAAAGGTAATGCACATTCATTCATATTCATCCTCCCTGATTTAGACAAGGGCGTACAACAGCTGACACGTGCTTGCTTTCATAGTGGATTTCTGAGGTTCTTCACTTCTGCCAGGGTCTTCCTATCATCCTTGTTGGCTGCAAAAAGGATCTCCGCTACGACGCCAAGACCATTGAGGAGCTTCGCAAGACAAGCCAGAAGCCTGTCTCCCCTGAAGAGGTAAGTCTCACACAATTGTGACTGGCACCATTGTCACATTGTGCAAGCCCAAACAGCCGGTTCATTTCGCCCGCCCTGCCTAGACCGCGAATGGCTAATATTTGTATTGTAGGGTGAGGATATCCGCAAGAAGATTGGTGCCTACAAGTACCTAGAGTGCTCAGCCAAGACCAACGAGGGTGTCCGGGAGGTCTTCGAGCATGCTACCCGTGCTGCTCTCCTCTCCCGCTCCCGCCCCAAGAAGCACTCCAAGTGCATGATCCTCTAAATCGATCTTAAATACCTGTTGATGATACCTTTGATATCCCGGCCTGATTCAGCATCGTCTTTGAATCTCAGTTGCGGGCAACGTACCCAGATGATCAGGATTTAAGCGGACGGAAGAGTGAAAGCGGTTCTGCATCATGGTTTTTCGGCTGGAGTTTGGTCTGTCAACTCTCGCATCTACTCTCCGGCAGGCGTGCAACTTAGGTTGGCTTTCACACACCTTGTAGTTATGACTACAAGACTAATAGTGACAAGCGGTGGTTCTTGGGGCACTCCATCAAGAGAGGCCTGAGGATATGAACACGAACTGCTATTAGAGGAAGAGGAGGCTGCGAGGGAGGTGGAATTTGCGCTTTGTGCGTGTATGCGTGCGTGCGTATGAGAAGTCTGGCGAGTTCAACCCAAGAGAATACGGCTATATCATAAACCTTTCTCCTTTTCACTGCTCTCCAAACTGTTCCGTGTTAAATCAACTGGGGACGGATGCTTGTTCCTAGGGTTACTCTTTTCTATCTGTTCTTTCTTCGTCCAGTATGGTTTGATAATGCACATGGCTTGGTTTTCCTGATCTGATGGCGTTCACATAGTTTATCTCAGTCGCAACGATACTGATCTGGACAAGCCTCCTTCTAACGCATGCGTAATATTATGACCTCAGCTTGTGTCGTTAAGGACTTAACCATCGTATGATACTATCAAGTCAGCGATCTGCTGACGGTACAGTTCACTAACAATGCGCATCTTGGTAGTCCTAGTCCCTTGACGAAGTCATTATTGCGAATACGCATGGTTCACTGTGCACCCACTATTGGATCTGGAGTGTCTTATAGTTTATCTTTTCCCCAGTAGATTTGCTCTTTACTCATCATTATCCAACCCCTTTGCTATTTGTGCTTACGGGCTTCTAACATTATTTCATTTCATGAATAGAAGACTGAAAGGGTTGACTCATAACGGGGTGATATGTAGATTAATATTATCAGTGTTTGAATTAAGTTAATGGGATTTCTTCAAGAGGGTTTGAGTTTCTTTGTGATGTATTTCACTTTTCACAGGTCCCTCTCCGTTTACTTTTCACTTGGTTGCTTCTATCGTTCACTTATATCATGGGTTTGTTTTGTTTATTGGTTCTTCATGGGTTTATTTCTTGGTTTTATTTGGGTTCTGTTCTGTTCGCTTGCTGGGTTGGATGTTACATCTTGTCATGCATATGTCCCCCTTCTTCCTGGTGATTGACTACTTTGTCTGTATGTCCTGCTGCCCCTGGATAATAGGAAAATTTGGACGAAATGGAATGGAATGGAATTGAATTGAAGCACTGCCTCTCCTCTCTTCTCTTCTCCCTTGACCCCTTGGCTACCGAGTGTAGATGGTGCGCTTCATGGATTTAGTTGGGGCAAGTCTATGTAAGAACGTAGTTGTTAGTTTCATGTGCTTTCTTTTCATAATCCTGTTATGTGCCGTTTGTTGGTCTGTTTGTTTAAATGAATGCTGCCTTTCTAAGATTGTGCCATGACCCTAGATGCGCAACGCCGTTCGTATTGGAGTCCTTAGGTCTGTGTGTTTGTTGTTGTTGATGTTGTTGATGTTTCTAATAATAATCTCCAATGGAAGAGAGGGATGGGAAGGGACGGGAAGGGAAGAGAAGAGAAACTTACAGCGCCGCATGCGCCGCAGGTCTTGCTCTCCCCGGAGAAGGAGACACCGCACTTGGGACAGCATGAGTTATGCATATTTGCTGGTTGTGGTGGATGTAGTGTGTTGGTTATTTGTCTGTTATTTATCTTATTAGTCAAGTGCTCATTGAATTATCTTACTGTATCTTGAGTCTAATAGGGTTGTGTCTGAGCAGATATGAAGATAGATGATGGGTGATTGTTTGCTTGTTGGGCTGTTGGGAGAGAGCAAGTAATGGACTGCCTTGTCTGGCTAACTAGTTCCATGTTGCAATAGCTAGGCAATCTAGCTAGTCTTTTCCATCTCTAGCATCACACACCTTTCGGCTGGGTATGTAGGTATGTTGAAGAGAGAAATTGTTGATATACGATGGAAGTAAATAAGCCAAAGGAAGACTCACCAGACAGGAACGTAGTGTAATGTAGTGTAGAGTGAAGCTTCGCAAAAGGCAAGAGACAGTGGATGACGACAAAGTTGTAGATAGAAGGGATTGTTCTTTATTATACCGTGTCTTCGGCTCCTCACTTATATATTCGATTCGCCTAACTCCCATGATCTAGTTTCCTTCCACACATATCCATCCATCCATTCATCCCTCTCTCTCTACCCACCCACATCAACCCCCCATCTACCTAGAAGCGGGGTTCGGGGCACCATTCCACTCTTCGCACTACCTACATCACACACATCACGCCCTTTTGCTCTAGTTGGTGATACGACAGCTGCTGCTGTGTTGCCCTGCCCTGCCCGGTTTCTATAGTTATTGGGTAGGGCGGTAATAATAGGAAGCTAGCCCTGGCTGCCTAGATACATACTGTAGATAGGATGATGTGACTTATCTGCCTGCCTGCCTACTCCCCTCTCCATACCTCCATTATGTAGATCAGGTGGGTTAGAACCATCGAACCTGGGCCTCATGGATGGCTTGGTGGTGGTGTGGATAGAACCGGCTACATCTCTTAGCCAATTCCTTCGTTTGGTCATTTGATGGGCTGCTTTGGTATATGTGTGTGTGTGGAAGCCTATCTAGATGTAGAGTACCTAGTGTACCTAGCGTGAAGTGTATCTGTCTAATCTAGAGCACCCTATCTTGATCTTGAAGGTCTCAACTGTATCGCGTTGCCGCTTACTTTACGCTATCACGATGTTCTGATCTGGTACATTCATCGTTAGATAAAGCTCTTGTTCCTACGTCATACCCGGCATCTAATATCTGTATCTACCCATCTCATGATTCCTCGGGTGGACCGGAGGTGCCCGTTCTCGTACGTGCGTATCCATGGTATTAATTAATCCCGAACTTCGTGGCCTGTCTCGTGCTGCACGAAGGGACCGAGGATCTCCGGCCCCGCGCGTCGATGCTGCGCATTCACTTCACATGCTCTTGTATGCCACGGCAGCTTTACCATTAGGTAATATAATCGAATATCAGCACATATTCAAGCCTCTGTATCTGCTGTAATACCTACCTAGTACTATAGCAATCTACCACGCGTCTGTACAAATTTACCTCTCCTCGTGTTATATACCTAGCTCTACCTAGGTAGGTAGTTATATCGAAGTACCTATTCAGCCTACCTGGGCAAGAATCCGTACATCACAGTCAAGGGAACCGGGCTCGGGCGAACCAAGAAAGTCCACAACGCCGCGCTAAGCGACAGAAGCCGCTCAGGGACACGGGACGAATCCCTTCAATGCCCTTCGGTATCAGATTCTCCCTCTCACATGTCTATGTGCCAACACACGCCAGTTAGAAACCAGTCTAGTGTGAGTCCCTTCTCTGTCCTTATACCGAAGCCAAGTCAGGTAAGGTCTGACGATGATTATCAAACAGTAGGTATCGTCAAGTAATATCCAGCGATTCTCGGCTTAGCACTGTAGTACTCTAAGTACACTTACCTATCTACCTGCCCCCATGTGCCCGTGAGCGAGCGAGTGCTACGTGTTGATAATGCGCCTCGATCAATTGGGCGCCCCGCGCCCCGCGCTGCGCAATACCAAATCGTAGTGCATATTAGTTTCAAGTAAGTCATGGCTGCTTACATCTTGCTTCGAATGTTCCGCCGCAGGGGGAGATGATTGGTTTCTAAATACGCCTTCGGTATTCCAAGAGAACACGTGAATAGTAGATGTAGATAATAGGTTCTGTAGAGAGGTATGCCTATCTAGCTAGGACTTGGCCTTCCACATCTAGAGGGAAAGCGTCACAGCGTCGATGATCTGTAACGGCGGATTCCGGGTGATGGGAAAAGGCGAACGGATCATTCATCATTCCTCATGCTTGCGTGTCATATTTCTTATGCTTAGTGTAGTCCTACGAGTCCTAGCTTTCAATAGGACTCCCACGTGGTTCTAGGACACCGGAAATAAAAAGTTATTTGAAAAGCGAGCCTTGAAATAGGAAACAAACAGTTGGCTAGCTCTGATCGCAAAGCTTAGATCATTGAATCAACTTGTATAGAAATCTAGCTCTGTATCGGGGTTTGTTTAATTACCGTTCCCTCTAAATATACCCCCTTGGCTATGTCATGAAGCCACCACTGCCAACAGCCAAGTTGACGCCAAAGGACCTAATCTTTTCCCCCCAAACCTAGTATAAACAAACCGCTGAGATGTCTAGCTAGGGGCAAATACAAAAAGATGCCTATGATGCTACAAATACATTTTTATGCCTCGTGTCAGGAAAAAAACGCCTCTAAACGCACTTGGCAGGCTCACCTCCGCCTATAAAGGAACAAGTCAGTTTTTTACGGACTGAGTAAACGCCTAAGCAGGGATTGACACTTTACCTTTTATCATCTGTGCACCCGTCTGCAACACGCTGATGAACATGATGATACACCCAAAGGCAACGACGGCCATGGCGACGTATGTCCGCCAGGACCGGGAACTCAGCTTGATATAGCACAGAGGCGGCAATATATACGCTAGTGCAGCAGCGCTCGTGGCACCGACGAGCTCGAAGACGATGCCTAGATCGCATGTGAATAAACTCAGCACCATAGCCGAGACGACGAGTGCCGAACTATAAATGAGATGCAGGTTCATGTTGAAGGGTTCGTCGGGGAACCAATAGTTGAGCATGACCTCGCGGCAGACGAAGGCCTCTAGGGGTAATGTAGTGAGCATGTTCAAGCCGAAGCACAACCTCGCAATCGTCACCATGGTATTATCGGCGGGGAAATTGTTGAGAACATTGCCCAGCGTCTTGTCGCCGAACGTTAGGAAGCCCGCCAATGCCATGACTAGACATGCAATCATGGAAATGCCCGTGGAGTAATGCGTCACAGTCGCGAACCGGTCTATCGTGGGAGTCTTGAGAGAACCGTATATTAGGAGGGAATTATGCTGGCAAACGAAAGCTAATGATAAGAGTCAGCCATGATCAAGCACATGTGGACTTCCCATACTTACCAAATGAAATGACGCCTATAGCCTGGAATATGCCACTGTTGATCGTAAGCAGTGGAGTGCTAAAAGAACCCCTATCTGCCAGGGGAGTAAGGGCACCTTGTATCACAACAGTAGTTACGATTATGCCCATGCTTATGAGAGCGAGTGTGCTCGCCTTTGCCAACTACATAGCCCCCGTCAGCCCATCATATTGAAGTAGAGAGTGTATGTGCAAGTCTTGTCAGGACAGGATAACGTACTTTGGCAATATCTCTATATAATGTTAAGGGGTAACTAATACCCAATATGAAAATGACAATGACAGCTCTTCTGTCCCCCAAGAGACTAAGAACAGGAATTTCGTGTAGATTCGGCCAGATGGCACGGAAGACGGGAGGAATAGAGTCGCCCACGATGACGCCAAAGGCCACCATGCCGCCGAACGCAAAAGCCCACTGAGCGACGCTGATGGCGATCAGACCAGTCTTGCCGAAGCAGTGCTCGACCGTGCCCTGGAAACTGCTGGCGCCGCTCAACTTGCTATTGATGACGATGAGGCGGATGGTCCAGTCGATGACGACGGTCAAGCCGACGAGTAGCACGATACCTGCGATGAGGCCGGCATCCTTGAAGGCGTACGGCTGTCCGATGATTCCGGCGCCGATGATGCTATTTGCCATGTTCATAAAGGCTGATCGTAGCCCTGACTTGGGCCGAACACGCTCACGCTCAGCCCATGAATGGACATCGTCGTCTGATAAGTTGTTGGCTACTGTCACGGACGGGGCTTCGATGTCTGTCAGGAGTGGTCGGCGCGAGGTGCGGTCCCGTCCACCACCGCTCTCAGGTTCTTGATCGAAGTAGTCAAAAGATTCGAGTGGGTGGATAGAGTCGATAGAGTTGTTTGTGCTCGTACCATTGGCAGCAGGCGGGATGTTGGTAGGTGTAAGATCAAAGCGCACTCGATTCGGCGTTCTCGGGGTTCGGGGACCTTGGGAATCATGACCAGGGCCATGGTCGTTGCTGATATGACCTGGATGCACTATGATGCCGTCGTCACTGTCGTCCTCGAGATCGTCATCTTCGCCGTCCGACTCGCGACCGGCGAGCAGGCCGTGACGTTCTTCGTCGTTGGGGGGGGCGGCGTTGGGATGCGAGTCGCGTTGGTGGTTTGCGCCGTCGGTGGGTTGCCCGTTTTGGGAGCTGCGGTTCGTGGCCTTGGCCATTGTGCTTGGTTGTCTTATCGTGGAAGCATCGTGCGCAAGGCTGGGTGATCTATGACTGTCCAGCCAGTAGACACATTGTTTGCTTCGCAAGCTGACGTTTTGGAATTTGGACAATGTAAGCTAGCAATCATCCTTGTCAGAGCAAGTGCAGTTTCAACAGTCCCATCCTACGCAACTGGCGTTGTACTCAGTGCCCAGACTGAAGTACCCAGCCTTAGATACATACTACCTCTAAGTACATATGTAGGTACCGGTACCCCTGAGTCTGCCCTGAGAGAGCCACGCCGCTTTTAGCCTCCTGTCTGGCCTGATATGAACCAAAATATACATAATCTGAAATACACTACGTACCTACTAATTGCACAAATATATATACCGTTGATTATAAAAAAACGGATTTTAGTAGTTATGCATTTCAGAACGGTCCGTTTGAGCGACTTCTTACCCTACGTCAATTCGCCTACTTAAACTGTTTAGACCGTTTCTCTCTGCATAAGATAATGCATACAATATAGGTACTGTAAATGTATATGGCCCGTTTTAGTTACATAGTAGAGTCTGGGAGAGCTAGAGAAAAGGCAGCAATTGCGCTAAGCTTAGTTCGGTGCATACTTGGCATTTGGACATTCCCCTTATCTCTTATCGCTGATGAATGAATTGAGCCCCTGAATTGAGCCGATCGAAACCACTGCTACAACATTGCTGATGAAAGTTCAACTAGTAGTGAGAAAGTATCAAGCTTCCTTGGAGGAACTAACAATAGGCCTAAAATGTGATCATTCACAGATACACAGCCTGTTAAATAAAGACGTACAAGGCTCAATTAGTTGTAAGAGTTGTAGAGTAAACGACCATCAAATAGTACTGCATATCACAAGTTAGGCAGCTTAAAAGCCAGGGCACAAGAGGAAGACAGCTGTGAAGCGAATGTATCTTTGCTTATTACATAATCTCTAGATATAAACGACCCGGCGACTATTTACAGATATATATGTCACTGGCTTTATCTGCTCGCTGACTCGTACTTAGATTTCCTCCTGTAAACTGCCGTAAACTCACTACTTTGCTTCGACCAACATCATGGGTATCGTTTTTTTAGTCTCTTTCTGCTAGCGTCCACTACATAGAACCCAGTAACTGATATGTGCGGGCTGTTTTGTGCCGTAGTGCCATGGGCACGGGAGAAATTTCCTTATGTTCAGTAGCGGATTCGTGTTCAGGTCGGGCGTAGTATTTCTTGGCGTACTAGCAAACCACCATCACCGTTGAGAGCACCACCGCTAATAAAGCTGCGGAGCATCCCAGGCTGAGCTTGCTTGCGGGTGAATCCGGCTCAGCATCACCCGTTGACTCGGGGGACGTGTCCGCAGATGGCGTTTCGTGTCCGTTTAATCCTGCTGAATCAGTCGGAACGGCGGTGGAAGCCGTGTCTGATGGAACGTCGACCGCAGACGTTCCCGTGGGCACTGTAGTGGTGGTTGTACTTGGTTGAGTGGTCTCCGGGACTGCCTTGGCAGCAAATCCTACGATTCATTAGCCGCACGATCTAGGAGGTGTAGTTGAGCCATCGTTTGTGTGAAACTTACCAATTCGCCCGTTGTCCACATCGAAGACGCTGTAGACGTTCTTCAAGAACACGTCCCCAAGCAACCAACCACCAGAGACATACTCGATTCCGTAAATGTTGCCCGTGCAGGCGCCATCGCTGTTGGGTCCGGAGATGAGGTCTTTCGAGGACACGTTCCAGTTCTCTCCTGAGAAAGTGAAGGCGAGTTGCTTATCGGTATCACAGGGAACAGTGTATGTCGATCCGTCACTCGAGGACGAACCAGGAATTAACTTGTACATGGCTTCGACGTCCTCTGGGGGCCCGAACACAAAGCTCGTGCCAGTGTCAATGTAGGCTGACCTGCCCTTGATTCCAGCTGATTCACCACTAACCGTAATGTCGTCCATGGTAATAGTCCAGGAGCTGTCCGATTTGACAGGTGAATAGGTAATATCACCTGTGTACTTGTCTGGGTTTAGTGCGCCAAAGACGATCTCACCGTCATTCGTGCCATCCGAGCTCCTCGACAAGCTGATGCCAAAAATGTTCGAATCGATCAACTTTGCGTCGTTGACGGCGCTCAGCCATGTGTTGGAGCTGGTAGCCAGACCGAGGATACCATCGAATGGGAACTGGACAAATTGATCCGACGTGGTATTGGCAACACCGAAAGCTAGTGTTACTGAAAGCCCGGCTAGAGATAAGCTGTCTTCGATTACGTGGCCGCGGACAGAGCCAGTGCCGTAGTCCACGGAATAAGCCCTGCCAGTGTCGTTATATGTTTTCGAGTCCTCTGGGCCGAACGTGTTGTGTATGGCGCATGATTTCGACGTGCAACCTGAGCCCATTACCCAGGTTGTGCTTGCACCAGTGTCGAGAAGCATGTAGAGTCGCTTCGCCTCCGAGCCGAGCTCGACCTCAGCAAAGTATGAGTAGTCGGTCCCGTCTTGGTCAATACCTGCGCTGTTCTTGAAGGTTGTGTCTTGGGCCCTAACAACCTGGTATCCAGTGGCCCTTTCGGCAATTGTGATGTTGTCGTCTACATCTTCATCAACACCTCCGAAAGATCGAGGGAACTTATCAGACTATATTGGACCAAAGGTGAGCAGGAGATCGCGGGTTAAAACATACAAAGGATACTTACGGAGGTAGCCTTCTTAACCAGCCTAAATGTAACGAATCCCTTTGAAGCTGGATCATCATCTAGGGTTCTGACTTTGTGTTGTCCTTCAAGTGAACCTAGCACTATCGCGTATATACTCGTGACCCATAATGACAGCTGAAACAAATTGAAGACTCGATGCATCTTGATACACCCAACACCAACTCAACCGAGCCTCTTACTCAGTCCAGCTGCCTTTTCTCCAAAACACCACTCTCACGGCAGTTGCAATTTGTGTCAATTCCGGTTCGGTAAGCGTAGTGAATCTATCGTCTAAAGCGAGAGTACAGTCTAGAGCCAGTAGCTTTTAAGCGGCCGATCGCGCGTTAACGACGTTGAGATCCGGACGTATATATCTATGTGTAAAAAGCAGGCGACCGAGTGCCAGACTCCGAGTGCCGAGATTATGCGATGTCAAAGCTATAGGGCGTCATTGGTGACATTAAAAACGATAGGTTGGTCAAATCGACGTGTTGAGGACGTCGACAAGAGAGACCGCAAGCGAGAGGATGAGCGAAAAGAAGGGTTCCGCAAAGAAAAGTCCGATGACGAGGAATGTAGGGCCTTGATAGGGACACTAGGAGCGAGGATCGCTATTCAATATATAGCGACTTGGATTCCAAGACAGAGATGCGGTTATAATGAGACAAAGAAATGTATGTATGGGCGCCACTGTCTATCCCCGAGTCTTGGTGGCGAAGCTAAGAGGCACAGAGATACAGCAAGAAAAAAACACACACACAGGAATAGATTAACCGTTAGTTATTATGACGCATTAGTTTAAAATAACACCAACGACGACACAAGCCTCAACTCTCAAGACTCGGAGGGGGGCGGGACAGAGTCGAGATGTGGTGGGGAGAGAGCTAGAAGATGGATGGATGTTTGAATCGTGCTCGTGGAGAGCCGGCTGGTAACGACTCAAAAGCGCACCTTCGACTCGCGTAGAGATACTGTACAATTGTACGGTACACTCGCTTCCCATCTATCTCTATCAACCTGGTTCACCCTGCCAATACTAACCTACCATTGGATACCCGACCTAGGTAGGTAGATAAAGCCGAGTTCTTGGGTGCGTGTGCGTACGTGTACTTACTTCGCAGTAGTAAGTAGTGTACCTATCTACCGTGCGCGCTACCCTCGACCGTGAAGCCAGATCGACGGTCATCTAGCTTGGCAGTCTGCTTTTGCTGGGTCTTCCGAGTCTCCTGTTGCGACTACAGATTGCACTATGCTCGAGAGATAGTAAAACGCAATGCTCGACTCTGCTTGACTTTCCCCTTGCGGCTGTCGATAGGAGCATTTAGGCCGCCGGTGCGCCGACAGGATTGCTTGCAGCTGGGGAAGCTGTTGGACTTCATTCACCAGTTGCTGTTCTTGGTCAATCTTGGCTGCGCTGGCCCACGGTCTAGTGCGGGAGGCGTCGTTATTGGCCGCGACCCTGGTCCGTGGATATTGAACTTAAGCATCCTCGGCATCGTACTTGTACGCTTTGCGACAAGTACTGTACTTCGCAATCTGCTAGATCCTTGCTCCATTGTTAGCGGCTTAGACCCCATCGCCAACCCATGCCACTTGTAGATCCTGTCATTGGTTTGTTATCGTTGTCTCTGCTAGTTCTCCGTTCTCCATAGTGGACAGTACGCGGCAAGCGACATGATTAAGAGACCGGAAAACTACAACACCGAGCATGAATACTATGTACGATTTGCTTCATGAGAATATAAATAGAGAACTGCAAATACGCCGTAATAACAATCATACGGTTTGCAGAATCGCGAGCTGCAGTTGCTCAGCCCCCATTTGCTTCTCCAACATCCAGGTCGCAGTCATTTAGCAAGAGCCAATGAACTGTGACACATCTATCTACACATATGTATCTGTTTGTCCTTTTCGTTGGCATCGGATAAGCATAATCCATAAACGAGACTTATAAAACATGTATGTTCTCCAGGTTCTCTCGGTGAGACAGGCGAGGCACAAGGACTCGCTTTTGGTTAGGCATGTTTAACTTGGTAATGACTCGATCTCTTCAATTGTGAGCTGTTATAAAGTTTGGCACTTACTTAGGTAGAGAGCCCCAGCATGCTAAGTCGCTTCGTCGCCGGGTACCTCGGCAGACTTATCGGATTGTAGGGATGCCATCTCATTTAGCCCAGCTCTTTAACATCATTGTTAGTCAATAGATGTCTGTGCCCTGCACTCCTTACTGTTCCTATATTTCTGTGCACAAGCGCCGCGCGTCTAACAGAACCCGAGAACTGCCTAAAGCACTGTCGGTGCTGGCGTTGTTATTGTTGTTGTTCGTCGGCCTGTCGGATCATATTAATAGGCCATAGCAAATACCGGGTTTGGATTTTACCGTCTGCTACCTCATCCGAGTGGTCTGTTTTTTTGAAGAGCTGCGTTAGGGGGTCCAGAGCTAACAACTGCTGGGTTAAAGGGGCGAAGTAGAGCAGGGATCCCCACAGACGGTAATGTGTAGAGTAGTATTCTCCATTTTATCATGATGCAGGGGTAAGAGATACACTTGTACAAATTGATTACAGTCTTTGTCTAATACAATGGGCCATCATGATCGAGATTGCGGCCGTAGTAGGAGCTTGGAAACATATTCGCGGTCTCACATTCTACCTTGCACTGCACAGCTTTACATAGCCTGCTACTTCAGCGGTGGCAGCCTTGGAAGTGCACATATAGATATACCACAATCCTGAACTGGTGCCGGGACGAAACTAGTGTCTCAAGACGTCATGTGGCAGTGGGTAACGAAACAGTACGCACGAATCGTCTTCTTAACTGTTGGGAGGCAAAGGCTCCAGGATTGCCCAGAAGGCTAGCACTAGCATTCCGGCTATCGACATCTACGCAAGCAGTCGAGTGTTTCAAGTACAACAGCTAAATGTTCTGTATAAAGACACGCATATGTTTTGATAGGATGGTAGCCATGCATAGTATTGCGGGATGCCACATTGCCGTTGATCATTCATGAAAATATATCATGATAGGCCCTTGGAGGGCGAGTTCTGAACATGGAGAATATTTGCCCTTCGGAATTTTCCTGGCCTATCAGCGATGCAGTTCCATATTAGCCGCGCACCAAGTCAGTTATGTTTGCTAAACCTATTTAAGGTTTGTCTGCGCCTCTGCTTGTTGGTCGGGGCTGATGCGAAGTCGGGCCAGGCGAGATGCTGGATGTGTTAACTGAGAAAGGCATGATTTGGCACGTGGTATCTAAAGTCCTAGATGTCTTTTACAAACTTAATCTGCAGAGCCGAGCTCTAGATCACACATGGTGGCGCATTACCTAATACCATGGCGATGTTTAGACTCAAGTTGATACAGCGCGCATTCAGAACGTTACGCGACAATGGTGTGGTCAGTCTCACCATAAAACACACTGCAATCCTTAAGTTCATATGATGTGTACACAGTAGGGCGAGAGTCCTCCTGTGCCTTTTTGGTGCAGAGTTTTGAGTCTGACCAGACTGAGCCAGGTTTGACATGCGTAAAGAAGTGAGCTGAAAGGCAGCTAATTTCTTATTCAAGTCACTTTCGGTAGACGGTGTTTGACACACCACTCCCGGGCCCTAATTAGAGTGTTCCACTCAGCCGCGTTGCGTGGCATGGAAGCGGAGAGCCCGTCGTTGGTAGCAAGGAATCGTCCAAGGTCTTGCTCACTGACACATTCTCTCGCTACGATGGTGCGCAAAAACGCCCACACTGACTCGTTTGTCCAGCGGAATGACTGAGTCATGGTCAGAACGTCATCAAGGACCGATGAGCGGACCAACGCCCGGTCTGTTTCATCTTGGATCCTAGCGATGCAGTCTGATAGAAAGGTCCAACCCGAGATATCAGAATGATTCTTCAAACAGAACGCTTTTGCATCAACGGCGACAGTGGCCGATAGACTCGGGTCGTGGTGTAACAAAAATCGAGCGTGTTGCCACGCCACGTAATTACGAGGATGGCGTTCTCCAGCGACCATAACCACATTCTTAATGTCATCTCGAATATCCCAAGGAATACTCAAGTCCAAACATGTAGCAACGAGCCATCTCCGATGTGACCATAGGGTTGGTGACTTCGTGTGACGGTGCAGTCTAGCGGTAAGCAGTGTGTCAACGAATTGTCGCTCCTTTTTGAGAGTGGCATTTGTCATGTTACCCGAAGCGGATAGAAACCGTTTCCGTATATTAGCAGCGGTCAAGTGTTCTGGATCCATCAATAAGACTATGGAACTTGCGGCAATGACATCGTTGGTGATGACTGCGCTGGCATTTTCGAGATGGCCTTTGATGACCTTGTGGGCAACAAAGAAGGCCTGCACGAGCCTGAGCTTGGGAATTGCTATAGCGTTTTCGTCTTGGAGAAAGTTGACACCTGGTTCTAACGGATGACTAGGTCCAAGAAACTCGATTTCCAGCAGGCCATTTCCAGGCAAATTTGTGAGCAGTGTTGATAGATCGATATAAGCCGGTTTTGGGTCCTCTGATTTCAGCTGAGACAGGAGAACTGTGTCTAGGGCTCTTGACATATCTGGCGTGAGGATTTTTACCCAAAGTGAGCATCATGAAAAAAGATCCGGAAGATGATCTCAGTACTAGTACGGTAGTTTCTCATTCCTGAATCTGACAAGATTTGGTGGCCTGAGGGTTCTTACGTCGCTGAGGTTGAAGTGGGATGGAGCGGGATGAAGCGGGATGAAGCGGTGGGGTAAATCCCTTTAGTTGCATATGACCTAGATAATTCATATTTTGTTTTGCTTCACCTTTGGAAGTAAGCAGCTCCACTATGATGTACCTAGAACAGGCCACACACTCAAGACCACGATTCATCCACTCACAGAGACATTCTTCCAACCCGACTGGCGCTCGCTACGGCGTCGTTTTTTCCACGACCGAGATCAAGGCCTGAAGAAAATGCCGTCCTTGCTTCTTGTTGTCCTTCTGGTGGAGGTGGTCGTTCATCTGGTGAACACCATTGGGGCCACAGCCATCAACGACGTAGTATGTTCGACAACAATGCTGACCTCGAAAAACGTCTATTGGCTAGCTAACTTCTTTTGCCTAGCTATGGAACATCTACCTTGCCTTGCCAACGAAGGTCTCGAAACAAGCAGATGAGAAGAACAAGCTCCAGAAGGAATACCTTGCGATCCGGCGTGACCTGAAAGCTACGAGCAGCCAGGATCAGTTCGCGAAGTGGGCGAAGCTTCGGCGCCAGCACGACAAACAGTTGGAGCAGCTCGAGAAGATGAGTGAGTGCCTGATAACGATGGCGGAACTTGGAATGATATATGGAAGCCCAAACTAATCATCGTCTCTCTCGTCTTATAGAAGCGTCGCACGATGCCTCCAAAGCGAACTTCGATCGCACCGCCGGAATTATACGTTGGTGCGCAACCTCGGGAGTCAAGTTTATAATGCCCTGGATCTACGGAACGGAGCCTATGTTCTGGCTACCGAGTGGCTGGTTCCCATATTACGTCGAGTGGGTATTATCATTTCCACGGGCGCCTCTTGGCAGCATCAGCATAGTATCATGGCAAACGGCGTGTGCGGCAGCTGTTTTGCTCTTTAGTGATGCGATCAAAGCGATACTTCTATTTGCGCTTGGATCAAGGTCGACGCAGAAGCAGCCTATGACATCTACGACTGGGGGAGCTGGTGCTGCTGGGGATGCAGCAGACAGCAAGAAGAGCTCATGAAGACAAAAGATATCATATCCAGACAGCGCAAGCAAATATAAAAGGCATGTCTCTCATCTATTTTGACGCAGAGTATATCATTGCACAAAGGCTAGGACTCTGTAACACGATTGAGATGACTCTTGGCAGAGTACTTGGGGTCGATCTAGGCATGCTTTTTGACTCTAGCGACCACCGAGAAAAAGATCGCCAAAGCTTCGAAAGTGCCAACAATGAATTTACCATCTTACCTGTACAGTGCCACGCTGAGCAGCTCGGCCTGAATAGCAACGTCGGTATAGACAGCTTTGAAAGTCGTCTTTCCGAATAGAACTTTGTAGTTAGACAACGCGCAAGCCTAGATGATACGCGTGTAGAAATGGGTACAGCTGCAGAGCAGTCACTTGTGAGGTGTAGAAAAAGTGAATGAGAAAACTCGACAATGGGGAAAATTTATAAGTAAACGAAAAGAAACCTAGTGGATACGGCTAGGTCAGGAATGAGCCAATCAGATATTATTACTAAGTACTTCGTAGCACTCGCATTCAGGCACATGCCTAAATCTGGCGGGCATGAGCGCCACTTGTTACTGGCAATTAGTGGGGTTCAGCTCCCTGAGGCTCAACTAGGTAAAAATAGGTAGGTCCCTTACTTCGTAGGGTTACCTACCTAAGTAGCTTATGACGAAGCCGAGAACAGGAACAGCTGGCCTCACTTACAACAAACAAAGAAACGACAGACTCTCGCTCTCAACGGTAGCTAGATTATAAGACACACAACACACAACAGCTTTCCCCTTTTCTTTTCTATCATTACACCACAGGATGAGATAGCGCTCAGAAAGTGACCTGTCATGGCTTTCATTTCGTGGGGGAGGTAAGTCAACCGACAAGTTCAACCTGCACCTCTCTGGTCCCGCCATATTGAGATGAGACACTGACTGACCGGCACGACGCACAGCATCAAGGCCCTCCTCATTTTCTTCGGCCCCATTCTACTGCCCAAGGCAATAGGATACTACAGACGCTTCAAGGCTTCTTCAAAATCCCCCACCCAACAGACCGGGGCCTTATCCCCAGGCGCGATCCGCGCCATCTCGATCTTCTGTTCTCTCGCCCTCGTTTTCTTCATCTTCGCGCTCCCTCCCTTCGCCACCGAGAACATCTTCTATCGCACGGCCTCACGCCTCCAGGCCCCAACCGACGTGCTCTTTTCGCGCTTAGCCACTCTTAGACCAGGCGAGGCATTGACAAACGATGATACTGTGTTGCGTTCCAAGTTCGTCAACCTTGAATCTCGCCTGTTATATCTACAATACGGACCCGATGTCCTTATCTCGTGTCCATTCTGCTCTTCCGAGGACCCCAACACATATTGGTTCTACGCCGCCCCCTCAATCTTGAAGCCATACATCTTCAACCTCTTCGCCCTCAGCATCGCAACGTCCACTCCGTTCGCTGATGCCGGGGTGTCGCGCTGGCGCTCTTTCGCCTCAACCACGACCGTCGCGATAGCCATCATCGAGCTCTGGACTACGGCCGCCTACGAGCGCGCGCCGAACGCAAAGGCAACGCGGTACACAGATATAGAGGTGCTGTTCCAACTAATGCAAACAGCGCGGTGTCTAGCCCTCGGGATCCTCAATGTCCTAGTCGCTGCTCTGATCTGGTTATCCGCCACGGGCCGCATGTTCGCGAGGCCGCCTTCCCCCGCGGCCCGCGTCGAGAGCGTCATCCGCCAGCTGCTGACGACGAAGAGCAAGCTGAGTGCCGTCGGCATTGTCAAGAACACGAGCCTGCGCGACGACGACTTGCGGGGCCGCATCGAGGACTACTGGACGCACGAGGGAAAGCTCATGCGCGAGGTCATGGAGGAGCGGGAGGTAGTCGAGGGCATCAACGACGCGCTCACACGCATCAATATCCGGGATATCATGCGGGATGCCGAGCAATATGCCTTCAACATGTTTCCGAAGCCGCCAGAGCCCCCGGAAATCGTTATTCGGTCCACCGGTTAATGAGTCATGTACTGGGTTTCTGGTTAAGGCGTTATTGCGGCATGCATATTTTAGAGTCGGATTCTGTAATTGAATTGGGGATTGTGGTAATGGTAGGGCATAGCATATGTTTCAAGATCGATCCCTGTCGTCAATAGAAGTTTGAATACCCAAAGACATTTGCATAGGTAGATGCGTGAACTCCCTGTAAACACTCGCTGTATCGAGTTCTAGAAGCATAGAGGGCATGCCAAACATGTCTTTCATTTCCTCACACACGCAATAAGAATCAGAAGTGAAAGTGAATACCCAGAACATTTTCTTGGGAGCATTTGCTAATTTCTCTACAATGCTACAACTCTATTGCTAACATAGTCGAGAACTCGACTCGCCTTATAATGCCGTCCAAAAAAAAAAAGAGGAAGGGCTGTGTTCTGATCTGACGATTGAAACATAATCTGACAGAGGGCTAGAGAAGAGGCACAAAAAATGATGAAGTAGAAGAAGGGAACAAGATCCAAAAAAGCAACGAAATGCAACAGATCATATGAGCCCCTTTTCTCTCTGAATGATACCGTCCGTGGTCTTCCCTCCATTAGTGTCCCGGATGCCGTGAAACGCCTTAATGAATGCTTTGCTGTTTTGTAATCTGTACACAGTGATTTGATATATCGATGAGACAAAGATGGGTAGGTGATGGTGGTGTTTGTCTGAAATTCGAGAAAGCTAGATTGCTGAGTTGGATTTTAATGTAGAGGTTAACTACCCTTGGTTTCTGGTTTGGGACCTGCGGCTATACTCGACATACTTGCTTTTCTCGATGGGCCCTGGGAAGCCTCGTCTGCGCTCCTTTCCAAGAAACCAGCCCACAAATCGGCGAGTGACTCCTTGTTAGCGGATGTCGGTGTGGGCTCCGAGAAGAACTCCGCGTTGAGGGATGGGGTACTCGGCGTCCTGTGGAACGGAGATGTAGGGAGGCGAAGAGAGTTGCTGGATGCGCCTGGACGCGCCAGACCAGCCTGTTCCCTCTGCTCATCTGTCCAATTCAATAAGCCAGCAATGACTTGAAGAATTTGGAACTTCTTGGGATCCGAGCGATCCAAGGTGAGGAATTGTAGAAAGTGATTTGTGACAATTTGCCTAGAATATGTTACTAATGTTTTCGTATAGTATACTGGCGGGGGTAAACGGACCTGTCAATACTTTCTTCGGGTTTTGTTTTCTTCAAATATCGGAGAGCTTTGGTCAAATGATCATTGAGAACAATCGCTTCATGGCGCAGTTTTCCGATAAGCAGGTTCTTTTCCTTGACCTCTTTCTCAAAGGGTGATGTACGCTCGACTTCCTTCTGCAATGATACTCTTGCTGCTTCAGCTTCTGACGCCCTTGTATCGGCTTCTTGAACGAGCTTCTTCAGCTCTTGAAGTTGCTCCTCGGAAGTTTCTACCATTTCTCGTAGTTCTCTCTTGCGAGCTTCCTGGATTTCTTGAAGGGCTCTCTGCAAGCTATCGACTGCTTGCGACTGGGTATCTCGTTCAGATGCTGCGCGCTCATAGTTCTCCCGGAGACTCTCAAGTTGCTCTTCGAGCGCTGAGCTTTTCTCGGCCAAACTCTCCCTAATGGAGCGCTCCTCCATGGCTAAAACCTCCCAGTCACCCATAGCGTCTTTGGCTGCTTCGGCTTCTTCTCTAAGGTGTTGGATCTGGCGAGCCATATCCTCTTTCTCCTTCAGTGAGTTCTGTTGCGAAAGATTGTTCCGGCTACGCAGGCTCGACAGTTCTCTAGTGGCATCTTGTAGTTCTGTCTGCAATCCCGTTATTTGTTCTTGGAATGCTTGGGCGCCCTTTTGGAGTTCTTCATTTTGCGCCTCAAGCTCTTCTATGCGTTGATTCGCCTCCTCTAGTTCCTCCTTGCCTCGCGCCAGTCGATTACCCACACTCTCCTTGATTTTTTCGACCCTTTCAACAAGATTCTGGTATTGCTCCTCTACTTGCTCCTTGGCCGACTCAACTTCTTCAAGCTCTGACTTTAGTTGCGTCGTCTCTTCTGTATGGGCGGTTTGTATGGATTCGAGCTGTTTCCTTAGTTCCTCTACCTCTGCCTTGAGATCTTCCCGTTCTTTTGTCATAGCGTCCAGCCGCGCCGTTGTGTCAGGGTCGGATAGCTGGTGTGTAACAGGATGCCCATTGGTTGAGGGTGGAACATCATGCCCGTTCGCATGGTCCTTCACGTCGGCCTAATCCACAGTATTAGTATTATAGCCATGCCAGAGCTAATCGTGCACGTGTAGGTCATACTGATGTTACAGTGGGCGGCGCTTCGTCGTCGTCAGATTGATCGCCCTCGATTTCGTGTTGGTCGCCATTCTGTGTTGCCTCGGGAGCTTTGACGCCGTCTTCAGTGGGCTTCGACTTGGGGGCGTTCTTTTTCTTCTTGTTGTTCTTCTTTTTTGGAGCTAGGGTGGCATCATCAGTGGACACGTTCTACATCAGAAATTCAAGGTGTCCTCGAGTACTAACTTGAAGTGGCTTGTTGTGAGGGCTCGGTAGGCGACATTGTCACTGTCTGGGCCGTTGTATTTTGTCTGGTCAGAGTATCATTGGATAACACAGGCGAACAAGGCGTGCTGCGTTATGGAAGACGCTATACTGCAAATATAATGGCTTTGAAGTTGGATGCGAGTTGCAGTTGCGCATCTCGATTGCGAACAACCAGACTAACCAGATTAGCAGGTGCTTGCGGCCTCGACCCGCCAGCAATCCATCTGCTACGGAGAGGTACCCATGTATCCGCCAGCTGTGGCGGGGCTATGCTGGACTCTCTGACAGACAATCTGACAGACAATCTGACTTGAGTGCAGCTGGCAGCCACATAAGACAACCAGCAAATGTAAGTACCAATAACGTAGATCCAGAGCATCATGAAGGAATGAGAATGAGAACGAAGAAAGGAAACGACTATCTAGGCATTTGACAGAATTCTAAACTCCTACATCCATCTATGTACCTAGTCAAGGTTGGCATGTTTTAAGGTTACCTGAAACGTCTTGGTGGGTAGTCCGCTACACTGGTAACCAGCTGTCGCTGATTGGACAACTGTTCTAAACGGAGATCCAATCTACTAGATAAAATCCGGAATTCTACTTTGCGCCAGCTTTTCGGTCTTTTCTTCTCTTCACATATTTCCCCTTCTCTGGAACCCAATTTTCGAACTCGCCTAACACGACAGTTATGTCGTGTTGCCCCTGGCCTGTCCACTGAGTTCCGGCTGAAGTAGAACGATCAACTGCCTTTATAATCTCACTTTCGCTCCATCATAATAGCATCGTGGGTTCGCTATGCGCATACATGTCGTAAACTCAAAATATATGTATACAGTACCAGTACCACCTACTCATAAGCAGAACCTAGTATGACAATAACCTATCACTAGGCAGGTATGATTGACTGTGTTTAAACAGTCTCAATCCTCTGTTTTCTTCATTTGCGCAATTTTGATAATGACCACCTCAACATTACTGTTTGTGATCTAGATGAATTGGTGTTTCACATGTAGTGGTCATTTTGGCAACCCATTACTATATACATATTATCGCAACTGCCATGTCATACTCTATTAGCACTATGACGCCGCCTTCTTTCCTTTCTTCGCCTTCTTGCCGGCTTTGGCTGCCGGTTTTTTATCCCCTTTAGGAGCCTTCTTCGTCACAGGAGCAGGTTCACTTTCCGCTTCATCTGACTTGGGTGTCGCTTCCGGCCCTGCCTCAATAGCCTTTGGTGCAACTTCTTCAGCAGCTTCAAGAGCAGCAGTGCTGCCATCCGTATCATGGACACTCTTGAGCTTGGGCGCCTCAAACTCGTAACCTAGTTCCAACAACTTCTTCGCTCGCTCGTTCCGCTTAGTTTCTTCTTTCGAAATCTTTTCTGTCCAAGCAGACTCAGAAAGGGGCTTTTTGAGTTTGTTTCCGGCCATCTTATTCCAGGGTATCTTCTTGAAACGTTTGTTTGCACCGACCCACAGCTTTTCATGAATTTGTGATTTCGGTACCATCTTGACCTTGAGAATATGGCCAGCTAGCAGGTAGTTATCCTAGCAGCAAGTTAGACCGCCATAGCGTACAGATTGCAGCAGGGATCTCACCATCGTCTTCGCAACAATCTCAGCTACACCATGTTCGGCAAATTCAATAAACTATAAAGGTAGTGCGTTAGCAAATAATCCTAACTTTGCCATATCGATAGGGTTAAGCCAGAATCCCGCAAGAGCGGGTGTTACCACCAGGTTTAATACATACAGCGAAATGCTTGGACTGGCCCGTTAATTTATTACGAGACATCCTGATCCTGCTGACATCACCAAACTGTGAAAAGTACTCGCGCATCTGGTGTTCATAAAACCCTCTAGGTATTCGGCCAACCTGACTCAAGGTTAGCATCTAATCTTCAGCTGTTATGACAGATTGCATAACATACGTATACGACTCCGGGTTCGCTGTTGTCTGTCTCGGATGACTTTGTGACTTGTTTCGATACCTTTGGCAATTCTAGGCCTTTTATCTCTTCATCGGGAGTAGCGTCGTCGCCATCGTCAGCTTCAGCGTCGCTGTCAACTATTTTGGCTAGAGCCAGAGCTTCGTCATCTCCGGAGACTTGATCCTCGTCGTCATCTATGGCGGGTTCTTCTTCGGGTTCTTTAAGAGAAGAAGACCTTTTGGCCTTTTTGGGTTTTACATCTCCCTTCACCTTCTTCGTCGCAATTGGGGACGAATCATCGTTGGCGGCAGCTGAGATATATTGTTAGTTAGTGAGGTATGAATAATGGGTGCAAGAACAAACCTTTGCGCTTGCTTGGTGTTTTCTCCTTTGGTGCAGATTTCGCAGGAGCCGCCTTTCTAGGACGGAGTTCTGGCATCTTGAAGGCTGGCTCATTCAACAATGCTATCTTCAAGGCGAAATGCTACTACAAAATAGCTTGGGGCGGATTTGGCGTCGCAAAAATTCTGCCGCTGAAATTTTGGCGGTGAGGATAGCCTCTACCCCACTAGAGTTCCCGATAGGCTGATAAGTGTGGATCTAGGAGGTAATGCTAGGGCGCCAACACTGCACCTTACCTAAATTGTAGCTAAGCTTGCACCTTTAGTGTTCTCGACGCCTACCTAAATAAGTACCTAGGTAGGCACCTAAGTATGTGCATAATACTAGGTACCTACTCCGTAGGTAGATGATATTTCAATTAGCCTAGGGGCCCCAACAATAGGTCTTCTTTCGTTCATTGCTCTCAATAGACATCTCTTGGTTATTGTAATATTCTTTCTGCGTGGGGAGAGATCATCACGTCCATCGAGGGCCCGGTTCGCCATTGATACAATCTCCTAGACTCAGTCCTCCGGCTAGAGACTACTCTCACTGCGCAGGGCAACAAAGCCCACCATTCATCGCATCTAAGAAACACGCCCTTACTAGTACTCGTACTTGATCTATTCGACTACCATTATGGCTTCCGGGCAACAGGAACTCACTCATAACGAAATATGGGACGACTCGGCTTTGATCGATTCCTGGGATCAGGCTCTAGAGGAGTATAAGGTGCCATCTACAACTGCAACCTCTGAACCCAGATCCCATGACTAATCCTTCATACAGAAATATCATAGCATCCACAGGAATGGCGGCAATGTGAATGATCTGCTTAAGCCGAGAGATGAAAGGTAAGATGCCTTACGCAGGAGGACTACCCGTTTTGATCCTAAATTGCTAATATGCCGATCATGGAAAGCAGCACTTCAGATGCCAAGCAGGACCTACAGGAGATTGACGATTCGCCAACCCATGGAAAACTTGAAACGCCTTCCGAAATGAGAGAGGAGAAACCCGTGAGTGCTGCCTTATCCTAGCCCTTAAGATGTGCTTGAGAAGATCCCAAGCACATACGAAGCTTGGCTATTAATGTATTTTTCTCCAGGGTACTAATGAGATGCAGAATGATAGACAGGAAACCGGAAATGCGGCACCCCAGCATAGCCATCCACGGATAGGAGACGTTCCCTCGGCTCCGGCAGGTTTACTAGGCACAGGTATGGTTCTCAACCTTGTCGATTTGTCTTGAATAATTCTCTGCTGAATTTTTCCCGATTTGCAACCAGCGTGCCGTTATTACTGGCTTTGCGGATGCAGAGGGTTGTTTTTCAATTGACGTTTATTTGGAAGGCATACTGACTACTGCTAGTACGAGATGAGGGATTAAAGAGGCTTCTCATGTCGTGGTATTACGCCGGTTACTACACTGGATATTACGAAGGCCAGCGAGATTTACCTCAGAACTAAGACACTTTGGAATAAAATCGCCCACTTCTCATTGATTGAGCTTGGGAATTACCGGGGGAGTTGGGTATAACCAAAGTGAGTTATTGCTTTTACAAGGGTCTGGAACGCGGGATGTTGTATGGTCGATTAATGTTGACGTTAGCCTCGCCAAAGCTGCTGCAAGCCATGTATCAACCAGCACGCCAATCAAATTGTGTCATTGGACAAATCTTGTGTTTCGAACTTCACAGTAATATTCCTTCACCAAAGAAATAGAGAAACGAAACATTCCCGTGAGGCACCTTATGACGCATGTGTTATCCTCCAAAGCTGATGAGATTGTAGCAATTTACTCAGACTGTGCAACACCACATGTATTGCGTTATTCATAACATGAGGATATCCGATGGTTACGGAGTTGAAAAGAACTGTATACCATCAATATGCTAAAGCAACGGTAATTACTTGACTGATAGGCTCAGCTGAGCTTGTAAACTAAGCGCATGACGATTTCCTCATCAGCAGCCACATTTTTGACACATATGTAGGGAATACTCTACAGCTTGTGTATCAATTACCGAATAAATCCTACAGAGTACTGGAGAGAGGCCTCCAGGCTCATGATTGAGATGATAAGAACTTGGGATGCTCTTAGACCCATACCTCCGGTAGAGCGACTCGAAACTTTGACCAGCTGCTCGTATTAGTTCGTGAACACCCTGAAGCGGGACCTATGTATCACAGGGTCAAGATAAGCTGGGCCACTACGGGAAGGATGAGAGTCCCTTGCTAACAGATACGGCAAGAAGATACGATATAGGGCTCTGTGATTTTGTAGGTATGCGGTCACCGAAGGCTTGGCCGGCATTGGCAATCACGAAGTATCCAACAAGGGTGTCCCATTCGTCACAGGGTGCTTGGAAATGAGGGTGAAACGAGAGAGGATTGTGCTTGACGATATGAGCAGTCAGGGTTTCTGGCAGGGCTGTCTCTTCGTTGCGAGTCTTGGATACTGTATATGTCAGCCATCTAAGGTAGCATCAGACACCAAAGTGGGAATTGGAGAAAGGGGAAAATACCATGCCAACACGGAGCAGACACGGAGACAGTGATAACCGATCCTAGCTGCTCCAAAACACACAGGCGCTAACCTCATAGCGCCCGTGATGGCACCTCGCTGGCCCAGAACAGACCCAGAACCCCCCAGTCTCCCCCCAGCTTCCTTGTTGCCAAGTCTGCTGCACTAGTCTGGTTCAAGCGTTAGTGTAGAACTGCCCTATCCTAACCTCTGCCTAACCTAACCCACGCGAGCCCAAACTCCGTCTTCTGCTCGTTCTGCTCGTCCCATTTCATGGTGTTACTTACTTGTGGTGTTTCCTGCGTTAGGTAGTAGGTAACGATAGCAAATATCTGAGTCAATCCATTCGGACTGCGTAGGTAAATACGTGAAATCCAATTGGGGCTCTAACAGTTGCCGTTCACCTTATTTTGTCTTCTCGAGTGAGTGTTCCTTGCGGTTGCTCGAGCCGCCGTGGCTGGCTAGGGGCTGTGGGCAATGGCGGTTCTCACACACTTAAGCGACTATGCAAAACACCACCAAAACGAATCTGGCACAACCCCCTAGCCCCTGACTAGCACCCACTCCCGGAATCCCTCCTCCACTCTCCACACTCACATGGCTCGAATGGTAGCGCAAAGCTCAGAGCCGCAATCCTCGAATCTCCATCCTTGTCCATCCTTGCCATGGCAGCTATCATGGCTTCGTCTGAACCTAGCTTCTAGTTGCTTCACTGTGTCAGGGTATAGGATCGGACGCAAACTGCCCCGAAATGGATCCTCTCTTCGTCCTGATCGGAATGGTCCCCTGACGTTGTTTCGAGATCACCTCCTCAAGCGTGCCAGGGTCCGATATCGAGGCGGCAATCCCAGCCTCTGACACTGATCCGCCGGATGTTCATGCTCGATTTAAGGCATGAGGTCCCCTCGGCTGGTAGGCTGTTTGTTTCCTCTTCTTCACCTCTTCTTTAGACGACCGCACTGCTAATTCCATCTTTCTTTTTTCTTGTCCTCTTATCCATCTCATTCATTTCACTTCATTACGAGCAGGGTCTCGCTATTACCACGCCTCATAATTGCCAGATTCCTCAATCGTTACCGTTCGTTAAGGAATATATCCATAGTCGCGTTGCCTCTCGAGGAGGAAGTCTCTTGACCTTTTTAACCTGCCCACGTTAATTATTCACACATAATCAACCATGAAGTACTCGGCCGCTCTCTCTCTGGCCGTGGCTCCTCTAGCCATGGCTAAGGCTATCCGAAATGTCTACCCCGTAGAGGCACGAAATAAGCATTTGGAGCGTCTAGGTGGCTCCAATGCCATAGCAGTTGAGGCCACCAACACTCAGATTATAATCATTTGGGTGAACCCCGGAGCCGGCGCCGAGACAACGACAATCCAGGAAGCCGTAACGGTTACGCAGACAGTTACAGCCGGCGCACAAGAGACCAATGTAGGGACTGCGACCATCGCCCCTGGCGAGACAACCACTGTAGCAGGAACGGGGGCTACCCATACCGTACAGGTTGGTGGTTCTGCTGGTTTAGCCTACTCGCCCCCCGAAATCAAGGCTGCAGTTGGCGATATGGTTATCTTCACATTCATGAGCCAAAACCACACTGTTACCCAGTCTACCTTCGGCCTGCCATGCGATCCCATGGAAGGCGGTATGGATTCGAACTTCCAGCCTAACATGGATAACTCCGTCGTCCCTGCTCCCCAGGTCGCCATGCAAGTCATGACTGGAGAACCCCTCTGTAAGTCTTGAATCAAGTATTTTATACGTGTTTTACCTTTGGCTAATATTTCCAAGGGTTCTACTGCAAGCAAAAGGGTCACTGTGGAAAGGGTATGGTTTTCTCCATCAACCCCACCGCTGAGAAGTCCCAAGCCCTCTTCCAATCAATGGCCATCCAGCAGAAGGGTCAAGGTGCCGGTAGTGCCATCACAGGCAATGCTACCTCGAGCGCCATCGCCAGCGACGTTGCCTCAACGCCTGTAGCCAGCGCTACCGAAGCTGCTGGTGGTGCCACCGAGACCGGCGCTGCGGGTGCTATCCAAACCGGTGAAGGACAACTTGTCGCCGGCGCCTGCGTGTGCGCAGTTGTTTGCGGAGCTGGTAGCTTCCCAGCCGTCAACGCCCAAGGCATTGGCAACTTTGGCGGTGTCCCAGGTACGTAGTCGCCAACACTCTACATCGCGATCTTCAAGGCTGACAATCATCGCAGGCGCCATACCCGCTAGCATGGCTGAGGTCTTCTAAATTAACGATACCCATGGGCTAGATATGCGGGAGGAAGGGAGGCAAACGGCGGATGATTATTTTGTATATTCATTGCCTGCATTTTCAGAACACACGGGCTAGACCTTGGGCGGTGCCGATCTGGTTTTTACTTATATTCCCTTCCTTTGGGGACCGATCTGGCAACTCAAGCAAAAGGGGTTACTACCTTATGAGGTTGTGGTTATTTTTACATGGTGTTTTAAACATAGTAACCTAGATATGACTGGTTCGTATATCTTTCATAGTTGTTAGTTTTTTATTGTCGTCGATTCCAACTGTGCGGGCCATTTACGCCTGCCGATTAATAGGTTATTAAATGAATGAAAGAAGATACTTAAAAAAAACCTGGAGAGATTTGTTTCGTTTCTGCCTTGACAGCCTCGTGAATGTAGATGGAGTTGAGAAGTCATATGGTTTGTTGCTCAAGACATGTGGTAAGAAAAGATGGGCGTGTCCTTGATGTCCAACAATGAGATATCACGGCTTTTGTTATATAGGTAAGCTGGATGATAATTATTATGTACTTGTCATATCACCAACAACAACGAAGTTTGAAGCAGTCGACAGTAGTTGGTTTTCTACATGATACCTGACCTCAGCACCCTTCCCTATTTCCATATATATACCTACTTGATAGATCCTGGATTCATCTCAACTGATATGACAGCTTTTAGATGACGACAAATTTAGTAGGGGCAATTCTATTCGATTGGAACCATATCGATGTCTTGAAGATATCCTTTTCGCGGTAGTCAGAGTTATGGTCTTTGATATATCTGTGTATAGAGTCTCAAATTGTCTTCTTTGCGCCCTGAGACATATAGCTGTATGGCAAAACTACGCTTTGAGAATATCATGGGAAAACAGGTAGTTAACCAATTCCCTTATACACCCCAACACCCTCAACTACCAGTATTCCTTCCTACAAGCGGCGGTTGTTGTGGCTTCAGGGGACACGCCTTTGCTACGCGCATTGAAGCACTGAGTTAACTGTTGTTTTTAACACCTAGTAGACAGCTTGAGTAGATATCCAGGTAATTTGTTCATTTGAGAGTAGATCTCTAGGTAGTTTGTTTATTTGAGTCTATGTTGTTCGACCTCTATTATGAATTATTGAATTTGTAGATAATTGTACAGATAGGATAAGTTGGAGAATATTCACCATACCTAGTATATACGGAGGAAGTATGTGCACGAGAGACTGTGTAGGGCAGTATACTATATTGCAAAAAAGGGAACGAACTCCTATCACGCCTGTGCCCTCACTCTTTGCCAGAAAGAAATCATCCTACATCATGAACTCGTCATCGACTTCGTGCTACATCAACCCAGTCTGCCAATCGAGACCATCAGAGCATACTATTCCTGGCGAAAAAAGTAGACCGGGACACAAAGTATCTTAAATGGCTTTCAGATCCGACATGGTTATCGAGAAAGTTCTCAGGCCAGTCTTTGAAGTAGGGAACCCCAACAATCTCGATACCGGCAGTTCGGGCTATTTAGCTTCGGGATGCCGCGAATTCTCTATTTCTTCCCGCCGGCGGCATCGGCATCGGCCTTTTTCGCATTGGCTATAGAACAAGAAGGCTTCGTTAGCCAGGGGATTCCAGCAATATAAATCAACAAGAGACTAGCTTACCTGCTTCCTGCTTCTGTCGCATCAAGGCAGCGAGAGCCTCTTTATCGCGCTGCATCTCTGAGCCAGTTTTGGTGTTTTTTGACTTCTGTACGTATCACGACTTTTGGTCAGTACCTATCACATTCCTCCAAGGGATGTTATCAAGCATCGATCCGCTCGTGGGAGCCAAGATCCGTAAGTGGGAACTCCCAATCCATCCCTCTGGAGGGAAGCAATATATGGCAAGCAGGCAAGGTCGTTAGCCGGCTGGAAGGGAGTGAGTGGATCGTGAACCCAACCGCGCGGATGACTTGGCCAGTTGGGGTGCCCGAAGGGCATTCGTGGGCATGTTTCAGGGAAGCCCGGTCGCCTGCCAGGTCGGCTGTAGGAGCAATAAGTCTCTTCTTACCTGAGCGGCCTGCTTTTCAAGGTTCTTCGCACGCGCCTTGATACGCTGATTACCGCGAGCCATGGTCGAAAAGGCGGCTAACGTAGGAGATATTCCAGTGTTTTTCTACAGGGAGGGCGCTAGGGCAGGGCGCGGCGCTTGATCAAACGTCCTGGATTTCCCTTCCGTTGAAGTTGAAATCGAGATGATAGGCTGGGGGAGTGGGTTGCCGATGTCCTTGTAAGTAGAAGGGGATGGAAATGTCTGTCTTACAGAAGTTGGAAAAGCGGCTGGTTGCAGCAGAAATAGGTAACCTAGCCTAGGTAAAGTTAGGTAGTCTACCTTGGGCATGTTACTGCATTAAAGGGTGTTCTAATTCAGGATGCGACGGCCTGTAACTGGCGGCCCCAGGCGACCCGGGCGAGGCCGTATAGGGTACCCAGTAGCCAGTCGGTTCGCTGTGCCACTCCCTCAGGCTTAACTTAAAAAAGTAGGTACCTAGCTCTATCAGCCGCCACTTGAGCGGCTGCGCTCCCGGCCAATCAATCTAGAAGCCGTAGACGCTGAACCTACCTAACCTACCTGTAGATAGTGTAGTGTAATTACTTAGGTACATGTAGGCAATATAAGTGAAATGCTCAAGGCTTCATGCTCTCATTGGATGAACATCATCATATCATGTTAGTGAGTTTCTGTCATCTATCATCATGAAACTTTTCCTCGGCTCCGGTCGCTCATAAGTCCCGTACAAAACTGACCAACATATATTCTACCTTGCCCAAGTAGGTAAGTACTATGTAGGTCCTACACATACATACTTAAGTGATACCGCTCCTTTATGTTTTTGAACTTTCATTTACCTAATTGCTTAGCGCCGTACATGAATGCAAGGTACAAGTTAGCTAGGTATGTAGCTTGTGTAAGATGAGAGGGAGATGTTCACAAGGACTACCTACGTTGCTGTACTACTTAGGTCGGGACGGAGTGTGAATCTAGTCAGTCTCCTCGACAAAACCTGGGCATAATTTATAAATAACCAGTTGTAGGCTAAAATGCATTTCGTTTGGCGTGCCTTGCTTGAAGGGAGTCTATGTGTAAGAGTGTCTCGAAGACGACATGACATCTAGCAAGGCATACTTCAACTCTCTCTCTCTCTTTTTTTCTTGAGAAAAGGAAAAAGGAAAAAGGCAAACAGCTCTGAGAGCCACTAGTTTTGTCGTTAAAAAGACAGGGCGAGAGACTCCTCGGACCTGCATAGCTCCTGGCGACATGCCAGAAGGCGACATTTACATAGTATTGCAGCCTGGTTTGACAATGTAAGGGCCGTGCTGTTCCAAATCTGTTACTCACCTGCGAGACCGAGTGGGGTTGGGTTGTCGGTTGAAAAGCGGACGTGAAACAAAGCTCGTGGCTCCGTGCCCAATCAACCGCCGGCCCAACCGCGCAAATGCCTTGGAGCGTATCAGCTGCAGCCATTGGATGACATGCAGAGGAACATGCTGCTCGTTCTGATCTCGCCGTGCTGGGTATATCCTCACTCTGTCCAGAGGCTGCCCTCCCATCCTCGCCACCCAACCTACCGTGTCCGCGAGGGTAACAGGTACTTGCCTGGCTGTGGCATACACAATCTCCCCTCGCGCTCCCACACGTCGCCGCATGTAGCTAACCTATACGCGGGGTTTTATTGCAGTGCGATGGCTCCATCCGTCAGAACATGGCAGTACGTGGACCGTCGTGAATGGTGATTCGCCGCCAGCATGATTCGGTCCAAACCGGGAATGCACCAGCCTAGCACCAAGGCCAACTCACTCGATCAGAAGCCATCCCACACCCATATGCGCTCTCTTTCAAACCGTTGTTGAACCCGTTGAACCCGCCCGCCTAGTGTTTCCTTGTGCCCTTACAGGTGACATCGTTGCACCGGCTGCCAAGGGAGAGCGCGCGCGACAAGCCGGGGTTGTCAATATTTGTCCATGGAGATCGAGACTAAACGCGCCCGTCCGGATCTATTGGCTGTCAGTCCACGAAACACATCTCGCATGTCGAACATACCATGTGTGTACTGGGTTCGAGCCGTACTATAGCTGTCATGTCTCTTGGTAGGTCTCTTAGTAGCTGGTATTAAACTTGGGCACCGCCCTATAGTTCCTTTCTCTTTTGTGATGGTCACCTCTTTCTTTTGTTTCAAACCTGTCACGAACATCTCGGCGGTAATCTCGAGTGTTGCCGGCGCACCTCAGCCCTTTGTCCCCTCGCACGCCTGAGGCTGTCGACTCTTTTGTCCTTGACGGACTATTCTACTATTCTTCTACTGACAGATTGTACACAAACAACTAACGACCTTTGACCTCGTGCCGCTTTTCTTATCCTGCGAGCCTTTGACTAGTCGCCATTGTTCCGTGGTTACTTTCTTTTACAACCGCATTCTTCCGCAGTCATAAATAAATATCTTCTTGGCAAAAGGCGACTGTTCACGACACTCGTCTTTCCCACAACTGCCTGATTTAATTTACATTCATTTTTCCTACGATTCTGCTACATCTGCCAGTCAGATTTCACTTCGGCCATTTCCACTATTGAACCACATTTCGGACCACTTGATTCCTTAATACAGGTCTCGACTCAACTGCAGGCAGTTTACACGTTGGTACACCTATCTCTATAAACATGGCGTCGGACAAGCCCGAAAAGCCCTCCCAACAAACCACTAATCCTAATTATACCCAGAGAGATACGACTTTGAACATTAGCAGGTTCCTCGCCATGTTTGGAAAAGGTGCTTCTTCCGGCTTCCAGGGCCACGCCTATATCATCCTGCAGGTCATTCGATTCTGCAATGTCGCAGTCCTCCTGGCCGTCATGGTAGCATCGGTGCTCATGCTCATCTACGCAAAACTGCCCAATGCCTTCCAATTCTTCGCCGACGTTGTTCACGGGCTCGTCTTCTTCTTCGCTGGCCTCCTCATCTTCACCGAAATCGGCGTCTGGGGTAAGGGTCAGGAGTTCGTCGCAAGAGCCTGGCCTATGCTTGGCCCCGATCGAGGATTCACTGGACTCGGTGCCATCATGGCTATTATCGGCTGCCACCTGCTCGGTGGTCTCAACAGTGGGACCTACACTGCAGATGGCGTACCTCCTCAGATCTCGCAAGTCATCATCGGCGCCGGCATCATCGCCATCGCCTTTGGAATCACCAACATCTTCGCCTCTCTCTTGTTCAAGAACGAGAAGGTGCGTGCACGCGAAATCAGACAGGCCGGAGCGACTACCCGAAACGTCAATTACAACGACAACTACAGCTCTCGTTCCAACAGTACCCGCAAGCCTGAGATTAGCAATCCTATGCCGGTGGGCGACCACTTCGCAACTGGCGCCTCTGACTACTACGCTGAAGACAATAAGTCAACAGTTTCGTTTGACTCGCGTCACAGCCCGATCATGCCACAGATCAGTCGACCACCTACGGCAATGCACCCGGCTAACAGAAACTCAATCTATTCTGAGGCTAGTCACATTGACCGTTTTGGCAACAGTATGGTCTAAGCTTGCAAGGTCCCGATCCAGCCACGAACCATAATTTTAGGTATTCATTTGCATGGTAAAACTAGGGTTGGCGTTAATTTTAGGGTTGGAATTTTTTATATCCTTTGATTCGGGGCATAGCGTTTGGTACTTCGGATACAAGGTACCATGTGTAAAAGCGATGGTAATTTTGTGTATTCTCTTCAAGCAAAAGGATACTACTGTTCAGCGTTAGATGCCTCGTCTTTTTTTCTTCTTCTATTCTTTGTGGTCTGTCTTTTGCCATCTTCTGCTTTGCTCTAGAGGGAAAAGGAAAAGTCACTGTGAAACTCAACTAGAATGAGTGCTTGATATCAACGAACAAAACATGTTAGAAGTATAAAACTAAGTTACCAAAATTGACTAGAAAATTTAAAACGAAATTGCTGCTAGCAATAAACCATTGATCCATTGACATGAGATGCGCACATGAACCATGAGCTCTTGTGAGGTTTGATGAGGTGCTGCTTCAACGCATTGTTCGGTACTTACATGTACTTACATGTACTCAGCCGATGGCAGGTACCCAAAAGGAATATTCTACAGGTACCGTTTACCTGGTTTGGATTCGCTCTCACTCGTGTTGCAGAGGTTCTTCTACATGTGGGTACCTGGCCCCAGGTACCTCTTTATAGGCTGAGAGGACCAAAAAGAGGCACGTGATCCGGCTTTGACGCACGGTGCACCTTCTTCCGTTACTCGGCAATGGGCGTGCCTTAACTCAGGTCCATTCAAAGCTTCCTTCTAGGTATCCATTCATCCCTCCACATCCTTCAATCTCTCTATATATATACCTCAGCCCATCTCTCCTTGCCATCGACGACCGTAGCGCCACCATCTTGTGGCCTTCGACCAGCTCCCGCGACCTAAAGAAGCAGCTGCTGTAGGCCTACGCCAGCTTTCGTGTACTCGAACTTTGCCTCAGCGGGTTGGTGGTTGGTCCGCCAAGCTACACAAACCGAGCTCTTCATCCGCGTTGCTTCTCGCCGCCCACCCCCAGGATCCCTCTCGCACGGCAATTGACTATCTTTCTATAATCAGTAGTGTTTGGCGGGAATAGAAAGAGTTGCTACATTTGGTGGGAAATACAAGTCATTAGGGGTTTAATGAGGAAGATGCATTGAGCTTTTCCAGAAATCTACAGTCGCTTGCTCGCATTGGGTGGCAGGTTTTAGCATTTGCGACAGCGCATCGCAAGAGTCATCGAATCTCAGTGCTTCATATCTGTTCTGGTGAAGACATTGCATGGTTGGCATCCTGCCTCCTACCTCCTGTGACATCTTTCGATTCTAAACAGTTCAGCACAAGTTTCCTTTCCACCAAGGGGCGACGTGGTCGTAAGCCGCACAACGAGGCCAGCGCTCTAAACTAATAATCTCTTTTACTCTTGACTTGCGTGCTCGCAATAATACAACCATGTCTTCCTACTCTGAGTCTGAGGCTGTTGCTAAGGACTTCCGCGAGGCTCTGGAGGATATACAGACTATTGGACGTCCTGAGATATCTAACCTTACAATTATTGCGCGCGAGAACATCGAACACGCGCTCGCCATCTCTGGCGCACTAGTCGACCACATCAAAAAGGTAGGTTGCAAGGATTTCTTTGCGATACTCGTGACTATGATGAGTCCGCTAAAGTCGAGATGTCATTGTTGAATTCAAGATTAGCCCTCTGACTGACACGGTTCCGTAGGCCGCGCCACACAAGAAGCTCCCTCCGCTCTATGTACTCGATTCAATAGCAAAAAATGTCGGTACTCCCTACACGCTGTTCTTCAGTCGAAAGCTGTACCAAACCTATATGGACGCATATGCGATGGTCGATATGGCTACTCGGAGAAAGTTAGAAGAGATGCTTAAGACATGGAAGGAACCGGTTCCTGGTTCTATTGATACCAGGCCTGTCTTCGCTCCTGATGTTGTTCGTCCTATCGAAAATGCGCTCATTAAGGTTAGGACAACGGCGCTGCAACAAGATCAGGAGAGGATGAGGAGTCAACAGCAGCTTTACGGTCGGGGTAGGCCGGCGCAAGGAGTGCCTTATCGGGAGACAGCTACTCCGCCAGGTGTTCGCCCCCCTTCTCAAACTCATCCATACCATGCTCAACAACCTCCGATGCAACATGGTAACGGGCTTTACAGTCAACCGGCCCAGCCGCCAGCGGTCAGCTACCCATCACAACCCGTAAGTCTCATTCAAACCTGCCTCGACATAGATTCATCGATTAACATAGTCTCCAGTCTAGTTTAATTTCTACGTCGAGGTCTACACCACAACCTCCTTCTAGTGCATTCCCGCCTCCTCATCTGGGAGGCTATGGCTTGACGCAACGTGGAATAAGCATAGATGCATTAAATGATGATATTAAGAGACTAACCAAGGCCTTCCAGGCCCAGCTCGCCCAAAGTCCCCATGATCTTATTATACAGACTAAGCTGAAGGCGTTGGTGGACTTGCAAACTATTTTACAGACACAGAATCTGCCGCAGGAGCAGTTAGTGCTTGTTAAGAATCAAATTGCTGATCTCGCTGTGAACATAAGGGCACCTCCAGCCCAAACCTCTACACCTGTATCACTACCAAATCCCGTAGCAGTAGTTCCTCCGCCGGCGCCGGCGGCGGTACCCAAGGTATCCCTAGATTCCTTGTTTGGTTCGGGTGCTCTAGCTGCCATAATGGCTCGGAATTCTGCCACACCACAAGTCCCTACACCCCAACCACCACCCGCTGCACCTGTCCCTATCCGATCACCGCCTCCTCAGAGGGTTGAGTCTCAGAAAGTTGCATCTGCACCGGCTGATCCTATGGCACTTATGAATATGTTGAGACAGGCGGGCATGCTTCCACCAGCTACACCTGCAACTAGTACAACCCCGGTGCCAAGCACGACCCCTTCAGCGACTCTACCGTTCCCCTTACCTCTTCCACAAATGGTCAAAAACACTCAAATTCCCTTACCTGGAACAATCGAAAGTCTTACAAGTGACATATTGCTAAAAGCATCGTCTCTAAAGCAGTATGTGTCACTTCATAAATATATCACCAGTAACAAAACTGATCGCACAGTAGATTTCGCCCACAATTGCTCCCACTCCTTTTTGAAGCTCAAGGCCCCCAATGCACGCAGTGCGGGCGACGGTTCCCGACGACGGAGGAAGGCAAAAAGAGGAAAACGGCGCACATGGATTGGCATTTCCGTGTAAATCAGCGAAGCAACGAGACTGAGAAACGGGGGTTACACCGTAGTTGGCTCGTCGATGAAATGGTAAGGATCTCGATCGACAAGGTTCACTTTAATCGAAGGCTCTTCTGACAGTGACAGGATTGGATAAACACGCGCGAGACAATTGATAAGGACCACGTCGTCCAAACCGGCGATACAGATCCGACCTCGGGCAGCGCAGTTGCAAAGGCTCCCAAAACGCAATACATCCCAGTCCCCGATGATCCCGTGCTTGCAGCCAGTGTCTGTCCAATCTGCCAGGACAAATTTGAGACTAGGTGGCTGGATGATGCACAGGAATTTGTATGGGCCGATGCAATCAAGGTTGGCGATCGCGTTTACCATGCTAGCTGTCATCAGGAGGCATTCAAAGACGGCGGCGGGCCGCCGCCCCTGTATAGCGCGCCGATGCATGCTCGTAGTACACCCGAGCCAGTACTAGGAAAACGCAAAGCTGAGGTAAGTTACTAAGTTGATGCGCATTGGCTCCTTGCGTGCATTATGACATATGACTAACAGATAACAAGCAGGATGAACTTGTCTCTCTACGGGGCAAGCTGAAGGCGGAAGCCGTATGACCACTTGGCACTCACCATAATAAGCGAACTGTGATCGGGAACGGCGTAGGACCGTGTTCCTAAGCTCCGGAATACATAGGATGGCACGTTGTTCTGGTGCCACGTCATGGGAGTCGGGCAACTAGTCGACCAATCGATTCACGGCGATGAGAAGTCGGGGCATTTGCATCATCTGGCGTTAGAGCATTCCTGTGCCTTTAGAGAAAGGATATAAACCTCCATTGGATCGGTGCTGCGGGCAAGGGATAGGAAAGAGCGTTTGAGGTTCAAGATCACCGCGTCGGGAGAAAATTCCCGAGGAGAACCATACTATCTCCGCAAGCAGCAGAGTACATTTGGTGGACTCGATTAACAAATAAAATTTAATGAAACATAGCGACATAGCTTGTTGATTGTCTAAGAAGGCCTGACGTTCAGGTTACTGCATACCACAATGTCCTTTTCGTCCAGCCGCGTTGTGCTAATATCCCTACTATCTAACCTAGACTAACATGGGCCATGCCAGCCGGCCCTCTGATGTGGCCTGCTAGTGTAGCTCGATGCACAGCTCTACGCACAGATGTTCACAACACTCTACCTACGATACAGAAGTCGGTCAAGAGCACAATCAATTACGACTACATGTCTATGGGAATGGGTTCGTAGGCAAAAATGCATCGCATGCAGCACACTAGTTTGGATATAATCGTAGCTAAGTAGGTATCTCGCAATACCGGCTCGGATTCAAATGATATACAACAACATTACCCGTCTCAGTCACTTGATAACAAGGAAAAAAAGGCTAAAAAGGCTGTGGGCAATAGTACAGTAATCTTGGCCTTGCGATGGAACCTTGCTCAAGCCGCGTTGTCAGCCCGTGCTTTTGCAGCGGAAACTAATTACCAACCTTACCTACGTAGTAATTAGTGTGTAACTTACCCTGGGTAAGTTACCCAGGTACCTACATCAACGTAGAAATACGTAAGCAAGCGGCTGTTGGCAACCTAAACTCCCCTAAGCTATAATTGACATGTATTATGAAGCTGGGATTAGTGGGCTGGAGCCGAAGATCATATACTGCTTGGAGGAGTTCACGGCCCTTACACTAACTAACTACCTGTGCTGTGTAAGGTGCAGATATGGATATGTATGTGTAGGCATGGGGATTAGGATTTTTCTTGATTTTGGGGATGGCGCTTTTATGGTTCGGGCTCCGGTGTTGAAACATGTGGCCTTGAATTTGATAATCGCGGCGGTGTTGGAAACAGGGTTGGCGTCTGGGCTAATTAGCTCCTGGGAGATACGATGTGGAACTCGAGAGGAAGCTGGAACTTGCGGAGGCGAATTACGAGTTGTGAGAATATCTTGTTGGGAGAGTTGCACTGGTCGACATTTGTCATCGTGATCTGTATGTTATGTGCGTGCGGGAAGTAACCCTTTACTGCCAGTGCGTGATGATCTTTCTGGGTAGAACCATGTTGAGCTGGATTGATTCTTTCCTAGATTGTCTGTGACTGTCGATATAGTAGGAGTGTTTGTGGTTAGAGCTGTGATGTGATTATTAGGATGAGATAATGGTAGAAAGGATGGGAATCTTCGGAAGGCCATGTAGGGGAAGGGGGGAATATGAGGGGGGGAAACTTAGACCATGGTATTGGTGGCTCAAAGTGTTTGAATAGAAGAGCTTGCCAAGTTTCATATAAGGTAGCCAAGGGCTAAAGGCTTCGTATCTTCTCGATTTGTTACTGTTGCACAAAGGAAGAAATTGTTAGTTACCAGCCAGCCTACTTAGCTACCTACCTGGTAGTTTTGATATGCATACTATAAATGGTGTTTGGTTTTTACCATATACTCAAAGCAGCTGCTAGATGTGGTTATTTACATACTGTCGAAAAGTATTGGGATTAGGGAGGCAGTACTATTTCAACTAAAGGCTTCTTGCTGCCAATGCAACTGACAATACTACAGCCGCGCCTAGAGACAGCAAATTGCATTGCGCTGCTAGTTGCCGCTGAGAATGGACATATAGGTAGTCAACGACTGCTTTTTAATTCGGGTGTTCGCTATAGAACTCTTTCTATATAGCTGTGCCTTTCGTCAGATAAATCGTCACTTCATTCAGTCCTCTAGGCCTAATCCAGATTACACTGTTCTAGTCTCTTAGCCTTTTGTGAGTGCTATCATAGGTGGAGAGACCGGCCTGAGCGCATCATATATTATATATTTGAGTGAGGTGCTGTTATGAGTTAATGGTTTCGAGAGAACTTCAACTCTCCGTGGCGCTCACTAGGCATATGCAAGATAGCTTCATGAAAAGAGATGGTCGATATATAGCGGGTTGCGAACCCCTTTGAGAGCTTAGAGGGTTAGATATCAATGGTTATTAACCCCTATACTGATCCTTCTGCCTACGTACTCTATGCTATCGTGGTCCCCAGGACATACACCAAATCGCCACATCTACCTTGAACCTGTTCTACCCTCCTCGCCCGCCGCCAGCGTACACATACCTCAATGCCCCTTTGAGCGGCTAGGAAATCTCTATGGGTCACTTCACCAAATCTACTGCAGGCCATGAGATCATTCCATATAATGTTACTTGGTCTCCCTGCGACTCTTCTCGGTATAGACCGCGACGACACGACCGCAGATTATCCAGTAGACGAGTATACGAAGCTCATATGCCTAGCCTAGGACAGCCAATAAATACTTAATGGAGCTGGAGCTGTATGAATAGATGCGTGTTACTCCTGTGAGCCCAAAGGGGACGTGTGTGGAGGGCATCAACCATCCTGATTTACCAGGCTCATACTTCATTATATGAGGGGATATCAGGGAATTGGTGATCGGGGTCTCGGCCGCGCCCACCTCCCCTGTCGAAGTCCGTCCTATTGATGCATTTTGGCCGCCAAAATTCGGCTAAGTCTTGTATCGAAGTTCTCGTATTGTTCACGGCGTATATGCCTCCTTGAGGAAACCCAGGTGCGTATACAACGGGCCATGTTGGGATCGCACAGAGCTGCTGTTTGGTTGTATCATATTAGCCGACTAGACAATTCACAAATTAGGGGATTAGCTCACGTCTACGGAACACTGAGCCTCACACTGGGTCCAGTTATCCCATCCGATCCAAGCTAGAAGTGAACTCATAAGTTTTTGTTTGTCTTCGATCTCCTTTTGAATCCGAGACAGATCGATATCGTCGCTTTCGCCGAGGAGCTGTGTCGTGTATTTCTCGCTCCACTTGAGCAGATCCCATTCAAAAGAGCATAGTCGATTCAAAACGACATTAATTGAATGATATAATAACATCTCGGATTTAGACAGCCCACTTGGGTTCACCTTGGATGTGTAAGCTGACGAACATCGAGAGACGGTGAGTGCCTCAACCTCGGCGGCGCTACGCCCTATGGCGGCAAAAGGGTATTCTAAATAGGCGTAGAGGATGGCATGGGACAATTCATGGATTCTCGTGACAATGAACGAGGCTGGTTGAGGGCTGCTGATTGTCTTTGCAATATCTAACAGGCGAGTTTTATGTTGGGCAACAATGGACTCAGCTAGCACGGCCCATTCTATGCCGGAACACTTTGAGCCGCCTATGTTCTCACGTATTCTCGATTTGACTGCTTTGACATCGCGACTGGATATTCCCACAAGACGGTGACCTCGCCGAAGGCCCCAGCCATTCTGGAATGTCTGGTTTCCGATGATGCGGCCATGGTGTAAACTACTAAGACTCGCGAGTTCGGGGTCATAGAACGACACCATGGTACAAAGATCCGGCTTCACACGTCCAAAGGCCGGGCCGCCCTGACCGTAGTTGCCGTAGTGCCACGTAGCACTTCGCAACCACTCGAACGAGCCCTGTTCGCCGAATGCGTTTCCGAAACCGAGAGGGGGCTGCCGATTGGGGTCGTTCGGTAAAGACTTGTCCACTGCGCGCTCACGATTGCCCGGCAGTGTGAGATTACTTGCGAAGAGGTGCTCAACGCCGGATCGTGGCCAATTGCAAAGGAGTATCTCAAAACCAGCGTTCATCCTGACGACTCCGTCAATCCCCAGATCATCTACTAACGCACATAGGTCCAAAGCTCTTTGATCTTCGTCATATATGTGGTTATATACGGGAACAGAAGGCACCTCGCCCCCGAGAATGGCCATCTGGGAATCCAAGGTGCCCGTCTCGGTCAGAGTAGCGGATTGTCCATCAAAGTAGATAACGCGTAGAGGACGCGTTGGGGCAAGCGTGTGAATAACAGAGCTCGCGGTTGCGCCGAAAATACCCAATGACATCTCTCTGGTGACGTTAGTACAGGAAGGGCGCGAGGTGGGCGATTGAAAACACGTACGCGTCGAAAGCGAAGAACGGAAGTTTGTCAGGTAGGCCTGGGCCATGTTTGCCGTGGAAGAGTTGCGTATGAGGAGGCACAGTGCCTACGACAATGGAATGTCCATTCGGGGCATATGAGTTGGGCCATTGTTTTAATAGGCCGTGTAGGGAATCAAATACAAATGGTGCGGCGTCATGGTAGCTAGTGGGTGTGATGTTTGTAGGAGGCGATAAAGATTCGGGACCCGGCGCGAAGAGAAACGAGGGCAACACGGAGTCAAATCTAATTAGAGCGACGACGACAAAGATCACGATAATGAAAAGTGCAATCCATGTCGGGTGGAAGAGGGTTGCGCTGGAGATGCGCTGCTTGCGGGTCGAAGTCAAGGGTGGAGGCGCCATCGTCAATGAAGCAAGTGGGCATACCTACATACACTACCGAACACTAGAGGGGGATACTGACATGGGGAATCAGGAGGTTTTACTAGGTACTTACTTACTTACTTACGTAGAGATGCCTACCTACCTACTATTACAGGTCATAAGGATGGTAATTGTTAGCGTGACGCTATTTTCTAAGAGAGTACCTAAGGGAGGTAAGAATACCGTTGTTCATAAGGCTGTTAATCTCGAAGCCATTTTACTACTCCAAAAACCCCTACGTACGAAGTATATTTATATAAATATCCAGCCAATATAAAATTCAACGTTACACTAATAATTACCATCCTTATAACCTATAGTAGACTAGCATTTCCTCTCACTATAAGATTAATAAGTACTTAAGTACCGTACATGCATCTATGTACATGTAGATAGCCTTAGCGAACTACCTAGCGGTGCCGGGGTTGACACGACAGGGTGGTAGGTAGGTACATGATGAGGCTCCTTACTTCCACCATACATCCCATCCCATCCCATCCCATCATGGGATGTATTTCGCAACTTGCGTGGTACTCTAGTTAATGGTAAGACGAAGATTCTGCCATCATTCAGCCAAAGCATCAGTTGAACTGACACGTCGCCGGCATTCATGAAACCTGACTTGTTACTCACCTCCAACCCCCCCAGAGCTATGCCATTACAACCATTCATTTCCAGACCATTTACAGTCCGATGCTCTAGCTTAACACTAGTCATACGATTCGCAATCTACTAACTAGTCTGCCTATGAAGGCTGCTACCATCGATATCATATATGTGTCCATTTTTATCTGGCAACCCGCATTAGTATACAAAGACGTGACTCTCTGTCCAACGTACCTAGTGCTTTTGAATTCAGATTGAACTCAGGGACTAGTCTCTCGTTGCGGTTGGACTCTACTGACGAGAAGCCTGAAGCAAGACTCTGATACATGACAAGAATGTCTTCCATGTGCTCATCCACAGCGTTTCCCCTTCGTAACTCTTTCCAAAGCCCTCGGATACAGCCGCGAATGAGATGATACGCAATTTTCTTCGGGGCGTCTTTGATTTCGGGAGGGAAATGATCTGTTTGCGGATGAACTCCCTCATATCCGAGAAACGAGGTGGGAGAAACTGTTTCTACTGATAGAAGCAAGTGGTACTGACCAGGCCCTTTAGACTCATGGATCTCTATATCAACTTCAACCTGGGAATTGCCGGTCGATAGTATATCAGTAATCTCGGTATGGAGCGTAGTCCTGAAGCCATAGCGAACGTCTAGAGGCACGTGAGCAGTGGCCCGAAGTTTCGTTATTTTACCCCGACTTGGGAGAACAAAACTAGAGAGTGTTCGACGTGGCTAAGAAGGAGTGCTGCGCCAAATTCAATAACAGCTCATTCCACCGCTTTTCTCGAGGGCTGATTGCCTTTTTTCGGGCCCTGGGATTTTTCAAAGATGCCCTAGACACTCTCCGTCAGGCCAACTCAATATTCAGTTTTGTCTGAGGCTTGCTGAAGGCTGTGATTCAAGTAAGGGGTAAGTACGACACTATTACACCAATCTAACAACGCCAATCTGCCACACTTACGTCATCGGGATTTGACGAATTATATCTACCCGGTGTATCATATGTTTGCTCCATGCTATGCCCCCGCAATTTGACTCCGCGGTTCGCTCGAATTAATCCGTCCTTTCTTTTTCACCCCAGGTTGTAAGAGAAGTATCGTCAATTCCAGTCATCGTTACCGAGGGTATAGAGAAGCTTCAGGATTACTTTCCTATCTACAGTCACTATCAGAAATGCCTAGATGTTAAGATAAAGAACGTCTGCCCCTTGAGAGTTCATCTTGTGGACATATACGTGGAGTATCTTACCTTCTGCATTCACTTAAGGAAGGTGACCACGTCAAGCATCACGAGTGCTTCATCAAGTCATATATGTCGAAAAGCTCACTGGGTAATTCTCAGCGATCACGGTGAAAAACGTTGGTAAGGCAGATAATCCATTTAGTCTCTGCCTAAAGGCCATTCGCACCAAAACGAATCTCTTCCACCAACTGACTTCTACTATGACCTATCTTGAAATTGGGGGTATTTTCTCCTCCGCTTCTATTCTATTGGAAACTACTAACCAACGGGAAAGCGCTACACGAGAAACTGGATGTTGTAATTAACGCTCTCTCTGTTTCCTCTGGCTTTACCTCCCCCATTAGGACCATATCTCAGGCGTCCACTATCATGGCATCAGGTCACCGTGTTGTGCCAGGTCTGCTATCTCGCCACTTTGTGGGGAGACATAATGAGCTGAAGTGGCTTCAAGAAAAGCTTGAAGTAGCCGAAGAGGTGGTTGGCGGTTGTGTGGGTATCTATGGCACGACAGGACTCGGCAAAACACAGTTGGTGAGTTCACAGTATTCCTTAGCTTCACAAGCTGCTCAGACATACCTGCCAACCCATTATGCTAATATTCCACCACGAGATGCTCGCGTACGAGAGGTCGCATGCGCATATTTACTATAACCAGTTCTTTCTCAATGCTGGTTCTATGACCAAGCTATCTGCCTCATGTTATGAGGTGCTAGAAGAACTAGACCTAGCAGCAGATGCCAGTCCGGATGATCATGCAACGATAAAGACATTTTTTCGGTCACTGATGAAGATGAGCAATTGGCTTTTATTGATTGATAATGTCGGCCAGGAAGAAGTTGACACGATACGACAACTTCTCCCTATTGAAATTTATGGGCATGTTATCATTAGTTCCCAGCAACGATTAGTGATTGAAAATTTGGTACAGTCGGCTCATGACTCGCTGGAAATAAAGAAACTCGATCCCGATGAGGCCATCCAAATTTTTATCGCAAGCGGATACGAGCCACTCAAAAGTAGTAAGGAGTTAGCCACCGAGATTGTCAAAGAGGTCGGTCTGCTACCTCATGCTATCGAACAGGTGGCATCATATATCAAAGTCAACAACCTTGATTTGCAGACATTTCTCAATAGATATCGTCGAACTCCGAACCAGGTGAGATAAAATGACACATGCTTTGACCTTCTTTACCTCCTTATTCTAACAAATACAGGTCTTGGAGTGGAATGATGGCTACACTCACCATCGTCAACCAGTTGCTAAGCATTTCAGCATGATCTTGCAAACACTGGAAGAGTCACACTCTGATGCTCTTGAGGTCTTGAAGTTCTACTCTTTGTTAGAGCCTGAAGCAATTCCACTATTTGACGTTTGGGGCCGGACAACCGAAGAGGCAGGGTTCGACGCAAATGTCGGAGCCAAATCAGTTCAGCAACGGGGTAAATTCAAGACTTGCGCTTGTTGGCCATTTGACTCTTGCTTTGCACCACGGCAAAACAATGAAGCTACCGTCAAGATTGGTCGCTTGGAGGAAGTTTTTCGAAATGAAACCGCGCGCGAAGCTGCTATTGGCAAACTTTGGGACCTAAATCTGGTGCGCCGGGTCGACAACAACCCTAAACTTCTCTGGATGCACGATCTTACCAAGCTCGCGGCACGAGCCTCAGTCTTAGCCGCAAACACCGACTTGTTGATTACACAGGGAATAAGTGTCATGTATCATATGTTCCCTCTTGAGGATACAACGGCTATTGATCGGGCATGGGTTGAATTATGTCTACCTCAATGTGGAGCTCTTATCAAACAAGCGAAAGCTAGGGCTATTCCCGTTACCCAGTACGTAGGTTTACTAGCACTCAGTGGCCAAGCCAACGTATCCCACGGTGCTGTAGTGACTGGTATGTCACAGCTTGAAGAAGCAAAGCCGATATATGTCGAACGTCTTGGTTCAGAAAACACCAGGACTATATTATTGATACAAAAACTTGCCCAAGCGAATAAATTTGCTGGGAACATGAAGAGGGCAGAAGAGCTTTACCGACAAGCACTGATACTACGAGAAAAGATATCTGGCAGAGAGGCTTCAGAGACACTAGAAGTAATGAATGATCTAGCGTCATTGATTGAACGTGCCGGAAGGTTGAAGGAAGCAGAGTTGATTTTCGAGTCGTTATATAAGCGGCATAAGGCTAGAGGGCAGAATTCTCCCACCACTATGGCTGCTGCTCATAACCTTGGCCTCTGCTATCACAACCAGGGTCGCTTGAATGAAGCCGAGCGTATGTACCAAATCGCTCTGGGTCAGTCGGAAATCCCGTTTGGTATTGAAGACGTGGGTAGCCTGAAGACTCTCAGTAATCTCGCTGCGACTGTCGACCACCAGGGCAGACTGGACGAGGCACAATCCCTCTACGAGAAAGCTTTGCCTTCATTTATCAAAGTTCTCGGGTTTGATCACTTCCTCACTATACGTCTCCGAGGAAACATGGCCGGTCTTCGTCGACAACAAGGCGCGTTCAAACAAGCCGAAGACATGATCAAAGGGTGTCTGGAAGTGGTAACCAAACTATATGGGCCTGATAATTTCGAAACTATAACCGTATTATATGATCTGGGAGAAGTTTTACACGCGAAAGGGGATTTCCTAGCTGCAAATCAAGCCTATGAGAAGGCAATAGGTCTATGTGTGGGGGACCTAGAAAACCATCCAGTAGTCTTCCGGTTCTTGGACGCTGCTGGCCTTCTGAAAAGGGAGATGGGCCACCTGAAGGCGGCCGAAGACATGTCACGCAAGGGCTACGACCGCTTCCAGCAAATGCTAGGATGGGATGACCCTTATACTCTGGTTGCCGCAAATGACTACGCTGAGCTTCTTCATGCACAGGGGAAATACGATGAGGCTAGAGATATGTATGCAAAATGTCTAGTATCTCTGGAGAGGCTCGTCGGCAAGTGTCATCCACACTACCTCATGGTAACAAACAATCTCGGTAGAATATGCTTGGCGACGGGAACGAATGACCCCTTGGTCTATTTTGACGAAGCCTATCAAGGATTCAAAAGTCTAGTCGGCCCGGACCACTTCTGCACTTTAACCATTGCCCTCAACCAAGCTCGGTGTTGGGCTGTACGTGGAGATTTTGAACATGCACACGAATCAATCGAAACTGTACAGAAAAAACTTCAATTTTCTATTGGTGATAGGTGTCCCCTAACATTGGCGTGCGAACTTATCCAAGGATTGGTTGCCGCCACCAGAGGCGAGCCAGGGTCTTTGGTATTGGCCAAGGAATACTTGACGAATGCAGTCGAAAGGGCGCAGCAATTCGGTGCAGACTACTTCCTCGGGCTGTGCCTCCTCGTTTTGATCCTGAAACAGTTAGAAGTCGATGAGGATACTATCCGGCGATACTCAACTCTGCTAGATCCTTCTTCAACTGCCATCCAAGGTCTTTCACCTTGGTTTTTACCAGGCCATGGAACCGTGTCGGTATCTGATCTTCTTAGCATGGACCCTAAGGAATTTCACTGGACTAATTATATTCCCTTGGCCATTGGAGAGAATGTGAGGCTAAGATGGGGCCGCAAGTGTTGTTGGCGAGAAGCAGACAAGACCCAGATCATTGGATAAGATCACAGCTCAGCTTTACTTTTGAGCAGGTCTCAATCTGCAGTCAAATTTGGCTTATTCTACAATTATTAGTTCACTTCCAATTGTCAGTCATTTGTCAATATATTTGCTACATTGTATACGACTAAATTAGTATGGCAACTCTACCTAAACTTGGTTAGCTTATATGTGGCATATATGACCCCTGATTAATAGATTTTTGTTCGTGATGATTGTAAGAGAAACAAGGTTAAAAAGTGCTAAAGTTAACTAAGTCGCTCTCTCTAGACTTTTTCCGCATGACTACTTTTGGTGCAAATTGTTATTATATGTGTCTTTTACAAGAGAGGCATTGTAAAGCTTGGCTTGCTAGTTATCTAAGTCTTTTTCTTTTATTTTTATTAGCAGGTACAAGCGGGTAGGTCAATATTTAAATATCAGAAGGTTACGAGGGATCGTCAGGGCAGGATGTAGTTTTGGCGATGGAGAACTGACCTGCGATATATTTGAATTGGGAAAGTAGATGGCAGTAATGAACAGTCAGAGTTGACGACATTAGAGGCATGTTTAATAACCGTGAAAAACCAGATGCGATCAATCACTTGACACAAACACTGTGGCCGGAGATGAAAGGCGATGGTGGTAATAGTTTAAGCTAATCACACATTTTCTCCATGCACTTTATTCTGGCGTGGGCAAGGGGAGTCCCGCACTCTTGATGAGGTTAACTACCTGAGTAAATGTTGTAGAGCAGCAGAGGCAAGACATTTAAGTGAGTGTAGATTATTATTATTATATACCTGCTGTGCCGCCTGTACGGCGCGGTCCTTCTACCTATATAGCTATAAGTAAAACTGTACAATAGCCGGATAAAAACCCTATACAACCTCTAGCTACTACCTTGCTACTTTTTAGCCCTATATAAGCTAGTATATATTGTTTAGCTATATAGTAGGAAAAGGGAAGGTAAAAAAGTTTGGATTTTTTTACTTTTTTTATATTCCTTAGTTATTTAAAAAGGAAAGGAAGGCCTTCTCCCTTTCCTTAAGGACTTTTAAGGGAGCCCTTTTAGCCTTCCTATTTGGGTTTTTTTTACTTTATATTCCCCTTTTTTTACTTTCCCTAATTCCTTTAGCTTTATTATATATAATTATTCTTTTAATACTTAATAGCTACTTTATAATTGCTTTTATCTTTATTAAGTTTTCCATTATTATTTATAGGTTTTTATTAATTTATAATTATATTTTAATTAGCTTTTTAATTAAAGTTTTCCTTTTATTTTTTAATAATTTATATTATAGAATTATATATTATAAAGTTTTTTTATTTTTTATATATTTATAAAAAGGGGTTAAAAATTTTAAAACCTTCCTTTTATATAAAAAGGCTTTAAGTTTTATTTTTCCGGTTTATATTTATATTATTAAAGTTGCTTTATATTTTAAAAATTTATAAAACTTTTATAATATTCTTTTTTTATTAAATTCCTATTTTATTATTATAAAGTACTTATATTTTATTTTAATATAGCTTTATTTTTTTTTTTTACGTTTTAATTAAAATATTATTTAGTTTTTTTTCCTTTATTTATTTATTTTATTAATAATATAGGTTTATAATTAAATTATTTTATAATTAATTCTTTATATTAATTATAGGTTTCCTTTTAATTTACCTTTTAATTTACTATTTTTAAAATGTTTATATAAATTAATTAATTTTTATTATAACTTTTATTAATACTTTATAATATATTAAATTTTTTAATTAACTTTTATTTATTATTATTTTATTATTTAAATATAAATTAATAAAGAATATATTTAATTTTATTTTAAATTAATATATTAATATAGCTTTAAAGGCCTTTATAATATATTTAATATAAATATTTTAAATACTTTTAAAGAAGTTAATTATACCTTTTAATTTATCTCCTTTAAGTTATTTATATTATATAATTACTTTATATATTAAAATGCTTTATATTATTATAAAATAAATTTATTTAACTTTTATTATATTATTATTTTATATTAAATTTTATAGTTTAATTATTATATATATTTAAATATTTAACTTTTTTTTAAATTTAATTAAGTATTATTTTTATTTAAAGTTTTTATTTAACTATACCTTTAGGAACTTTATATTATTTATTAATTATATTATTATTTATTTAAATTTAACTTTTTATTTAAATACCTTTTAACTTTTAAAAAAATATATAAGTTTACTTTTTTAAGGGGTAAATTTTATCCTATATTTTAATATTTAAGTTTTATATATTTATTATATTATTTTTAAAACTTTATAATTTTATTTTATTTAAAGGTTAATTATAAAAAGGTTTATATTATTTATAAACCCTATTATAACTATTTTTTAATATATTATAAAGTTATTATATAACATTAATATATATAAGAAAAATAATAAGGGTAAAAAGGAAGAGCTTTAAAGAACCTTTACTTTAAAAGGGATTAATTAAAAAATAATACTATTAAAATAAAATTATATTAATCTTTTAAAGATAAATAAATAAACCTATAATACTATTTATAATAGGTAGCCCTTTTATTAAAGGATATAAATTATCCTTCTTTTATTAATTATATTAAAAGCTTTAATAATATTTAATTAAAGAAAGGATATAATACCTTTATAATTAAAGGTTATTTTAATTACTTTTAATATTAATTTAATTATTATATTTATTAACCTACCCTTCCTATTTTTTATTTAACCGTTTAATAATAGTTCTTCCTTTTTAACTACTTTTATTATTTTATAATTTAACTTTTTTTTTAAAACCTTTTTTAATATATTAATAAATATAATTAAGCATTAACCTTTTAAGGTTTTTTTAATTCTTATTATATTATAATATTTTAAGGCCCCTGGAGTATATATACTTTATATATATTACGTACCCTTCCTATATATACTTTAAAGGAGATTCTTCCCTTCTTTAAGCTTTAGTTTTATTAAATACCTACTATAAAACTAAAGAAACTTATAACATTATACTTAACCTTTAAGATTTAACCTACTTATAATAATTCTAAAGCTTCCCTTTAAGGTTACCTATAATATTATTAATTATAATATACTTATATATAAATAGATAATTAAAGCTAATGCTCTTTTAAGAAATTTAAATTAAGGAAAGTTTTTAATAATAATTTAAGGATAAAGCTAATATAATTTATTTCCGGAAAAACGATAAACTTAAAATTAACTATTAAAACCTCCTAATAACCCTAATCTAATAAATAAAGCTAATACTTAATTATTATAATAAATAAATGCTTAACTCCTAATTAAAATTATAAAGTTAAAGAAATAACTTTTTAAAGAAAAGAAGGTTGTTTAAAGTTTAAAGGTAACCTATACCCCTTTTAAATTATATTTAAATAAAAGAGGAAAGAATTTAAAAACATTAAGTTTAAATAAATTAAAGCATTACTTTAACCTTAATAATTTATAAACCCTTAATAATTAATAACATTATTAAAACTAAAGAAAGAATAATCCTAATAATAATAACCCTTTATTATTTAGCTTTAATATAAAGTATAATTAAAATAATTATATATATTAATTATATTTAAATTATATATATTATTATAAATGCTATTTCTTTAAGGAAGTTAATTTAAGTTAACTTTTTAAGTTTAATTATAATCCCTTTAATATAAAGTTTATTTATTTAAAATAGTTAAAATAAATAAAAGAATTAAAAATTATATTCTATAGGGCTAATTATAAATTTAAAACTAATACCGTTAAAATTCTTTATATATATAATAAAATAAATAAGAATTATAAAAATATATATTAAATTATAAAAAAAAGGTTTAAATATATAAAAAGGAAATAAATAAAGTTTAATTAGGATATATTTTTAAATTAAATTAAAACTTTATTATATTAATTATCCTTTTTATAAGTAAATATTAATATATAATTTAAAAGAGCTATATAATATATTAATTAGGATTTAAAACTTTTCGATTAATATTTAATTAATATTAAAAGTTAGAACTTAAAATAAAATAAGGGTAAAAGAGCTTTATTATATTATTAAAAACTAAGTGAACCCTTATAAAAGGAATTAATGAATTTTTATAACCCCTTATTAAAGATTAAAACTAAGATAATTAATATAATATAATAATATTAAAAATTAATAAATAAAAATTAATAGGCTAACTATAAAAGAAAAAAGCTTAAATTAAAGAATATTTAAACTAATAATAAACTACCTATAAATATAAGTTAAAGCTAAGGTAATAGCTAAACTATTAATAATAATAATTATAAAAATAAATATAAAGGATATAATAATAATAGCTATAATAATAGTTTAAGTTATAGCTATATTAATAGTTATAAAGGTAATAATAATAATAATAATTATTAAAGTAATAATAATAGTTATAACTATTAAGGAAATAATAATAATAATTATTATTAATATCCTTAAGGTTTTAATTATTAGGAAAACTATTAACCTAATAACTTTATTTTAAAAAGTTAACCTTTTTTTAAAGCTCCTTCGAATTATTTATAAAGTAATAATAGAAATGGACCAAATTAAAGAAATTATAAAGGAGTAATTTATTTTAATTATAGTTAATTAAGCTACATTACCTTAAACTATACTTAACCTAAATAAAACCGGAACCCTAATTATATAAATTATATAATATAAAAATAAACTATTTAAAAAGTTTAAATAAATAAAAAGTAAAATAAAGCTAAAGATAAATAATAGTTATTATATTATTTTTATATTTCCCTTTTATTAAAATGCTATAATCTTTTAAAATATAATAAATAGTTAAGAAATAAATTAAAGGCTTAATATCTTTTAAACTAATAAAAAGCATTAAATTAAATCTACCCCCTTATATACCTATTATATATTATTTTTATACCCTTTATATACTTTATATACTTAGTTTAAAGAAACCTCCTTTATAAATTTACATTAATTTAGATTTTTATATTAAATGTAATTATATTAACCTTACTTTTATACTTTATTATAAGTTGGAAAAGGCTCCTTTTTAAACCCCTTTATTATAATATATTATAGGTAATAGTTTTCCATTATATAGGGCCTATTAGGTTATTTGTAAATTAATTAACAATTGTAGTATTATTTATAAGTTTAAGTGTATATATAACGCATCTCCCACTTGACCTGGCCACCCCCTTAGCC